AAGCGACACAAAGTAAAATTCATGCGATTTTGTGGTTTTCTCTGTAAGCTCATTAATTTACATTCCATGTTGCTTAATTTTCAATACAACAGTGAACATTTTAGCATTCACATAACACAATGCCATAAAATTATCAGAAACTTTTCAATTAGAGTAAAAATTTTCTAAAATTTCCTCATAATTTGCTTCATACAATTAAAAACTTCACGTAAACTCGAAAAATGTCATTAAAATTAACATCGCTCTTCCGTATATATATAAAAATTTTATTTGCATTACTACATCATGGGAAGCATTTTTTAAGTATAACGTCGCAACATTTACTCATCATTCAGTGAAATGTTTAACTAACAAACATGGGCTAGGAAATGTTTTCCTTCTTTAGCTGATCTCTAGACTCAGCTTTAATTATCACTTTAATTCAGTCGTAAAACAAAACAATAAGGAGGAGAAAATGACAAGTTAAGTGAAAATTGGAAGGGAAAAAAAGATGGAGAATTAAATAAACGAGAGACAATAACAGTTTGACAAAGAGTGTGATGTCTGTAGAGTGAAAATACTTGCGTTCGTTGATTATTAGCTGTTTATTTTGTTCGTGAAAATGGCTGATGTTCTCTTTTATTAGCTGAAAACATTGTTCGACTTCAAAGTTTGTGATATTTTCTAATTAAATGTAGAATGCTTCTATGCTTCCCTCCATCTAAAGCAATGACGAGATTAAAGTTCTTTATTACGTAGACACGTTATAATCCAAGGCTTTAGGGGGGGAATTCAAATGCAGTGTTGAGTTTTCTTAACATGTTTTTGCTATATCAACACAACAAAACATGAAGCGCAATAATGGCAAGCTAAGAATTTACGTTTGTTGTTGAAAGCAAGATATTTTCAATCCTTTGTTTAAAATTTTCTGCACTGCAGCAAAACATTCATTGATTGTTAATTCAAAAGTTTTCATTTCTATAATCACATGAAGAAGCATGTTTAGCAACTCTGCTCTCAATATTAAAAGTTGGAAATATTTTCCTTTAAATCAGTCGTTGTTAAATGAACATATCTGTGCCGCTTTTAAATTAACATATTTATTGACATTTCTCTTTATTCCCATAGCTGATAACGTAATTAAATAAGATATAAAACTCGCGAAGAATACATAAAAAAAGCCGATTCAAGAATATACCTAATAATCAAATAAAATAGAAAGAAAAACTTTTTTAATTCGATGTCTCTTCTGAAGTCTTTTTTCGTGTGATATTTTACATGTAAATTCTAAGAATTAGACAGGTTTTCATTCTGTCTTATATATTCATACAACTCAATTACCTTTCATCGCTGGAGATGTGAATTGAGGAAAGGAAGACTGAGAGAGAAAGAGATAAGTGAAGGAACTTAAATTATGTAAATTATGGTATTAGGTAAATGTATGCGCTAGCGACAAAAACGACGTGAAAATTATTCTCACTTTAGCATTCATTTCTGGGAATACTTAGAAGATTCTTCAAAAAACATTCTTAGCTAATATCGGTTAAGTTGAACTGAGATTGTGTTCTTGAGAAAGACAACTGATTTAAGACAATCATTAAAATGAAATCGATTCAGTGGCGGGGATAAGAAACTTGTGATGAAATCAACGGCGTGAAGATTCACCCCGTTCATAAGAGCGTAAATTAATTTTAAGTATTTCTTTATGGCCCTATTCCGATGCCTTAACTTTAAAGACCTTGCTGGGATTAACATGGAAAAGTACTCCATTTAATCATCCTTTTAGCATAATGGCAACCATTTCTAAAATTACACCTTATGGTTGAGCGGGTAAGGAAAAGAGGAAAACTTTTCTCTTGTCGGCCTTTTTTTTCTTACTTCCTTTTAATACTTTCGCCTCCTTTCCCTGATGTCTTTCATTTGAAGAGATTTCAACAAGAAGAAGAAGAACAAGCAGCTTTATCAACTCATGAAGAAAAGCCATTCGAGGTTGAATAGAATATTGAAACGGAAATCGAACAGAAGAGTAATCAAGCCGAAAATAAGCGAACTAAATGGCAACTTATTAATGACTTCGGAAATCCATTAATGATGGATTAGTTTACGAAATGATTTGCTTACTTGTAGCTCGACCTACCAAATTGGTTTGTCTTGTTTTCTAAAGACTAACTATTACATTTGTAAGTAGGGAATTTTCAAATAAATATTGACTTCGTGAAATGAAACTTGAAGATAGAAATTAATTAAAGATAGGCAAGATGTTTGTATTTATGTCAAGGATGTTAATGGATGCATTGTTTACGATTGCTAATTACAAGCTTCTTCCATTATGTGATCGATCATAAATAGAAACAGCTTGAATATGAGGGGATCGTATAAATATTTGCTAACTGATATCCATTGTGAAGCAGCATGAAAGACATAAAAATCGATAAAAAAATCTCTTTTAGTAATTTAGGTCAAAGTGTTTGGTGTGTAAGTTTCTTTGGTCAATCTGATAATTAATATAGAAACGTATCTTGTTTACTCCATGTGATGGTTCGTTAAGTAAGTTCAAAGTAAGACAGGGTAGATTGACACGTTGTTAATAAAGCAAGGAAGCTTATTTCTGACAAAAGCGTTCGCTTTCAACCCACGAAGCAATTTTTTCTACCATTTTTGGGTGAAAGGAATTTCTTTCTTGATACTTAAGGCAATTCGAGAGAAAAATTGTTCAAGGAAACGAGGGAAATAAGCAGCGAATGAAAAAAAGTGAAAAAGCTTTCGTAAAAGTGGCAAAAATAATCAATAAATTTAATGCTCTGATAGCAGAGTGGAGATAATTTTCGCTTCATTCTTCTTTCCGGATCAAATGGCTTCGACTAAAAGAAATTACTGCCAGGCAATATTAATTCAAATTCATTGAAAAGCTTCTATTCTTAACACAGAAAAAAAGGAAGCTGAATATTTGGGAGGGAGGATTCAACACTCATTTGTCTCACTTCCTTCATCTTATCGATTTTTCTTTTCTTCTATTTATAAGGTTAGTTGTGTGTCTGCGACGACTTTAATGTCGTCATGGGGACATTAAATTTCTGTAGCTGAAAAACAGCAGACGTTGGAGTTTTTAAAGAGATAAATAAAAGCAAACGCGACAATCGTCGTTACCGACAATTATTTCCCGTTTGTTACAAACTTTGCTACGGTAAATAAAATTGCTGAATTCTTAATCACAGAAATTAATGTTGCACAATTGCAATGACATTGATGTTTGTTTAAACGATTAATAAAAAGAATGCAACAAGCACCGAATGAAATTCATGCAGCATGATTTTTGCTTTGCACAACAAGTGCGCTTCTTAAGCCACTTCTGTTCTGTTTAATGCTCACATGATTTAAGCAGAATCATTCGACAAACTAAAATGAATAAAAGCTCGTGTAATGCCATTCCATCGTGAAGGATGTAATAAAATTGTTCAATTCAAAGAGAGCTAGTGAGTGAGTGAGGGAGATGAAAGAAAACTAGTCACGTCTTAACTATAAAATTATTTGCTGTTGTGTAATTGCATCTAAAGAAAAAAGAGAAGAAACGAATAGAAAATGTTTTACTATTAACATCATCCAAGCATTATGCTTGCTAGCTTCAACTTCCTGATCTAGCCACAACAATAACATTCTTCAGAGGGTTGAAAGCTAACAAATGAACTTGATTCTCTTGTGCAAAACTATAATCCAATTCCATTCCACAAACGGCTGTTCTTTAACTTTTTTTTTTAGCTGTTACACCCACGAAGCGTTTGGCTTTTGTTAATATCCATTAATCTGCTTCTATCTTTATTTTCATCTTTTGGCGCTTACGAAGCTCATGTGAGTGATTATTTTTAATGAAATGAGATTAATTACAAAGCCGATTGTAGATTTGCCTTGTTCACGAATTGTTGTGTCGTTTTTTTTTTTCTCTTATTTAACTCAGATGTGTATGCAATTTATTTTACAATGTTACTTTATCTGAACTTTATTTAATTATGTAAAGAGGGCATGGAGAACAGGCAAGGAGAAAGACATTTGATGATAATAGGATGTCATTTTTTTTACTCTTTGACTACTTCACTTCACTATGAATCCTTTTAATTACATTTCTCAACGAGATTAATTATTGCTTTCGTCTGTTTTAACAGTGAAAAAGGTAAGCGTATTTACTGTTTGAATGTGGGGTGAAATGTTCTCAGTTCATTTCAGTGGCGTTAAACATAATGGAACATTTCTCAATTCGTCAACCACCCACACAGCCAACAAATAAACCACACGTTACTGCGTTTTCTTTGAGTTAAAACCTTTTTCCGCACTTCTGAATTTATTCAACTCATACATGTGTTGTTGAGATGATTCTCATGAATTGCTTTCTTTCATTATTTTTTAAATTTTGCTTCTCTTTATGAATCATTTTAAAAATAAACTTCAAAGGATAAAAACCTTTTTGGTTGATCTTTTAAAAAATGTTTTTGCATTCAAGTGAGATGACAATTAAGTAAAATCAACAATCAAAAGTTTGCGTTGCAAATTGCAATGCAGTCAATTAATTTTCTTTGCTGTTCTTGCGATGTTTTCATTGTGTGTGCTGCCATGAGTGACTGAATGCAACTTCTCAGCTTTTTGACACGACATGACGCTTGCGATTATTTAATGACGGAAGTTTAACATTGAACAGGTGCCATTATTTTATTCTTTATGATATTGACAGTGACGCTCCTTTGCTCTTGCATGTCTTGCTGTTAACTGAATAAGAAGCATAATAATTACTAAATAAGAAGTTGTTTACTGTTTAAAATAAATTGATTGTAGCTCTTCGTGTCTTTTAATTAAATTACCTCAGCGTTTATTCAAAGCTATTCACGAATTTTATGTTTAACTTTTTTTATTACGGATGAGGTAAAAATTGCATTAGCGCGCACCACCGCTAAGTTACTGTGTTGAAAAAACGAGTCGGGGATCGCGAAAAAATGAAATTGTGAAGCCATATGAAGATTTGCAAATGGAAGAAGATGAGATGGGTGGGATGTGACGGTTAAATAAACATACCAACTTTACAAAGTTGACTATAATTGTTCATAAAAACCGTCAGTCAGTAAGAAAGGCTTTTAATGTTTCTATCAACTCATCTCGTTGGCTTCTCGAACTAAACTTGCATCGTCGTTGATTTTATTATTTTTTTTTCTTTCTTTTACTCCATCGAAGACTCACAAGGAAACACGAATGAAAAAAGAAGATGAAGAAAAAAATTAATAAAGTCATGATGGAAGTGCATGCATTTCTGAAGACTTGAAGTTAAAGGGAAAGAGCATAATGAAGACGTTTATTCTGTGGCTCACGTGACCTGCAGTAAATTAAAACTAAACTGGTACAAATCCCTTCTTATCGTTTTGGCTTTTCAACTCAAACTGTTCTCAGTGTGAGTCTATCTGACTGACCAAACTGATTATTATTCAATTTCCTTTCATTTCTGATTCAAACGGAATTGAAATTCTAACTTCGAATTTAAGGAAAAACAACAAAAATTGAAATTTTATTTCATTAAAAGTCAGTCATGTCGTTTGTTTAAACTTCACCTCATCTCATCAAAGTTGATTTTCTTCTTTTCCATCATTACTTTATTATTTTATTTTCCCTTCACTTCACTCTTTTTCATTTCATGTTATCCCGTCTGAAACAGTTTCGTTGCCTTTCTTTTTTTTTTATTTCTTTCAAGCAAGATTCTTTGATATCTCCCAAGACATTGATATGTTCTTTTTGAATGAGTCGTTCGCTATCAAGCAACATGTTGAGTCGTGAATGGGAATAAGAAGGGAATCGAGAGATATTTTAATGAACAAGCTAAGCTAAGAAAACAAAAATAGAAGACGAGATAAAAATTGGCAACATCTCATTAATTAAAATCTCACGAAGCCGCTCTCTTAAGGTGCAAATAGCTTTCATATCGCTTTGGCTTTTCCTTTTGAATGACATTTGACGTGAATGTAGCATCATAGACAAGTCTACGTGTGAACAAGAAGAGATGTGATGATCTCGGTGGAATTATAAAGGAATTATAAAAGGAAATTGTATCACGCAACGTCGATGAGTGAAGTCTTTTTAAAGAATGAAATAATCTTCTTTCTGTTCTCACCCGACCACCACAATTTTCTGTCGACGAGGAATGTCAAGTTTCGTGAAAAAATCTCTTCGCCTTCAAAGTTTTTCATATGACATGAAAGCTTTAACAGCGTTTAATTGAAACACGCTCGAGATTAAAGATCAAAGGAAAGAGAAAGAAATTAGCGTGAGTCGATTTGCTGCTTAGATGAAATGATTTCGGAAATATGTTTTTAATCATATCAGAAAGTTGATGCTCATCTGTCAGGTATTTAAATGTAATCTTTTAAAGTTTCTATTTAGATATTTCTTCTTCATATTTATCTTTTACCTGTGCGTTGTTTGTGATCTACAAAATGCTTTTAAAACTTAACTTCACTAAACATTACCAAACAAACTCTCAATGCGATTGTATTTCCTAGAACAAACCTTGAAAGATTTTAATTTCTCTTCATTCTGTTTGTACGTCATCTTAGTGGCCTTAAAACTCGCACGACGCTCGTTCATCTTTCTTTCCCTTTTTAACATAAAACATCATCAACGATGTTTAGACTCGTTCTTTTATTGATGTTTCGGACGATTTCCTTTGATTTCTTTCGATGAAAGAACACAAACAGAAAGAAATCTCTTTGAACATCGGCATGTCTTGTGTGTGTCTACGAGTGCAATGTTTTCAGAAAAGAAAAATATTTAAAGCAAAAATATTTAAATAAATAAAACATGAGAAAAGGTCTTCTCACAACGTTATCAAATAACAAACATTTTTTCCTGTCTAGTTGACTCTCATGATGAAATCTCAAACGTTTTATCGTCAATCGTTCACTTTCTGTGTAGGTTTTTATTTGTGATTTATCTACCTTCTTTCAAAAGACTCTTCAAGACAAATAATGTTGCACGTAAAACAATCTAATTTTGTTTTTATTATGCTTACTTAAGGATGTTAAACTTTAGATAAGAATGTTGACTTATATTTCAAAGAAAATATTAAAAAACCTGTCTCGTTATTTTTTTTATTAAAACCTTGAGTGGTCAGTGATAAACCCACGCAATTATTATCTAAACATTGCTCCTTTCAAAATATAAAAGGTAAAATTTCAAGTGAAATAAATTGATTGAAGTTGCGCTTATAAATTTACGAAAAAGCGAGAAATTATTTAAAGATCGAGGAAGAAAAGTATTCATTTCAATCTTTCCCAACGCCCACACTTAGTTTCAAGTCTTTTACGTCATTGTTGCTGTTTTGTTTATGTTTGAAGTTATTTATGGCCTTTCACAATTTTTGCGAGAATTGATTGAGCATGCGATGCACAAATGCTTTTCATTTGACGATTCATTCCAACGCCATTGAAAACCAACACTTAATCAAATTCAATTAATTTATTTTTATCATGCAGATACAAGATTTGAGGCACTTGAAGCCTTCGCAATTCCCAATGATAAGTGCTTCTTTGATAAATTTTATTTGCTTTGTGTCTGGAATGAGGTAATGTGAGTGTGCTCACTAAAGCAAAGCCAAATGCTTTTTCATTCGCCTTCATTGAGTTAATGTCTTGTGAAATTGCTACGGAGAATCAAAGTAAATGGGATTTTTATGAAAAAGCTTTCACCGTAAAAAGGGCTTTTAAATTATTCACAAGCATCAATAAATGTCGAGGCGTAATGTTGAAGAAGTGTACGGGGAAGTAAAGTTATTGTAATGTCGCAAAATTCTTAAAGAAATTATTCTCGTCTTCGATTCATTATAACCCCTTCTGCTTATGCCGTAAATCGCGATGTCAAATTAACGTTTTGTGTGTTTCTTTGCGATTGCTATAAAAGAAAGATTTATGTGTGACAAACTTCACCGAAAAATTTTTGGTTTTCTTTAATTCAAAGTATTTTTATTTTATTTCTTTTCATTCGTTTTGACGGTAATAAAAGTTGAGTTCCGAGTGTTTTTTTCTTTCTTTTCTACGTGTTCATAGAGATCATTGAAGATTAGAAGAAAATAATCTTACGACACTTCATAGTGAAGCATAAAAACACGTTTCGCTCTCTTCATCATACGAACTACTGATAAGCTTGACACAAAGAAAGAAAAAGTTTTTGTCGTCGCTTAGATTAAGGACATTTTTCCCTCGTTTCTCTTTTTCCTTTTCTTCATCTTGAGACTTTTGACATTAAAGGTTCACATTTTGGAAGCAGCTTGACTTCTGCGATAACTTCATTTTCCTTTTTCATTCTCTCGAATCTGATTTTGTGACAACGAAATGATGATTTTTCATCATGTTCGTGTTATCTCTGAACAAGGGAAAAGTTTTTCACAAAAAGAGTTTTGAACTATTTTGATGAAATGATTTTTTTAAATATTAAAACTTGTGTTTAAATCTACCCATTACTTCCGGAATTTCATTTCATTCTTTTTTTTTTCCTATCAACTTTATAGGCATCGTCGATATTTCAGGAAGTTTTAAATTAAATTTTCTTGGTGAGATAGAAAAATTGCTTTGCATGTTTTGGGGCGCTTTTGAGGTTCAACGCAATACCACATCAGAAGAAAAATGATTTCGGCTTTAACGTTGAGGAAGTTCAACAAAATAAACATGGAAAAACTTTTATTTTTCCCACTTCGACCCAAAATTAAACGAATGAAAGTTTTTCTATTTCGTTTTTCTCCCAAATTTGCTTGTTCGACAATTGCATAACCGAACGGAAAATCACGATTCATTGCTTCAAATTGAATATTTTTCCAATTTAATTATCTTAATTAGGAAGGAAGAGCTTACCATTTAAATCCTATTGATGCTCAATGAGCCATATTATCACAATTTTTATACTTAACGACACTTTGAGGAAGAAAGTATTAAAATCTTGTTTCAAAATAAGCCACGTTTTCCCGAAATGATAGAAACTGCTTTTCCAGACCATTGACAACACCAAAACGTGTATATTTATGATTGAACAGTGGAACATCTTTCTTGAAACGAATCGACAATAAAATCAAACATGAAAGCGATCTCTGATTGCATAATAGAAATTTAATGAGAACGCTTTTCCGTCTATGTGCGGCTGACGGGAAATTTGGCAATTTTATTCGCTTCAGACGCTTTCATTCAAGCGGATGTTGTTGCGAAAAGTAATCAGAAGCTTTTCCTTGCAGAGCCTTTGTGATTCTTATCAATTGCCTGGTATGCCGATCACGTCGCATACATATCGTTCATTTTCCCTCTTTCTCACCATGAAATTCATCTCCTATCTTTTACGGCAACATTTTCCACTCTCTATGTAGTTAAATGCCGCACAACAGCATCCCAACAACAATGTCAAAACGACACGTTGGTTTGAGAAGAAGGAAAATGTCAGCCGAAAGTTTTTAAAGGCAGAAAAAAGCGAATATTTTCGGTCAGAAAATTATTATGCTGTCGTGTAGATGGTGAAAAATTGTGTGTCCCATATTTTCATTTTTGGTTAGCAACCATAGCCCGGGAACAAACCGAATTCCAACAGAAAAGTTTTTGTCATTTCAGACATTATTTATTGATTTATCATTACAACCGAAAATGAGTCTGAAAGGAAAAGTTTTCCATCTTAGAATGTCTCGTACCGAATCATTGTTTTGCATGTTAATTTTTTCTTTCTCGTTTTTGGAACAGGAAAAGATTTAACTCGTTACAGATCTTTAAAGATTTGTAGAGATTGCATGAGATAAAGTTGTTAAAGATCATTGAACCTTCTTTATGTGTCCTTAGACATACGTTACAGAAGGAGAATAGTGAAATTTGATCTCTTTTCCTTTAAGTCTACTCCAATTACTTTCATGATCAAGGCAACATATTTCTGCACTGAATAACAACGCCAAAACCAAAACAAGCAAAAAATTTCCTAGAACAGATGAATGTTGAATAATTTTGTTAAGATGAATTTTATTTAGTTTTTTCTTTTTATTTTGTAAATACCGCAATTGCCATCTCGAAGGCGGATCATCAAAACCGTCGCTTTAAATTGAATGAAACATTTTTTTATATGAACGAACACGTAGCAAAATAAACGCAAACATTTTCTGTTGAAGCGCAGTTATTTTTGGTCAGTGAATAATCTGACTTTCAAAATAAAGAACTGAGAAACTAATTAACTCGTAGACTCGCAAACACAACTCGTTGTAGCATAACGATGAGAAACGCCTCTTTCGAATAACCAAATAGTTTTAAAATACTTTTTTTTTGTTCTCTATATTTTCTATTTTTTTTTTTCGTCGGCGTCTCGTTTGCCATTTTATTTCACTTCGTAGCCAACGAGAGAAAGAACAAGCATCGTTTATAATTCAAAAAAAAAATATGTATAAGCGGATTGTACTCACTTCCAAATGAGAATTGATGATACAAAAATAAATATTAATAACAGCACTGAACACAGTAGAATCATCGCCGATGTCTGCAGCGATGGACCGCTGTGATAGCTAGCATCTAGAATCTGAAATGAAACAGAGAAACAGTTGAAAAAAAGTTTAGTAATTAGCTTCAGTTTATGTTTATAGAAAGCTCAACAGAGGAGCAATTTTAATGCACTCAAATGATTTTTATTGTGCCACTGCTGTGATCCTAGCGACAAGAGACCAACACAAATTTATGTGACTTTGAAATTTCTTTTTTGAGCACGGGTCGAGCAATGAAAGAAAAGGCGAAATTGTGAATAATTAACAATTTGAAATTCGAGGATGGCTTTGCAAAGCCACCTGAAAAGAAGCAAAATGTTCTTTGTTTTGTTGGGTGCAACATTATTTAAGCCTCAACGCTCCAAAATAAATCATTTTTCATTAACGTCGGTTAAAACACAATTTTTTCTCTCGTCTTCTAATTTCTTGGCATTTCATATTTCGTTTTTGTTGACGCAAAAAGGATTTTTCAACGCTTTTCTTCGGATGAAAAGGTGGGTAAGAATGATACATCACTTAACAATTTAATTTATTATCCATAGAAAAAGAAAGTAAATGGAATTGTCGACATAACAACAGAAAATATTCTTAAATTGTTTTTACAATAAAAGTAATAAAAATAAGCTCATAAATTTCTATTATGCTCAAAAATGAAATCATAAAGTGAAACACCTAAGAAAGAATTTTCTTAAATTCAAAGCTATCTTGAAATTAAAAAACTTTGTTTATGTTGCTATGAAATCGTCTTTCGAGTTATTACAGGGTGAAGCATTGAATTTGGAATCAGATTTTTAGGGCGATTGTTCATCTATCGACGAAGAGTTTTAATTTTCTAATTTCAATGTTTGACCCTGCTGGAACTTTATTATACTCGAGAAAATTAAAAATTTTAATATGCTTTTCCAAGTCCGACTTCTTCTTTGCTCTTTTTACATTCGTCTGAAATACCTTGTAGAACATTGTAAAAGTTAAACAATTTCGTAATGAAACAAGAGTTAAAAAGAGTATAAGGAAGGGAAAAAGAATTCTCGAGTGCAAACATTTTGGTATGCAAGTGAAAATATTTTCTTCCTTTGTTCGGGATTAAAAAAAGTTTTCTTTCGGCGGAAAGCTAAATGTGCTTTACTGTGGCAATTCTCACAAAATAATAGTTTTAAGAATGGAAAACTTTTCTTTCGTTTTCGACTTTCGTTGAAAAAAATGCTTTTTTAAGTTAGCGAAACTAAGTTTCTATTCAATTGATTTGAAGTTATCGCGAAGTAACGCGGGTAACAACTTTTCGATTCATTTTTAACATTGCTCATGTTTAACAAATGGAAAAGAGAAAAAAAAGGCAAAATATTTTCGTGTTTTGACTTCGTACTCAAGTAATGAATTTCATATTGTCACCATATTTCAAACTGTGAGTTCCTTTCAATTTCGAGATGCTTTTAATTCAACTTTTTTCTTCTCATCTCAGACATTTCTTTATTTTCTTTAAAGTTTCCTGCTTTGTCGCAGAAATGTGAAGCGAGATGAAGGGAAAAAAGAACCACACAAAAATATCTACTGCTTTTCGATTGATTTATGTACATTAAGACTTATTTCTGTTTTAAAATATCGGAGAGAAATTCTTCACACAGCTACATGCGATTCACGTCTTTTGTATTCTCCCAATCGCGCGCGCACAGTCGAGACATTTATATCTCGAAACTCGAGAATTTATTAGCTACTTACTATCTCGTGTGTGTCTTTGCCTTCTCTTCTTTTGACTTTGCAATACTATTCACTTTTTTCTTTTATTTCTTTAAAGTCATGATGTGACAAGAAGGAAAGTTTAACACAAAAAAAAGGGGCAGCAAAATATTCTTTTCAGCCTCTGTTATCAGATAGAAGCAAAGTGCCGTGTAGACATCAACGAATGCCCAGGATGGATCGCATTTGGAATGTAACAATACAGTTAAAATAAATTTTCGCTCCTTTTCGAGATTTATTTAATTTAATAAAAATTTCATTTTGCCTTTTTATCATCTCATGGGGGAGAACATAAAGAATATAAAATAAAATATTTTACATTTCTTTTCTTTTTTCTCAGAGGCTGGAAGGGAAAATTTCATAAATGATGGTGCTTGACAGTATCATTTATTTCAATAAAAGTAAAAATGTAAACATTGTTGACGTCAGTCATAAATAATTCCCCATCCAATTTTTTCTTCTGTTTACTTTTGCGATTAAAGAAATGAAACATTACTTTTAATTTCTTATTTCATTTTAAGTTCAAACCTCACTGATCTTGTCTCCACCGCTGGTGCTGGAGGAGAGCTATCATCAGAAGATATAAATTTTGAGCCACACACCACAAACATTCGAATCGAACGTTTCATGTTCATTTGCAGTATTTTGTGGCTGAAGTTTGCTGAGGAATTTCTTGATAAAATGTGGGATTTTTTATCTGTTTGCTTTTATTGTTTTCATTTCGTGAATCCATTTTTTTGAAGTTGAGGAAATTTTATCAGAAGAGGGCAGTGAAATGACAAACATAAAAAAATATTTTTATGCGACAAAGGAATAAGTATTAAAGGCATGGAAGAAGAAACGAAAGATAAGAGAAGCAAAGTTTTTGTTTAAAGTGCTAAGAACTTCCAGAGACTCAATTCATAGATGTCAAACTGTAATAAAAGTTTCTAAATTGAAATTTAATGGTCCGATTCATGGACGTCTTCTCTGGGTTTTCACATGAGATTTGTGTAGGTATACAATGGCATCGGGCACAACAACCCAATATCATTGTTCACTTACACGAAGGCGGAGAGTTCCGATAAGATTTCTTCTGACATCTCGTACAATAATTCTTCCGCAACTTTTTGGTCCGTGAATTTCTTTTTTATGATTTCATATCTCAGTTCTCACTCACTCGATTTGAGTCAAAGAATCAGAGAATATTCTTTGAACAATTGTTATTCTTCTGCCCCTCGTTCTATCATTACATTTGAAGATAAAATAAAATAAAAAAAGAGAAAACGTACAGAGAGAGGCATCATAACCTGCGGACAGAAATTTACTTGTCGTGAATAAATTATAGCCATGGAAGAAGCATAAAGTTGCGTTGGAACAACAGGAATTAAATGGTCATTCATAAGAGTGAATCTTGATAAAGCCCCGCAAATAAACCTCCCTTTACGCCCCCACATTTTTCGTTGAGGGTCAGAGATATAAGAGATGAGAGAGAGAAAGAGGGAAAAACAATTGATTATATTTTCATCCAGTCGCGCTTTTGTTTGGATAAGAAACGTTTTGGATAACGAAGGCAAACATACAAAGGAAAATTGTTATGATTCTCGAAGCGACAATAACAAGGTGTGGCTTTGAATCTTACTTTGCTTGTACAAATCATTAAATCGCTCTCTTAAGATCGCATGCAAGCACTTCATGCTCGGCTGTAGAATTATGAAACTTTATTTTTTATTGATCGTTCAGTTCAACGCTTATCAAAGCTTTATTGTTCCATTCCACTTTAGAAAAGTTTCATGAGTTCCGCCAACACAGGAAAAATTTTCTTTTCATCTTTTCTTCTTTTATTTTTTTTCTTCTTAATGCTGATTGAAAGAAGAGAGAAGGAAAGCAAGACTTTGGCAGTTTTCTGATTGAAACTCATAATTAAATTTGCTATTGCCTCAAATCCGATTATGCTCGATAGTCGACTTCCTGTCATAAAATACTTTAGCGAAAAGAAGAAGACGATGAAGAGTAGAAAACAAATTTTCATCTTCGTTAGGATGTTGTCAGTCCCTCAAGAGGGAAAAATGAAAAATCAAATTCGATGTCATTAAATTTTCATTCATTTGATCTTGTCAGGAATAAAAAATAAGAAATTTCATCAAAACATCTAAAAAGTTTTATTTCCTTTCTTAGACGACGAAGGCGAGCATTTTGGGTTGAAATTCTATCATTTATTGAATTAAGTCTTTGAATATCAAAAGAGAAAGTTCACAAGCGACACCTCTCTTTGCAATTCATTCAACGATAAACAAGTCAGGAGAGTTCAAGGACAGAATTTCGTTTATTTCCACGAAGTGTTAAAACATGGTGGGATCGACATTCAATTCGCCATTTTCCGTCTCATGTCTTTGATGACATATTGCGCTTTAAGAACGACACCATTGTGTATGAGTGTCCCATTGAATCATGATTCATGATTGACATAATGGAATGTAAAACCTACCGACATGCTCGGTTAATTGTCGGTATTTCCCTTCTCTTTCAAACATATTGTAAGCCTTTTTATTTGTCTTGATTAAAACACGAGGAGAAGCATTGAAGGCGAATCCATTGCTCATATATACATATTTATGTTGGTGAAAGAAGAAATGAAAGGAAATAAACAATAGAGTTGTGAATTTCAGCGAAGGCGGGTGAAATCATTGGACGACATGTGAATGAAAAGGGGAAATTTTAATTTTCAATCCTTTTTATGATCACGAAGCATCAGAAAGATTTGTAAAAGACTTTTAATTAAAAAGAGAGGAATTATCTGTGTAAATACTGAACTTTCACTATGACAAATGTAATTTCAGTAATTAAATTTTTATAAAAAAATTGACACGCCTCACTTGCATCAAATGATTTCCCTCGTTGCATTTTAATTCGCTTTGCGACATGAAAGAAGGTTACCTATTGTACTTCAGTGAATGATTGTTATGTTTTCTCAAGTATTTTCGCACTTAAATTGTTGTTGAAAATTGAGAGAAACAAAAAAGGAACTTCACATGAAATCTACTTGGCATCAAATAAATGTACGATGAATGTTTTTTGTAAATCTTTTCATAATGCAAAGCTTTCACTTGTTTTCGTTCCTTCAACAATTTCATCCCTCAAAAGCCATGAAAATACTTCATTCTCCTTTCATATTTTATATCGTGAAGTGATTCATGCATGCGTGGCATTTACATGAGTGCTTACGATAATGTGTTGATGAGCATGCATATACGTTGTTGATGTATGACAGCTTTTAAAAGATTTGAAACGACTTTGTTTTTCACTCTTTTCTCACCCTTACTTTACATAAGCGAGAAATGGTTTAGTCGAAGGAATATAAGAACAAACACAAGCTTTCAATGCGATTGCATTCGACACGAGATAGGAAAAAGGCGAACCTTTTATTCGCTCCTTTATAATTTATCTAGAAGAGTGGAAAGTGAATATAAAGAATGAAAAACGAACATGTTTGACGACAGCTAAAACATCCTTTAAAAAGAAAATGTTTTCGAGGCTGTAATGGATAATGTAATGCATAAATATTTCTTGTGTAAGCTCTTGACGATAAAAATACTTAAATATGATGAAATTTGAATAGAATATTAACATATAAATCGCATTTCTGTAAACATGATGCGACGTAAAATATATCAAATGCGGCCCTCAAAATAACGAAGTCTTCTATGAAATAAATTTACTTTGGTTTAGTCTTTATAGTCGATGTTGTTGCGACTGTTCATAAATTAAAATCATTTTATGATTCAAATGAGAATTTTTCTCTTTCTTCATATCTGTTTAAGAATGACAAAATTTGTCATTCATTTCCACTTTCTTTCTCTTTTTCTTTCATTATCAGACAAGTGACTGAACATTCTTTCTATCCCCAACGCAATCTAAAGTACACGCATTTATGTTTGCTAAACATATCGCCCATAAAATCAACTCAAGTACATCTTGACTTTTAAGTGAAGTGAAGAGGAAAGAGGCGAGTGAATAAATTGTCTCTCGAAAGCCAACTTAATGACTTCATTTTACATGCAATAAAGTCACAGCAGTTACGGTTTGACAATTTCTGATTAAAGTTATGGAACTTTACGAGTTGAATGAATTTCTGGCTCTTTTAAGAGCGGAAGAAGCTTCGTATATTTATTAATGTGTTTTGGCAATTAGTGCATCAGATGAACAAACAAGAAGAGTCAACATAATTTTTCCAGTTCTTTTCCCGTATTGTGCAACGATAAAGTAATTTCAAAACATGTAGAAAACAAACTTACCGGTATTGCTTCACACATTTCGTAATCACTCAAAGCATCCTCGGAACATTTGTCGAGGTCATGAAGAAAGTCGGGTCGAGGCGGGGGCGGAAGATTAAAAATCGGCGGCGGTGGTCCACAATCATTATCACATTCTATGTCGTAGTCCGATTCGAACATTTCCCACATTCAACGGAAACAAGATTGCAATATTTAAAATAATAATCACAACATAAAGTTATTTGATATTATCGCGGATTATTTGTTTTGTTGTCGGCTTTTGCTTTTGCCTTTTAGCGCACTCCACCATTCCCGCTGGTTGTTACGCGATGCAATAATTGTCAATCAATAGAAGCCTGCAATGAAAAAAAATAATTAATATGTTAATCAATTTCGATGATATTTCAGTTTTATATTCAAATGTCGTAAGGAAATAAGAGAACACATTCCACATCAACGATATGCTATACGGCCACGGTCGAAAGGAGACAAAAGTCATTATAATTTATTGGGCTTTTGGCGAAGCCAATTTTCAGTAATAAAATGCAAATCAAATTATAAACGGTCAAACTTTATTGTGTGCCTATAAGAAGTTGAATGAATATAAAAAAGTTACGTAAAGTCAACCTCAAGAAACGTCAAAGATCGTTGCTTCAAAAGTCTATCAAAATCACATGTTTCGATAAATCATCATGAGCTTTAAATATTTCTTTCTCCTTCAGTCAATCGCTGATATATCATGTTGTCTTGTTGATCAAATATTTATGACTCAATAATAGAAAATTTGAATTCATATAAAACAGCAAAAAATAATTTTCTCAAATAAAGGTTTAACTCGCATTAATATGTTGATCGTAGTAACATAGCAATAGCAAAAAAAAGTGAAAGTTTCATATAAAATTGTTATTAAAAGACTTTGAGATCGCAATTCACTTTTATATTTATTGTTGTCGACTGATTAAATTGTATCTAATAGGCGCGAAGGCAACGCCGACAACCACATTCAATTACAAGTCATATACGATCGAGTGCAAAACGGGCAAAGGTGAATAATGAATGATTGAAAAACAAAAGATATAAATGCAATTACAAAATTATAGTTACATAAAAATAACTGTGGTAGACATAAGAAAACAACTTTAATAAGAATAAACAGTTTGACTGCTCAATTATGAAGTGATCATGAAAAAAATTGATTTCGTTTTGTATTTTTTGTGTAAACGATGGCAATGTTGTAATTTAGATTCGAAATGAAACATGTCACGAATGGTGGAAGTCCATAAATGGAAGATTTCTTTGTTATGCTTAGTCAGTCAGTTCCCATCTGGCGCAAGAAGCATTTGGTGAAATGATGACCTCGACGAGAGGTCTTTGCATTTGAATATTTTTAAAAAGAATTTCTCATTATTATGGTTAATTTATGGTAATAATCAGCGCGCTGTTATATTCACATCACTTCATCTTCTTATTCTTCTTCATCGCTATCATCATCGGGTTCTCTTTGATTATTAGTAAACTTCTGTTAGATGTTTGATTTCCATCTTAGCGTCGAAGGCCTCGTTTTTATTTCTTACATTTTTTTTTGTTATTCAATTCCAGTTGAAAATAGGAACTAATAAAAGAACGAAGGCAGACGAGTGAGAGAAAGAAGCTAAATGATGATTTCTTCATTAATGCCTCACTACGTTATTATCATATCACATAAATAAGTTTTCTTTTTTCATCTTTCTTGTTAAATTACATATTTAGGCAATGGGATTCATCATCAGAGGCCCTGGTACCTCTTCAAATACTCTTTACGCGATGTAGATTTCAAAAAAAAAAAGAATAACTAAAAAGATTACAAAGAATGCGCCAACAGAGCTGAAAGGAAAACGTGTCTGTTTGTAGTCATAATAATTATCATTAATATTTGTTTTTAAATTGGGAACGTTTCGTTGCTCTGCGGTTTTTTTTCTTCCATTCGGAGAGAGGAATAAAGTTTAAAAATGTTAATTCTCTACGTTTCTGTTTGTTGCACAACATCATCGTTCTTAACAACTGGCCACAAAGTTTTTCTTTTCTTTCGTTTCTTTTTTTGAAGTTTATTTTATCTGTGTTGTTGATAGCAAAGAGAGAAAGAAAGAAAGTTTAAAATTGGACGAGTGAAGGAAATCAAATATTTAAATTTTTATAATTTTCTCATCTTCGAAGCTTATTCTGCTGACGAGTTTCATTGAAATTTCAATGGGTTGGATGTATGCTTGAGTGGAGTCACAAGAAATTTTTGCTGATGTCAGATAAGATTTTTGATTGATCAGTTCACTAATATATTCGACTACATGATATTTGCGCGAATATATCATGCAAAAATTAAATGAAATCTTGTTGGGTGTCGATTACAAATTCTCAGAACTATTGAAACTCGTTTTGTTCATTCAAAGTGACGTAATCCCTTTAACATTCCCAATAAAACCTCAGAATAATTCATTAAATAATAAATTGAGTCGAAAATATTTCTGCTTTTAGGATCAAAAGAATTTGTTCAATTTTCTCCAGCATCTTGTTTATAACTTTGATGAAAAAAAAAAACTTTTGCAGAAAATATTCAGAAAAATAGGATAAAATCTTTAAATTTATTCGGATCTTTTTTAAATTTCTTAATTCCTAGGCATCTTGGTCATATTAAATTTGAGATGATGATTATCAAACCTGTTTTCATTCAGTGGCCAAGAGAGAAGTCATAAAAATGCTTTCGATCGAATGAAGAACAGAAAATGTAAATGTTATGTCGTATAAATTGCAAAATGTTCATTAAGGTGTAGCTCGATAATGTCGCGAAAAGAATTTTTTCGTCTCTGAAATTGGATATCAGAAATGCATGGGTCAGTTGAATTATTCACATGATTTATTTCGTACTCCACGTTGCTCCACATTTAAACAATATAAAAATTAAATAAAATCTGAGCACGAAATGTTCCTTTTTTCATTCATTCTTTAAATCAAATGGCTAATGAATATAATAAGTTGTTTGTGGATAATTTATCTACCTTTGAAGCTTAAGAAAAATAAATAAACTCCACTTGTGAGACGATGAGATTACCCAAAACCCAATTATACACTCGGCAAAATCCAATTGAATCTCATTTAAATAGCAGAAGAAAAAAAGTCTTTTGCTCGTTTCGTTCGTTTGTTGTTGAAAGAAGCCCACATATTTCTCCTTATTTTTATTACCTTTTCTGGATGAACGGCACAGTGAAAAGAATTAACATAAATTTCCCAATTTTTTCCTTCCTTCTTTGCCTTAGTTGTAACTGCCAATGTACAGTGACATTCAATTTCGTACAGTTCAGATTTTAAAAGCATTTTAAATAATTGTTGAAATGTCAAGGGAAGGTGAGTAAGGAGAAAAAAAAAAGTTAATTGCCACTCAGAACTGAAGCACCTTTATGTGAAAACGATTTTAATTTTATTTCCTTTTACTATCTTAAGCTTTGAACACGTAACAGACATTAAGTTAGTTCAGTTTTCAAACATCGCACAACAAGTGCCATAAATCCAACTCACAATCAATGATTTACGATTGTGACTGATGGCTAAGTAGATTATTATCGGCTCAAGCAAGTATTTTTACTTAAGCAGGTCATTTGGTCAGGTAATGGCCATTTACCGTCCTTTGACTTTGATTTTATGCATGCAAGTGCTTAAATACTTTCCGATTCATATAACATTGACTTCGAAATTTAAGTATCAATTTTATGCAATATTATGAGAAGACGAGATGACAAAAAAGAAGGAAGAATGATGATTTATGTTGCAATTACCTACGAGTAGAACCAAGATGCAAGCATATGACATTACAAAAGACTTGATGGAAAAAGCTGAGAATTGGAAATGCAAATTCTTCATCTCTCGCAGTTAATAGATGATTGCAATTAAATGAGTTATAATATTTTATTATTTTATGAGATTATTTTTCAATTTATATTACTTTGTCATAAAATCCATTTATTTATATTTCTTGCATTTCCTTCGTTCGCAAGTCGCAAGTCGTAACAAGCACGCGAAATGAAGGAAATGAGAAAGAATGAATATTTGTGCAACAACAATCTAAAAGCAATAAATATAAAATGAAGGAAAAAAATAATTCATCACCATGTGTGATCTACAGCCGCAATTGCAATCGTTATTATTCATGTTTCACTGTTTATAGTATCAGTTTATGCTATTAGAGTTTTATGCTTTAATGAAAGAGCACTTTGAAAGGTAGTTAAAGATCTGATGAATTAATGAGTTTATCTTGAGATCAACTGAAGATTTCTTCTGCATATATGCAAAGTTTGTACAATAAAAGTAAACAAAGCTTTGCAATTAACTAGCTAGTCACCCTTTTATGTACAGAGAAGCATTCTTGAATTGCTTTACCATCAAAAGCATTCCTTACAGATATATTTACATAAGTAAGTAGACAAAAGGCTGGAGACAGAGATTTAAACAAAATTTCTCTCACGTAATGGCAATTAGCAAACGTATGCAAGATTCTTGCAATGAATAAATAAAAGCGAATGAAATTTATCTAGCAATACAGTTTGTTAGCAGCGACTTCGCATGAATGTGCAAAAAGGTGAAATGAAAGAGAAGAAAATTAAGAGACTTCTCATAAATTATAAAATACCGGTGAGGAGCGAACGACGTAAATGCAAGAAGCATCAGAAATTTCCCATGAACATGAAATGATGCATAATGAAATTCTTTTCTTATTTCTTTTATTTAATGTTGCGCAAAATATGAGAGACTTTGTAATGCAAATATGAATGTTGTGAAACGACATTTTTTGCGTAACCTACAGTGTTGTGCATTCATCAAAACATTACGATCTGTCTTTTATTAATAGTGTTTGTAGTTGTCAATTTCAATGAATTGATATTTGACTTGTTCGCAATTGATTATCTTGAGAGTTTCAAATTTCATTTTTTATGGAATTCTTTTGACAATTAAATTGAAATTCGTTATTTTCTATATGCTTGTTTTATGAATAATTTCCCATTAAGACAAACATCAAGTCATGCACAATGGTTGCGTAATGTGAACTTTTTGTTTCTTATTCTAAGAGAAATAATCTCAAGTTTTCCATTTGTGGCGTAGGCAATTAAATCTTTAAAAATGTAAGCAAATAAAGTTTAAGATGAATTTTTCTTTGGCTTTCGTAGTATTTGAACGAGTAAGCTAAGAAGTCATGAACGGATTCACAACATTTCTTCTGCTTTTTCTTATATTTAAGTGGCTGATCCTAATCGGGTTAAATGGCCATTTCATTCGTTTATTTTGCCTTCTCTCTTAAAATTCTCATTTCCCTCCCCCCAGAAGCACTTCTTGAAATTTATGTAAACTACAAACTTCATTTACTCGTTTGGGATGTTCACTTAAAATGCTTTCAATGCAGTTCCGTTGCATGCACGCAAAAAAAACTTTCTGATCATAATTTTACTGCTTGCCTTTGCATTGAAAACCGGACGAAAGTAGCGAAAGGCAAGTTACTTACAAGTCCGAAGATCTTTGTGCTCTATTCAATGATTCGATTTTTTTGCGCTACTCAACAACTGTTTCTGTCTGATTTAAAGAAATCTTTGCTTTTAGCTGGGATGCGCATAGTGTCAGAGGCGATTTAAACTGGAGAAGGAAGCACAAAACAAGCCGATTAAATGAATTGTGTGCTGGGTGTTCTCTTTGATTTCTTTTAATATGCCTTTTTAAGTTCGCTTTTTTCTCTTTCTTTTCCTTTCAAACATTTATTCGACTCTTATTTTCCTTCGATTCAACTTCATCCAAACGTTTGGCAGTTTGAAAACATTGAGCGGAAGAATGTCGAGATGTGTATGAAAATCTTTATTTTTATATCTAATGTCAGAATCCATTGAAACGAAGTCATGTGTGAAGCTCTCATCTCACATCTTCTGAGAACAATTTCATGACCATCAACAAGCGCGTTTCACGAACAATGAGATGAAGGAAAATGTAACGTTGATCTGAGATATGTCGATTGGATAAGTTATAAGATATTGAAGTATCATTTTTAAGAAGGTGATATCTAATACCCATAAAAAATATGTTCCCAAACACTCTTCTCACTGCACTTCCATCTTTTCATTTATTCTCTCTTCTTACTCTGCCTCACTTTTCTCGTCTTCGCTTTCGATTATCATCCATCGATATTCCATGTTGGAAAATAAATTACCATTGTCACGGTGCATGCACACGAAGTTCTCTAAGATTTTGTTTGAAAGAAGATTTGTTTGAACACATACAAGCCAAATGAATACAAAGTTGATTAACAGTGAATTAAAATTCCTAGGCAAATGAGTAACTGTGGGTATATGGTCAGTTAGTATCATCATTACCAATCCAACATTAATCACAGAATGAAATAACTCGCAAGTCGTCGTCGTCGTCGGGTCGACGATGCAAAAAGAAGAAGAGAAGAGAGAAAAGTTCTTTTGAAAGCAATTTATATAAAATAAATCCACAAGCTCGTCAAAATCAACTTCAGGTGGAAGTGGAATGAAAAACAAATTTAAAGTTCGCTTCTTTATTGCTCTCTGAGTTTTGTTTGCTCACGATGAAAGAAAAAAACAGAAAACGAAAAAAAAACTTTGATTTCTTTTATGCAAATGTAGCAAATTTTCAGTTTCTTATCAAACGCAATTTTCAACCTAACAATTTTTGCTCGCTGTGCGCGATTTCACCGTTTAAATAAACAAGCGACGATCGTTCTCTTCTTTTTTGGTAGATGGATGGATGAAATGAACATCCACGTTCACAAAAAGTCAGACGAACATGCACGTTTTGCTGTTATGGTCTCTTTGTATGTAAATATTCACTTGATGTGTACATAAAAAGCGAATATGAAAAGTACATATTTGTTCCATTATCAAGAGAAAATCAATGTTGCTGCGTCGTTATCTCATAAATTATTAATTTCTTCAAGAACTCAAGTCTCCGGAGAAGGAAGCAGAATGGGAAAAAGATGTCAGTTGTGGTTCTCTCTGTCTTCCTTTCTTTTCTTTGCGGTTGCAAGAATGAAAGAAAAGTTTTTATTTTGTTCTTTTCTTTCTTCTTTTCGCTTACTTAAGACGCTCCAGTCTTAGTGTCGTTTACAAAACATCGGCTTTTGAGCGCTTCTTGCAAAATTTATGAAAACAAAAGAAAAAGTTGTTTTCAAACAATCGCCTCAAAGCATCGATAAACCTACGCACTTTATTGTTTAGGTTTAAGTTGTCCAAACATTTAGGCGGTGTTATGAGTTCCAAGAAGACACCGACAGTTGATTATGAACGATAAAAGTTTATAAAATAAAATTTATCAGGTTAAACCTGATGAAAGTTCATTTAAATGTTTGGGAACGAAATAAAGTTTGTGCATGTAAATGGATCAAATATGAAGCGAGTAGGCTTTCACCTTCACATTGTCAAATTTTAACTTTCTTAGAAATTTTTACTTGCAACGACCAAGTCATCAATGTTGGCAGCAACTCTACGCTTATTCATCACCCGTCTATCTCATTGCACACACAATGAGCGCCGAGCAAGTGCTAAATGATGGCTCTATTAGCTTTAATTTACATTTATTGTGTATACACATCAAAGGTAAAAGAGCCGAGAAAAAAGTAAGCGTTATGCAAATTGTTAAAATCCCCATTCAGTTTAAATGCTTCGATCGTTTTTGCATTATAATTTATTCCGCCACACCAAACAACAGTCAAGCATCCAGAGAACAGATTTTCACATAAAATTTAAATTTATGTATGAAAAAAAGTGGAAAAAAGTAAACGAAAGAATCTCAACGACTCAAAGATAGGAAGAAGAGGTGTAGAGAGTGAAAAAGTGCTCTGATTGAGTCGACGAACGTGTGTAATTTAGTAGTTCTTGACACTTGATATATGGCAGCATTGGGTTGAAAAATATATTTCACACTCAATCGCCGAGTGTTACAGGTGATGTGGAATCGTTTAGCATAAAATATTTCCTCCTGTTTCCAACGTTCCACTCGTTCCTCCTGGAGAAAAAAACTTGACTACAAAACTTTTATATTTATGCAAAGTGAATTCCATTATGCTTTGAAGTTTTTGTCTTTGAAACTGTTTATGATTGAATGTTTCTTTGTTTCTTATCTACAGCTAAGAAATTCTTAAATATTATTACTTAACAACGACATTCTTTCTGATGTCATCGCAACTTGTGAATTGATACTTCAAGTGCTAATGTTGTGTCTTAAATTCAAATGTCATTCACACTTAATATCTTGCCAATATTTGTCATGAATGTCTCGACTAATCACTCAGCAAAGTTTAGTGTGCTAAATTATCTTTTCATCATAAGTAAGCTCATAAATATTTGTGAATTGACTAACAATGTCAACTAAAACTCGTCGTCGTTGCAAACATCGTTAAAAATTTTAAATCATCTCAGCATGTATTTATACAAGTAAGCGATTAATGTTGGAACGAATAAATATTTCTTATCACTTTTCCCCTCCTTATTGTAGCTTATACTTAGTCAGATGCTATTTTGCATAATGTAAATAAATCAGCATTCGAAATGCATCGGAAACTTTTATTTTTTTAATGAAATGTCGATAAATGAAAATAAATAAATTTTTCTCGATATGAAAATGAATGGCGGTGAATATTTATGATTTGATGTTTTATTTTATTCATCTTTGAAACAGGTTCTTCTTCATGACGTTTAGTTTCTCATTCGCTTTATTTTATCTCTTATATATTTTTTCGGTAAAGAAGTTATTTATAGCGTATTTGGATACAAGATGAACGAACACATATTACAATGTTTTCCGAATCGAAGCAGAAAATAAAAGAGAAATAAAGCGACGACGACGATGGGAGAAAGCGAAAGAGAACCCATAATTGTGAAAATCCCTATATTTCTACAAATATGTTTTTTTTCTGTATAATCTTCGGGATTACACTATTAGAATACATTTAAGTCGGGGGCTTTATGTTTATGCAGTGTAAGAAAATCACCACACACAATATTATCTGCTTTCGAGACTTGATTCCTTACTTAGCCTAGCTAAGGTATTGATTTTACATTTTAACACATGTTTCTTGCCCTCTTTCACCCGTCCGTCCATTCATCGTCTAACTATAAAGCCTTTATTGGCCTAATACTTTCCATGTCTTTAGCCGTGCGAGATGTTCGCAATGTTTCTCACCGAAACTCGTATCCGACTGTTCGTTTAGTCGACCGAAACTATGAGCGGTAATGAAAATTTATCTCTATTTGCGTATGGATTTTGGATCTGAAGGCATTGGATGTTCACAGAGCACAGTTTGATTATTATTGTTTTTATAGGGCGATTCTAGAAACACCGAGTCGTGACACGCAAAAAGAATGATGGCGAGGAAAGGGCGACGAAGATGCCTAATAAGATGAAACAACAAAACCTTTGGCAATATCACTTTGAATGATGATTCGTTTTATGTTTTCCCTTCGTTTTTTTTGCCATCTTAAAGATGTTAAGAAAAGCGAGGAAAATCTTTTCTGGCTTAATAAGATTATTCTAATGAACGTACGATGGAAATTAATTTTTCTATTCTTTCATGCGATATTTCGCTCCCTTTTCACTATCGCCAACGACTCTGTATTGTGGTTTGTTATGCTCTGAATCACTGACATTGAACAATCAGAGCTTAAGAAAAAGACGTGAGATGAATTTAATAATGATTTGCCGTCTATTTTTGATCCATTCTCCATTGATGAAGAATTTCAATTGATAAGTGAAGATGTTGAACATAAAATGATACTTTTCAAAGTTTTCCAAGATTCCTGTAGGTAGTTCAATCATCTTACGTTACTCATTTTCAAGAAATAAAACGGAATTTGAAACTTTCGTCACTCTTTCTTATTCCGTTCTATATTATAAATTAAAGAAGAAAAAAGCAATCTTCATTCTTCACTTTTTCATTCTTCAATTTCTTTTGTCGTTTACGAGTCAAGTCATAGCAGCAGCAGCAGCAGCACTGAGTTATGTAAGACGAGCAGAAAAAGAAAGAGAAAAATTAAAATTAAAATTAATTCCATTCATTTGGCACAGGAGTTTTAATTTCCTTCAACTACTCGTCTTTTGTTATAGAAAATATCATTCAGCTAAGACAACGAAGGTTCATTTTCTGCTCAAGCTTAGTCATAATGTTATTTCTTTAACTATCTTCTCGGAGACAAGAGTTTTCGCTTTTATTTCAGTAAAGTTTTCATCTTCTATTTGAGTATGTTTTGGAGTTGAATTAGAAGCGAAGGTAAAAATAAAGAATAAAAAAACAAACGAAATCATTAATGAGAAACTTCAAATAATGTGATAATTAGCTGCCATGTTCAGTTTTCGTTAAAGTTTTCATTTCATTTTTTCTCTTTTTCATAAAACTAACTTCAATTCTCATTTCTTCTTGGTGTCGCATTCACTGCTGCTAACTTTTACTTCGTTATTTTGTTGTTTAAGTAACAAATTACTCTGTCATGTTTGCTGCCTCGTTCACCATTTAAACGACAATGAAGCCCCATCTTGCTCGTTGTTTTTGAGACAAATCATTAATTAATTTCAAAATAATAATAGGAATCCTAATGAAGACTGTTGCGATTTTTTACCACGATGTTTGAATCCCTCTCGATTCAAATTGAGAAGAAACAAATGCTTTATAATGACCGCAAACAATTCATCATAATTTCCTTTCAACTTTTTTTTTCCTTTCCTTTGGATAAAATTTACGTGAAGTAATAATAAAAAGAAATAATTAACAGCGATTAATGTTGCGAAAAAATAAAAAAGAGAAGCACAGATGTGACATCGTTTGCAGTCTTAATGAAATCAAATGTTCAACGAATGTTCGACAGACTCGAACTTGCTTTGCTTTTGTTATTAAACTAAACGATTCCCAGGTTAAAAATGATGGAGAAAAAAGTAACAGAGTTAAGAGCAAATGTGAAATATCATGGTAGAGCAGAAATAAAAGTCTAATTTCACATAATCAAAACAAAAGAGTCTCGTAACAATTACTCAGAAAGCGATGCCGATGAAAAACCTTAAACATTGTTCAATTTCCAGTAACATTTTAGAACTTTTTTTTTTTCAATTTCACGTTTTCTTTGTTTAATTTCTTTCTCGTTCACAGATTACACAAAGTCTTGAAGCGAATATTTTTTTTTCAGCCGCTACTTTTCGGTCTTGAGAAGTTAAAATAAAAATATTGAAAGGAACGAAAGAAAAAAAAACTGTTTCAGTTAAGATGCAGATTGAATAAATTTGTTATGGTTGTCGTTTTCGCTTAATTGAATAAAAAAAGTCCATGACAACCCAAATTTCCCTTTCGTAATTCGCTTTTCTTTCTTCTCTCCAACAATTCTCCCGTTTATTGTCAACAACTGTCTAGCCTTCGTCAAAAAAAAATTGTATTTACTTCTTTCTCACTCTTTTGTGCAACTAAAATTGTTCAATTTTTTTTTTTCTTTCGTATTTCACAATTCCATTTCAACTGTCGTGCGTTTTGGTGTCGATTGAGAAGCTTCAATTTTCAGCGTATCATGAAGGGCGAGAAAAGTAAATTAGTGAAATAATGAGTTTTAGTTCATTAAGTTAAATCTAAAAGTAGTGGAAAGACGTGAGAAAACTTAAATAAGTAAACCATAGCTAATCAACTTATTAATCTTCTTAATCTCATTGCGAGTTTAAATTTTGTTTTATCTGTTTTTCAACACTATTGGCATTGTTTCCATTTCAAATAAATCACAAGAAACTTTCAAAAGACAATAATGAAAATTGAGTTAAATTCAATCTTGCTACGGGAAGTGAAATGGAAAATCTTCCGTTGTGCCAAAATAAACAAACATTGAAAGAGATTTTTCCTTCTAATGACTTTTCTTTAATAAACAATATTAAATTTAATACTTTCGCTAAATCTACTCTGACTGGTTGCGGTCTTTATACATTGTTTGTGTTTCCGAATCGAACACGTTGTGATCAAATAACATTATTATAGATTAAATCTCATTTTTCGACTCATCATTTAATATTTTTCCTGTTCCTCAATTTTCTACATTAAACGATTATGGCAAGTAAATAATGAATCAATTGAGAAATATCTTGAATAAACAAATTGCTCAGATGTTTCTGATGTTTCACTGCTATGAGGGGAATTGAATCGCAAGAAAAAAGTGACGTTTGAGTGAAGAAAAGCGAAATGAAAATTTATTTGGTTTTCTAGTCAAACACGACACTGAGCACATGTTGATTATCTACATTTATCTCATGTTTCTTTCGAAATATAATTTGTTTTAAAACGTTTTCTGTTGTTTCATAGATCGATGACTGATGATGAGTAATGGCGTGTTTAAAATAATAAAGGAAAGCAAAGGAAAATATTGCATTTAACATGCACAATGTTGCATCTTTTGATGACTTTGCAGATTCACAACAGGTGATGAATCTTTCTTAAAAAAATTATTTTTGCCCAAAAACAGTTGTCAACCCACAAAACAGCAATTTTTGGCTTCATATAGGTTTAAATATTTTTTTTCCTCTTCTTGAACGTCTCTTTACCATCAACAATGAATCGATGAACAAGAAAAAATGTTTTATTCATATTATTTTTTATTCAAACAATTCACATTCGTCTCTGTGACAGATCGCAAGTTTTTGTGAACCATTGAGAAGTTTTTTACTTGCTTTTTCTTCTCAATCAAATCTTTCTTTGCATTAAATCGTTTGATATGACTTTGGAAGTTTGGAATACGAGCATTTCTTATAACATGAACAATGATTTAGTCTTCCTCTCGGATGCCTTTACATTAATGAATCATTAGAGTGATTCATGTAGAGTGAAACTGAAATGTTGCGATGAGAAAACAGTAAGAATCTAAGTAGATTTGAAAGTAGTTAAGATATGTATGTAGTTACGAGGTCACTTTCATAGTTGCCAGGTTAATTTATGCTGTTAATTGAATATTTTGATGATAGTTATTGTGGTTTAAATCAACCGCAAACAATCTAATGCCTTTTAAAATTATTCGCTGCTTAACTTAACTTGGGAAGATTTCTTAGACCCCCATCGAGTTTACAGTTTCATTTTAGATCATTAAGAAGTTCAAGAAGTTTCAGTTATGTATGGTGTTGTTTTCAATTCCATCACTGAATTTCAACAACATTGTTCAAGGTTTCTAACTGATCTTTTGATGTAAAGCAGAACAATCCATTGATGTACTCGACCAACATGTTTCAGACCTTTTTAAAAATTATGCGAAGAAAAAAAATTGCATTGTCGAAATAAAATTACTTTTTCAATGGTGCATCATTTTCCCTGCCTCGATTTGTTTTAACGAAAACAGTTTTTTCATTTTGACTTTATTTATTTTATATTCGAACTTCATCGTAATGAATTCCGTTTTCAAAAATATATTCCAAACAACTTTTTTTTTCTTTACGGTCAACTAACGTGCATTAGCATTGATATTCAGAATTTATTCGATTCATTTGTGTTCCCAAAAAATTTTTTATAACAAAAAATGCATGAACAGACACACACATAATGAAAAACGATCAAAAAACCAGCAGAAGTTCCATGAAATTGGTCACAGAAAAAAAACTGCTGTTGTGCCTCCTAACAAAAGGCTAACAAAAAACGATATAACGACGACAAAAAAGTTAACGTGAATTCTTCTCCAAATAAAAAAAAAGTTAAAAAATCGTCTTGTCGTTCAAGAAAATGTGCAAAAGTTGTGCACGAACTTTTTCTTTCTTTGAAATTTAAATGTCTTGTTCGTCTTATTCTCGATGTAATCTCTTTTATTTTTATTTTTTCAATTTGAATCTAATTGCTTAATGTCATGTGAAAAACAATTTTTTTTCTGATTTCTATGACTCATTATCACGACGAGTGGTAACAGCGAACGAAGGTCCAATTTTCAAGAAAAGAAATAAAAGCTGACCACCGAGACTATTAGCATATATACACATATGAGTAATGGTAAATAATCACAACACTTACATGGTGTTGAATTGAAGCAGTTTTTAAGGGGAGAGAGAATATAACAAGCATTACGACCTGTTTGCGGCTCACGGTATTGAAGTTGATCGAGGTGCTAATTGGAAGCGGATTCGAGGTTCTTAAAACGAAAAACATTTCTCTACAACATGATTGCCTTAGCCGCTGTTGCTGTTGTTTCACTCGTACAAACAAAGAAATTATTCCTCATTATTTTGATAAACTCATGAATGAATGAATGAATGGGAAGAAGAATTACAGCACAGCGGATGAGAAGTGTATGTGGAACATTGTTGGGCAATTTTTGGACGTTCACATAATTGTTCCTTCAACCGTATGTTTCACGCCAGGGAGTTCTCTTCTAAATAGGTTACAAACATTAAGTTTCTACTTACATTATTACGACTGTTTGCCTTCCTTCGACCACTGAACTGATGATTGTTTTGAGTCTTCTTTTTTTCAAGCCGCTAATCAAGGTTAAACTCGCGGTAATTTCGCTTTGCGTGCAAATCCAATCGAATAATCCAATTAAAAAAAAGAGAAAATAAAATTTCTTTTTTTCTTCAAAACTGCATGCAAAACTTCTCTTTCAATTCGCAACGCTTGATGTAAATTGACTGTTTTTGTAGCCCATTAACTTTAACAGCACATAAGGAATTGCAACAATGCAAGCAATGTTATTAAGTAAACATAAGAAAAACAACTTCGGGTGCTTTTACCAAAGACTAAAACATAACGAATTAAAAGATAAATTGTTCGACTTGTCTCTTGTTTCTTTTCGTCGGCGAAAAAAAAATTTCTCACAATAAATCACCATGAAGAATGCATTTAAAATGAAATTAAATCAACTTAGATAACTCGACAGCGCGAAACACTCAACGAGTTCTTTTTATTTTGAAATTTCTTAAAGTAAACTTAAACTATTAAAGCAGAGAAACAAAAATGTTTATCTCTTCCTGCGCACTCACACACACAACTAATATTTTTTTTATTATTATTTGCTTAATTTATTTCAGTTTATTTTTTATTCTCGTGTAATTAATTTATTTGAACGTTTTTTCTTTTATTCTACTTGAAAACGAGGAAGGAAATTTTTTTTATTCGGGTTTGGTGCTGAATTTATTTATTTCTGTTTTCTGTCGACTTTTTGTTATGATAAAAAATGAACTTCCATTATTTTTCAGCAGAAATTTCTTCCTTCCTTTAAAGAAATTCCCATTATTTGCTGCTCTCTTTTCTGTTACTTTTTTTCTATTTTGCTTCCTTATCATACACACCGAGACGAAAACATAAAATGATCCTTCTCTGCTTCTTCAGTCTCAACAGCAAAAAACGCCGAAACAGAAAAAATGAATTTAAAAAAATTTGAAGGAGAACCAACAGAAAGAAATTATGTTTTATTTATTTTTCCATATTTTTTCGCTTAATATCTGTTTGTGCGTATTTTCTCTCGATTTGTCTTATAAACCTATTCTGGTTTAACATAAAATAACATTAATTTCTTCCGTTTTTAATCCACGAAAATTCTTTTAAGCGGCACCCAATTTTCACTTATTTTAATTTAATGCGAAATTTATTCCGGAATTAATTCGCAATTTTTATTCACGTTCTTGTTATCACGGCTTTTCTTCGATTAACACTAAACTATGTTGTAGACTCTTTTCATTCACGTGAAGCATAAAACTGATAATTGAGGGAAAAATGTTTTCTGATTGTTCACATTTCTCTTCGACTCGCGAAATAAAACAAAATTGTATTCACGTCTTAAGCTCATTCGATACGAAAGCGATCAGTACAAACGTCTGATCACCACGAAGTTTTTCTACGATCTGAATAAGCATTCGCGCTCTCGCAATTGTTATTCAATATTATGAAAAGAGGAAAAGAAAAAAATTGTATAAGCGACCGTTAGTAAAGTCAACCAACGTTGGGTTTTAGTTTCATTGGATTGATGAGAGAGAAAATAAGTTTTTTTTTTCTGAGAGAAAAGCTAAAGAGAATTGAGAGAGATGAGAGCAGCATATATTTTGTGCATAGATATTTTATGCTGCTCATGCGTTCAGGTGTGAGAACTTTTTGTTCTTTCTTATCTATGAGTTATAGCTGCTCATATATTTTATGGACATCAAATTAACCTCAATTACCAGTTCACTTGATAAGGTTAATGTTGCATAAAGGGATACTTTGATAAATAATTAATGAAATGTGCTGTATTTATTATTAATTTCTTGGAACACTTTATATTGTTGAACATTCTTTTCCAAGAACTTCCCACAAGAAACACACTTTGTTATTTACATTCGTCAACTTTCAAGAAATCTGTTGAATACCTTCTGCCCAAGCTTATGCCTTAACCAAGTTTAAAGACTTCTTTCTCTCTCTGTCTTAAAATGAGAGCATTTTAATCATCAATATCTCTCACAGTTCATCATCATCGTCATCAAACCGTCATTGAATTAAAATCACTGAAGTTTATACAGCAAAAAGTTTTGTTTCAAGATGAGTAGAAATTTTAAAATTTGCATCGTGATCAAATCTGACATCACCTAAAATGGAAGCTTGAAAACTAATGCATAAATGAAAAGTTTAATTTAAATAAATTGATGCTTAGAAACAACAAAAGAGTCAGATAAAGTTTAAACATTTGCATCACCTTAATATGAATGAACAAGTATTGCACTTTAGTCAGGTTTCTAATGCATGTGACATAATTTCATTACACAGATAATGCTTGAGAACCTAACATACAACATCGCTTTTCATACTTCTTATCATTTCACAGTAAAAAAAATAATTCAAAAATACTTCAAAACTTTCAGCCAACACATGAGCTAACCACACATCCATTGCGAAACATGTTTATGTACGATGAAGTTTTCAGAATGTTTTTTGATAATTTTTTTTCCTTCTTGATTATATTTTCGTGTGTAAATTTGACGCCATTCACAGGGAAACAAGGAAAAAAAATGAGAACAAAATCAACAACCGTGAAACGAAAAATTCTCATATCAAACTTATGACAGCATAAAACTTGAAGCAGTGTACAAAAAATAATGTTTTAAACTTTTACACCCATCATCATATATCAAGAAATGCTTTTAGATGGAAACAATAGCATAATATGGAGCGTGTTGCAAAAGGATTTCCAGTTTGTACAAGAGTTTAAAATATGAGGATGTTAGAAATGAAAATTTGGTAAGTAAGAAATTTCTATTCTAGATTAAAGATTAAAGACAGAAAGGGTTATGAAGGCAGAACACCACCTTTCTCGCTATCTAAACAACAGAGAATTTACAACTGTGCGATAATCAAATAGAATAGAAAGTTTCAAACACTTTTTTCTTTATATTAAATTTCACCCCTTCACATTTTCGTTCAATTCAAATTATCTTTTAAAGTTTTCTCCGCAGTCACCTCGCTAAAGGGTTATAAATTAAACAAAACAGTTAAGAATTACTTGCAAGAAGAAAACAAGAAAATGAGAATTAAATGAACCGCCATTTGGCAACCGTCATATTATGAAAAGTGACATGAGAGAATTTAATTTCGTGAAATGAAAACGCTATGCGTGGGTGTTGAAGGATTTGTTTTTGTACAAATAATTTTAATTGATAGCTGTGAGAAATCATTTTTATGCAAAATAACCATGAAGAATTGCTTTATAGAAAAATTCTTTTTATTAAAATATTGCGTTGAACAGTAGAAAAAGTTTTTTGATTTGGTATGAGGTTAATAGGATTATAGCAATAAAATTTACTCTACCATCATGCCATATTTTGTCACCGACAACAAAAATCATTTCAGGATATCGTTAGGTTCTTAAAATTGTATGCATTGAGTTTTTTTACACATTGCACATGGTTTTTATTCACAGTGTCGTTTGAAGGCTTGCGATCTATCCCCTAAACTTAAATGCAAAGCCAGCCATGAAACACAATAAAGAGATAATGTCCTTATGGTGTTCTTTTTTTCCTGCTGAAAGCGAATTAAAAATTTATGTTTTGATGAAATTTATTCAACTGATTGGATTCCGCATATAAATTCAAAGCGAGTAAATTGCGTTGTTCAGCCTACGAACAATGGCCCCCGAAAAAAAAATGAAAGGATTTTCATGAAAATATATTTGGCTATCGATGCGGCAGGGGTTTTTCAATAAACTCTTCCTTATAGGACGCCTATGTACATACATCCAGATATGTGTACATATAAAAGGACTTAGCACGCCATAAATTGTGATTTAAATGATGAACAAGTATTGAAATGTTTGGCTTACAATGCGAAGAGTATGTGGAAGTCTTGTATGATGAAGAATTTTGTACAATTTTCCTTCAATGTTTAATTCCATGTTTTTGTTGAATCTGCTTTAATATTTTTTTTTTGTGAATGCTGTCCATATGTTTGTTTTGTGTTCACGCTTATGTTTTTGCATCAAATCGATTGTTAACAGATGAATGAATGTAAGAATGCAACATAATCGTGCATGTTAAAACGTTCTATTCATAAATCCATGATTGAGGATAATCATTGAATACTGATTCATATCGCAATGCATACAAATGACAATCTAAGGCATAAAACGAATGATCAACATCAATAATTTTCGCACTTTACCATCCGGCACTTCAAATGATGTTTAAAATAAAGAATATTTGTAAACACGATATAAAATGCTTCAGCAATCGTTCTGAATGACAAATTTTCAATAGAGCAATTATCGTCGAATAATGCACAGCATTTTAATTCCTCTCGTTTCCTCCTCTTCATTATTTATTTTCTCTTTGCTTTAACTTCTATTTGGCAATATGAGGGAAAATAAATGAAAGGAGTTTATCACATTTTAGCATCGAATATTTAAGTTTTTCATTCAACAATAACAAGCCAACATGTAGCAGTTTCTTAAACTTATATTCATGTACGTACCTTCGATGGGGTTAATTAGACAAGCGGGAAAATATTTCATTATAACGCTATGGAATGTCTCAAGTGCTTCATTCAAGGAATCTCGTTCTACTAAACTCGAGTGTTTATGATTTTATCTTGTCGACACGTCGAGTGCACAGCGCATTTCTTTCAAACTTTCAGAAATATTTTTGTTTCGGGTTGACATAAGAGGGGAATCATTACTGTCGTTATTCAAAATTCAGGAAATTTAATAAAACATTTTAAAAAATAGTTATGTGAAGTGCTTTGGGCATGGCAATCAAAAATTGCTTTTGTGTCGTGATTTTGAGATGTTTAAGGGCTTTTGCAACATGCGTTGTGATGGTTAAAAAACTGATGGAGGGTTGCAAGTTCCTTTTATTGTTTTCATAACTTCCTTTCATCACTCGATCGAGTGCTAAATTTTATTACTTTTACCAAATTGAATTAAAATCAACAATAGCATGTTGATTAGAATCTTCGTGAGCAAACGGAGGTTCCTCCAGTCGTTGATGTGGAAAAGAAAAAAAGAAAAGAAGGAAAATTTGTTATTTCAATCTCAGCTTAACTGAACCGTAATGAAGAAGTGAAAGAAAAAAAAAGTGTGAACATTTCGGTGATGCTATTGATTCAATCATTCAACTAGAAACGCTTTATCATTCAATTGAAAAATGAATTTGCCGGATATTAAATAAATATTCACATTGCTTCGTCGTCTGTTGTTGTCTGCTGTTTAATTTAATCAAAATTTCATTCGACTATGAAGTGTTCTTTCAATTTTCATTTCATTCTTCATCATGTTCGGAGAATTCTTCTTTTAAGAAAGAAGAGAGAGATAGGAAAAAAGACTTTTCACTTCACAAGTGACCACCAGAGAGATTCAATGGAATTAAAATATTTTTTGTTTCTTCTTGCGATGACTTTGAGTCTCAATATTGCTGTTAGCATAACTACGCCGATGAACGGAGGAGGAGAACAAAACAAAATCTGATTTGTCATTATTTCAAACAACAAACAGTCGATGTTGCTACTTTTCGATTTTCTCCACCGATGCGCGGCTAGACTGCAACGAAAAAGCAGTAGAAAAGAACAATTAAAGTGTAAAATTCGTGACAATATAATATTACTTTTACGGAGTTTCCTTTAAATCTCAGTTTAAAAATCTTTCAAGTTTCTTGTTCTTACTCTTTACATTTTCTTGCCTTCTGCCGGTGAACAATTTCTGTTGAAAGAATCTTGCAAGCGAAATCGTTTATATGTTCCAGTTAAATCACTCGCTTTGTCCAATATTGTGTTGAAAGAAGTCAGAAATGAAACTTTATCGTAAAACTGAAGAAAAAAAACTTAAGCGAAAGAAGAATTTGAAATCATCTCGAGAACTTTATTTCAACTGGAAATTATAAATTGACAACTGGGCGCGCAAAGACAACAGCGTTTCAGCCTCGATTGAGAGGAAGAAAAAATATTGCTGAAAATATAAAATTTAATGAATTAAAATTTGTTTCTCGCGAAGAATGTGAGAGCGAGAAAGACAACAGCAAATTATTCGTTTTATCCAAAAATGGAAGAAAAAAAATATACAAAAGATGAAGAAGAAGGAAAGCTGAAACATCAGCAATTTATTGCCTTACATCTTCATTAAATACGTTTATAGGACTTAAATGTTTTCAGCAAAAAGTGATCATAATATTTCATGATGCGCGATGGAAACGCGAAGAGAAATCGTTTGTTAAATGTTTTGCGTCTAAATATCTAAATAATTTATTAGGAAGTCACTGTTAAAGCCATATGGTGAACAAATTAAGTTCTTCGAACCATTTTTCTGAACATTACTTTTGTGACAAAAGACTACATCAATTTTCCTTGCTTTTGTCATCATCACCAGGCTAAAAGTTGTCATCTCAGGCCTTTATCGCCCTCCCAACGATGATGAAAACAAAGAAGAAGATCTCTCGAAATTTGTATGATTGTAATCGCACACTGATCATAAGTTATAACACCATTTCAGCTTTTTGATTGCTTTTTTTCATTCTTTTTTTTACTTCTCCTGTTGTTTCGATTCTCACCGAAAGTAGCATCTCAAAGATGAAGCAATTTTCGGAGAAGATTCAAAGAAGAATAAGAAAACAAGAATAAGAAATTATCTATTTTTCTTTCTTTCAACTAATAAAGAATTGATTTTCGACTCTCATGACTGGTGTCTCAGGACAAACACATGATAGGGAAGAAAATAAAAAAAATTACTTCATTCTCGTCTTGCTTCATGTATTTTCATTCGAAGCATCTCGGAGGTACCGAAAAAAAAACCAGAATTGTAAGAAATTCAAGGGCAACTTATTTTGCTTTGTGCGCTCACAACAGCAGCAGATTTTTGGTGTGTAGACTCATTATTGTTGTTGGGTTTCGTTTCATTTCTTCCTATTGCCTTCTTTTCTTTTTCTTCTCTTTGCCAAACAAAGCATCTTCATCATATGTTACAACTTAATGATTAGTTTTTAATACGATTTTAACCAGAAACAGAATAAGTTGAGGCACCAAGCAAACGTGGAAATAAAATGCATATCCAATAGATTGAGTTGTTTCCTTCTTCTTTCTTTACCCATCACCATTCATTATTGTTCTCATGATCTTTTATGCGCTAATTTTATGATTTATTCTTCATAGACGATATGCTTGTTATGAGTCGTCTTCAGCCGTCTAATCTTGTTGAAAATTAAGAATTTTTAAAAATTGAGAACATGTGGCTTATTAGGCGAAAAAAAAAGAAGGAGGAGGAAGTTTAAAGAAATTAGTTTTCATGTTTTCAAAGCAGAAAGATAACAACTTAGATGTATGTATACACTTATCTTTCTAATAATAAATAATAAAGTAAAAAAATCCAATCGCGTCTGCTGTTGCTGTGAAGTCGACTCAAGTCTTTACACTTAACCGGCTGATAATAGATAATATCTTTTATGCTTCCATATTTTATGATTTTAAATTATTGGATCTCTTTCCATGTTTAGAGAATTTATTATATTTTTGTTGCCAAAAAGCTGTTCCTTCGGGGTGCTAAAATGGGATGCATTTGTGAATGATGTGCAAGTTTAAATTGATTGAAAAGTTCACCTTTTAAATGTTTATTGTCAAAATTAAGAAACATCCCAAGAAATAAATTATTAATCCATGCATTGCTTCTGCGCTTACAATAATTTAAGATCAAACTTTGAAGAGTTATTACTTTCGATCTCCAGGGAAAGAATTTCCATATCATTATTGATGCTTATTCTTCCACACACAATGAAAGGATTCGTTCCATTGTTGGAAACCTGATCCACTTAGAGTTGAAACTGAAAAACTATAAGAAATTTATTACCCATTTAAGATGTGTAAGAGAAATAATAACTCAATATAATGTGAAAATGTGGATTAAACTTCTTTTTCTTCTTCTTTTTTTCTCTTATTTTATCGTTTGATTCTGTTGATGTTATTATTATCTTTAATAACATTCAGATTTATACTTTATCTGTTGTTTCGCATCCAAAAGAATAAATATCTATATTGATGCCATAAATATGTTGTTATGAAGCGGTTATGAATGTTTCGTTTAACTCAAAGAAATGAGGATTGAGAAGTGAAGTAAGAAATAAAATGAAAAAAGTCGACTACGACATCCTAACATAATCGCATTGAAGCAATTTACAAACAACAACTAAGAGAATTTATTATTTTTCTTTCTCAGCACATAAAAGGTTTAAAAGATTGATTTCAAGTTAATAAATATGTTTCTTCTTGTTCTTTTAAGAAAAATATTTTCTTATGTGCTTGTTTGGAATAAGCGACGAGAGACAATATTTCACATTCTTTACAAACAAGTTTATTCAACATGTTATGATCGATGCTCAAAAATTAAAATCTCAAACAATTGACGTGTAATTTATCCACTCGGGCAAAGCATTGTTGAGCCGTTATCATGTTCAATTCTTCTTGGAAAGAAATGTTTCGTTGTTTTTTATTTGTACCGAATCGAGAAGAATGTTTTTGGACAATCAGGTCGCTCTCTCCATTACCTGTTCCTATGCCAAAGATAAATTCTCGTAATTATTCTTAGCGCACTAACCAGTTCTTACATTCTATTGACAGATGATAAATAATCTGTCATAAATTATATTTTATTAGTTTTCAACACTCTACTTGTGTTTTTCTCTTATTTTTGGATGAAGTGTAATGATCTGGAGATATTATAACTTGCGTCGTTACTTAAATTCTCTTTCTGAAGTCGACTCGTTTGCTGTGAGAAAGAGAAGTGTTATCGATAGCGTGTAATCAGCCATTTTTCGCCAGTTTTTTATTACGAAATAAATATCACTGGCGAAATTATGACAATTCCGAGACTATAATCGCGGTTTCATTATTTAATGAGAAGAAAGGGCAAAAAAATATTTTCGTCTCTTTTTTCAATCTTTTCTCTGAAATTTTTCAGTTTATGAGATCAAACGAAACATTCTTTCGTTGTATTCATTTAAGATTCAATTCTATCCATTTTCAACTCTTGATTGATATTAAATTTCAAAATTTTATGCATTCGAATTTAAATTTATTGTTTTTAAAGTTTCCTTGCGTATTTAATGTAACGTCTTGTCTGTCATCGAAAGATTTTTTTTGACTTTTGATTTGATCGAATGAAAAACCTGTTTTTTAAGTGCATTCGAAATGTAATAAAAAAGTTTAGTCAACTCATAAAACAGCAGTTTAAATGTTTTCACTGTTGTGACTTCATTCGAGATTCTTTTTAGATTTTATTTTTGCTTTACAAAAAGGAAGAAAAAAAACTGATTCAGTGAAAAGATTTTTTATTCTTCTCTTTTCAACTGTTTTGTTTGCTGTTCTTTCCATAAGTATTGGTAAATCATCATCATCATCGATATAATAAAATAAAATAACGAGAACTCAATGGACAGGTACTTAACAGCAAAACAGCTACTTGTTTGATGCTTCATTCGAGCAGATTTTATTTCATTTTATATTTTATTTGTATCATTGCATTTGATATCGTTTTTCACACACTTTAAAACCGTTGGTTTCTCAGTATGAGTTGTTTTGCACTTATATCTTGTTTAAGATACTTCTGCAATCTTAAACCTCGATAATTAATTTCTTAATGATGCTGTGACTGTCAAGTTAATAAAAATGATCGTCTTAAAGATAATCGAGTAAGGAGATTTAATGAAATCAAACAGACATCGTCAAAAGAATCAGAATAAAAATTATTTTAAATAAAACATCCAAATTGTAGCTTGTGGTAATGAAGTTGTTGACTTTCTTCCTTAACCTTCAACAATTTTATTTCGTTTTTCTTTCCCTCGTTGATGTTTTTTTTCTAGCCGGGGATTTTTTGAGATAGAAATTAAATATATATTCTTTTCCAATATAATAAAGATGTTGTTTTATGTGTTATCCCTCTCTTGTGTTTCTCGTTGTTGATGTTGTCTATAGACACTTTTTCTACCTGCATTTTGATAGAGAGATTACCAGAAACACTTTGACCATATTTTCTCCTTTGTTTATGTATTTTTTTTTTAGTTTTCGATAAAATATCGCTTGGTAGTTTTACTCTGGATTTATGTGAATAGAACCAGAAATGGAAAAGAAATTTTAATGAACTTTTGTCTTTACCCCGAAAAGATGAAAAATAAAAAAATGTTTTATTGATTTCTTTTCATTTCTGTAGAGAATTTAATGGCCACCGATAATTCTTTTTTTATTTCTCTGCGTAGAAACTGTTTGGTGTTAAAAGCTGCTTCATCGTGAAAGGATGTAATTTAGATAGCCTTAACCGTGTCCCAAAGAAATTTGTCTCGCAGTAGAATTTGTTTATTTATTTGCTTTTATCGAAATTTATTCATTAAATTAAATTTCATTCTCGACACTTGTTTCAAAGTATCAAAAATTTCATTCTCTCTCCCTTCCTCTTTTTTCATTTTAATGAAAGTAATAAAGCTTTAAATATTGCGAAATATAAATTTAACATGCACCAGCACACCACAAACATTTATTGCACATGCAGACTCCCACGTGCGCTCTAATCCTAGGTAATTTATTTCATATGTTTCTTATTATTATGAAGAACGACGCATGCAATATCAATTTTCATTTATGCAAAAGGCAGCATCAGCTACAAAGACGACGATGAACAATTTCGATGTCATGGAAACCTGACTGGAATATTGTGAAGAATGAAAATTTTGAAAAATTGATTACGTCAACCATAAAAATTATTATCTGGTGTTTTTCTTGATATTTGACGCTCTCTAACTTTCCTCGGATATCTGACAGAAAACTTTTACTAAGCAGCAGAAAAATTTCTTCCCCATCCACTTCAAAGTTATGACGGTGCGCAATCTGCTGTCGTTGTTGTTTTTTTTATATCAAAAAAATCTTAAAAAGCAAAAGAGAAAAAGTAAAATCTAACAACATGAAAAAAAGAAAGCAAGACAAACAAAAAGAAGATAAATCCTTCGGCTTTGAAAGGAATTCGTAACATATATCCTGCGAATGATACTGTCAGCTTTTGGTAGATGCGACATTAGAAGAAACGTTGACCGTCTGTTGTTTCAGATGCTTTTATTCCTTATTTTGTTTTGTTTTGTTGAATCTTGTAGTGTTTAAAGAGATAACATGAGAAAGATGTTATATCGGTCAGTTCCCTTCCAATCTTCTCTTTTCCTGTCTCAATCGACTTTGTCAAGTGGAAGATTAGGAGAACTGTTTGTCGTAATTGGAAACCTGGATACGAGATCTGAAAATATTTCTACCTGTAAGTTGAGTTTCATCGAAAATCACTTGTTTGAAGTCGATCTCGATTCCATATCAATTCTATAATTATATTTCAAGAAGGTCTAGGCTTCTACCTTCGCATCGGCTTTTCTGCAGCATCAGGAAGATTGATGCGTAACAGTTTTGTTGATTTATTTTCAGAGACAAAATTTGTACTCGTTTGAGTGAAACTGTTTTACCTGGAAGATAACTCGTCCATCATCTGGAGATTTTCGTCTAAAGTACCATCGATCAAATATTCATTTAATTCGTAATCCCTAACGGAACGTTCATCTCTTTTCTCATAATATTTGTAGCAAAATGTAACTTCATAAATGAAATTTCCCTTGTAAATTAAATTATTTTATAAAAGTAAAACCTTGGAATTTTCCCTTTCCCTTAGAAAATTGAAAAATTTCATTAAGTTCAGTCTAAAAGTCGATTGAAGAAATTGTCGAAATAAATAACATCAGAGAAGGAAAATGTTAATTAAACTCATCCATGGATCCGAGATAGTCACTCGGTCGGTGGGATGAACGAGGGATTTTAATAGATGATAAATATGTATAAAAACAAGAAAAACCGAAAATAAGAATTTATGCGATTCAGTTTCACCCTTTTTTGCTCGACGTTGAATTATTGACCTTAATTTTCTTCTGCGTGCTTTATGCTCTCCAGGAAACGAAAAAATACTGAAAAAACTCGGAGAATTTCGAAGAGAAATGTCACTTTTCATTCCTCCGGGAATTTTATTATTCAAAATTGAAACCGAAATAAACGTAAAGTTTTCTCTAGAATTGCACCGAGAGCAACAATAAATTAAACGAGTCGGGAATCTAATGAGACGCGAGGGGCGCAATTTGAAAAACGTTATTGTCAATTGTGACTAAATTAATCTTATGCGCTTTGCTGTGTACATTAAAAATGTAATAAACGCAATCGTTGTTGAAAGTTATGTGAAAAATGTTGCAACGAATTATTATCGCTTGAAATGTGAGCGAACATTCTGTCATTAAATGCAACGCAAATGTTGCGGGAGTTTCACTCAGCGACAGCTTTATATCTACATGTCTTTCCGTAAGACTGTTTGAAAAACTGTTTGACAATGTTGTTCACAATGTATTATGGGTTTTTGCAAATAGAATGCGAACATTAATTACTACACACAAACTGAATGATGACACCGTGGTACGTCCTGTTTATAGAACTTAATCTGCCACATTTCCATAATTATCTGCATTCCATTTTTCACTCTGCGGCTCACATCTAAAGCGAGACTAGTCAACAGTCGCCTTTCATTTCTAACCGCAACACTACGACAAGAAATTAGAGAAATCTTTACTGACACAAGAGCATTAAATAAATCTTCTCATCAATTAACATAATCCTATTCACTTGGTGGAATTATGAGTAAGATACATTCCGTTGAGAAGCGCGAGTCGGGTCGAGACGCAGAGAATCTGGCGAACATATTTAGAAATGTTAAGGGAAATTAAAGTCAAAATAAAGTGTTAATAACAAACATTACCGGATTAGTTTTCACCGAATGAACAAAATGATTTTTTGTTTTCTTTTTTTTCTGTTCTTGTCGTCGCGAGCCAAACTGCTGCTTCTGTTGATTCCTTAAGTCAACGATTAATGAAAGTTATCTGACAAGCAAATGTCACATGAAAAAATAATCTTTTCGGTCAGATGGGAATAATTCTCAAATTTTTTTCTTGTTTTTATTTGTGATTGAAATGAAAGAAGAGAAAATTTATTTTTATTTTGTTGAAGCATTTCAAAAGTAATTTGTGGAATTTCATTTAATATTATTTTAACGAGATTTGACGCTTGTTGTTCAACTAAACTTTATAACTGAATAAGTGAACTCCTACAAAATAGTTTTCACTATAGCAACGACTTCAAAGTTTCTTCGTTGATGCGCTCTCAACTTTTCTTGGATGTTGTTTGCTTAGAAACTATTCCACGTTTAGCTTCTTTAGGGAACAGAACGTAAGTTTATACAATCGTCTGACCCAGATACTTTAATCAATAAAATTATTAACATTCCGTTTAGCAAAATATGAAAATTTGAATTTTATGTTGAAAAATCAAAAGTCTTATCATGTTAAACATTCCGAAAAGCTTCTCAATTCAATATGGAATTATGCAAACTTCTTCTTGATTTCCCAAATGCAATCAGTTATAAAATGAGAAGAAGTTAAATATGTTGAATATAAACAACTAGATATGAAACTAATTAAATATCTAAAGTTTGGCGTTGGTTCAAGCTCTGTACACGTGTTAATAATTAAATTTCTAGAATGTAATTAACATGGAGATGGAATGATGTACACATAGCTTTAAGATTAAATGAATTTTCCACAAACCAATGTCGTTGAAATTATTCATAGAACATTTCCCAAGATATTTTTACAATAAATTTAAATCATTTCCCAAGCAGTTTTTCTAGGTTTGCTTTTCATTTCAACGAGAACAATGAAAAGTTTGAGACTCTTAATTCCATTAACTTTTGCTTCGTTATCATCAGGTGCACCGGAAAACATTTCAGAACGAAGGAAGTTCTTTCATTGAATAAAAAGAAAATGAAAAGAAAGTTTTCAGAAATTGTGAAGACGAATAAGTTGCAATGAAAATTTTGATAGATAATAAAAAGAAAAATGTGATGAACAAAATGAATTGTAAGAACAAAAGAAATCGAGTTACAAATATGACCGTTGGGAACAATCCAATTTAAGTCTCGAAGACTCATGAAAATATTTATTTGACGGGATTTTAAGTCACTGTAGAACAAAGAAAGACGACAGTTGAAACTTCAAATGTTGTAACAAGTGCTTAAAAATGACAACATAAATATTTTCATTTTAATTAAGTCTTAAAGCTTCTCAGTTGTGCAAAGTAAAGTCTCCAATTGTCAAACTAAATAAAGAAATGAAACTTTTGAGAATTTTTTATAAGTAAATCCTCAATGAGATTTTCAATGTTCAATATTTTCATTTAATAATCAACACAAAGCTCGTAAAACGTCAATGGGAAAGGGAGAGAAGTAGAGAAATTTAATAACAAAATTCTGAAAATTTATTTCAGTAAAGTTAGTCAATTGAACGTTTCATGTCAAATGCATTGTGATATATTTACTGAAATTTAATATTTCAGATCAATTCAAAACTTTCAACTTAATTGCTGTCATGAGAATAATGGCTGATCGCCAAAGGCATCATTTTTCCACCATGAACATAACACGACAAGCCAAGAAGCAATTTCTTGATTCGTTCTCTTATAAAATTGCAACGCAAAATCATAAATTAATAAATTTTGAAATCAGATAAGAACTCACTTTGAAGTATTAAACGATTCCAGTTAAATTTATGCTTGTTTACTGATTTATGTAATTAATCATGAAGTTGTAATCATGCAAATTATGAATAATGTCATTAACTACAAAGTGTAAAAATTAATCGCTAGCTAACAGAACATTTCACAAATGAATTAATAATCAAATTATAAATTACGCAAAATTTTTATCTGCTGCAATAATTATGCTATGGTGGGAAACTTATCGCTAAATAATTAATTTATTTACTTATCATTCAATATTTTATGTTTCAAAATAGAAATTATTTCATAAAATGATTAAAAATTTATATTGCATTTGGCTTTCAATGTTCTATTTAATTGAAAATCATTTCGTTTTGTAGATAATCATAAACTTAAAATGGCGACGTTATGATGGAAAAATTAATGTTTGTATGTCAAATCATTTATAGTGATCGTCGTACACACATTTTCTCACTTTTCACAGCACACTCTCTGCGAGTTTGCAAAACTTTTCTATTTCTTAGAAAACATTTTCAAAATGCTTCTGATTATGCTTTGAAACTCATCTAAGAAAACTAATTAAGGTAATAATAATAATTAGATTTTCAAGAGTTTTCATTACTTTGTTGTTTATCTGTAAAATTAAAATTATGAATGCTTGGATGACTCATTCATCAACTCATTTATCTGTCTATGTGAATTAAACTCATTTAAATAATTAATTATGATGAAGTTAGAGATGTGAGTAAAGCCGCTCAATTATCAGTGAAACTGGAAGTTAAAAAAGAATTGCTAAAGGTGATAAAATCTTATAAACTTGTACATCAATAATAACTAAATTATATCGCAAAACCTTCTTGCAAAATGTTCCTCTCATCTATTCTTCTTCACAATAGCTACAATAATAATAATGGAATGTTAATTATCAACTAAGACAGCAAGTTCTGCGGCCATACTTTCATTTAACTTCATAATTTTGCACGCGATTGTCTGAAGAAAATTAGTTTGAATAGAACCTCAAGATAACTCACAAACTATGCATTGTACTGAGCAACAATAAGCCAGACAATTCGAAATCAAATCATGATTTGAAATGAAAACAAAAAGTATTTTCCAAGAGTAATGAAGAAATTAAGCTTCATGTAATTAAAGAAATTTTTGGGAAATAAAAATCAAATGACGATGATCACAACATTTGGTGAGTCTCATGGAGAAAAGTGCCTCATAATCCTTTAACAAATTCTCATGGCCCAGGTGCAATTGATTGGAAGAAAAAGGGTTTGGTTGGTGAGTAGTAAAGATGTAAGATTTGTTTTCAAATTAATGTACGAGCTTAAAGCTTCTCTAATAACAGACATTCCAAGCAAAAGACCAACGTCAGTCTCAATCACGGTTGTAGTTAAAGTATTAATGAGAAAAAAGCACAGTAATAAAGATCTGTTGGCACCTCAGCAATTATGCGATTATACTGATTACAGTATATGTGATCATGTGGTTTTAGGGCTCGCTGGTCTGATTATGCTTGAGTATTTTAATGAATGACATGAATGAGGTTGTGACTACAGCCCGAAGAGAAGAAGTTTGAGGAAAACAACAAAACTTGACATAATTTCATAAAATTTGTCTAAATTATAACTGTTGAAGATATTTATTTAGAAAACTTGAAAATTTTTGATAAAACTTCTTCACACAAACGAGTTTTTGGAGCACGTAAAGATCCTATCGATAGTGATTATTGAATCATCAAGAACTCCCGGGGTTTGAGTTTGAAATTTCGCGAAATTTCTTTATTATATTGTTTTGACATAATTTGATATCAGCATGAAGTGAATAGCGGTTTGCTTTGGATTTTGATTATGAAAAGCTTTCATTAATGTGAAATATTTAATTTCAACGCTTTCCTGTATGCATCATGAATTTAATTACATTATAAGCTAATGAATGCATGAAAATATTAGACAATAACATTTCATAAATTTATAATTAAATCAGCGTTATGATGCAAATATCATAACAAACTTTTGTACAGATTCTCGCTAATTCAACTTTCTACTCATTAAACTGAATTTAAATTACAAATTAAAAGTTGAAAGCTAAAAAATAATCTGACATGTGATTGTCAACTAGAAATTGAGTAAATATCTAAGTCGTTTTAGCAATTAAATTGAGTAGGAACGTGCGTCATCATGTCATAAACTTGAAAGATCGTTCAAATGAGATGACAGACATTAAGAGAGTCAGCCATCAATTAATCAATACTAAGCACGATTCATCATCTCATTAAGTGAATGACGATGACATGATTTTATGATCGATAAATACTTCGGTTTATTTATTTTTTTGCATCAAGAGTTGATTGTGTGATTTGAAGTAGTTCTTTGACATTCCGGTCATAAATCTTCGTGCGAATGAAAGCAATCTTTCTAAAGAGTCTCTTAAGCAAATGTTAATTCCCAGCTATATTTAAAATATGCTCTTTATGTTGATGCAATTTATTATTTCAATTAAAATTTTCATCGCAACGAAGGGAAGATTTTGTACGTAGAAATTCGACTCGCAATTTCTGATCTCCCCATAAGTATTCGACTTGAAATTTTAAACTTTTCAATGTATTTCTTAAGGGCGATATTCTCGTTGCTCACGAAGCATAGCAACCGAAATTCAATTCCCCCCTAAATAATTTCTGGGAGGTTACGCACCGAATGAAGTGAACGAAATATTATTTTGATAAAAATTAAAATTCAAAAGTTTATGACTCGACATCCATTGCGTCGTTATTAAAAATGAAATTGTTAAAGTTTCCTTCTTTTTTTTTGATGACGTTACGCATAAAATGTAATGTGTTGAATTATAATTTATAAAGGGGAAATATTATTTTAATTATCCATAAACTTAATTAATTTGTTTTCCGTTTTCACATAAATTCATTTCACGTCTATGCATAGCTATGGAGGAATTCTAACAGAAAATTATTTTAAGGTGAAGGTGATAAAAGATTGAAGAAACTGTTTCATGTCAGATCAGTTGATGCTTCATAGATGAATGCCAAATCATTTATCAATCGTTTGAAATTTCTGTTTTCATGATCTTCCACCCAAACACAAATCAGATTTTTAGTCAAAAGAAGTTAACCACAAGCAATCACAGTCGCTTAGCAAAGGAATTTTCGTCTTTCGTTTCTTTGAAAAGTATTGAATTTTGAGAATTATTGAAAGTTGCTTGATATTTGTTATGAATCTAAAATAAATAAACAAATCCGTTAGCAATAGCACTGAGTGAAATAAGAAGATGATTAATGATGGATACTTTGTTTCGTTTGCTGTCTTGAGATATATTTATTTAATTTGGAGATCAATTTGACCCGGTCGATGATTCGAGATTTTTGAGTTTTTCATTTTTCGAGGAGTCAGTCGTTCACTTCACTGAACCTCGAGGCTTTGACATGATTTCAGATAAAGCTTGAACACAATTATTTATTCCACAAATATGATCGATAGTTTGAAAAGCAATCTTATAGTGAATTAATTATGTGGAGCAGTGATTTAAATATTTTCGCAGTGAATTGATATCTGAGTGACTTAAATTCCACATTCATTGCTTCCGCCTCGCCTAATGGGCTATCTGAATTTAATAACGCTATCCACTCAAGCTTGTATCACGCATGAACTTGATTTTCCAATCAATAAATTTATTAGGAGTATCTAGCGAATCTACAATTTGCTTCCAACCGAACACACAATGGCAGAATGAAATGAAATTCATAAAATTCATGCTTTCCAATGCTGTGAATATGAAACGAAAGTCTAGATTTTATATGAAGTAAATTATAGTTTGATGATCAACATAACCACTGAAAGCAATCAATCATTTACATCTAAATTCCGAAATGGATGGTTAAAAGTATCGCCGGATTTCTTTCTCCTCCAAGCTATTAATTATTCTATCCAGAATAAAAAAGGAAATAATTTTTTTAACTCACTTCTTCTCTTTGCTTGTTATATCGTGTCAGATTCATTTGAACTTTTTATAATTTATGAAATTTCTATTCAGTTGCTGTTGTTTCAACTGCTGCGGAATCAAATAGAAAATAATTTTTCAAAACAACAGAAAAAAAATGTCTGAAAATGTTGAATCCGGCGGAGTTTCTCATTTCGTATCTGTCAACAGATCGATAAAATGTGAGATTAACAAGAACCTAATGGGATTTTAAGATAGTTTGAAGTCACGATATGGTACTAATCACATCTTGTGCTGGCTTTGATAATGTTTGTCGGGTGTAAATTGTGAAGGTGATAATTGACGAACTCAGTTTGTGTCTTTCTTTCGTCTCAAGCAGTCATAAAACCGACGCACTAAAAATACCCAAAACTGGAAGAATTAAAATGTTGTTGATGTGTGTACATTCGCCTGAAACTGCCTTAAAAATAAGTCATTATCTTCAATAATATGGTTGTCCAATTTAAGGTGAACTTTCAAAGATAATTTTTATCTTTTCCTCTTGACATACTCACGCCTCACGCTCATTTCACGGTTGATTCACTTACGATATGAAGTTGAAGATACTTGCTTGAAATTCTTTTAAATTCCAGTGAAATGATGATGAGGATAAACTAAAATTTTCCTCAAGAACTTTTGATAAATTGTACAAAAATATCGCAAAATTGTTCGCTTTTTATGTGATGTGAAAGGAAATATGCAAAGCATGGCAGTGCATAAAATCAGTTGAAGAATGATGTCAGATAATAAAATCACTTCGAAGCGTTGCTACGTTGTAAAATGTGTGTAATGTGTTCATTTGCCTTGCTTCATTCTTTCTCTCTCTCTCTATCTCTCTCTCTCCTTTCAACTTCATAACAACATTATTTTGATCCATGAGCCTTTAACTTACTTTTTCTTTCTTTTCTTTTCTTCAATGCAGCATCAACCTCATACCTGAAGCGTTAGTTGTCTGACATGTTTTTATGTCTTCATTAAGAGCGTTTCGCTCTTTCATACTTTGTGATTTTTTTTTCTTTTTTTTGTGTGCGAAATGCGAAGAAATGAAATGAAATTGTGTATGAGCAATTGTCCGTGGTTTTCAGTCTTGCGGTTTAGCGTTTCATTTTCTTCGTCATGATTCAAATGCATATTAAGAGTTCTCCATGCAAGAGGAATTCAGAATAATTGTGCAAGTTGAAGGAGAGAGATGACTGGTTTAATTAATTGAGTCAGTGATTTCAATGCCTTTTCTTTTTGTGTTATGTTGTGTTGAAGACGTGAAAGTTACAATTGTTGTAAAGGAAATTACGGAAGAGCCTGAAGCGTAAGTTGATTTACTTTTCATGACTTTTCTACTTTAACAATCTAAATTTATTTTAAATTGCGCCCTCGTAACTACTTGGATGAGAAGCAATTGAGCTGTTCCCATCAAATGCCACCCCGAAATCAATTATTTTCTCAATCTGTTGCTCTCTCACTTAGAATAGTGATTGACTAAGCATTGAAGATGGATGGGATTGTTGAAATGATTTGTCGAGTCATCGGATTTTATTGTTTTCTTTAGACGCTCGAATAGGAAATAAAGTAATTAGCTATTGATAGTTTCTTTGTGATTCCTTTCCATCCATGCCTCGAAGGTATTTTCCACAAATGTTTATTTAACAAAAAATCGCTTTGATATGCCTGTTCCGGTTTGACTAACTAAATTAGATCCAAATAATGGTACTTTTATTGCTTTTAATTAAAAACAAATTCAAATAACATTCTGTGTCATTGAAATTTTCGATGTTGACTGTTAGAAATTCGCTTTTTGTTGTCGTTATGAGAATTTACTCGGCCATCGTCATCTGCCAGTTTAAACATTTTGTTGTTTTAGAATTTATAAATGTGTGAATTTTAAGGCGGTTCTATTTGGCCACATAACCATCACATTAAAAGCAGGAAATTGCGCTCTTGTTTCAACTAGTCATACATCAAATTTTCTGATCCAACACTCTGGAAAAGAACGCAATGGCGGTGTCTTTATGGCTTAAGACAAAAGAATATATTTTCACAAAAATCAGCTTACAACTTTTAATGCCTCGAGATTCGAAAAAATAAATGTTAAAGCACAATTATGCTTAATGGGCTGGTGGAAAGTTACACGAACCGAATAATAAACAGCCATAAAAAATATAAAAATGTTCTTTCGGGTGAGGAAAGACAAGAAGTCGAATATATTTCTCTTCATAATTAAGTCATTCGAAGAAATATTTTTTCTTCTTCAACTTCATCGTTGAAATGATGAGATTTTGTTTTAATAATGATTTGCTTAATACCTTAAAGGAGAAACCACACATTATAATGATTAAGTTAATTAAGTAGGTAAATGATGGCAAACAAAAAGATTAATTTTAACAAATGGATTTGTTTTCAATACTTCATGAAACAATCTCAAAAAGCTTGAAAGATTCACATCACAATTCGTTATAATTAAAGTTATACATTCAAATAAAATAATTATAATGAAATTTGCATTAACATTCAAAAGGAAGAAGTGACAAAGGAATTCTTGTCTTTTGTCTACAATTCTATAGAATGGAAGTTCGTCATATTCATCTTTTATTATTTGAAGATAAATGAAATTGCGCTTCTCAGCAACGACTTTCAAATACATATCTACGAGAAAACAATGAACAAACATTCCTTTTTTTCACCAGGCATCCGACGAAAACCTATAAAGTTCTTTTTTGCATGTCGACCGGTAACAAGAATGGGAGAAAAGATAACAAATTGTTCAGGATTATTCATGATTTCTTTACTCTTTCGAGAAGTGAAAGCAGAAAAAAATGAATCGAGGAAATAATTTCCATAAAACACAACAATGTGAAAAAAAGAAAAGATAATAAAAGGAAGGAAAAAGGGCTTGGAAGGAAAAGTGATCCCAAATAAAGAAGAAGCCGAGAAAATATTTTATTCAATAGTATCTCAGAAATGTTATCTACCTTTCGTGATATCGCTTCTATTTCGTTCCTTTTTTAGCTTTTGTTGCTTTGTCATGAAGTATTTCGTGATTATGTTTGTCCTGTAAGGAAGCAAAAATTTTCTTTCCTTTGTCCATTGTTAAATTTGTTGGAAACGAAAAAAAGGAAATTTTATGGAAAAAGCTTGAAATATTAATCTTCAATTTAAGCGAAATCAAATCATGAAAATTTTACCACTAAATAATGTGAAATGTTTATCAAAGTTAGTCCAATGATGGAAACTTTTGTAAATCTCTTGGAAATTTAAAAACTTTTCTAGAAACTAAAACTAATAATTTGAAAAAAGAATTTTCCAAGTTAGCTTTGCTATCTTTAAAACAGATGAAAATATTTTCCAGAGTTGTTAACTAATTGTGTAAAATTAATCCAGAATTTCTATCCACCGCTTAACATCTCTGGCAGTCAAAGTTATAAAGACGAAAATTTCTTATCTTTTACTTGGAAAAATGTGCTATCCCGAACACTGTTAACTTCCCGTTTCGTTTGCCCGATCTCAATAAATTTTGTTTTATGTGCCAACAAATCAATTGCTTTTTAAGAGAAGCGGTGTTCGAGTTGGCTTTTAAAGCTGTTTGGTAGATAAACAAAACGCTGAAATTTAGAGATAAGTTGCGTTTGAAATTATCGACTCATTTCCTGTGCTCGATACAATTACGTTATTAGACGCTCATCATATTGAAAACAACTTATTAAAGTCAATAATTTTCGATGAATATTTTTCTTCTTCATCATCTTTTATGTTTAGCAGCCAGCGTAAGTTCAACTTCCCTTCTTCTTCTTCATCACCTTCAAAAAGCCTTTTTAGTGTAATTATCTTTTTTTCCGGAGCAAATGAAAGTCAGACAAATACGGGAATTCTAATTGCTTCCACTCTTTTCTTCTCTTTTACCATTCCCTGTGACTTTGCATAATTCTTTCGGAATTACCTTTTATGAGCGCAGTAATTTACACACGAAATTATCTTCGCTGCTTTCTTTCTTTCTTTCCTTCCAGTTTTCACTCAAAATAAATAGTTTTCTGTAAGACATAAAAAAAAGTAAAGGCAAGTTGAAGAATAAAAAAAAGCTTAAAAATTTTCATTTTCATAATGAACAATTTTATTTATTATTTTAAGCTCATGGTTCTTAATGAATATTATTAAGAGGAGATGAAATGGTTATTTTTTGCGTGGGTGGTAGTATTAGCAGAGCTTAACGAACTTGATTTAAGTAATTTAAATGTCCGCCAATGGACGATCAGTCTTTGAATGTTTGCTTTGCCGTGACTAACCATACCATCCCACCTTCCTTACATATACAGCCTTTTAATGTTTATTTCTTCTTTTGGCAATATCACAATTTTCATTAAACATTTTTATCAACACTAACTATAATTAAACTAACTCCTAACATTTCTAAACCAGCTCCAAATATTTTTCCTTGAATTCAACGAGTTCTGATTGATATGATGTGAACTTCTTAAGTTATCTGAATGTCTAAGAGTGGCAAATTCTCCTACTTGATGAGAGTTGTAATTGCTATTAGATAGACTCGTGTTGTAAGAAATACTTTCATGAAAGACTGGCTCATAATGTGAACATATATTGCCTGGTCGACTGTTATTACTCCAACAATGAACTCGAGGATTTGTGAGGAAATGACAATTGTTAACACCATTGTTTACTCGATTCACCATCATATGATGTGGTGGTGCATAATAATTGCCATTTGCTCTTGCGGGATGATAGCGAATGTGACGGTCTCTGAATATCGTCGCCACATTTAATGCCGGATTAGAGAGTTGAGCATTGATGCGGTTACGACGTTCAACTTCTCTCTCCATATTCCTATCGCTATTGCTAATATCGCCAGCATCGTCATCGCGGTGATTATTATAGCTTGTCGTTGGAACTTCATCTGTAGCCGATGCTGTATCTGCAGATGAATTTAAATGATCTGAAGCTCTGTCAGTTTGCGGCAGAGATCTGTCATGGTGACTTAATACGGAACTAGAATCAGGTTGATCGAGCTCTTCATAAAGATTATCATTCGATTCATATGGATCCGGACCTGGTGATGAACAGACAAATACCGGCGGGGTTTGGGGCATGGGAAAACCGCTTGGGTAATGAACAGTCTTTGGCTGCAACATCTGTAAAGGAAACAACAGCAGAGAAATTGTTTATGAGTTATTACATTTTAGATTGTTATTTGAAAATTCAAAAGGATGATAGTGGAAGAGACAAGCAATGTTGTTGACATTAAGTCAACATAAATTTTGGAATATCTGAACTAGCAATACTTTGATCCACAAAGCATAACTTTTCGATTGAAATATTGCCAATTAATTAATTGAGATTTCTCTTTTGTTAAATCAATGGAAAAGTCATTGAAAATTCTTCACTTTTTACTTACATCAAATTGATTTTGTTGTCTTTCGAGAACTTTGTATCTTAAACTAAAAGCGTCGGGGTTTTCATATCCGTTAAATACAATGGAAGGATCCATTGGACTTCCGGTTGAACTTGATGCTTTGTAAGGAAGAGAATCCTTTGATTTTCTTTTATGCCTGTAAATATAAAAGTTTGAAAATTAAAATCGATTTCAACATTTTTGTCAAATTAAAATGATGATGAAGCAGGTCAAGCAAATATCAGCCTTACAAACATAGTTTTAAGGTTGAAATTTTATTCGCATCAGCAATATTTAAGTAGTAATAAATATAGAAAAGGTTCACTCACTTCCAAACAAATATCGATGACACGAAGATAAATATTAGAACTAGTACTGAACACAATAAGATCATAGCTGACGTTTGCATTGATGAGTTGTCATAATTGAAGTCAACATGCTGTAACAAATGGAAAGAAATAAAAATTTAGTTTGATTGTTATTTATTAAGCTTAATATTGTTTAATATCAATCAGAAATCAAACAGATTTCAAGTATGAAATATAAATTTCCAGTTTGAAGTTGAAAATCAAACAGAATTTGTTTAATGATGGTTGTGGCAGGTATTTTTGATCCCTCAACACATCAAAGAAAGGATTTTCAATGAACTTTGATGAAAATTCGTTTAATTAATTGAATAAAACTTATTAAGTAAACACATTCAACTTTATTCAGATGATTAATTTAACGTAATTTAAATCGACGGTAAATATTTGAATATTACCTTCAACTCAAATTAAATTTTCTATCGTTCGAGTGAAGAATGAATTGAGTGGGAGTTCAATGTATAAATATTGCCTTTCATCGGTATTTGAATTTGATTTTTGTGAATCGTTGAGACGATAAATCCACTGAATGAAATTTGATCACAGTCTGGAGCAAGAAATTTTCATACAAGGTCATACTTTTTTTAAATAGAAATTCAATCTGAATTTCCAATCTTATTGAAGGTAAGGAAAAGCAAAAGAAAAGCAGTAAATCTCGAATATGTTGTTAAGGAAAATCCCTCTCAAGTTAAATTATATTCCGCATCCCAAGTGCTTGAAGCATCACCTAAAGAAGCTCATGTTGTCAATCTCACATGTTTACACTGAACTTAAAGTCTTTAACAGGCCTTTTGCTTCCTTCACATATGTACAAAGCAATTTTTACGATAACATCAAGCGTACACATTCTCAAAAGCTTCTTTTTTTTCGCAATCGTTTCTGCTTGTAACATATATGAAAATAAAAGTGCTTAGACGGGCGATGAATGGGGATGAGCATAAATATTATGATGGGTTTTTAGGTGCGATAAATGTTGCTGTTCTTTCAATTCTTTCGTATTTTTTTTATCTTTTTACCCGAGACCGAGAGAGATTTTCAAGCTCTTGTACTCAACGAGAAAAAGTCTGTGGATAAAATCACATCATAAAGAGCCTCTCTTCTTTCTCTTTACGGTTTTTACGACTCTCAACAAGTCATTTTTCAACGCAATGGTAAGAAAAAATATTTTCAGTGCCGTCGCAGTACTCGTTCTGTAAACTTACCGGAATCAGACTACACATTTCGAACTCTGATGATGATCCTTCGGAACATTTTGGAAGTTCCTTTAAGTATGGTGGTAGAGGCGGGGGTGGAATTGAAAAATCTGGTGGCGGAGCGAATCCACCACATTCCATGTCACAATCTATTTTCAAATCCATGTCGAATTTCTTCCACATTACAATCAAATTTTAATTTTGTTATTTCACCACTTGATGAATTTTAAATTTTTCACATTTGTTAATTCTGGAAATGGGAAAAAAGAGAAGAAATTAATCACAATTAATTCACTATTCTTTCTTCATTAAGTTTGATTTTATCATTTTAGATATATAAAAAATATTTCTTTCATTTCTCATTTCGTTCTTTTTCTTTAAGAAACTTCTCACATTTTTTATTTTCTTTCTTTCCTTTCGTTATTTAAGATTTTTTATTTATCAATATTTAAATGAAATATTTCAACGTATCACTTACATTCATTTTTTATTCACAAATTTTTTCTAGCAAGGTTTCCGATACTTTTCTCATAAATTTAATTTTTTCCTTCCTTTTCACTAAAGCAATTTCAATTTATCTTGATTTCTGCTGATTTATTTGATATAATTTTCAATCCGGTTGCGTAAGAAGTTCACTTAGATATTCTTTCAAACTCTGAAGATATTTTCAATTTCCTAAATGCACTTATTCTATTATTTTTCAAGTAATCCACGTTATAGGGTCAACGAGAAAAGAATTTTACGTCCGATCACGTTGAAATCTTTCGTCAATCTGATTTTATGCTCATTGTGCCAACATGAAAATTTGAGATATGAGCCTCGAAGTTTTGTTATGTTGGAGAGAATTGAGAAACGAGAGTCAAAAGAGAATAAAAATGAGAAAATATGATTTTATGCTTCGTTTCATGTTTATAGTTTTTTACTCTCTTCCGTTTTGTGCATCATGCTGCGTGCGCTCTCAAAACACAATCAATGATTAAAGATTTTAAGATTATATTAAAATCTATTGATAATTTATTCATGGCTCAGTTATTTTAATTTCAAAAATATTCAAATTTGATTATCGACATTCCATAGATTTGATTTTTAATTAGCCAACCAATCATCGTTAGAGATTTTATAATGTTTCATTCTTATTTTTGCGAAACATGGCAACATTGCGTCGTTAAAATGGAATTTTGGAATTTTTAAAACCATTCATATAAATTAAGGAAATATTTTTTGATCAATTAAATCGATTGGAATCATTTTGTAAAGTTTAAAGTAATCAACAAGCGATTTTGTAGATATCTAATTAGAAGGTTAACGATCTGATGATAATTATTGACATCATAATGTGGCTTCATAGCAATATACTCTTTAATGACTTCATTTCAATCATTCAATCGTCATCGTGAGAGAATTTGTATGAAGAAAATAAATCCGGTTGGGTTTACAATGCTGAATGTTTGAAGAATAACACTTGCTGGTAAATTATTGAATAGAAGCAATAATCCAAAAGATTATCGTTTATTTTTTCGGCAAAATTCTCTGAAAAAAGGAAACAATTCCACATTTTCACTTCGTCTTAAAAAACCAAGAAATTAAGGATCAGTTTTTACGGCATCGTATGTTGTGCTTCTGCTTTCGTCTTGAAATCAACAACATATGTTGCCACTTAATGATCTCTTTTATTTTTCTTTCTTTAATTTAGACGAAAACGGAGGGAATGAAGAAAAAATGCATATCCAATAGATTGAGATGTATTCGGTTCTCATTTATTTCATCATGTGTTAATTTAGTGATTTGTTCTTTTGTTGTTCGCTCGTTAGGTGAATTGTTTGACGTGCATCATTGGAAATTACGGGTGAAAGGATGGAACAGATGAAATTATTATGGTTTCGTGGTTTTAAATTCTCTTTTGCTTTCTTAATCATTATAGAATTAAAGGCTTTAGAATTGTTTATAACCAAACATCCATTTCATGTTCTTCCCTTCATCCTTGTTTCATCTTCAAATATATTTTTAATTTATTTATTAAAAATATAAGAACATCAGCCATTCTTACAACCGATGATGAATTTATCTTTACAGAAACACTCGATTTGTTTTGTAAGATAAGGTTGTGGAGTTATTACATGAAATATTTTGAAAAATGTTCTCTGCTTAACGTAATGATAAATGGTAGAAATATGACGATGACCTTTCAGTCTGGTATGATTTGTGATGTTTCATTTCATGGCTCCTTTTGTGTGTCAGGATCCCCATGAATACGAATGTGACTTCAGAGAAAGAAGGCAAATCGACAAAAGGACCAAACATTCATTCGTTCTCCCTTTATGTCATTCATTCTGCAGGTTGTTGAGTAAAGAACAATTTTTGTCTTATTCATGTTTCTTCCCGCTTGTCTGTTGATAAATTGTTGACCGACATCCACCGGCATGAATGTGAAAGATTGTTTTCATTCGTCTACTTATAAAGTAATTTAAAATTATTACGATTATAAAATATTTTTTAATTGTTAGTGTAAATAATTGTTAACGTTGTTGATGAACAAGCAGAGCATTGAAATATAAACATTGCTACAACCACTCCAATTAAATATGTGAAATGCAGCAGCCACGACATAAATTAAAAATAAACACATGATAAGGCAATTGTGATTCATTTATTAGTAATTTTTCAAAAAAATAAAGTACACACGCACGCACTATGAGTTGGGATGGTAAACAGAACACACACGAAATGTTTAGGACACCCTCAGTTGAATTTAGATTGACGATGAGCGGATCGCCGTAAAAAATAAACTAAATTTCTAATTTATTTTTACCCTCTTTTGAATCAACATAGAAGCATGCATTAGCCAAAAACAAACATATTTATTTTTTATTAAGTTCTCTCCTTCTCACTCGACTGCTGTCGCTACATTTTTCTAAAGCAATAATTATTAAGAAATTCCCCCTTAAAACCCTAATAAATGATAAGTCAAACAATAATCAATAAAAAATCTATAATAGTAAAAAATAATTTCATTTTAACTTCCTTCGGTTATTGACTCGGTTAATTAAAAAAACGAATGTTTTAACCTCAACTTGTAAATCAACAGCAAGCGATTACTGAAAATAAAACTGCATGTTGAACAAAAAAATCAAAATAACAAAAAAGGAAGACAAGCAGAGCTTATACATCAATCTTTGTTTCAACAGCAAATCAACGAATGTAAACGAAACAAAACTTGTTTCGCATCAGTTCTTTATTTAATGACTTAATTTTCGTAGCTTTTCTGAATACTTCCATAAGTATAAGTGACGTTGATAGTGTTTGAGGAACGACGAGCATAAAGAAAAACACAAAAAAAAAGCAAACGATCGAGTTGAGAGTAAGCGAAAAATATTTCATTCCTACAAACAGCAAGTCGAGTGATTTAAAAGAAGATTTTTGGAAATTAAGTGTGTACATATCTACAGAATTTTACTTTTCTGCTTGTTGTTCTTCTGCATTTTATGTTTGTTTGTACCAAGCGCTGCTTACGCTTGAAAATTAGGTCTTTAAAAACATTTAATCAAAAACAAGAAAAAAAAATTCTGTGTTAGGTCGGGGAGCAAGCAAACAGACACAGAGCAAAGAACTCGCGTGTAATTTACAGAGGCAAAGTCTTTTGAAATGAAGCAAGCATATTTTTCATGCTGGTAATTAGGAGAGATCTTAATTGAGCGAATTAATTTAATAAACTTATCTCCTTTTACTTATAAGCGACGTTGTAAGCTGTAATGTTGAAATTTGTTCTTTCCTTTTATATATTATCACGAATGACAACAGAGAGCAAGAGATTTCTTGCTACAGTCGAGTTAAGAGATGAGCTTCAAGTGAAAATATAAATTAATCATCCGATTATGTTGAGCACAACAATCCATTAAAAAATAAACAATAATTTAAAAACGTGAACATTTTTTCTCTTCTTTAATTCTATTTTCGGTCACATTACAATTCTTTTCTTTCCATAGAGATGTCATTGTGAACATATATTCGACGGTTAAAAATAAAATAAAAATTCCACCAAAAAATAAATGCTGCGGCTAAAGCTATAAATTGTAAATGTTTAGGAGGAAAAAAAAGTCACATTGCACGTAACTTTTATTTTTCTCTCGCTTACAGTTTGAAAATTTATCGTTTCGGATGTGAGTCAAATTGCAAAATTGGGATTAATAAAAAAATATTGCTGACTCTAATGAAAAAGGAGATTTGTGGGTTAGACGAGTTCGTACGTTGCAACTAAGTACAAAAAATATTTTTTTCCACATCCCTCCGAGTTGATAAAGAAAACTTTGAGTTGAGTGCTTTAAGGTGAGAGATAAAATTGGAAATGTTCATGTCGTTTTTCAATTTTCACGATAATGCTTGAGACGAAAGCGAGAAGCTTAGTAAGAGAATGAAGAAGCTTGTGAACACAGACGAAGAAGGTTTATCTCTACGTCTTCGAGAGCCTCGAACTATCTGGTCAAGTTAATGCTGAAACATGTAGAATGCTGCTTTCAATTTAATTCAAAATTTCATCATTATACGTTTTTGCATATCAGAAGGTAAAACGATATGCAGAAAACAATGAATGTTAGATAATAAATGTTTGCTTAAAATTCAATTATTCACTTTTTTGAAAGATCTTTCCCTGTCTGCCTTTTGAATGTTTATTGCTTTCATGTGCTTTGAGATAATGTTTATAAGATATCAAGTACACTAACTATTGTTGAATATTTTTCGTATGCATTGAATGCGCCTTTATGCTGTTTATTAATTCCTTGTGCAATTTCCAGCGTTGCTACTTTTGATAGATACAAATTGCTTCGCTGTTCTTTAGAAACTTCTTATAAATATTTAGAAAAAGTACAAAAGCAAGCTGCAATTGCTTTTTATTTTCTTTTCTAAAGCCATCTACAGAATTTAGAATCGTCTCCTTTCATAGACATTTGCGGACTTCAAAGATAACAAAAGCACAATTCATGTTCAACATTCTTTGTATTATATTACAAATGCATTGTTTATGTATGTAAAATTCATAATGAAACATTAAAAAAGATTTATATTCAACTGCTTCGTATGACTCTATACATATTTACATATATTTGAAATAAAAAAAAGTGGTCGCAAGCTGAAAAACTGTTATCTATCAATTTTTTTGCATTATTTTCAATGTTTAGCTTGAAGCGCCTTTTAAGGTTATCGAGCGGATATTTTCCTCTCCCCACTAACAATTTGGCTTTTGTTTCAACTCTTTATTGTCCAATACAACGATCTCGATATTCAAAATCAATTGTTAATTTATTACATTTCATCAATACATGATCCTCAACTTAAATCATGTCGATATGAAATATGTTGGATGTTCAACGTTAAAAAAGTTTCCTCGCAACAATCAATCCAACATTTATCGAGATTTGTAATATATCATACATATGTGATGATTGCAGACTGAAAAATCATTGCGGCAATATCTTTCTGGAATCGATTCTTCTCGTCTACCATAAGCCTTCATGTTACTTTTTTTATTCATCTTCATGAATTCGAATCTCTCTGTCTGATGTTTTCAATGAAACCAATCATATTTTAATGAGCCGTGGATTACATTGCACAATTTTTTGTATATTTCTCCTACTTTTCTGATTAAGGAGTTTTAATCTTGAGTTCATGAATCAAAAACATTCTCTTAAAATATGGAGAAAAAGAAGAATAAAATTCATACACAAATCGTCTTTATAATTATTGATTGGTGATGTCATTCGTAACATTTATTTTTCAGATATTTCTTGTGAAAAATCCTCTCATGGAAAATTTAATTCAAGCAAGAAAAGCATTGACAAGATCTTCATTTGATATTTAATGTGATGAAGCATTAAAGTAAAATCATCAACTTCACAATATTTCAGTCACTCTCAAACTGTTCCAATTAACGATTAATTATGAAATAATGGCTTGTAATTACGTTCTCAATGATCTGAACAATGGAGCAGAAGACAGAAAAACGAAGAAAAGGAAAATAATAAAAAACGAGTAAGCAAGAAAAATCACAGATTATGAGAATCATTTCGTTAATTCTTTCGATTGCGAGGCACATTGAATATCGTTCACCACTTCTTGTCCAAAATAAAGCAAATGTTGAAAAGAAAGAAGTCGATCGTGGCGGCTTTCATCAAATGACATTGAAAAGAAATCTTTTCTTTCCTTTTTCAATGGAAAAATTACAAATCCATTATTATGAGACGAAGCGCGGAGCGTCGAAAGCTTCAACAAAGTAGACTAACAAGAACATGAAGAAATGAATCGATGAACGTACACAAAGTGAGAGTAAATAGTTGGATCAGCTCGTTGTCGTTTGGCTAAATAAATCTTTCTCTCTTTTATCTTCCATGAATGTGTCGATTGATTTCTCAAACAATTTATCTTATTTACTGTCCAAACAGCTTCCACAAAGCAAAGCATAAAACATAGACGAACGCAAAACGAATGTAACCGTTTAACATTTTATTTTGAAAAAAAAAGAGAAACAGGCAAGTGCCGTCTTCTTTTTCTTTTCCCATGGCATGGCTATTAAACAAAAAGTGATTGCATAAAGTGTTGCATCGATGCTTCCAATCTTTATTCAATTGCTTTGTTTCAATCTTGCATCGCCTGCTGTGCGCCTCAACTACTGAATTATTGAGTGGATTAGAGTCAAAAGTGGTCAGGTGAGTACAACTTTAAATCATTATGACTTTGAATAATCCATTGGAATAAGCAGTGAAGCGCTTGATTTCTGATTGCTTTGCGAAAACGAGATTTTTTTTTGCCCACATATTATTTCAGCATTAAACATGTTTCATAACTTAGAAATGAATATCTTCGATGGGTGAAGAACAACCAAGAAGAATTTAGAAAGATGTAATGAAAGGTAGAACACAGAAAATGTGTAAGATCATTTTGGTTTAATTCAATTTACAATTTAGAATTTACCAATGAAGTAGAAAACGAGAAGAACAGCAGCGAAGAATTCAAATTAAACACCCATTGCGTTTGAAAACCGTGAGATGTTTCTTCTTCACTCAATCTTGCGCTAAGTTTGAGAATCGTGATGCTTAGATTTTCATTTCTTATTCAATCTTTTTATGAATGTTCTGTTTTCCTTCATGCACAAATGTTCACATGTACAGCACATTGAAATGCTGCTGAAGGCCCTGTGTCTATGACAGGCCATTAAAGGCGATTATTATGTAATTCGAAATGTTTCTCTTCTTAAATGTTTTAAACTTGATCATCATTTTGAAAAGTTGGTGTTGGTTGTTCTCAAGTCTATAATGGGCTTTTCATGATTACAAATCGAGAGGTGTTTGAGGAATCAAAGAAGTCGTCATCGTTTTCTTGTTTTTTCTTAACTTATCAAGTAAAGTGATTTCAATTTTATATTAAAGTGATATTCGAGAATTTCTTTTCTGTTGTTGTTCTTCGTTGAGCTTGGATACGAAAAGGCAAAAACACTCATATCCCCTGCCTGAGACGTGTCCGATCACCCATCACTTTTTAAGTGTAATCAACATCATCTCACATGTGCCTGTCTTGGCTTTCATATACACACAATTGCCTGTTGGCGGTTTTCTTCTTCGATGAATAAGGTTAAAGTTCTGAAAAGGTATGAATGATACATCTCGACTTCCCGAAAGCAATTTATCTACCGATTTTAAATCATTTATATTCTCACTGCACATTGAAGTGAACTCCGTGCGATACGAAAAAGATTCTTTGCAAAAATAAATATTTAATAAAAAAGAAAGAAGAAAAGTTTTTAATCTTAACAACAGTCATGCTGACTTCAATATATTTCAACAATTTTTTAATTTGAAGCAAGAATAATGAATCTGAACTTGATATCATACAATTTTTTCAGCTTAAATTCATTAATCTTTTGGAGGTGAAGTAGATATTCACTCGCGCATATTCGATGCCTTCTAAGATTGGCTTTTGTTGTTATGGCTATTGAGAATGTTTGAACTTGGAAGATAATAAATAAATAAGCAATCCGTTAGAAAAATAAATACAGAAAAGACTGAAGAGAGTAATGATTGATGATTAGATAGTTTCGTTACCAAATAAAGATCAATATGACCTGGTGACTAGGGTTCGATGTGTGTAAGTTTCTTAGGGATACATTTATAAATTATGTTGCGCAATATCTTCTGAACAACATAAATATATAAATATTTATGTATATGAAAGCTAAACGAGAGGATAATCGAAGAAAGTTTATTTCAGTTTGTTATTCGAAGTCACGAAACAATGTCGAGAAAAGTTAATCTTAAAGAAGTTCAATTATAGTGAAGATTAATGTTGCGTGATAAATGCTGTTTACATGATGCGTAATTTGTAGTCAGAAAATTATAAGAAATTCTTCAATTTATTTACACGTTCGTACATTAAAACATTCAACTGATGTCTGACAAAGTAAGCGAACAAACCCCACAACAACACGCCACCATGATCAATTTCATTTCCCATTTTTGAACAAAACAAAAATTATAAAATATAAAGAAAAGAAAGGTAAATGGCTAACGAGATTTATAAGAATAACAGCTTTTAAGTCGCCACTCCACTTCTCTTTCGGACTTTCTACATACAATATCATTTTCAAACATCAGATGGTATCATCGCGTTCTTTTCTACTTACTGAGCTTCAACCACAAACATTTCTCTTCGAAAACTGGTCTATCAGCTTCGATCTTTTCAAGTAACGTTCGTTTACCAATTTCCAATTTGTAGTCTTTAGCTTTTGGCTAAGCACAAAAACGTTTTGACCAAAAAGAACATTTCTTACCTTAAATATTTATTGCCTCGATGAGAATACTTTAAATAGTATTCCGACATCTCCAACATCAATTTGTTTCTTATTTATTGTCCCACAGCTAGAAGAAAGGAACGAGAAAAAAAGCGAAATGTTTATGAAGCTTTGTTTCAATTTGAATAGAAAATCGATAAATATAAATTTATTATGTTAATAAGTTTAACTAGTTTCCATTTCTCTCGCGTACAATTTGGTGTTTGCTAAACATCGAATATTTTAACAAATTTTCATATTTTGAAGCTCTCGAATTTCATTTCGTTGTCATAGAATTGAACGCCTAATCAAACAAGAACGACTCAATATCCCTTGAGTGTAATCAATCATTGCTCATCATAATAAATACATCAGACGATTGTGTGACGTCTTCATCCAAGCGAGAGAGGAAAATAAGAATAAAATCCTTTAAAAAAAATGTCGGAAGTTTGTCTCGTTCTCAAGTGACAATTTAAGGCATTAAAAAATCATGAGTGCTACCACCTAAGTGATGGTTACAACGTCGCTTTAAAATTGAGGGTTTTAAACAATTTTTATTATTCTTCTTTAAATACAGCGAAGAGATGAGTATTGAAGGGAAAAAAAATCTTCCATAGCACAACACGACGCGCTTCCACTTCCTTCAAAAGAAAGAAATTTAATGAAAATAAGCAGAAGAGTAAGAAATGAAAAGTATACTTGAATTAAATATCAAGAATAAATTTATGGTTGTAGCGAACATAATTACATGTGTCATGTTCTTTCTTCCCCTCGTAAGCATAAGAAATGTCTTTCGCTCACCGAATTCCAAGATGTTGTTTGTTGCGACTTTGCAAAGTTTTTTTCTTTACTTTTTTCGGGCAAAACCATCATGAATCATATCGTTGTTAACGTCTTTATTATTAAAAGTGGCCAATTTAACCCAACATCAAAACACATGTGTCGAAACTGTTGCCTGCCTGGCTTTTAATTCTATCGCCTCGATGCATAAGTTTTTTGATGTCTTCATTATCTTCCGCTCTCCATTTTCTCGCATCTTTCCTTTTGCGAAAAAGAAAGATAAATATATGAAAATAAAGATTATAAGTTTCGACATCTTTCCAAGCAAGCATTTCACATCTCACCGAAAAAAAAAGAAATGAGATTAAGAGTCAGAAGGAGATATGGTGTGATTAAGAAGAACAGTTATAATGATGCGCAAAATATTCGTTGAGAACACGATGCTCATAATTGGATACAAAAACCACAAAAATAAAAGAAGTAAGCCAAAGATAAGGCCAAACATTTTGTGTCTTTCAACGATCTCAAGTAATTTATTTACAACTTAGAAAATTAGTATCGTTGTTAATAGTTATTTTTATTAGTTTTAATTAACAGAGAATGTTATAAAAGTAAAAAAATAAAGCTAAAAGCCTTAACATTGCTGTTGAACTATGCGCTATAAAGGCGAGTGGATTGTTAAATACCTTAGCATGAACATGCTCATAAAACTGACAAGAATGGCAATAAAAAGGTGCTTAATTATTTTTTTTCTTCCTTCTATCTTGTACTTGGTACTCCGGTTTTATTTTTCATTAAAAAAGTTATGCAAATCAGCAGAGGAAAGAAAGTTACGATGAGAAAAAGTATCAGACAATGATTTATGTTTTGGGGATGAGAAGAACTATCAAAGAAAGTCTTTTTAATGAGAAGCTTAACTTGAGGAAAGAAATCATATCGTCACTCTCCGGTAGATGACTATTTTTGGCGCAGTAGAAAGATACTTCATGTGAATTATAGCCAGAAGCGAGTGGCATGAGTGAACCCAGAAGATGATATTAAAAAGATGAGTTGGCAATAAACGATTTCTTCTATCTCGATAGTAGAGAATGATTAACCCCGACGGCAATCAATTCATAATGCTTATTGCGGGAGAGTGTTTGTAATCAGCGAATCTACAGAATTTTCATGCATAATAAAAAATATTCATGTGATTCACGATGAAAAATCTCAGATGTTAAATTTAAAAATCGTAAAGACGAAGGGAGACGAAGTGATAATGGCTTTTCATCTCTTGCCTATTTATTACATTTATCATCAAGCGAAAACGAAACGAAATAACAACATAAATATCTGCAATGAAAAATCCAAGGGAGGGAAATTAATTTATTAATTTTTGCATAATTCATTCGTAACAACATGAAAATAAATGTTGGCAAAACTTGTTTCGTTTTTTATTTGATGAGCTTTAGATGATAAAATTGAAAACATTTATTGTGAGTTCAGTGTAAAAATTTTAAACATTTAATGATAATTGTTGAGTTGAATTTTTTGTTTGTTAAATCGTTTAACAGTCATTGAGAACGAGGAACATTAATTGAAATTAAAAGATTTAATTGAATGTCTTAAACCCTGAAAAATCTTCAGCTCGTCGCTTATCTTTCATTGCACCATAACAAGAATTCTTAAAACAACAAGTTGAAATATTTAGTTTACATCTTATCAGTTAGCCGATGTGTATGTTCCTGCCTTCTTCGTTTGCTTTTTTTTCTTAAAAAAACGAAAAAACGAAATGGCATGGCAATGCGAAGAAAAATATCTTTAATTAAATATCTCTTCGTTTTAATCAAATAAAAGCAAATACGAAAAATGCTGGAAACGGGTAGACATTAATGTTTTCATTTAATTTGTGCTGCCTGAATTTCTTCAATTAAAATTGCACGAAACGAAATGCGGGCAAAACAACCATCGTCATCGTTGTTCTGCGAGGCGGCTACAAGCGTACATTCAGAGTCAATTCTCAGTTCACGGGAAGCATTTAAGAAGAAACAGAAATGCTAAAATTGTATTTTGTTTTTGACTTCATTTCACCTGAATCCCATAAACAATTTAACAATTTCTGTTTTCCTTAGTTTTCAGTTTTCATTCTGAATGCAATTTGAACAACTTTTTTTTTTCGTTTTGTCTTTCGATTCTGTCGTTGTGTCGCTTTTCTCGGTTTGCCGTTATCAAATTTGAATTATCTTCATCTCTTTCTTTGCATGTTCATACCTTATATGAAAATTTTTATCGAATTAAAGTAATGGGAAATCGAAAACATGTTATATCTTACACGTTACGTTGAATAAATAAAAATATTAAAAAAGGAAGATGACTCGATACAGGAAGTTTGGTTTTTAGAAAGGATATTTTTAATATCCATACAAAATCTTGAAAGTTTTGATTAATGGAAGCTTGCATATTTTTTTATTACTTTATATGAAAACCAAAACTTTTGATAACATGCAATAATCATTAATTCAAGTCTTTCCCTCCTTTCAATCTATTGAATTACTTTTTCAATATTTCTTCTTATCCCTAAGCAAGCACACATGATAATAACAAAAAGTGTGCAAATTTGTACAGTCAAGAAATTGCAATTTCGAAAACAAAAAATTATAAATTGAAATCGTGTCTGAAACATCTTAACTCTAAGTTGCTCATGAAGCACATGTGTGATAAATTATAACTCACTTGCACATTTTTTACTTCGTTTGCCATTTCAATTAAAGTTTAAGTGAAGGAATATATAAAATAATAAATGATTAATACTAAAGTTAGCGCCCAAAAAGTAAATTGTTACAACTTTTAATCTTTTATGCACCTTTTGGTTGTTCAGAACAATTCAAATTGCGAACTAAATTATTCAATATTTCTTCCCATGAAAGCAAAATGAATAAGACCAAAAGAGAGCTCCAGAATCAATATTTAAAATATTCAAACGTTATCAAAAGTAATGTATCAGCAAAATGAATTATTTTGTTTGTTTGCAAACTACGACTAAGCTTCGGCTGGAAAGTTATGCAGTTGGATTTTTATTTTCTTTAAAATAATTGGATGTAACCAAAGGCAATTAAGATGATAAAGTACGAGAAAAGAAGAAAAGGGAAATATTCCAATTTAATTGTTTTGGTATATTGATTCTTTATTATTATTTTTCAATTTTTTTATTTTTATTGTTTTGAAATTTTCCTTCTGGCCCAAAAAAAGAAACTTTTATGCAATGCCAATGAATTAAATAAAAATAATGCTCCACAAAAAAATATAAATACAAACATAATGGCAAATGAATCAGCCTCGAAACATCTTTATTTCAATTTACGCAAGAAATCGAATATTTACCTCTTAAGAAAAGACTTGAAAATCGTTTGCATTATCGAAGCCGCCTTTGAGAAATGATTCATGATTGAAAATAATTTTTTTTCTTAAAATATTTTCTTTTGAGATTGAAAACTACGTGCAATTTATGCTTTTGGTTTCTCAGTTTATCGGGCGCGCGTGAAGGAAAAGAAATAAACGAATAATTTCCCAATTATTGTTCAAGTTGCGATCGTTGATGTATTAATTTCAATTGGGGGCTTATTTCTCGTGTCTGGAAATGTCTCAATTAAGCGACTCACGATTTTCACATTCAATTGATGTTAACTTGTGGGGAAATGACTTTACTACTCCGTGGATTTCTCATATCAAAGTTCAAATTAAACTCCCTTCAACTACACTTAAATAGTGAAACGAAAATTCAATTTTAAAGCACCCTCAACGCTCTAAATTTTCACATAGAAAATTGTTTTTAATTAAAAGTCAAATGTTTGCATGAGAATTTGAAGTTGAAAAGTGAGAGTGAGATAAAGTGGAATGAAATGAAATTAACGTGAAGTGAGTTTATTACAAAAGAAACGAGGATTGGCAATGTCACTGCACTTGATTTCCCATTTCATTTGCAGCAGTGTATTGTGCTCTCTATCAACCTTCGTTTTTTTATCCATTGTCATATGAATGAGTATTTATGGCAAAAGGGGTTACAAGAACATGTAATTCATGAAACTGAAATCAAAACATCGTATGGGGTTGATTTTCAAATAATCGAAAATGTTGCCATTTGGAATGAAAATGAAATTCATTTTTTATGCGCTAATATAAATGTGAGACACCCGAGGGTTGGTTAAAGAAAATTAATCAAATCCCTTCGCAAAGACTTTCACATTAGCAGCTTTCGAATTGAAACACTTGCATTATTCGATTCGCATTTCACTTTTAAATTGACTTTTTTTTTCTTTCTTTTCTATGTACACGCAAACAACAAAACGAGTCACAAAGGCATGAAGGAGAGAAGAAAAAACACACAAAATAAATAATTGAACTGCCAAAAAACGAAAGACAGAACAGACAAAACGATGATGATGACGATGGTAGTGTGATGGTTGCCAACCCAAGTGATTTGCATTTTAAAATGAAACTTTGGTTAGATTCTACAGTGAAACTTCCATTGAATCATTTTCACAGGGAAAATTCTTCTCCTTTTCATTTTATTCAAATATTCGTAACAACCAGGAAGCTCACTTATTGATTTCCTGACAGAATATTTAAATCGGCTAGGATGATGATACTATTTGATATTTCCGTGAGTCTTCCGATTGATCTGCGTGAATTTTCTCACCATTGGAAATTGAATTAAATATTTAAAACTGGATTTAAAAATCAATTTATATTGAAAATCTTCTTCTAAATGTAAATAAATATGTTTCAATCTACACATAAAAAAGAAAGTCTCGTAATTTTCAGATTTATCCCAATAAGCGATTTTCGTGAATGAGCGAGGAGGAAAAGTGAAAAGTTTCATGTGAAAAACCGAATCGATTTCTCGCTTCTTTTTCACCAAAAATTGTATGCGAGTCGGGTGTGTGTAAAAATATTTGATTTTTAACTTTGCAAAAAAAAAGATTGGGAACAAAACTCGTGCAAACGACACACGGTAACATGACATCAACGATGCTGAAAAAATTTATATTCATTTCACAAGCGGAATACGTAAAAAAGTTAAAATTGCTTTTGTTTGATCGGCAGACGGTAACAAATTAATCTTTAAAGATAAACAAGGAGGAAATGAAAATATGAGGGTAAGTCTGGTGTGGTTTTAATGCATTTGAGACTCGAAATTTACTTTATCCATTGAATGAAGCGGTGAGAGGAATGAAAAGAAAAATTATTTACGATACAAAATGCTCATCAGCCCACCTAATAATATTCGTATCCAATTTGTTGAAAGTGAAACAATGGGAAGGGAAGTTGAGCTGCCGTGTCTTGATTCTTGTTTAGTCATCAAATTTTATTGCTTTGTTTAGAACATAATCAACGAGAAATCAAATAATTAACTATCAATGGCATGGTCTTGTGCTGTTCTTTGTTCTTTCATTACATTACCTAAAGAAGATGTTTCAATTTGTGTCGAAGGGGTTTGACCATTATTCATTGGGGGAAAATGAAAAAAAAGAAGAAAAGTAAAAGGAGATTCATTTATTTTGATTATTTGTTAGACAAATGACGCTTTCTGTAGTTAACAAGGTGATTAAGAAACCGCATGAAGATGGGAAAGAGATTGAAAGCCTTGGGACGAGATTTACATTCATAAAAGTTCTTTAATAAAAGATGTTTGACTTGAGCAAATAGCAAAACCCTTAGAAGTCTCTTCACGAGTATTCCCAGCCCCAAGCCTTTTCACTGAATGTAAAGTGCATTAGAAATCGTTATTCATCAAGTTTCCACTCCAAAAATCAACAGGACTTTTTCATTATTTATTCAGCTTACAATTTAAACTTCACACAGAATTTCTGATGAAATTTTAAATGCAAATTCATGCTTCAGCTTTGGAATTATTTTTAGAGAAAAAAAAAGGAAAACTTCAAACCAATTCTTGCACCACTCTCGCATTTCCCAACAGACCAGCAATGGGAAAGTTAAAAAATCGTTTAAGTCGTTGAGTAAATATTTTTTTACGAAATTAAATTTTCTTGCCGATAACGCATGAGATGAAAATAGAAAAATGAAGTAAAGAGAGGATTCTCGCAGGCAGAAAAGCGAAAAACATTTCGAGGGTGGATGTGAAAGATGGAAAACTGTTGAAGCGAAGCGATAAGAAAGCTAATCAATGACAACAACAAGAATAAGTATGAAAGATCACATCATAAACATCTTCAGTGATTTATTCATTTTCTCATTCTACTGACTTCATTTTCATGAGCAAAACGAAGGTTCATCCACCCACGCACTGAATAAATTTTCTTATTCCCACTTGATATTAAAGACACAAGTTGATGACGATGGGATGGATGTATTGACAGATTGTTGCTAGCAGTGATTCAACCAACTGGAGGGTGATTTTTCTCATCTGATGACAAAAAGCGTCTTATAAGCTCATACAAAAATAGACTTTGCCTGAATCCCTCGTAACTGAATGATAATAGTCAATAATGATTTGACGCTACAGTCGTATATATATGCACTGATTCTTTATATCAATGTTCACCCTCTCTGATGTTGTAACGTTGAAGGGTACAAAGAGAATTGTTAAAGGATAAGACATAAATTTTACACACTAAGCCGCTCTGCTTAAGACGGGTTTGGCGGTACTGTGTGTGAAAATGTTTATTATTCATTTTAAAAATCCATTTTTTTCTCTCTCCGCTGTTTTTTTCTTTTTTCTGCCTTTCCTTCTTTCAATGCTTTGCTTTATAATATTATTTTTCTTTTATCCCTCACCCGGTATGGGCGGGAGGCGACGACACCGCTTTTTTGTGATGTGAATTCATGGGAAAACAGAGATAAGATCCACTCGGAAATAAATTGCTCAAGTGTTGAAAACACAGAAGCATCAGCAACCGTACTTGAAACAATTTTTCCTTCACTGAAACTTGCAAACGATTTCTTTTATTCCGATTTTGTTCGACGTTCTTCGACTAATAACATCCGACCGTGATAAACTTCTTGGTTGTTCTCTTTGTATTCTCATTTCTTCTACTCTTTTTTTTCTATCCCTATCCATGTATGATAACGTGAAATGCAGTGGAAAGAATGGAATTGTGCCAAATGTGATAAAATAATTTAACGTGCCAGGAACACTGTGAGAAGCTTCACACAAAGTGGAGCAAAGGATTGCTGCTTGAAACATGCATTATTGCAATTTTCATCACAGATTTCATTGTAAAAGAATGCTGAAAGTGTAGCGGAAGCTTATAAAAGTTAAGATGAATATCTTTTAGCTTGACGTTAATGCTTTTTCAGTAAAATAACGTGGTTGCTATTACGTTAGTTGATTATTTGTTTGCAACTTTTTTTCTTCCTTCATTTCCTTCATTTCCCTTCTTAGCAAACAAAAATGCACTAAATTGAGCTAATTTTATGCACACTAAGCACAAATCCTTGGAATGGCTTGCAGCATTAGGACAGAAACTTAATGGTAGAGTGCTGTCGGTTATGTGAGAATTTATGGGCATAAAGAATGGTTTCGAAAACACTTTCCACTCTCTATCTCATCTTCAAATACCTAAATAAAAGAATTTGTACATAATTTCTTTATTTCATTTTTAATTCGGGTTTCTATTCGTTTTCTTTGTTGAAATGTCTTGTAATTATAGGAAACAACACCACGATGTTTATATCAAGGAATTGCCGCTATAATATTTTAATTAAGACATTCACAGTGATGGGCATAAAGGTCTTTAGATATCTAACTGGAGCACCGGATATTTTCGTAGTCGCTTGTTTTGAAGTTAAATTACAAGTCTTTGAGGCATGTGGGCAATTACAGCTATTAAACACGAGAGAAACATTTTGCTGTCAATCGTTGGGAAAAGGAAGAAAAAATGGAGGATTTTAATTGCTTTCTTTGTGAGTTTTTAAGAGAAACAGGCGATGATATCTTTTGGGAAAGATCGCGCGAGCAACGCACTAAAACTCCTTTCATTCTTAAATAGTGTCGTGCTTGGATGGGTTTCATTTGATTTTTATGATTCTAATAGCAGACTGAAAGCGTCTCGTAAAAGCGAGAAATAAAAATATAAAAAGACAAACAGAATAACCGCCCAAGTTTCTTCATTGTTTTTCTTCATCTTTTTCTTTATACTTTAACTGCAATTATCATCATTCGGGTTGTGCTCTTTGTAAGAAAAATGAACGACGAAAAAAGAAATTGTAAATGCCTGAAAATTAAGTTTTACAGCAGGCAATTTGTTCAATATGCAAAAAGGGAGAACTAAGAAATATGTTGAAGAAGGAAAAGTCTCGTTAATGGGTTAGCGAACATCACAAAGCATGTTGGTGACTTTTTTCTTGCCAAATTTCCCACAATCTCAACGTTTCCTGACTATCTTTAAACACAGTAAAGAAAGTTAATATAAAAATTTCCCATCTGTCTAAAAGGATTACGAAGAATTCAATTCGTTTCAATTCAATAGGAAAAGAAACTTTTCCATTTCACAACCGAATGAAAATCATTTGTTTTCCCACTGATATGGTTTTGTTCAGAAAAGTTTCTCTATCTCTATTGACGACAGTTATTCGTTTTCCAATTGATGGAAATTATCACAACATAATGGAGAGATTGTTACAGTGCAATCCTGAAATCATATTTAATCCTGAGTGCACCTGTTATGGCTTCAAAATCATTTTAGTGAAGGTAGAAATTTAATCGGATTGTTTCATGGAAGCTCTCGCCGAGTTGAAATGTAGTTAAATTCCACAATATTGAAATGATTTCGTAGCTCCCCACATAAATGTGACTCGTTTTACAAAAAAAATAATTGGAATAACTCAAATTAAAAGATTCCGTTTTCAATTTGCTATTGTGTTACTGTAACTATGGTAAAATTTAAACCTCTTAGAGATTTACTGGGCGTATAACGCAGGAGAAGAAATTTTGTCTCTTATGCAACATTCCTAACAAACACATTTCACATTCAAAAGAATCAGACGACAAAAGAAAGAATTCGAAATCACCAAGGGAATTTGCAACAGGGATTTTACATAAATATATTTATTTGTGAGAATTCACAGATGTTTCGACTTAAATCTTCACAATCACGCAAGTGAGAAGTGAAATTAAATCCAAAAATTCGATATCGTTCATTTTACATAAAGTAAAGTTAACAAATAACGCGAAAGGCTTCCATCGAAGTCAAGTGGAGTCATCACGTTAAAGATAAAAGTCAAATTTCTTGCTTGCTTCTTATTTGTTCTCATTCGCTTCATGCAGAGAGAATGAAGCAATTTTCTTGAAATATATAATTTATAGATTAAGACGTTACTCAACAATTGATACATCACCTTGTTATTTGTTTCGTTTGTGCTTCAAGGAACGACGAGATTCTCTAAACGTGATTAAGAATTTTGAAACCTTTTGATTTTTTCTCAGCAATTTGCCGACGAAATTCTATTTATTGACTTCATCATGTTTCAAAGAAAAGATGCACAATACTTATTCACCTGCTAAATGTTTCTTCATAATATTTTTTTTCTACCTGAAGAAAGCTTATATCATTGCTGTTAAGTGGAAGGACGAAGGCGGATTCGTGTGGTCGCTTTTTAATTAGATGGCGATTGGCATCACGCTGTTTTGTGTTCAGTAAAATCTGCAGGATGCTGAAATTGTTTTAAACTTGAATGGAAACAATAAAAAAAAGTCGTGTCGTCTTAAAGTTAATATCAATGAATGGATTTCTTCATTAGTGATGTTTCTCTGTTTTTAACAATTTCTTTTGTTGTTTTGTTGACATGATAAAACACCTGAAATCATCCCACATTAATAGTTTTGCTTGCATCAACCAGTTAATATAATAAAAACTGAGAGAATTATTAAAAAAAGGAACAAACGAACATCGTTAAGCAAATCATTTCATTGCAATCGTTGAAAGCAAGAAGAATACGAGAGAGTTAAGTTCATTAAATAAAGTCATCATCTACAGAATAACCATGCGATGACGTGTGCCACTTTTTGTTCGTTGTTTGCAGTAATCAAGAGATAAACATTAAAGCATGTCTTTAAAACTTCGCAATTTGTGATATAATGGATCTTGTCACAAACAGCTAAGCAATGTAATTAGTAAATAAATAAAGAACAAAAAATCAGATAATCATTTGAAGATTAATAAGAAGAAGGAACTTGATACATATCTTAGATTGTTAATTAGTTGTTTGATATTTCTTTCATATTCGTTGAACTATAATTAATTGAGTTTTGCAGAGAGCAGATTTCTGTCCGATTTTAAATTATCGAATTAATATCTTCGAAGCAGAAAGCGTCTATTTTAAGCTCCCTGGAGATGAAACATTAAGAACCTCTGGGGTAATGTTTGCCGTCACGAAAATTGAGACATTAAAGGAGCAGGTGCAGATGTTTCTGCTGTTGCCTTTCGGATTTGAAAATTAGTTTCTTTGCGTCCCACTTTATTAATTTGTTTGCTGTTGTTTTGATATCGTTTGATTTCGTTGCTTAATGAAATTTTTGTTCTTGCTCATTGGAGCTCAAAATGCTTCCAGGGAACTTAACACACACACACATAACACGAGTCTGACTCATTGGTGCGCGCAAAAATCGACGTAATTCAAACAATTTAAATTTTTCTTCTTTTCCTTCTCATTGTTTTTGTCTCAAGAACGAACATTTATGAAACGTAGTTTATCATCATCAAAACAAATTTAAAATCAAATTAATTTCGAGTCACTCGACGATTCTCGTGTTATTTTTGTTCTCGTGAGACAAGATCACAAGCGAGCGCCCCTAAAGTCATTAATTCATGTCTCGCGGTCTGCCAAATGAAGACATTTTTATTTTTAAGCTTCGAAAACAAAACAGGTTGACGAAGGCAGGTTATTATGCTGTTTATCCAACCGCACACTCAGCTCTCATTAACAGCTTTCGATTTTCATCTTTTCATGACGGTTTGAAAGAAATAAAAAAAGAGAATGAATCCGAATTCTTGATGGCTATGGTTTTTTTACCACCGAAGCTGTCAACAGCATCGCTTGATAAATAAAATTATTGATTCAGTTCATGTTCATTCTAGTGTGCTCAAGCAAAATAAATCCGGAAGCACAATAGCAAGAGTGGAAATGAGTACGAAAAAAAAGTTTTCAAATTCACTTTTTAATTAACTTCGTAGTACGAACAAGTTGAATTCGAAAAGTTTTCATATCTAACAAAACAACAATTTCTTCCCCCCCACCCACGTTGTCTTACATCGTCATAACTTCCACTAAACGTCTTCCTAGAACATGAAAAGATTTTTATGTTCAACGATTGATGTTTGTTTAAACTTTATTCACAGTCACATATTTTATATTGTTTGAGTTTCAATCAAATATCTAACGCTTTGATTTCGAGAATTTGACAACAAAAGAATTTTTCAAATGTCTTCGATACAAGTTTATTGAAATGAAAAGTTAGATTTGATATGGTAGAAAGGAAACTGTTTGTTGAAGTTATAGATTTTGGCAATTTCATGATTCATTTCAAATCTAATTTTCCTTTTCATTTGTGTTTCTGAAATAAACATCGAAAATATGAAATCAACTGATAGTTATGGATAAAGTCAATTTTTAGAGGTAAACTGAGCTAAATATTGAGTTCTGCCATTTCAATCCTTTTATCAGCAGTGCAATTGAAATCATCACTCGAAGAGTTTCAATCTTTTTTTCCTAGACATGAGAAAATGAAATTTGCATGTTTTGCAATGCAATGTTAGTCAAAATTTTATCCTATGTAAAGAAAATTTATGAAAAATTTACAGTTGCAGAGCGAAAATTTGTTTTCGAATACGATGCTGAACGCTTTTTTGTCCATTTTTTGTTTAATTGATGGTGATTCGGTTGTAAGAATTGACAGATTGTATAAGAATTATTCGAATCAAACCAGTTTGTCTGCATAATCCTAACGAACTCCGGGAAAATCCTCGCAAAACCCTCGTGTCCCCCGGTAAATGAACTAAAATTATTTCCTTATCCGAACCACTATCATCAATACTGAAAGCTTTGAGATTCATCTGCGGGAAGCCATGCAGAAGGAGAAAACCATCTGAAAGCTGAATGCATTTTTCATTACGATAAAGAGATTTATTCGTCAAGTGCTTCAACATGCGAATACATTACAGACATTTTAATCACAACGAGATTAAAAATGAAATAAATTGAATGTCGAGAGAAATTGATTGACGTTCTGTTTCAATATGAATTTGTTTGGTGCTCTGACGTTTATCGAAGCTAAAAATGAATGGAATAAAACCCAAGAAATTTCTTTTTTTACTTTAAAGATTTATAGATCAATAAATTCAAAATTTTATTTAAGCTTTTATATCGTCGATTCCTATACGTTTCTAGCAAAACCTTATCCCACTTTTCTCTTTGATCCAATCATGGTACGAAGTCACTCGAACATAAACTGCTGGTGCTTGATCGCTTTCACATACATTCCTTGTTGGAATGCCATCTTCAGCGTCCTTAACGTAGCTTGTTATGCCAATAAGCTCCCTTGTATCAATAGCAACCAAAGGCGAACCTAAAATAATGATAAAACTTTTCCTTTGATGGTAAAGTTACATAGTTAAGTTCTCCACCTGAATCTCCATCGCATGGACTAACGACATCAATTTTTCCGGATGATTTCTTTCCGAACGCACAAATATGATGTGCGGTTATCTTCTCAACAAAGTGAGGTTGATACTTGTAACAATCCTTAATTGAAATCAAAGTCATTATTGCTTTTTTAAGGACCGACGGTGGGTGATAATTTTCATCCAATCCCCAACCAGAAATCACTGCGGAAACCTCTTTTCCATTCCCATCGATCCTTTCATCACAGGAAAGCTTTAATGGTTGAACTTTTTGAGAAAATTTTATTTTTTCTGGAGTTTGAATCAATGCAATATCATTCGTAGCTGAAGGCATTGTAAAATTTTCATGAATCCAATATTTGTAATTTTTAAATTCGACTCTTTGTGGTTCATCGTCAGCTTTGTAATAATTATTGATACCAAAAATTATTCTTTTTCTTTGATTTCCATTGAGGTTCATGAGACAATGTGCAGCTGTTATCACAAATTCATCACTGATTAATGCACCACCACAGGTAGTTGAGCCTGCTTGAACAATCGCCATGTATGGAAATTCATTTTCTTTTGCAGTTTCACTATTTGAAATTCTACGTTGAGCTGATGAAAAGTCACAATACAAAAATGTGATCACAGTAAAAACAAACAACATTTGTTTCATGGTTTAAATTTACTCTGAAACTAATACGAAAAGTGGCAAAAATAAAACAGAAACTTTGAGCAGGTTTCGGTGAACGGCAAGCAAATTTTCAACTTCGTTTCATCACTTCAGGCATTTTCAATTCGGCATGGGCGTCTAACCGTTAACTTTCAATTATAATTGATTGAAATTTTAAAGCGAATGCAACGTTTGTTGAAGCAAGTGCAGTAATTGTGGAAAGCGCCTGCTGTAAAGACTCGGACCATAAATTCTATTCGCTTACGCCGTATAAAAACTTGCTACGCTTTTCTGCAGTCATAAGAATTTAATGTGCCGCAATTTCAAGACCTTCACCACCGATAAGAATCTACCGGTTGAAATCAATTTGATGGAGAATGTTTATAGAAGTTTATTGCAGAAATAAATCGATTATCGAGTTAAAAATATTTTTCTCATCAACAGGAAAATTAAGTTTAATTACATAGAGTGGTTTTGCCTCATTTCGACGTTTTTTAACGTTTTTTCACATTTGGGAACTTTGCACATTGATAACTTTTCTCATATAAGGAATTTTTCAATGAACAAAGTTTCCAGATGTTAAAAAACTTGTCGAACCTAGGTAAAAGTGCATGTCGAACCAAGGATTAAAATCATGTTGATTTATATTATTAATTATTTTATTATCTCCCAACAGAATTGAAAAAGCTTTTCAGTTCTGTAAAGTGCATTAGTTGTANACAAAAATGCTTATTGAAGTGAAGACACCGTTTGTGAAATATGTAGATCAAAAGGGTCAAAAAATTCACAAGCAGATCTAACTTCACTTTAAAAATTAAATATGTTTTAAAAGCAAAAACCCAAGAAAAGGAAATATGCTACAACTATCTGGTAATCTAAAAAAAATTGTAAAGTTAAAGAAAAAAGGACCATTATGTCCGGAATCTAAGTTTAGCCGTGACATTGTCCGAAGGTGTCGAAATTAGGTGCTGTCGAAGTTAGGGTTAACCACTCTACATGGTAGTGAAGGAAATAATGATATTAAAAAGCTTTAATAGTTAATCTGTAATCAAAGTTCATTTCAAAACATCTCACATTGTAAAATAAAGTGGATAACCCGTAAATATGTGAAAATGTTTGTGAAAACTTTAAACCACTTCAAATCCTTTTCAGTAATTCAAACCACACACGAAAAGAAAAACTATTTGAAAACGTGTTCCTTTACTTTAGATTGCAACTTTAACAAAAGCATCAAACGACAATTGATAAGGAAACTTCAACAGAGTGAAAAGAAACTTTTATCTCATCTATATCGCCAATAGAAATGAGTAGTTCAACTCCTGAGACGATAAAAAATAAATAAACAAACTAAAATGGAACTTGATGTAATAGAAAAACTATCCACTGCATTATCAGTGTAAACATCTGATGCATTTGAGTCATAATAGAAACTGAAATTACTTTTACCCTTTTTGCAAAGAATGTGTAAAGTTTATAAAAGTTTCAACTTCTCACATAAATTGGCGCAACATACATTGAATGGAATTTCCATTCTTTTTTATTTTTTTCAACAAGGAACGAAAATTTTCACTCATCCATTGTTGCAGCTTCATTTACCTCGATATAAAATATTTCCCTTGACGTTATCCACTTTATGTTTCATGCACATTGAAATGGAAATCGATTGTGAAATATTTAAAATGGCAATTTTATGATACTCAGAAGCGTATGAAGAGCGTCCATAATAGTTAACAACGCACTTGAATGTCTGCTTTAAAGAACAATAATTGGAGCCATAAATTCACTTTAACATTCTCACCCAAACTCACAGATTTTATGTAATTTTTGGACTATTAGCCGTTGTCGTTTCGAGACCAACTCGTCAGTCAAGTACGATTGTAATTCCATTTCAAATACCAGACTCATTTACGTCGTTTGGTAATGAAGTAGTTTTTACATTTATGGAATTTTAATGAGGGAGAGACTTGGCTTCTGATGGTACTTATTTTAAAACGAAGAAAGAAAGCAAATGAAAAAGGAGAGCAAGAACCTAAAACCTTCCATTAACAAACATAAGAGAAAAGAAATTTAATAAAATAAGCTTCAAGTCGTATTAAGAATATTTTTCTATGCAATTAACAAAAAAATAAAATTTAATCCTTTAAAATACCATCATTATTTCACCTTTTGCAAATGTTTTAATCCCTACTTGTTAACAAACACTTTTAATCTTTTTTTCTTGTTTTCAAAACATTTTAAGGTTCTTCATGAATCTGAAACAGAAATGCTTAAATGGATTATCAATTTTCATCAAGAACGTGAATTAATTCCAAATGGAAATTTTACATAAACATTCATAAACATTGAAGGGAAAGGTTTTCAAATTATGTCACTTAATAAATGTAGATATGAACATAAATTGAATTTACTTTACTTTAGTTATTAATTCAAATAATTATTCATATATGTAAACATCATTTGAATGATGCAAATCACATCTCGTTACAAAACCAAAATTATTTTTTCAACTTTATAATTCTTTTGCCATTTTACTCGTCATATTGCGTGGGTGGATGAGATGGGGATTATTTTGCATTACAAATTTTGTCTTTCGCTTGGAAATTAACATTTTCTCGTAAATGATGTTTATTCCCATGACATCATGAAAACATTTCTTAAATATTCTTCTTTTTTTGTGTCATTGTATCTAAGCTAAATTTTATCAAGTTGCTAAAAATAAATAATTTGTTTAAAAACGACATAAATTTGATGACCCAACAGCGGAAAAAAATTAAACTTCTCTTGTGTTTTTCCTTTCCGCTTAAGCTGGAAACTTTTTTTTTGTTCTGTTACTTTAGATGGAAATTAGTGCGACATTTTACGAGCGTGCCTTGGATTATGGCTTCATAAAATGCATTTCGCAAAATTAAATTTTCTCTCTGGATAATAGTCAGTTAAGCGAGCATTCTGAATGTTGAAATAAGGAAGAGAGCAAAAAAAAGGCGAGGGAGATGGCGAAGACTCGACGAATTAGCAGAAATTTAATTATGTTGTTAAAATTGGGTTTCATCTCTGCACTCTTAATGTTCACTTCATGAGACTCACATTACCCAGTATCCCTTTTTTACTGCAAAAATCCGTAATTGTAACATTAAATAATGATTTCAATGGTTTATGACTTTAATCTTAATCTTCAGTACGATCATAAACAAAACATTTGGCGAGTTTGTGAAATGGATAAAAAGTATTTCTGCTTTGGAATTTTTGTTGTTTTTATTTTGATGAAAAGCAATAAAACCAGAAGGTTGGACCAACAAACTAAAGCCCTTCTGAAACAACAACAAAAAAAGTTCGTTTTCGTTCTTTTCATCCATCCACAAACCACTACTGATGATGAATTTTTGTCATTCACATTTGGTCCTTTTATGAGTGAAGACTGGAAAAAAATGAGAAAGAAATTTAGATAAAGCAGAAATGATAAATGGTCAAGTTCAAACATTAGAAATGGAACATGTTAATGACTTTAATTCATTCATAGTTGGTGGCTTAGTCAGCAAAAAAAGACCATAAATGAATATTTGCATTAATGTGCCTTCCAGTAGACCGGAAACGATTATGCTTTACTCGGAGACAGGCTGTGGAAGTCCAACTTGCTTTCACTACGTCGTTATTTGCATACATTCGCCATTATGCAGCTCATAATGAACATTGTTTGCAATCAAATTGCCAAGTCATAAATCAACAAATTTCGCTTAATTTTCTATTGGAATGTGTAGAAATTCAATTGAGTTGGGACATGAAAGTTTTATATTTTTTCGTGATTGAAATTATTAAACATTTTCCATTCACATATTGTAGCGTATACTCCATAATTAAATTAATTACATAGCAAGTCGTTTTGTGGAAAGCCGCAATATTCATTCACAAACCATCAATTCATATTGAGTTATTCATGAGAAAGATATCAGAGAATATATAATTGGGAATGTTTTGTTTGTAACTCTCATGAGAACGCGTGAGGCGTACACGAAACGTGCTTGCATAGAATTTCGTTGACGAAAACAGGTGTTTCCATACAAAACGAAACATTAATGTCTTCATTCTAAAAACAAGCCATGAAATTTGCATGTTATTATTATAATTGTGTTCTGAAATTAAAGAAAAAAAGTTCTTAATAAAGTTATTAAGAGCTTGTAATGATTTAACATTTCTATCGAAAGGAATTCTACATAAAAATTCAAACACGATGGCGTAGTAAATTAGAAAGAATTAAATGTTTTACTTTCCCGAACACTTCCTTTGTGTTGAATACGAACTTCTGTTGTGCGCATTTTTGCTTGTGGGGTCTCACTCGCCTTCGATTGTACGATCACGTTATTTAGGAGTCATTAAGGAGTGAATGGAATCAATATTGAAAGCAGCTGCCGTTTTTTTTTGCTTTACAACAAATAACAAAACAGACATTATGAAATTAAGAATAATTATCAGAACAGAGAAGGAAAGAAAAAAAATCGATAAAATGATGCATTAGCAGGAAATTTTTATTTTTCTTTGCTGATCATCAGCACAAATAGTCCATTAAATAAAGGATGATAGAGATAGAGAGTGAGAGAGGAAGGGAGAAAAGTACATTTAACTTCGGCTAATTCATTTTCACTTTTATAGATAAATAAAATCTCATGAAGTTGCACATTTATGGCGGATGAACGTAAAAACAGTGTCTGTGTTGAAATTGCTTATTGTTTCGTTTATTTAATGCAATTACCGCTCACCGTCAGAGTTTCGAGGTAAGAGGCCAACATTTAAGTTAATAAATATTGCGGACTGGAATTGGTTTTCCACCTTATGACTTTTGCATGAAAAAAAGATTGAATTGTTAATGGAAAACCATGAGAAAAAATTCATTACGTTGACATTTCTGTTGGTGACCAAAGACACGTTTTACTCTCACTTTATTTAAATAGTCTAATGATTTATTAATTACTTTAAACTCTAATTAAACTCTGCAATCATGGTTTGAATAAATGACTCAATAATTAATTATAAATGAGCAAACAATTTTTATTTAAATATTTAAATGTAATGAATTATTGAGAAAGTTAACTTCAGACTTTAAAGTGTGGAATTCATAACTCGTTAACCTTTCAAATATGGGTTGAGTCATCAATTTTCTGTTATTTATACAAATAAAAATATTTAACCAAGAACAATTTACCAAAAACCTCATTTTAAGCCATGTCAGTTCGACAATTGCAACAAAGTTACGAACGATAGAAGGTAAAAAGCAACAAAAAGGAACAAGACAGAAACGAAATTGCATTGAAAAATCTTCCGTGACAAATTATGAAACAACTCTGTTTAAGGAATTTGCGGGAGGTAAGACTTCCACTTAAAAATTCTGTTTCTCATTTTTTGACTTCGAACATTTATCCATGCCAAAAAAAAGCAAATTTTAAATGTTTCAAACTCGACTTGGTAGAGAAGAAAAGAAAGAAAGAAAAAACTAAACTAAGTTGTTGATAACAAATCTCATTTTGATCTTTAAGGTTTTTCCCTTTAACGCTTTTTCTGTTGTTGTTCATGTTCAACTATGGCATAATGTTGAAGGTCACTAACCATGGTCACCAATGATACGCTCGACACGAGAGAATGAAATAAAACGAAAAAGAAACATCAAACCAGAACGAAATATAAATTGCCGTGAAAGCATTTTTCAGACGAAATAATTTTTTTTTCTCTCTTTCTGTTATCAAACGGCAGGGCGAACATTATTACTTTATGAGGCACTCCAATATCCCAGGTGGTGCAATAAAATATGTCGAGAGAGAAATGGGAATTCATTTTCGCATGAAAAGTGTAAATAACTTCTTTCTTCTTTTGGTTTTTTTGGGATACGAGACTAATGGAGGCTGTATGAAGGTTCACATTTATGCATATGAAGTTTCAGAGGAAAACGCAAATGAGATATTCACGGTAACTGCATTCGCCATTGTTTGCTATTGTCGTTTGTTATATGTTGGTTTCCCAAAAAATCATCGAGAACAACCGAACAAGAAGGACAACAGATATGCAATGCAATCATGCTGGCATGTAGTCGAATAATTAATTAAGTGTGACTGAATGACGATAATTCCCCTGCGACTAGAACTTTAAAGTCTTATCGATTGATCTGTTCGATGAACACAAAATTTCAAGCAATTTCATAGCTTCCCAGTGGGAAATCATTACGTGAGATTTTGTCTACAAATATCTCAACCACAAAGCAATCATCTTCGATTTGGGCATTCACATGACAGAATATGAAATTCATCAGATAATTATCTTCTAACAACAAACAACGAGAGATTCATCCGATTTGGAGAAATTTATGATCACACCGCAATTATGTCTTTTCCACTGCACAATGATCGAATCATGTGAACAACAAATACAAAAAGACTGTTGACAATGTCTGAGAGATAATTATAAATTATGATTTAGTGAAAAAAGAAAAAAAACTTTCATCATGGAGGTTGTACCGAACATGAGTGTTGAAGTTAATGAGAAATGTTGTAAGTTTTTAATGAAGAGGAAAATAAAATTACTGAGAATTTTTGGTGTCAAAGTATCACGCTTAACATCGATTGGGAACGAACGAACAGTTTCTTTATCGGTTCGAGTGCGTCGTTGTTGTTGTTGTTTTTGACGCTTGCCTAAATAAACATAAAGGCAAATAACAAACTTTCATACTTTAAAGTCTGAAATACATCTGTCGATAGATAAACATGTTCATTGAATAAAATATACTCAAACTCTTCCTTGTTTATAAGTTTTAAAACTTCTAAATTTGCAATATTATTAGCAAACAAATTTACTCGAAGTTTTAAAAATATTCCATGGAACGTGTTTCTGCATTTATATATTTTTTAACATGACATTGCACATATTTACTCGAAAGCTGCAAAGTTCAACAATCAAATAGAAAATGTTTTCTGTGTTGATGAAAACTAATAACGAGACGACTCGTTTTCATATTTTTTTCTAGAATCTGTTCATAAATCAAACTTCAACTCGGAGTCATGTTGAATGTTGCATGTGTCGTTGTCATCAATCTAAACTTGTTAAAAAAACTCGAGCAAATGAACAAACAAATAAAAATTATCTGTCGATAACTTTTTCACGGAAACATGTAAATTTACATAAAATTCGTCAACACATTTGCTTGCTTTTGTAATTCAATACTAAACTATGTTGGATGGACAAACGAAACCATAATATGGTGCTAAGTAGTTATGTGGAATTTGTGGCAATATTTTTGTTAAGAGGCAATTTTTTTTAACCGAAAAATAAAATAAAAAACAGTTTTTCACCCCATTGGCCACTAACTTTTAAGAGTACTTAAAAAGACACAAGAATAATACGGAAAGTTTGACAACACATCGGATTTCCTGAACTAAACAACATCAACAACAACAACAGTCGTTTGTTGTCTCCTTGTACAGATATAAAGTTTCACATGATTCGTTCCTTGTTTCATTCAGGAACTTAAAGGCGCTTCCTAGAAAACACATTATTACTAAGGTTTCCTTTTTCAAGTAGGTATTAAATATTTAGTTGTTTTGTGCGTCACTAAAACCTTAAACTTCTCTTTAAGTTGCTCAATTTCATTATGTGTCACCCTTATTGTATATCGTTTAAATTTCTGTGAATTACGACCGAACTTCTTTACTAATTGTTTGGTCGGATTTTATTACAAACGCTTGCACAATTTACGATATTTCATTAAAGTTTTCTCAAGAAGTCGCATGCATTGTTAATAACAAGATTCAAAAGTCAAACTACATTTTTCAATAAATCTATCGAAACTGTCAAATGCAGTCGAAGACACTTAATAACACTCCCTTTTATTTAACTCATAAAAACCATCATAACATATATTTTTTTTTATTTTGATGTGTTAAATATTTCTCAATCTTCACCTCTCTGCATGATATTTTTAGTGCGAGAATTAAAGATGGAACAAAATGCTTCATACAACCTGTAATAATTGGCTTCGTGGCGCCCTTTAACAGCTCACACAAAAAAAAAAGCGCATTAAAGTTCTCACATCTAACGAGAAGATCGCATAGAGCGAAGCCTCATTCATAATTAACAAGAAGATTTTCTTACTTTTTGTGGCTTGTTTTAGGAATTCATTCTGTTGCTGCTAACTTTATTATTATCTTCATTCGCCCCAGCTTATTCTGATTCTTCGCCGGAATCTTCAAACACGTTTGTGTTGTAAAAATTAATTTTTTTTCTTTTGGTGAAATAAAAATTTAAAATTTATGTCTATTTTATGAAATTTTCTTGTTCCTTGTTGAGTCGTTGAGATGTTTCGACGATTGTTTAGAAAGACAGAAAGTTAAGGTCAAACAGGTTGAACTTTTATCAGATGCTGAGATTGTTTGAAGTGAAATATAAGAAACAGAGTAATGAATTCATGGAAAGTCGACACATGATATTCTCAAGCCCAGAACTCATCAAAATTCTCGACGTTTTAAATTCCGACATTTCCATGTCAAAATCGTTGGTTCAAAGGCAAAGTTTCACGTTATGATTGTATAATTATGAAAGGCTCTCTGATATTACCAACATTTCTACTTCAACGCTAAATTAAGAACCGCCAAAATGACTTAATAAATATAATTTTATGATGTGGCTGATTCCCAATATTAACTTCTCAAACGCACCATTCTTATAAATTTTCATTAATATTCACCAAGAAATCTAATTATATGGAACGAGCACACAGTGATTTCTCCCAACGTTTTATGTTTGCATAAACATTGCTTCACATTATTTAATTTATTCGAGAAAGAGACGAACACGAACCAAGGGAAAATGTAACACGAAAATATTTTCTAATTAAATACTTTGCGTTGCTTTTCTTTCTTCCAAGTGATATAAATTAAATTGTCAAATGCGATTATAAATTGCCGACGCATTTCATCGAGCCTCAGAATGAATACCGCAAACCGTGATGGGGCGGGTTAAGTTCTATCAAAGCCAAGGTGTTGAAAAAGATCATTATTTGAAGCTACAATTCTCTTCTTCTTTTCTTAATGTCATTCAAAGTCTCAGACAACGGTCGAAGAAGTAGAAAAGAGGCGTCTAAAAATGAGAAAACTTTTTCTTCATGTAAAAATTTCGAAGATTGCAAAACTTCTCAACAGAACACGAAATGATTTATTTTAAAATTTCATTTAACTAGAAAACGAAATCGTTGAGCTAGAAAAAAGAAAACAGAAACATCTGCAACGACACATGACTTGTGAACACTTATTTAATTAATATAATTTATTGATTGTGGGTGGAAACCAAAGCAGCGTCTTTCTAATATCTTTTCAATTCTTCTAAACATTGTTTGACTCGATGTCGTTACTTCCTTTCAATGAAAAATGAACATTTCTCAATTATGAAGACATCACAAAACAACAAATCGAAAAACCTTTCGATGACAGCCGGCATTCGCTTGACTTGTCTTGAATAAAGGAAAACGGAAAGTTCAAGGCGACAGTTTTGAGGTGTCTTCACTTCTGAAATTCCTCAAAGTTTCGATTTACAATTCACAAATGAAAGGAAGAGAATAACCAAAGATCTGCGGTGAACCGAACGCAAGATTACCGAAGGGAAAAAAGCATGTTATTGACACCCATAATAAATAGACTTGATTGTTATTTAACGATTCACTCGTCCAACGTCCTTTCAACAAGAAACATTTTTTTTTTGCTTTTCTCTTCCTTTTTCCACAACTAACCGATAGGAAATAAATTTAGAAAATAGACAATTGAACATGCGGTTTGTGGCTTGATTCCCGGGCTTTTTCTCTTTTTCCCGCTTTCACGAAAATAGCAAAAAGGGAGATAAATTTACATTTGACACAAAGTTTATTTGCGAGAACCGAGAAGACCATTTATCGGTGGGGAGGATTTGAGAATTGTATATCGACCATTATTTGATGCGCAAAATACATCACCGCAAACACACCCTGCTCACTTTAGCTGAAAACAAGCATCGACAAAATTATAAAATTTTATTTCCTATTGAGATGGCAAGGCTTGAAATCTAACGTATTTACAGATGTATGGAACTAATGGAGTGAAAAGCAATTTCATTATTGTAAATTTACTTTAATAAGCATGAAAACACGCATTTGCGGATAGCAACGGTGTTAATGTTTTCTGCAACAGTTTGACGCTGGTTTTTTCATAAAAATTTCTCATTCATTAGTCATCAACCCTCGTGGTTTTATCGCCAGGAAATAATTCTACTCACTTGCTGCTCTTGTGATTTAAATAGACATTTATATCTACATAAACGAAGCAACTTTCCTCTACAATTTTAAAGGAAGTTTCTTGAACAAATTATTTATTGAACACTTTAAAAGTTCTACAATCATAATGAAGTAGTTTTACGACTTTACACGATGGCAAAACATATTTTAAATGTATTTAAACTACCAACAATGGCTCTCCAACCCCCTGAAGTGGAAACCAATTCAACAGTTCTTTTTGTTGCTCTAAAAGTCATAAAATTCTTATGGGGGCTACGATAAAAGCAACAAATTACAACACACAAATATAAACTTCCCACAGGAAATCCCGCATTTTTTATATTAAATTTTTTCACTCATCCTCCGAAAGACTTCTAAGGATAACAGACTCAGGTTCTTTTTTGCTAAACAATTTATTGATCTCAAGAGATTCTCATCTTTTTTTCCAGCTCAAAACTTTACTCCATGCGTTTGTCTACGTAGATTTCAGTCTGAAGAAAATATTCCTTTCACGAGGATTTTCAGGAAAATAATTTGTTTTCTGAGGCTCACATTTTCCGCCTTTCATTCGTGCACAGAAAAGTAAGTTGAAGGAAAAGGTTCTTTGAAGCAACTTTGATGTGTGTAAGAAAGGCACGAAGTGGAGAGAGAGTAAAAGCACAGAAGCACAGTAAAAATGTTGCAAAAAAGAAGAAAAATATTCTGTTCGTGTAGCATCAAATCACCTAAACGATTAAGTTGGGAGGGAAATGTTTAAGTAGGGCAATTTGTAAGATTTAAATCGAATATAATGAATTAAATTCTAAAGGGAATTGTAAAAGATGCTTTAATATTAAAAATTGTAACAATTATTTTGTTCTTTGAAGATGTCAAATCGGGAATAGGATAAAATTACGTTAAAAAAATTGACGAGTGCCAAAATTGCTAAATGTAAATATTCTCGTCAAATCTCTGGAGTTTCATTCGGTTTTTAAACATTTCGTGGAAAGAGTTCACATCATAAATATCGTTATCATGTCTCAAGACATGACAATAAGTGAAATATTGCCAATCAGTGAAGTTTAATGCGAAAGGATTTACGAGTTTTATTGATTTATGTGCGAACCCTCATCGGCTTGAAACTCTATTAGTACGATTCAAATCACATTTTAGACATCATTGAGCAGCTTTATATACGAATAATTGATTATATACGAACAAAAAGAAAGCTTTCACCACTCAGTTGTTAATGATATGAAATTTGTTTTCCCAGATGAAAATCGCTTCCGAAAGGGAAAATCATTGAAGAGAAAAATCCAAATGTGTGTATGGTTATGAAAAAATGAGATAAATTTTCAATTTCAGTCTTTGAGAAATGACATCACATTATAATGACATTCTTTCTCTCTCTCTTCGTTGAGGGTTCACAATCTTAAATCTTAAATTTAATTACACAAAATCCATCATATTTTCCGAGTGAAATGCCACAATTTCACACACATTATTCACATTCTTCCCTCTCCAACTTTGTGTATAGTTACAATGACAAATCACAGATGCTTAACGAATTTAAAATATAAAGGAAGCTTTTGTGTTATGATGCATTCAATGTTGAAAGTTTAAAGTGCACCTTTTGATGAATTTTAACTTTCAAAATATGTCATTTGTCAAAAGCAAATTATCAAGCAATGAAATTGTTCCTAGAAAGCAAAACTATTTAAATTTAATTTCAAATGTTAAACTTATTTTCAATTACAGAAGTTACTCTTAAAGTTTATGTTGAAGCTTAATGTGCGATAAAAATCAACGATGTTGCAAAACAAACCAACGTGTTCTTGTTAAAAGAATTACTGATGACAACTTTGTCGCAACATGCAAGTTATAATAAAAGAAAACAACGAAAAAAAGAAAGAAATTTTCGCGTCATTACTCAAGCATGACAATTTTTCCACTCATTTTCCAACGAACTCCAACTTTTATGAAAGAAAAACATGAAACATGAGAATGAAGAAGGAAAATAAAAAGTTTTTCCATTTCATTTACCTTACGTGTGCATTTTTATTTCTCAAATGAAAAAGATATGTTACGTGACAGTGAGCAAATGAGACGTGGTGGAGTCGATTCTTACAGAACTCGTCAACTCATGTGTGCAAATTAAAGTTTACTGTTATAGGTAGATATGCATTGCATACAGGAATACTTCTTCAGTTCGCTTCTGCTTCTGCTGTCGTGAATTATTCCACTCACCGAACAGCGATCAGGTTTTGATGGATTTCATGAGCTGAATAGAATGAAAAAGCATTTTGAATAATGACTTTGGCCCCGGACGAGAGAAATGCGGGGAAACTCCTTCCTCATGCAATAAATTTTCGACTTTATTCTCAAATTAATGAACCGAAAATCATTTGCTTTCTACACTCAGAGAACTCGGTTTAAACACATCACATAAATCATATTCATTATGGGGCCCATCGGAACACAATATCGTACACATATGTTGAAAGGCAAAAGAAACACAAAAAAAAAAATTGTTACACACATAAAAGTGTCCTCAACATTCTTTCTCGTAACGTCCTTTGAGATTGAATCGGAACTTCGGAACGTCGCATGTTGGAATGAAAAGTCTTCAACAGAATGAAATTGTTTCACAAAGCATTCTTAAATATTTAGACATGCCGAAGTATGAAAACATTTCTCACTTTCCTTTTCAAATTTTTCTTCCTCAATAGTTTTGCTTCATGCCGGAAAAAAAATTGTTTGTTGACAACGTTTCGAGTTTGGAATTTATGAAAAAAAAATGTGTCGCTTCGAACACATGTTGAAAAGTAGAATTAATTAGGAAAATGTTTAAGCCTCTTGTTGCAACCTCATTATGATGAAATTATGTGGTTCTAATGTCTAACAGTATTGGAAAATAATTGAATTCAGTCAGTCAGCTTCCTTCATGTCTTTCTGTTTATGTTCCCAATTTTCCAGTTCTCAAAAATCGTAAACAAGATCATGAATAGTTTTATGGTCGATTGGATATAGAAAGAACTTTAACGACTTCAAACAATACTGAGTGATGATCGTGTGTCTACTAATGAAACGTTGGGCAATAAAAATGAAGTGCTGGAGACCAATTTTTTTATGTTAATAAATTTATTCTCGAGAACGAGAACTGTTTACATCTTTTCACACCCAAATATCAAATATCTTGTTGAAATTATAAGTTATGTTGGGAACAGGCAAAAGGTTCTCATACAGCATCCTTAGACGTTGAAAGAAGTTCATGTGAACGAGCAATGAATGACGGAAATGTGTGAAAGATGAAGAGTGGATGGGAGTAGCTACAGATGATGATGTGAACCATCTTCTTATCTATTTCAAGCTTAACTCGACATTAATACTCGAACACAAGTTGTTGAGCTCTTTGAGAGATCACATCTGACAAGTTATTTCGTTTCTCTTTTATCTTATTTCAGGCTTGCGATTTGTCATTTCTTCATCACTTGTCGTTCACGACTAAACCGCTTTGCGGTGGGAATTTTTATTATTATTTGAAAGACAAAATCGAGATTCCAACCAGACCGGTGTCTAACGATGATCTAAAAGTCTTTGGCAAGATGAAAGAACGCTGAAACTCGCCGTCAAGTTGAGAGCAGCATTTGATTGATATTCACTGATGTAATTCAAATATGAAAAGTGCGATAAGCAAGACGAAAGAGAAGAATTAAAATTAATTTATTAACAACTTTTAAAATTAAATCATATCCATCATTCACAAAGTTGAGAGAATAATAAAAGAAAGAAGGCATTTTTATGACAACGATTTGATGCTTTTAACATATTTCAAATTTAATTATTCAATTACTGGCATTAATTCAGAGAGAAAGAAAGAAAAAAAATTCTTTCTTCTTCAATTGATATTATCGTTCGTAAACATTTCTTTCTTTTTTTTCCATCGTTGCTGCTTAATGGTCATGAGAGAAAAACACTTTGCTGCCTTCTCCTTCTAACCGAAAGCTTGTCATGTAAATGAAAAGAGTTTTTAATCGGAGTTCGTCGTTGCCGATGATATATCGGAGCCATTAGATAAAGTTCATGAATTTTTAAGTCGTGCACCTGATTTTGTTCTTTCTTTTTGTTCTCATTCACCTCCTTGCGGCCTTGTTGAGTGTTGCTCGCTATGAATATATAAAACCGTCGATTCATTGTGTTAAAGGGCCTAATGAAGTCTTCGAGTTGAACAAAAGAGATTTTTCATTAAATTTCTCTCCTTTCCTTCCCATGATGATGAAGATGATGAGAACATAAATTCAAATTAAAGTCAATGGATTATATGTACATGAATACTTATGGCTTTGAAACAGGAGGAGAAATTGTTGTGTGACAAAGAAAACAATTTTATTATTAATCACGACAATTGAAATGTTTTCTCAACACAAACATTTGCATACTTACCATGGAATGATTTCTAGAGATGAATTATGTATACACAAACAGCACTCATGCATGATTTATTATACGGAAAAAAACTTTTCCCCAATTGCAATAGCTGTTCATGCTTGTAAGAGCATATAAATGGAATGCAGTATTCAAACATAATCAAAAACATACAAATTTATGTTTGCCAACAATCTTAACAACTCAGCCTCCTTCCCTTAACTTTGCCTTCGATTTACCGATAAACTGCTGATCTTGTATCGTCTAAAATCGAAAGAAGAAATAATTTGGCTCTTGAATTAAATATTTGCTTTTTCTTTCCGCCTCGATTGTCTCTCTATGGAGCAATTGGATGAGAAAATCTCAAGCGAAAAGCAAATTTTTGTACTCATACTTCGAATGATGCGGAAAAAATTGTTATCGGGTAGCTATGATTGAATATTGGATGGAAAAATAAAAATATAAATTCGAGTAAAACAATAAATAAAGAACGGCGTAAGCTCACAACATCAAAATTCAGTCTACAAATTAGTTTCAGATTGAGGGAGTTTGATAAATTGCGCGTTATTTTGCTACTCCATTGTTTGTGTATAAATCCACAATGCTGTGGGATGAATCATATGAGCTTTATTCGCTAATCTGCCTCAGATGGGATTCAGCATTATCTCTTCGATCGTGTCGGTTGCACATAACACAAAACTGCTTTAAAACTCACCAACAAACAACAATGCTAAGCCAAAAATGAATAAAATTCTACAATGTTTGCGTCGCAACATAATTTGCTTGACTTAATATTTATACGACGAACGAAAGAAAGAAAGATCATCTAAAGTTGATAACATTGGCACTTAAAGCAAATTGAGTATGTAGCACATAATTTATAGACATAAAAAATCATATGTGAACAAGTACGCATAACAACGATGCCTTCCGCAAAATGGACAATAAAAAACATAAAAAACACTACAAGATTTTAGATTATAATATCGCATTTCTAAAACATTCTGATCGTCGATGTTTTCAGTAATTTTTCTGTTTTTTTGGTTGTTAGTTTCGAGACATAAAAAATCAGCATGACGTTATTTACAATTTAAGAAATAATTAAAACATGGTCTGAGATATCTCATAAATAACAACGACACGAAAGATAAATCAAAAAAGCTTTTCTCTCTTGTACACTTCTTCATATTATTTTTATTTGCTCGTTTTTTTTTGTGAATATTTCCCAATCGAAATAAATTTTGCGACTCATATGCTGAAGCTTACGTTCACATAATATCTGTTTATTATGTCTCTTTTGGGATAAATATCGTAAAGATTCTCTGGTTATAAAATAGTTTATAAATTTATATTGAACGAACATATAGATAGGTACGCGCTTATCCAAATGGAAGGAGTTTGAGTGAGAGTTTAGAGCGTCTGAAGAGTCATAATTCCCCTTAATCCCATTTTGTTTATTAGCTTGAAGTTTACCGAACCCGTAAAGTATAAAACACATCGTCAGATTGCCTACCGACGGAAGAAAGCCGAGGTAGGTTTAGTTATATTACATGCGTTGTAAAACTAATCCACTACCTTAGATAATGAGAATGTTAGGAACTGTTGGTTGCTTGTCTGGCTGCTGTTTTATTTTTCTCCTTTTTTCCACGTTTATGTTTCAGTTTTCGACATAATTTATTCATCTGTTGCTAAAGGCTTCTCCCATAACAGACAACACATTTATTATTCAACTATTAGTCAAGTTTCTCCTTTCGGTTATGATAGAGAGTCTAGTAAAACATCTTTAAGCCATCATTGTAACAATAACAATAAAGATAAATTTTAAGAATTCATATTTTCTTACCTTTTTGGTGGATTACAGTTGAGAATCCTCAAATTAATAAATATTTTCAGTTTCTCAGATAACACAAACAACTTTCTTTTTAATATAAGCCAAAGGGATTGACTTAACCCATTTAAGACTCTTCACTGTAAAACCACTCACATTTTCATCAAGAAAAGAGAAAAAAGAATTAAAATAAAATATTTCTTTATACTATTTGGAAGTAAATTAAAATTTCATTTCTAAAACGCAATCACAAAGCATCGAACATGAAGTGAAACCTAAACCTGAAATGTTTTCAACGCAACTCTATAAAATTGAATTATGATATTAAGTTTTATGATCTTTTATTGTTGTGTCAATTTTCTCATTATAAGGATTTTTATATATTTCGGAATATTTTTCAACTCCATCGTCATAGAAAAAAAAGGCTTCAAAAAAGAATAAGAAAAGATTGCGGTATGAAGGAGATTGTAGTTTCATTTTATGAGGTTACCGTTTATTGTGTATTGTTGTAATTTTCTAGGAGTCATAAAGATTTACGTTTTCAACATTGGGCAAAGTTATCCTTTTTTCTTCCCTTTCACCAATAGGCATTGAAAGAAATGTTACTATTCGAGAAGAGAAAAAGTATAGAAAATCGATGAAGAAATTATAAGATTACACATGTAAAGAAATTGGGTAATAACAATAGAAACTCGAAGCATGAAGAACACCACATGTGGCCTTTGTAAGAGTATCAGAAATGTTGGTTGTCTTGCATGTATCTTTTACTCATTCAAACATTCGCTACAATCCATATCAATGACATACAAAGAGTTTCTTTAATCAAATTAGTTATTGAAGAAATCAATATTTCCTTTGACAGCGTATGACGTAAAGCCTAGCAACATCGAATAGGTTTTTGAGTAATCAATGACATTGATTGATGTTGAATCTTTTCTAAAGCAAGAAGTTAGTGTGCTGCTCCACATAAAAAATCGTTCAATTCTCTTCACTTCTTCGTATCTCAATGATTATAATCAAGACGACTTCAATCATTCGTAAAATCTGCTATTAGCTGGATCGACGTACAAACATTGACATAAGGGTGAGTGAGCAAGAGAAAGAGAAAGAGAGAGATGAGCTTTTAAGCATAATAAGGGTTATCCATCAATTTCTTCTCAAACAATGAACAACGGAAACATTTCTTCTCTAACTAATGAATTCATCAAAGCAAGACATTCCAATGAGTAAAAAATGTCTCAAAGAGAATTTTTTTTTGTGTGTGTGCAATTTTGTCAAAGCAAAAACTCATCCAATTATCTAAGTTGCAGAATCAAATCTCGTTTCTTTTCATTTATTTTTCACAAAATTTAAATCAGTTAAAGACGAAGAGAAACTAAATTGAACTTTGTTTAAAACTTTTCTTTCTCCTCACCATAATCGTCTCGAGAGTTCGAAGGATAGTAAAATTGCCATCCAATTAAATCCCCCAAAAAATGTTTAAACTTCCACCCACGCCCTGTAAGGCGCCTTTGAGTATTGAAGATGATATTTCTGTTTGAAATGTTCATTTAATTAAATGCACTTTCAATATTATTTAACTCTCAAATGGTTTAGTTTAAGACTAAGTAAAGATGATGAAGCTTTGAAATGGGGAGTTGCAAAACAAAGTTGAAAACACGTTTAATTGGATGTCTTCATCCTTTCGGAATTCGATAGGCTGCAACCAAAGATTTAACGTCAATTTAAGAAAAGAAGACTACATTGCCTCAAGTGTCTGACACGAATTGTTTCTGAAACTTATCGATTCTCTCCTTACAATTCAATAAAATCAAGGAAGAGAGAAGGAAAGATGGAAAGTGAGAAGAGAGAAAAAAGCTGAAAATAGAAGAAAAGTTTTGTATTGCTTAAGGACACTTGAAAATTAATTAATTAGGAATTTAAATTACGAAACTTCCTCTTCATGTCTTTGTTTTCATCCTTCGCAATGATTCAACAGAATTTCTTGTTTTGTCTTTCTTTGAAACTTTTTCATTCCACGAATCGAAAGAATATCTATAAGTAAAGTATTTTCGAAGTATCTTTAGGACTATGGAATGTTGTTGTTTTGTTGAAATGGAACTCTTTTAAATTGAATCATTTAAACTTCAAATGCCGTAACTTTGCCTTTCATGTCAATGTTGTCAGTGGGAAATCATGAAAGCGTTCTTTTGGGGTGGCATTTCTTGTTTCGACTTGGAAGTCTCCTAGTGATGTTTCCTTTTGTTTTTAGATCTACATCGACCTGGTTTCATCTTTACCGATGTCAAAGAAGCATCATCAATAAATATCTTTGTAAACAGTAGAGATTTCTTTTTCAATACCTAATAAAAGTATGTGAAACAGAGATGGGCAAATGTTCCGTTCAACTCGATTGACTGACTGACTGACATGTCAATGTCTTTCAGTCAGTCAGTCAGTCAGTCAAAATCGCGAACAAAAATATTCGCTTGTTGGGACACGTTCATATAAATGTTCCGCTCAAGTCGTTTGACTGACTGAGTGACAAGTCAATGTCTGTCAGTCAGTCAAATCCCAACTCTGATGTGAAAACATTGATGGATGTCGAGATGTAAATACACAAATAATAACAAACAAAAGTTTTAAAGAATCAGCAAAGAGAGACCGAAAGATATTGACACTTTGTACTTATTTCTTTGTGTTCATTGGTGAAAAATAATAAATAAAAGTTGAACAAGAAACATGAAAGGAAGATACAATGTAATTAAAAATTGGTGAAATTCTTGAAGTTCCTTTTGAGGGAATTTTTGGTTTCTTTTCTTGGCTCAAGGAATTTCATTTCATTTTTCTTCTTTCAGCAAAGAAAAAGTTTAATTCATTTAATGATGAAAAATGAGGTTTTCGGATTTCTTTCATGACTTGAAGATAGATTCTTTCAATTCGTGAATGCATTTTTCACATGGATATGTGGGATTATTTGCAGTTAATGGATCAATGATTCGGGAAACCATAGAAGAAGCGGATTCATTTGTTATTATTATTCTCCTTGATTCCTTTATTTGTTATCCTTTCTTCTTACGACGACTTTGGGCTTCTCTTTATCTTTGGTGACAAAGTTATCACCGATTTTTTCGGTTTTCTTCAATAAATTCTCGACAAAGACATTTTTCTTTAGTAATGTTGCGACTTGAATGGCTTTTTTTCTGAATTGAAAGGAAAACAATATCACCGGGGAGAGTAAGAAGAAAATCCAAGAAGTTATGACTCTCCTTTCTCAACATGTCTTGTTTCATGTGGATGTGGAACCATCATTGAATTAGTTCTGGTGATCATTTCTTGGGTCGTAATTTCTATCTACTAGGTGAAAGGAGAAACCGAAACAAATGGGATCACAAAACTTAACCCTTGAAACATAAACGTCGTAAATTTTTCCTTATTTTACTGTATAAATGAAGATTTCAATGACTTTGAGATTGAACTATTCTAATACATAATTTTCAGAACTTAAAATTGCTGAAAATAATAAAAATAAGAAACTTTCATGAAAAACTTTCACAATGAAAATATTTTTAATGAAAAGTTGAGGAAAATAATGAAAATCAATTAAAAATATCAGCATAAAGTTTCAATGAAATCCTTTTTTGTGTTCCAATTTCATTGAAAGATTTTTTTTTAAATGAAGCTCATTAAAAACATTTCGACTTAATTGAATTTATCATGAAAACAGATTATGGAGAGCGTTGCTGATTAAATAATAAACATTAAGTAAATTTACCCTTGCACCCTCAGACGACAGATTTATTGAGTTCTTTTATTGTCTAAGTGTTTAAAAAATATTCAATTAATTAACTTTTTCAATTTTCAACCATTCAATGATAAGTGCAATCAACTTGAAAGCTGTTCTGTTCAAATTATCCTATTTGCTGCTTTCAATATGCGAAATTTAATTAAAACAGAACAAAAAAAAATCCAAAATGAATGTGAGAGAAAAACGTAAATAAATAATTTTATTCGCATCGACATTTTGCCCAATAAAAAAAGGAGAAAAAGCAACATCCATGTTAATGTTTTTATTGATGTTGTGACTGTCGTCGAAAAGAAATTGCTTTATATTCAACGACCGCAAATTACCATCAATTTCAATTAATATTTTGACCACGGAAAAGGCGAAAAAATAAAAGTTTCCGTACAATTAATGACGTGCAGACCAAAAGCATTTTCATTAACGAAATATGTTTTAAATTATGGTCAAGAAAAAGAAGATGAAGAACACGATCATTAAGATACGAGAATGTTTAAAAAAATAATCGACAACGATGACTGAATAAAATAATTTTTAATTTCTTTTCTTTTTGTTTTCAAATTAAGTATCCAAGTAGATATCACCACAAAAGTAAATTTTCAATTAATTTACCAAAACGCAGAAATGAAATTAAAAATGAATTTTAAGCTATTCGTTGTATTTAATTTTCAAGTTCAGTGAGTTAACAAAATTGTTTATTGCTTTGTGACTTTTATGAGTTTTTAACATCGTCACGTTGAATTTCGTTTTTTAATTATTTATTTTAAATTAGCAGTCGTCGAAAGCGGCTTCAATAATCTGTCTGAAAGACATCCTAACCATACCAGTAATGAATCTTCCGCGATAAAATAACATCGTTAGATAGAAATGTTCATAAACAATCTCCGCTGCACTATGAGAAATAAATTATGAGACGATGTTAAACACGGCATCGAAATGAATAAAAGAAATTTGATCAGCGTCAGATATTTCTTATGCAAATTAGTATTCAACTCACTTCACACAAATTTTTGGCGTCTTGCATGTATATTTGACACTTATCAAAGCATAATATATTTTTGGAAAACATACGACACACGATACAAGGTGAATCTCTGTTTTAATGATGAGATTGATAATTTCCGTATCTTAATCTCTCTCTCTCTCTATAATAGAAATGCCTTTATTAAATATTCTTGCGGTGTTCAAAGGCCGCTTTCGAATAATAACTGAGTTTCCCCAATTTCTCTTCATAATTCAAGTTTGTTGGCTCTGGCTCTTCATAAGAAAACGACAGCACAAAGAAGCAGTTCGTTTGAATATTAAAATAAATTAAACATTTATGAAGATCCTTATCACGGGAAAAATGTTATTTCTCATTTGGTTAAGTGGCTTCAGTAGCTCTTGTGTGATGCCATCAGATGAAATCAAGTAATAGAGACGTGTATTTGTCGTCAGTCGTCGTCAGACAAGCGAATGAAGATGATGGGAGAATATTTTAATCAATTCTAACAAGATTCACGCGGAATCAACATTTTGAATGTCTTTCATATCAATCAACCGCGCGCTGAGTTCATCTGAAGAATTTATTAATAAAAAATTTCATCTACGACGAAAGAATATTTGAAGGCAACAGAAAATATTTCGCTTTAAATTCTTTAACTATCGTAAATTTCTTACATAAACTTCTCTTCTTATTCTTGTCTATGATTTCTGGTTAGTCTCGAATTGATTCGTCAAGCTCACCTTTTCCAACACTTCGCATTGTGAATTGTTATTTGAAATTTCAATGCTGATTATTCTGCTTCTTTGTTGTTTATTCTTTTCCGTTTCGCCATCACTTTGGTCACCCGAAAAATATAAAATAAAAAAGAATTTATTCTTCATGCTGACAGTTCTCGTTCCCCGTAAGATCGTTTTGAATGCTGTAAAGGTAGAAGATGATGCTGGGGACTCTTTTCATGCTTATTAACCTGAAAGAAAATGAAAAAGTTATTTGTCGTCCTTTCCTGCATGTTTTATTTTATTTTTATTTTATTTTGTCGTCATCGTTAACCTCTCGAATATGACGAAACGTTTCATTCTCTGAAGAATCTCTTTGGCTTTCATGGACTTTACCTTCCTTCTTCTTCTTTACATTACCATCCTTTAGATGCCCAGTGTAGTGTTCCAGTTGCTTTTTCAACAAAGCAAACAAATAAATCAGTGTTGAGCACGATTTACTCACTGACGCTTGAAAATTCCACCTGGAAAAAATGTTGCGTTGCGAAAAAAAATCATGGCAGAGATTTACGGAACAAAAAGCATTCTTATACTAGAAATTATTACGCTGGATTAAGCATAATAAAACACCAGCATTCTTCCAGTATACATACATGTTATTTACTAAGCACCAAGCCAGATAGTCGTCAAGAGGGACGCAAAAGGTTTGCACAATGTATCATATTGTGAAGCGATATTAATGATGTAATTTATTGTATGAAAAGAAAGAAACTCTATTGTTTGCTTTTTGGTGGCTTTTGATGAACAGAATGAGAAGAAGAGCTTTCAAAAATTAATCGGTTGCCGAGGTGGGTGGCTCAATGTTCAATGGCGAAGAAATTCACGAGAATGAACGCACATTTATCAGTTGTTGAAGTTTTCGCAGTTGATTGGATTCATAAAAAGCGATTTATTGAAATTGCCCATTGTCTGTCTTTAGCTTCATCTTGTTTGTAATCAATTCTAACTCAACTCTTTCGACCTTAATCGTTTCATGTAGGAGTCAAGCAATTTGTTAGTAATTATTTGTGCGCTTCCTTCGCTTTAACTTTTTTTCTACCTCTCGTGTTTGTCATCAATTTACACGAGTTCCAAAGATTAAACATTTGAAACTCATGTAAATTTCATGCAAATAAGTTTTAACTCATCATTTCTCATCTCATACGTTTCAATTAAGAATTGAAATTTTATAAAGAAGAAGAAAGAAATTATTACGACGATGATGAGTTTAAACCTTCTATTATAAATTAAAGAAAATAATTAATCGTGACTGCCTAACTGAATATAAAGATTAATTATGATTGCGATGATTCGTTACTGATATTAAAAAAGAGTTACAGTAAGATTAAGACACTCAAAGCTAAATATTCCGAACTAACTAGTAGATAGTTAATAATTAATTTATTCTGCTAGTTTACAATCTTCTAACTTTAAGAAAGAAAAAATGGCTGATGGGAATCTTTAAAGTTTCTACACCTCTCCGTTTTATCGTTTAATTAATCCGGTAAGGAGGCGAGCGTATTAATCTGTTTGCAAGATGGCAGAGGAAAAGTAAAAAGAGAGAAAAATTAATAACACTCCCATAAATCTGCATATATAATCGAGTCTAAAGCTTTCTGATTGTGGAATCTGACGTCTGCAGCTAATTTATGCCGAAAATTGATGCTGTTCAATTTCCATCTACGGTTGATTACAATCTCATTGACTTATTTTCTATCACTTCTTTCATCAAATCTTTAGCTTGGACTTTTGCTTCTTCCACTGATTCGTTGTCTCGTTGATCGTTTGTTGCCTTTTTATGGCTAATTCACCTTCCACTAGATTTTGTATTGGTTGAAAACATCACGCTCTTGTTTGTCTAATTAAAATATTTAAAAGAACTCTCATCGTGGTGACATTTACCGAAATTTATGACACACATTTTTGGGTGTATAAATTTACTGGCGATATCTTAATTATGAACTTCTTTTCTTACCTGGTCTTTCCACATTCCCTCATTTTCATTTTTATGAGAATTGGATTCTTTAATAATGTGATAAGTGTTTGGTGATGTTTTCTTGTGTTTATTTTTATACATTTTTCTTGTGCTGAGGTTTAATTGAATCACCAGGACGTGAAGAATTCAGTGTTTAACATGGAAACTAGTCTATTCAAGTTCATTAAACTTCACTTTAGTCAGAGGCTATTGAGTGACCATAAAATGATTTTATTTGTTTACGACTGAACTGCGGATGAGACCCAATTATCGCTGTTATAATCCTCATGTGGTGGTAAATGTGTAAATTTATTTTATTTTATCTTTTTTTTTTGCTTTCTGACCAACTCGTCAGGCTTATGCTTTACTTCTTTATTGTCATTCATGTTTACAAGCAAAATTTATAATCTCCACAACACAATAACGATTTATTTAAAGGGAATGTTCTTAATACAAAAATTGAAGGAGAATGATTGACGTGAAGGCAAATGTTTTGTAATATTTTAACATATGTTATAATATCAATAACAATTCATGTATCGTAATTGTCACATGTTTTGCAATTTAGAAATAATTGAAAATTTGTTTTGAAATTTCTCTGTCGGTTCATGTAAAGAGATTTTCATTTTCTTAGAAAATTTAATTATACAATGAATGAAAAATATTTGAAATCTTCTTCTTGGTTTGTTGAGCTGTCAGCAAATTTTCCAAGATTTGTGAACTTCTTAGAATTGTTGAACATTAATAAAAGCAAAACCTTTTTCGTCATCGTCAAATATTTAAATAATCTTCGAAGAATGTTTCTTATTTAAGTGAATTAACAGCTACTTGATACGTTTGTTGATATCGTTCATCAACATCCAATTCACGTTATTTTCATTAGAAGACAAAGTCATAAAGAAACAAACACGACAAAATAATCTCAACACATGATTAACAGCACCTATCATAAATCTGGATAATCAATCGATATGTGGAAAGAGAGAAACATCAATGAATTTAAATTTTTTGATATAAATTGAGCCTTTTCAACGCATCGTCATCGTTAAGCGTCCAACGGGTATTAAAAAATCGATTTATAGAATGGAAATGACAATTTTAAATTTCATATTAAGAAATCTTTAGCACTTTAATGGGCTTTGAAATGTTTAATGATGAGCCGAAGAAAGGCAAAAGAGAGCGGAACTTCAGAGCTTTGTTGGCGGCACTTGTAAGCCTCCAACTCGTTGATGACTTCCAATCGCTTTTTTAAACACTCTTAGCTGCTCAATAATTTATTCAATTCCATCGTTTATTCATTTTTCTCTTTTCCAACTCATTTTTTTAAAGGCTTTTATTGAAATTTGAAATTGTTACTAAAATACCAAACACACAACAGTCAACACTCTCCTCTCATATCCAATTACCATCGAATCCATTTGTGCATCATAACAAGCAACAAATGCTTCAGTTTTGTATGCAAATAACCGAAATTAAAAAGAAAGAAAGAATTGATGTGAATCCATTATAAAAATTGGTATCTTGAACGATGAAGTTCTATTATAAATAATCGACTGTTTAACTTAAAGTTATTTTTTGCTTGGAAACATACTCAAATAGATGACTCTATTGTCTTTAAAAGCGCAACAAATTATGCTCATTTCCCCTTTTAATTATGTGAATAGCTGTCAGTCATGTCATGAACTGTAGAGCGGACATGATGAATAAGACAACAACAAACCATTCTATGGCAGTTAATATTATCACTTCCAATTTTCGACATAATAAATTTGAAACACGTTTAACATTTAAACTTCTTTTCCTTACACGGTTTGTGCCAGGTAATGAGGTAATTAAATTTGCATTTCTTTTTCGCTTTTTGAAATTTCGGTCTAAACTTCAATTCTTGTAAATATTTAGTTCTCGTCTCGCGCATATTTCTTTTATTTTATTTGTTAAATGAGCGTCTATCTAAATGCGGGCAATTACGTCAGATATACTTTTAAATAAAATTGTAAATGTTCGGACATGAGGAGAAAAGAAATATTAAGAACAACACGTTGTCTTGTCTTTCACACTCAACGACATTAAACTTAAAGGTGCACGAGAAGCCCTCACAATTTTCTAGCCCATAAATATGGATAAGAATAATGTGCTACATGTTAGAGCTGTCCAATTATCTCGCTTCAACTTTATTATAAACAAGAATAATTAAGAATTTTTTAATTGCTTCAAATGAAATATAAATTCATAAGTAATGAAAAGAAAAACTTTCATAATTTTGTTGTTGAATGAGAGATAAAGTACACAACAAGAGAAATAATTTTTAATCTTTCAAAAAAGGTTGGTCTTCTGAAAAGAAACGTCATGGTTAAGTGCACTTTGACATCTTTTCAAGACAAACGAAGAGGAAAAGAAAAGTTTTTATCTTTTAAATATGAAGACGAAATGTAATTAAATTGTTGAGGGAAACAGAGAATTTTCATTGTACGACTATGAGTTGTCTTGTAATTTATTGTCGCTTAACATTTAATAAAGCACTTCTCAGGTAACTTCCATGAATTTCAAATGTAGTTCTGTACAATTTGGCTCATAAGGGTTGTATAAACATATCCAAATAACTGTCCTAGTAATTATGAAGTAGATAAATAACATGAACAAGAAGAAGAAAACTTTGTACATCAATTTTGTGTAGATGAGAATAAGATGAAGAAGAAAATTTGTGATTGTTGTGATCATTTCAGTGAATCGTTTTTAACGGTAGATTGAACTTAGGTTTGAGACATGTTTAGTTAAAGATCAACGATTATAATGTAAAACGAATGAATAGTTCAGAAATGACAATAATTTTACCTTTTTGAAGATTTGCAAAAATTTTAGGAATTTTTTTTATGTTTTTCGGCGCTTGAAATAAAAAAAATATTTTTGCTACTTCACAAGTTTCAAGGTCCACAGAAAAGTCTAGAAGAATTTTTTTATAAAAAATCAAGATTCTTAAGTGCTCACGAATCATGTAAACTGTCATCTTAGGCTTTTCGTGAAGTGCTTTGATAGAACGACTCAAAGTGACATGTATAACATGTCTTGTCATTCACAAACTTTAAGATCCTTTTTAAATTGTACACAATAGATGATTTCTCTCCACAATTTCCTTTGCTTTCAAATCAAAATACCTAATATTTTGAAAGTGACATCAGCTGATAGAACAAGAACAGCATTTGAAAACCTCTTTTGTCTCCTTACAAAGTTACATTAAATATTTTTCCTTAAATATTAAAAAGCAATCAATGTTTTCCAAAGAATCGTGTGAGTTTGCTTAAATCTTATGACGTCATAGAATTTCCCTAAATACTTTCTAATTCATTTGAGGGAAAGAAATATACATTTCTAACTCAAATATTTATTTTCTAATTTCATTCTTCACTTGAGTGTGTGTACACAAAAAATATAAATTTATGTCTTTTGACATTTTTAACAGACGACATGTCATTCACATTGAAATCGATTCTTAAAGAGAAGCAGCAAATAATAAAATACTTAAATGAAATTTAATCAAAGGACAAATTTAAAGACTTTCTTGTGTTCTTTGAAAGGGACATGGATTAAGGCAACCTTTAAGGATTAATCGTGTGGAAGAAGGAAAGACTCTTTAACATACATAGCATAGCAGGATATATGTAGCCAGTCTCTTTCACATATTATGATGAAACGATATGTACAGAGAGTAATGTAAAAGAGATTAATAAAGAAATTTCGACACAACGAAGGAAGAGAAGCAAAAATTATTGGAAAAAATTTTACTTTCGTTTCACTGAACTAGAAAGAAATGTGAAAAAAAGAAGAGAAAAGAAAACGGAGAACATATCGGAATAATGAGCAGATATGTTGACAAAAAGAACGATAAAATTAATTTAAATTCTTTTCTCAGTGTGTTTGTTGCTAAACCTGGATAAACGTTAAATGTTTTGGAGACCTTGAAGCATCAATTTGTCTCTCGTTTGTTCGTTCGTAAAGATTAAAGCCATCTGCAATGCGTTTGTTGGTGATCAATTCTGTTCATGATTTGATCTGAAAAAATGAAATTGAAACGGAACAACAAAACAGATTAACATTTCATATATCGATCGATGAAACGTTTCCTGCGATAATATTTCTGCTCGGTTGAGTTCAACATGAAACAAAATTTTTCTTCGACTTCGTCAATGAGTAAATACAATGTTATTTGGTTGAGTCACATAAACTAGATATTAAACGTCGAACATAAGTTTTTTTCGCCTTTCAAAGACATCTTTGTTCAATCGATTATAATTGAAATCGACAAACCGGCCGTTTGAAGTCAAGCGAATAACATACGAGACGAAAATATTTGAATAATATTAATTAAGTATCGTCTGGGTGGCCGACGTGTTAAAAATAATTTTATTTTTTTATTTCTCAATCGAGATAAGATTGATAGACTTCATGATATTTTCTCAAAAATTATTAAAATTTGAAAATATTTGACATACGCAACTTGAATTGAATATATTCAAAAGATTCTTATTCGTACTTAAAGGTAAATTGATCTTTTATCATGAATCGAGAATCTTCATCACATCTTTCGTTGCTTTTATGGAAACGATGAATCATCCAGAATTTTATGTTGCGATCTTTTGTTCATACATGCTTAAATCATACTCCACTATCACTTCACTATGAAATAATTTATGAAAAGAAAGATTCCTAAATGTAAGCTTTATTTAAACGATAGAAGAAGCTGCTTTCCTAAGACACTTTTATCAAAGATTATAATAATATTTCATATCTCCACATCCAACATATTCTCCACTCACTCGACTACATTATCCTGCACCATCATAATGCGAATGAGTATTTTCTGCCATCGACATCAATTCACTACTTACAGACAACGACACATATTTTCTCCGGAAGAAGAGCTTCAATATTCATTTTTCTAACAGCATGTTGTAAGTGCGGGAAAATTTTTGTGGCAAGTCATCAGCAAATAAAAGGATATCACTTCTTGTCCCCATTTTTCGTAGAAACAAGCATAATAAAATTTTAATCAGAATAATGGAATCGTTTTTAGTATCATCAGCAGTTGCTCATAATGTGGTTTGATGCTTATTACCCCTTAACAAGAGATCCAGCCATGAATATCATCAAGCTTAGACGAGCGAGCTTTTTTTTCATGAGATAAATGTTTTGATAAATCTCGAAATATTTATCAGCGGTCAGTTGAAGGCGGGGGCGGCGATGAACAAAATAAAAAAAATAGAACGAAAGAAATGTTTTTGTAGAGAAATGAAAATGACAAAGAGCAAATTATTAGTCATGGCTAGTTAGAGTTGCGACTAAAGGAGAAAAAAAATATATTATGAATATAACTTAATCTATAATAAGGCACTCGAGAGTATCCAACTGCGAAAGACCCAAGCGCTTTGCTTTTTCCTTTCTTTCATTCTCTCGCCTTTTTATTTAAACAAGGTTTTTAAACATATTTTCTCGATCTCCCTCGAACCAGCAATGGTTCTTTCTGTTCACGCTCGTGAACACACAACAGAAAAAAAGAAAACGAATTTATTAGTGACAATAATTTATTTGTCACAAGAAATTCAAATTATTTTTATGAGTTTCAAGTTTATTTACAGTTTGTTGGTTCCTGTGTATGTTTTGCTTATCTCATCCAAATGTCGTCTAATTTCTCCCTCTATCACTGTCGGAGAATCAGCGGATCAGTGCCCGGCAGCACGTGAATGGGTCGAGCTTGACATTTATGACCTTAATTAAAGAGTACTAAAGCTTGATTAACATTTGCCCTCGTCGTTCTCGTACTCGTTTCTTCCGGTAAGTCACGCTCGGTCAGAAATTTAATTCGACCATAAAACTGACGAACATCAAAAGCCTGCTTTTTATCTTATAATCGTGTTTCAGCAGGAATAAAACATATAAGCGAATCAAACACCCCCGCATCTCTAGAATATCGACGTTGAATCCCAATAAAAAGTTTTCTCCCCTGATTTTTTACCAATTAATCAATCGAAAAAAACAGATGCCATATGCTGCTGATATTCACTACTAACAACACATACACACACGTCAGAGCACGGTAGTCGTCTGATGAAATACCGATAAAAATAATAAATTCCCTGTTATTTATTTCATTTTATTCTCTTTTTAGTTCCGTTAAAAAAAGCAATCATCATAAACCAACCCCGAGAACGAAATTTTCTCTTTTTTTTTGTTTCGTCGTCCAAGTTTTGGCGAAATTCTCTTAAAATTTTATGCTTTATACTATATTTATATGAACATAATGGTTCTTGTAACGCGATTGCCTGTAACGATATGATAAACCAATAAATGAAACGTTATTTTGACATCCGACCGGAAACATTTCTGTTCACTTCAAACAATTTTTTTTTTTGATATTGTTTTGCAATTTAAATTATCGTTTTTTTTTCATCCTTTATCAGGTGAGATTCTGTCAAACTACACTAGTTTAATTATGCTAACAGAAGCTGTTGAATAATCAAATCATTTAATTAACGAAAATTGTTGTCAAGTAAAATTTGAATAATTGCATTTCACAATAGCCGATAACAGATCATTTAATTTTCCAATTTTCCAATTTTCCTTCGTCACATTCAATTAAGCTGTGCAATGTTCATCACTCTCTCTTTCTTTCTCCCAAAAGGCTTGAAATTAATCATCAAAGCCGTTGAACAAATCGCATGCATTCACTATTTTGTTCATCTGAACTAATCCCTTGAGTGATGTCCGCTTTTCAGTGAAGTTCGGTGAATAGTTCCATTAGTTATGCTATTTTCGGGGTGGACTAAATGTCCTTGATAGCTTGTTATACATCAAACATGTAAATTTTATTGTCATTTATCATGGCAAGGATCGGTTTTTATCAAGAGAGAGACTCGTGACAAAAACCTGTCTAAATATAAATTAATCAAAAAACTTATGTTTAGAAGCTACACATGTTTAGATGTGATAATTATAGTTTATTAATGTATGATGAATAGCAGCGTGATTTGTGTTGATAGCGACTTGATTTCATAACAAAGTTTATAGAAAACAATTTATTTCTTCTAGTAAACATTCCACCCACGCTGTAACCTCGCCTTAAATGCAATAATTAAAAACCATGACTGTTTCTCTCTTTTTCTCTTTGCGGAAATGCTTTTTGTCTATTGAAGTGAAAGAGCATTTTATTTATGCAGTTTTTCATTTTTTCAACCACTAATTAATTTTCTCTCGCTTTAGCAGAATGAAAAATAAACGCAAGAAATTTTTTTTTTGATGGAAACAAAATTCAATCAGAGGAAAAGTTTCAACATCTTTTGAAGATTGTTTTTTTGATCGTCCATTCTTATGCTGCGAAGAGGGTGAGTTTGACAGAACTTTCAAATGACTCGAACTCTCCCTCATAAAACGGTCGTTTAAATGCAAATAAAATTAATTGAGTGAGAAAAATTATTCATCTCTCTGGTTTTTTTAGAGCTCCACAGCTTCAACATCAAACACTTCAAGGCATTCAAGAGATGGAAAAAAAATGATTACGTATATAAAACAATAATAATTCGAAGAAATATTTTTCGTGAAAAAGCGTCGCAAATAATCACTGTCGAATAAAAAAGTTTATTATTTGAGCATCAAACAGTGAAGCTGAAATCGTTATTTGCGTGCATAATTTGAATCTGTTCTGTTTTGCTTTCGGGAGAATGAAAATGATAAAACAAAATGAATTGTGGAAGGAAAAAGTTCGTGTCTTATTATTCATCATCTGCGAAGACAACAAGAAAGTTATCATTGTGGAAGGAACGAAGCGAGTAAGCGTAAAGCGAAATAATACAGAAATTCATGACAAATATGAGTTGAGAATAACTTTTTGCCATTCATTATGCTTATTGCTAGAAACTGTTTACTTACTTAATTTTGTTTGAATTTCCATGGTGACACATTTCGAATTTAGGCGAAATCCGTGGGGGAAGATGAAACTCATCGAAGAAAATTTTATTTTTTTTAGAAATAATTATGTTTGAGGATGAAAATCTGTGACTGAATCAAATATTTCAAAGAACTTCTTTGAAATACAAAAAAAGTTTAGAAAAGTAATAAGATGTTGAAATGTCAGAAGCTTTTCACAGACAATTGAAATGTACAATTTTCGTAAGCTTTCTTCAGAAGGACATGAAACTCTTGAAATGTGGAAAGAACTCAAAAATCTTTTTATAAAATGTTTCATGAAGATGAAGTGAAAAGTCTCGGAATAGAAAGAAATTCTCAACATAGTTTGGTAAAAAAAGTTTTCTCTACTTTTACAGTTATTTGTACATAAATATGATGAATGTAAACTAAGTCAGAATTCGGAAATAAATTCAAATTAAAAAATGTTAAAGTTTTTATTTCAGAAAACATATAAATTTTAAAGGCGAACAAAGAAGAAAGAAGTTTTTATTTTTCTTTATTGTCAATAAACATTACTTCATGCAGCGACATCACTCTCCGGGAATGTTTTTATCACACTTATTTCTCAGATATTTCTCATAGGTTTCAAGAGCGGTGTGGTAATGTGTAGTCAAATGCATATTAGTTGCATGATATGGGATTAAATGAAATAATTAATGACACTGTAACATGAGATCGACGGTTTATGCGAAGAGACAGCACTACTCAATTCATTGAATAAGTTCACGATTCATATTGAAGAAGGAATTTCAATAGAAGCTAAATTGACTGAGAAATCTTCTTCATCAGTCATTTAGTCGACGTTATTAATTTCATCTTCTCTTTTCCACGTCGTTTTTTTTATTACTTTTCGCTCGTAGTTAACTGATGGTAGAAATGAAATAAATATTGAGAAACGTTAGGAATGGAGACGAGAGTGGAGATATACATTTTTTTTTTAAAATCAAGATAATTGAGCTCTATTGATTCCATCAAAATGACTTTGTGATTCTTATTCCTTCTCATTTAGTTTTGCTTCTTTTTCTGCAAAGCCGACAACAATGGATATTGTTTAACTAGCTATCATTATGATGTCAATCTTTTCATTTGATTTCTTCATGCGATGAGATTAAAAATCATTAATAAGAAATAACGGTAATGGAAAATTTGAATTTTGAACAAAACTGTACAAATGTTTAAGGAAATGAACTAGAAGTGACGTCATGTATTTCCTTGAATAAAATTTGTACAATTTGGAGCAATTATTATGGGTCCTACCGAAACTTATGATTGTCCCTACCCAGTGAACATCCAATTTTTGAACTTCATAGTAGATTTTTCATTCATCTATTGGAAGTGGAAGACGAACACATTTGTTGTAGTCTGCTACTCTTAAGTCGATATTTATCGTCGCGAGGTGCCATTTGTGCATATTTTTATTGGATAAGAATAAAGTTAAAGTGTGGTGTTGTGTGACAAGTGGAACATTTAATAGTTGTCACTAAATTGTGCAATAAACTTCACTCAATATTTAAGACCATAAAGAATTCTATCGTGGTAAGAAAAACCATGCCCTTGGATGACCTTCCATGAACTTTCTTTATGATTAGGAGAAAATACCTGAAGGAACTCACGTTCGTCGTCAAGACGATTTTATGCTTATGAAACCGGTTCATTCAGTGCGTCTCACAAGATGTTCATTTGACTACCAAAATTCAATCTCACGACGTTTCATTTCTTCTTCGTGATTCTTCCTTGAGTGCTGAAATTTCTGGTTTCACAATCTTTTTTCTTCGTTAAATATATTTTCTCTTTCAATTTTTCAAAAAGAAAAAAAAAGTCTGACGACGATTAAAACGTCGTAGAAGTTCGAGGGTCAATTTTGGCTGTTGTCACTTCATATTCACAATTCGGTGTTTTATCACTTGTTGACCTTTCGAGAGTGTTACAAATTAAATCAACACAAAAAGACGGTCATTGATTTTGTTGACAGTGACTTTGTTACTTTTGTGTGTACATTCCCCAATTAATTTCTCGCGACAAATTCATTCATCTTCACTCTCGTGTCTGATTATTTTTAGACAATTTTTCATTGTCGACAATGCTTCGCTTCCTTTCCTAGGTCAAGGCCAGAATCTCTTCTCTTTCCTCATACTTTCTTGCACATTATTTCTAGTCGTCACAAGAAATCATTTATTTTTTTTTTCTTTCATTTTAATCACAGATCACAAAATGAGTCGAAAATTTTCACGAGTTGAGTCTGGCGCCGATCTGTTGGAGTTTCTCGATCGGGGTCATAGCGCTAACATGGAGAATCGATTTACATTTGAAGTTGCATGGGAGGCTGCAAATAAAGTCGGCGGGATTTATACTGTGATAAGATCGAAGGCGTTTGTCTCGACTGAAGAGCTTGGCGATCAATATTGTCTGCTTGGACCTTACAAGGAAGAATGTGCACGACAGGAAGTTGAAGAATGTGAATTTCCAAATCATTCACCAGTTCAATGGGCTGTTAACGCCATGAGATCGCTCGGCTACAAGATTCATTGTGGACGATGGTTGGTCGATGGTAATCCACAAATTATTCTCTTCGACATTGGTTCTGGTGCATGGAAGCTCGACGAGTTTCGTCAGGAACTTTGGGAGAAATGCAACGTTGGAATTCCACATCTTGACATTGAATCTAACGACGCTGTCATTCTCGGCTACATGATCGCTCACTTCATAGCAGAATTTAGAACTGCAGCTGAACGCTACTCGAAAGATCATGGATTGTCAGAAGCGAAGATTGTAACGCATTTTCACGAGTGGCAAGCGGGCGTTGGTCTCATTGCTATTCGTACACGTCACATTGACGTTGCGACTGTCTTCACAACTCATGCGACACTTTTGGGACGTTATTTATGTGCTGGCAAAACTGATTTCTATAATAACTTAGACAAGTTCTCAGTTGACGAAGAAGCCGGCAAACGTCAAATTTATCATCGGTTTGTTGCCTTCATTTGTTTATTAATTTAATTGTAATTAAAATTTCTTTCTTTCAGGTATTGCTTGGAACGTGCAGCTGCAAATCTTTCTCATGTCTTTACGACAGTCTCAGAAATAACTGGATATGAAGCGGAACATTTACTCAAACGTAAGCCTGATATCATCACACCAAATGGACTCAACGTTAAGAAATTCTCAGCTTTACATGAATTTCAAAATCTCCATGCAATGGCCAAAGAGAAACTTCACGAATTTACTCGTGGACATTTTTATGGACATTTTGATTTCAATCTTGAAAAGACTTTGTATTTCTTCATCGCTGGTCGATATGAGTTCAGTAATAAAGGTGCTGACATATTTATCGAATCATTAGCGAGATTAAATCATTTCTTGAAGGTGAAAAATTCTTTTTTTTCTATTAAATTCTCTATTTTAATTTGATTGTTTACAGAGCTCGTTGCCGGATGTCACAGTTGTTGCATTTTTAATATTTCCGGCTAAAACAAACAACTTTAATGTGGAATCTTTACGTGGTCATGCAGTTACAAAGCAACTTCGTGACACAATCAATCAAGTTCAACAAGAAATTGGGAAGCGAATGTATGATACGTGTTTGACGTGAGTTTTCTTTCTCTTCTGATGATGTTTTAAAACTTCTGATAAAAGAACTTTAATTCTACCCTTTTAGTGGCTGTCTACCTGAAGGTAGAGACCTTCTCACTAAAGATAACATTGTGAAGATTAAGCGATGTCTTTATTCACTTCAAAGATCCGGAATGCCGCCAGTAACAACACATAATATTGTCGACGATTGGAATGATCCAGTCTTGAATTCGTAAGTGTTGCCTTTTGTTTTTGTCATTAAATATGAATTTTTCATTGAACAATTTAGTGATAACAAATGCTCATTAATTGCGCAATCATTTTAATTCTCTTATCATTTATTTCTTCATAGCATTCGTCGTTGCAATCTTTTCAACAGCGTTCACGATCGAGTGAAAATTGTCTTTCATCCTGAATTTCTTAATTCAACGAATCCATTATTTGGTCTTGAATATGACGAGTTTGTGCGTGGGTGTCATTTAGGTAAACAAACATTTTTAAATTGTTTTGTTTTATGTGTCAGGGATTCTAAACCATTGTCGAATTGGACTCTGTTAGTTACTTTTCTTAAGTGTCTTCATCAAAAAGGCAGCAAACTTGACATGTCTTGCGACACAAAGATTGAGAATCCCTGAATCAATCGTAAATGAATAAACTAATTTTAATAAATTACTTAAGGTGTTTTCCCTTCATACTACGAGCCATGGGGTTACACACCGGCTGAATGTACTGTAATGGGAATCCCCAGCGTCACAACAAACTTATCAGGCTTTGGTTGCTTCATGCAAGAACATATTGCTGATCCAAAATCGTACGGAATTTACATTGTTGATCGTCGTTTCATTGGATTGGAGAATTCTATTCAACAATTAGCGCAGTACATGTACGACTTTGCGAAACTTAATCGTCGTCAACGTATTATTCAACGTAATCGAACCGAACGATTGAGTGATTTGTTGGATTGGAGAAATTTGGGAATTGTAAGTGAACGTTGAGAGGACAGTTTAAGAAATTTAATTAATGTTTTTCTGTTCAGTATTATCGTCAAGCACGTGTCAAAGCACTTCAATCAGTTTACACTGATTACGTTGATGAAGCTGGTGAGATGTTCTTCAGCCGTACAAGCAATAGCTTTAATTATCCACGTCCGATGAGTGCACCGCCAAGTCCATCATCGTCACGTCATACAACACCAGCTCCTTCAGTTCATGGTTCAGATGATGAAGACAGTGTCGACGAAGATCAGGAACTTCACGAGTTAGGATTGAACCAAAACTAAATGTTTGTAGCTCTTCTCAACAAGGACTGAAGAATATTGAAGAGAAAAATATTTTTTGTGGAATTTTCAATCATTATTTTACAATGTGAATGTTCAACTTTGGGAAACATAAAATTATGCTTGAACATTCCACAAAATTTATTTTCTTGAATCATTTGAAAGCTCCCGTTTTTTAATGTCAATTTTTTTTGTTCTTTTTTGTTTTACAACTTATGTTCGTAATTGATAGTCAAATTCCGGTAAACATTTTGTGTTCAATTTTAACTAATCAGAGATGAGAAAAATGGATTCTGAGTGAAATAGAAATTCGATACAAAAAGTTGCATGAAGCTTCAAGTTAGAAGCTTAGAAAAGTGAAAGAAAGAGATTTAAGTTGTATAAAGTGAAAGCAAATCATTACAAAAGATGCCATGTTAGTTTTACTTTTACAAGCAATGAAAAGTGTGCAATGAATAGTTGTGACTTGTTAATGATCATTAAAAAATGAAATATTGATTTTCGACGATTCATTAAAAATGTCGGAAATTATTTTTCGACGATTCTTTTAAAAGGTCGAAATTTCCCAGATATTAGCAAAGAAAGTTTAACTAAAGTTAATTAATGCTGCTTAAATTTGAGATATTAAAATAATGTTTCGTTTTATCTGAAGTTTGGATAGTTTATTGTCTCGAATTATGTTAATTTTTCTTGTCCTTTTATTAAAAACATTTATGTTGAAGCAATGTGGAATTCTGTCAATGAAAATATTAAATAAATCATTATGGCTATTGAAGACATAAATTTATTAGATAAATCATAGACGATATATGAGTAGAATAATAAAAAATAAAGCAGAAAATTATTTTTTAATAAAACAAAAATTCATTTGGATATTTTTATGTTTTACAGCATTGCATTGGAGAATTTTTTCGTTTACTTTTGAAGTGCTTAAAAGTTTAAATAAATTTTTATCATGAATATTTTAACAAGGTCGATGAAAATCTTGTATTTATGAGAAATGCTATGAAATTTTAATTATTTCTGAGTTTACTTTTAAAACAAAATTGGCGAACGTTCATATTGTCGAATGTCGACTGTTTTATTCTTCTCTTGATTTCCTTGAATGTTCTTTGGCAGCTTTCTATTTTTACTTATGGGAAGCTTACTTAACATAAATACATATATCCATACATTAATGTGAGAGAACTTGTCATTGACATTTAAAAAAACTTTTAAAAACCTGAATATAATCTTAAGATTTAAACTTGAGATTTTCCACTGAATATAAAACCAGTGTTGCTGTTAATTTTTTAGTTTATTCCAACACTAAAAAAGTTCAAGTCATGATTGATAAGAAACCCTTTCAAATAAAGTTGTATTAAAAGATTCGTGACATTTTCTTATCGCAATTTTTCGCGCTCTTTACTTTTAGTCGTCATTTTGACTTCGACTGAGTGTGATGTTTAATTGTAGCTTGAAATTTCTAAGTCGTCCTCAACTTCTGTTAGAAGCAAACCGAAAATTGATTAGGAGATCGTTTAAAACGTCTCAAGTGCAACAGGAGTTGACGAATGATGTGAATGATCATGTTCTGCACTCGCCTTATGCTTCAATGGATTATCCTAATTGCACTTTGGATCAACATGTTTGGCGAAATGTTCGTCAGTGGGACAATAAACCAGCTGTGGTGAGACTTGTGAAGATTTTGTGTAGTTTTTGAATTTATTTGAAGCTTCAATTGTGTATCAAGATTGATGGGATAACAGACCGATCAGTTTCTTATGGACAACTTCGTGATCATTGTCGTGTCTTAGCAATTCGCCTGCAAACAATTTTTTCATTAAATCCCCACGATGTCATTGCTGTTTGTCTTCCCAACTCCATTGAATTTCCAATCGTTTGCCTTGCTGCAAGTGAAGCTGGAATTGTAACGACGACAATCAATCCAATTTACACACCAGGTGAGTTTTAAAAAAATTACGCGGAAGGAAAAAAAACTTTTATATCAAAATGTTATCAAAATTGATATGAATGAAATTTACAACCGGTTTGTTTAACTTTACAATTTTATTGTAATCTCAGCTTAAATCATGAGTCAGCTTGTTAAGATGTCAATCTAAAGTTGACGCTTAATTTTGCATTATCATTAATAGGATAATTAAACGTTACAATCAAGTATTCTTAAACTCTATAAACATTTTTCACTACACAGAGGAAATTTCCCGCCAATTGAATGACAGCAACTCTCAACTTCTAGTTGGTGTGACATCAATGTCTGGCATTCTTCGTAAAGCTGTCGAATTAAGCAAACGCCCAATTAAAATTGTTTATGTGAAGGAAACGGAAAGTGAATTATTGCCAGCTGATGGAATTGATTTCAATCAACTCATCAATTCACAAAGTTAATTTAATTAAATTTCATTCAATTTGACGATTTAATGTCGATCTAAAATATTTGCAGACATTGATATGAACTGTTTGAAGAATCATGAACAAGATCCAAATGATGTTGTGGTTCTTCCTTACTCGAGGTTCGTTTTTGATAAGTTAATGAAGAAATTGTTTAATAAATTTTCATCTAGTGGAACTACTGGTTTGCCTAAAGGTGTGATGATCACTCACAGAAATATTATCTGCAACAGTATGGGATTGAACTCTGAAATGGGTGCAAAAGCTTTGGTTTACCCCGCTATTGGCAATCATCAAGACACTTTGCCATGCGTCTTGCCATTTTTCCACATCTACGGATTTACTTGCACGCTTTTGTCAAAGTTGGCGGTTGGGTGTAAACTTGTGACATTGCCAAAGTTCACTCCCGACACTTATTTACGTGTTTTGGAGAGATATGAAAGTTCAGTGCTTCATCTCGTTCCACCAATAAGTAAATTCGGACTTGTATTTAATTTTATTTCATTAAATTAAGATCATTACAGTAATATTTATGAGTAATTATGAGAAACTACAATTGAAACATACGAAATCGATTAAAAATGTGATGTCGGGAGCAGCACCTTTGGGAGCTCAAGATGTTGAGAAGTTCCAGAAAAAAGCGCCGAATTCTGAATTTCTCCAAGGGTTTGGATTAACTGAAGCATCGCCAGTTATAAATATGTCAACTCCAGGATCGAAGAACTATGGAAGTGTTGGATGTTTGATCCCTGACACGGAAGGGAAAATCGTAGCTGTTGATGATCCCAAATACCGCGGTGTTGGCCCGAATGTGAGTGGTGAACTTTGGGTTCGTGGCCCGCAAGTCATGAAAGGATATCACAACAACCCCGAAGCGACAAGGAACACAATAACATCTGATGGATGGCTCAAGACTGGAGATATTGGACATTACGACGAGAATGGCGAGTTCTACATCACTGACCGTCTCAAGGAGTTAATTAAAGTGAAAGGTTTCCAAGTGGCACCAGCAGAACTTGAAGCTTTGATTAGAAGTCATCCAAATGTTGCAGATGCAGCAGTCATTGGAGTTCCACACGATCGTTTCGGTGAAGTTCCAAAAGCTTTCGTTGTACGAAAGAATTCAAATCTTAATGAAGAAGAAATCAAAAGTTTCGTTGCTGGCAAAGTTGCTGAGTACAAACAAATTGACGGCGGAGTTGAGTTCATCGAATCGATTCCTAAAAATGCAACTGGGAAAATTCTTCGTCGTAGTTTAAAGGAATTGAATGAAAGGTGATAAATTATGATGGCGGTAATGAAGGAAAAACGTTAAAATAAAATTTTTACAATACAATAAAGTGTAAAATAATGTTTGTCAAATTAACCAAGATTTAATTCCAGCTTTTACAAAATTTTAATCTTTGATGGAGACACATTAAAAGTTCTGAATTGCTGCAAGTAGCAGGAATTTTTCTGCCCAATTCTACTCTCTGCTAATTAAAATTTTGTGCTCATTTTTCAAAAGGTTTTAAACTTGATCAGAAATTCGATTCTAGCATATCAAGAAATCATAAAGAGAATCATTAAAAAATTTTTAAATAAATCTCAAAATTGAGCGTTCACAAAGTGATTCTCTTTCGAGAGAATTTTTCAATCATTCCATAATCACAAAATCCCTCCAAAGAATACTTGTTTACTTCTACAACGACAAATGCGTCGTCTTATCAAATACTTTATTTATTTTCTCTCAACCATCCACAGTCGGTGTTTGGATTTTGAGAAAAAATGATATTCAACTTTGTTTTGAAAAGTTTAAATTCCTTTCAAACATCTTTGAAGGTGGAAAAAAATCTTAAACTGATTAAAAGATTGTTGACAACATCTCAAGTTGGGAAACAAAGAAATTTGGGAAATAATGAGTCGGATGTCGTTGTTGCTTCTCCATTTCCATCTATCAATTATCCTGATTATAAGTTACATGAACTTATTTGGAATAATCTTCATCAATGGGATAAAAAAACAGCTGTGGTGAGACTTGTGAAGATTTTGTGTAGTTTTTGAATTTATTTGAAGCTTCAATTGTGTATCAAGATTGATGGGATAACAGACCGATCAGTTTCTTATGGACAACTCCGTGATCATTGTCGTGTCTTAGCAATTCGCCTGCAAACAATTTTTTCATTAAATCCCAACGATGTCATTGCTGTTTGTCTTCCCAACTCCATTGAATTTCCAATCGTTTGCCTTGCTGCAAGTGAAGCTGGAATTGTAACGACGACAATCAATCCAATTTACACACCAGGTGAACTTTTTCTTTCCCAATTAATTCGCAAGTCATTTATCAAAAGTCTTTCAAATAAACAAATAAAATTATTCAATTATTTAACAGCTGCTGATAACAATTAATGTTCCATTAATTTGTACTCTGAAAAGTTATTATCAATCAATGGAACGTTATCAAGTACAAACATTGAACAAATTCAAAAAGAAAGTTTACTTTTTTTTTATTTACAATTACAATTAGAGGAAATTTCTCGTCAACTTGAAGACAGCAACTCTCAAGTTCTCTTCACATTAGCAGCTTTATCTGATGTTGTTGAACGAGCAGTTTCGTTAACTAAACGAACTATTAAGATAGTTTATGTGAAAGATAAAGAAAACAATTCACTGCCAGCAGGTGGAATCGATTTCAATGAACTTCTTGATTCGAGAGGTAAATTAAATGAAAAAACAATTTAAAAGTTTTTAATAATTTTTTCAAATCCCAGGAATTGACCTCAATGGACTGAAAAATCAGGAAAGTAACGTCAATGATGTAGTTTTTCTTCCTTACTCGAGGTTTGTCAATGATCATTCTCAAAATTTATTCAAATTGACATTCTTACTTACTTTAATTCATTAGTGGAACAACTGGTTTGTCCAAAGGTGTGTTAATTACACATAGAAATGTTGTATGCAACATCTTAGGAGCAAACTCTGACATGGGTGGCGGTTCTGTTGTCAATCCCGCTATTGGCAATCATCAAGACACTTTGCCATGCATCTTGCCATTCTTCCACATCTACGGCTTAGGCTGCACACTTCTATCAAAGTTGACACTTGGCTGTAGACTGGTGACACTGCCAAAGTTTACTCCCGACAGTTTCTTGAACGTTCTTGAGAAATATGAAAGTTCAATTCTTTATCTTGTTCCACCAATCGGTAAGATGAAAGTTTCATCATGACTTTGATAAAAAAAATTATTTGCAAGCCATTTTCAGTTATTTTCATGAGTAATTATGAGAAACTGCAATTAAAGCATACGAGATCTATTAAGAATTTAATGTCAGGAGCGGCACCTTTGGGATCTCAAGATATTGAGAAGTTCCAGAAGAAAGCGCCGAATACAAAACTTTTCCAAGGCTATGGAGCGACAGAAGCATCTCCGATGATTTGTATATCAACTCCGGGATCGAGGAACTATGGAAGTGTTGGATGTTTGATCCCTGACACGGAAGGGAAAATCGTAGCTGTTGATGATCCCAAATACCGCGGTGTTGGCCCGAATGTGAGTGGTGAACTTTGGGTTCGTGGCCCGCAAGTCATGAAAGGATATCACAACAACCCCGAAGCGACAAGGAACACAATAACATCTGATGGATGGCTCAAGACTGGAGATATTGGACATTACGACGAGAATGGCGAGTTCTACATCACTGACCGTCTCAAGGAGTTAATTAAAGTGAAAGGTTTCCAAGTGGCACCAGCAGAACTTGAAGCTTTGATTAGAAGTCATCCAAATGTTGCAGATGCAGCAGTCATTGGAGTTCCACACGATCGTTTCGGTGAAGTTCCAAAAGCTTTCGTTGTACGAAAGAATTCAAATCTTAATGAAGAAGAAATCAAAAGTTTCGTTGCTGGCAAAGTTGCTGAGTACAAACAAATTGACGGCGGAGTTGAGTTCATCGAATCAATTCCTAAAAATGCAACTGGGAAAATTCTTCGTCGTAGTTTAAGGGACATGCTGAAGTCGTAATTAAAATTATTTTCTTTTATTTAAAAAATTTACGTACAATAAAATAATTTTAATGAAAAAGAAATTTATTCATCGACACAAAGAGGTCCACCAACAACTTCACAAAACTTGTCACGATCAAGATAAGTGCAGCCTTTATGTGTGCAGGGATAAGTGTAGCAATGTGGAGAACAATTCAAAGATCCATCTGTACAACCAGAACAATCTAAAATTGAATTTCATGTTAATAAAAAGTTTAATTTATAAAATAAATCTTTACCAATTGTTGGGCAATGACGTCCAAAGCACAGTGGAGGTGCTTCAGCAGGATTGGATGGTGCAATAGTTAAAATATTATTGTGATAAGTCGTTGAATGTGGTTTCAAATAAAGACGATCAGCAATACAAAAATCACCACAATATTTGTAACGACGATGTGTGCACATCCATTCATTAGTTCGACGTTCTTTGCATTGTCGTGGCGTTACAACTTCGCAACATTTCCCTGAAGATTCACCATCTTCATCAGTGTCTTCACGACTTTCAGCATTTGGATTTGGAGTGCTTGCATCTGAAGGTTTCTTTCCACTGACATCAACACATCCATTAATTGTTTCATTGTTTTTCACTACAATCGTTCTTATCGATCCATCAGCACATTCAGCGTCACTATAAATGTGAATGTTGTTCTCATTTACATTGTTTAATGTCACTGGATGTGTCACGTTATTGATATTAAAAATCGTGTTGTTAATCGGTTCAAAATGATTCACAATGTTGTGACCTCGATCACTTCCTGATCTGGATTCACTTGTGAAGATATTTATGTTCAATCCACCTCCTGGATAGAAACCTGACAAATCCGCATCTACTGACTCATCATTAACGCAATCAATCGGTCGTTTGTAACATTTCATATTGCAAAAATGATAATTTGGTGGACATCTGTAGCATAATTTTCCATGAAGAGTGAAACCTTCAGGACAATGACCTGGAGGTCTTGGATGTGGTCGATGTGGTCTTGTTGGGATCCAATTAATTGTGGGATAAGTTGGTCGTCTTGTTGTTACTGTTGGATAACAAGGTGTTTTATCTGTGGGTGGTCTTGATGGATCACAAGGTAAGATTGGATCTCCTGGTCGATTTGTAACTTGTGGAACACATGGCGGTCGATCTGTCGACCAGTTTGGTTGGTTTGGTCGTCCCGAAGGATCACACGGCAGTGAAGGTTCAGTCGGTGTGTTATCAGTTGTTGTAATCTTGTAACAATTATTACCATGACGATATGAATCTGGTGGACATGAATAAACAGTCTGCTGGCATTTACCATTAATTAAAGTTGAACCTTGTGGACAGCGAATGTTTGTAAGTACACAAAATCCTGACTCGTCAATTGTAAATCCAGGTGGACACATTGGCGTTGGTTTGATGCATTCATCGCCATTCGCTTCAAAGCCAGGTGGGCATGTAAACGTTTCAATGACACATTCACGACCACGTAAAACTGAACCAGGTTGACAAATAATGTCAGCGACTTGACATGTTACACCGTCCCAAATGAACCCGGTGGGACATTGCGGATCAGGTTGCACACACCGACCATGTTTGAAAACATGATTATGAGGACAAATCTGATATTGAACGCACGACCTTCCATCCCATTCGAAGTTCAGCGGGCAAATCGTTTTTGATAAGACGCAATGATCGTTTTTCCATGTGTAGCCTTCAGGGCATTCATTTGTATAATTCTGAACGCATACACTCCCGTTCTGAAATGTTCCAATGGGACAGAGACGAATCTCATCCTTCTCGAATGGAAGAATTGTTGTGTTGATAATTGGCGGCACTGGAATGATTAGTTGATTAGGCGGATAGTAATTTGGTTGATTTGTATTACAATTTGGGTCGTTATTGGGATATTGTGGTCTGGGTCTGGGTCTGGTAAGTTCACCAGGTGGTGGATGATTCTCATCATCATCAACAGCTTCAGTTGTCACTTCATCTTCATACTCGGCACTTTCAGTAACATTTAAATCTAATTTATTTGTCGTTGAATTGTCCAATAAATTCTCAGGAACTCTCACATCTTGCGACAATGATGTGCTGAGAAGACAAATGATAATTAATACAACTGACTTCATAAAGCGACTGATTAATTCCAAAACTCGCACAAAACTGAAAGAAAATATTTTGAGAAGATTTTTTTTAATTTGGCAAATTTTTGAGAGAATCATCGGAAGCATGTCATGGTTCAATGAAGAAAATTATCTCTTGAATTAAATACTTTTTGTGATTACAACTTTTAATTGTTTGTTTATTTTTAAAACATGATTACAATTAATCAAGAAATGTTTCGTTCGATTTTTGTGTTATTTTTATTCTTATAATTCGTCATCGACTTCAATAACAACGGGACGATGTTTCTTTCCATGTTTCTTATGACGTTTATGAGAAGGAATTTCATTTGTCTCATGTTCTTCGTAATAAGCTTCACGATCAACCATTGGAGGTAATGGAAGTGGCTCAGGTTGTTGATAGTAATCATAAGAAGGCGGTTGTTGTCCATAATATTGTGGGATGTAAACAGGCAAAGGTTGAACATAAATTGGCTGATAAACGACTGGATAAGGATACAAATATTGTTGAGAGTTCATTTGTCTCTCTGGTGAATGTTTCGAATGTCTTGCACTTCTCTTTATCGGTTCACTGGCAGTGTTTCTAGCGAATGGATGATCAAATTCGGAATTTTTATCAGTGCAATTTGTGATTTGTAAGCCATTGTCACTAACAATTTTGCACTTGCTGCGACCAGGGATCCATCCTTGTTCAGGATCTTCCAATTCTTCGTCATCAGGAAACATGGGAAAGTCATCGTCAAGTTCAAATTCACTAGATGGAGGCATTTGTGGATACATTCCAGGATAATTTGGGGGATACATTGGCATTGGATAAAATCCAAGATTACTTGGTGGAAGTTGATTTGGTTGACAACCAATGTTTGGCCATTGTTGTGATTGTCCGCAAGGATTTCTGTTCGGATGAATGACTTCACTTGTACATTGAACTCCGCAAACCTTTCGTCGCTTATATTGACATTTTAACCCCGCTGTTGACTGCTTACAGTTCTTTGGTTCAACAGCGTAACAACACGAACCAGCTTCAGTGAATCCCAAGCCAAACTTTCCACTTTTCTTTTCGGTTTTATTTTGATAAATGTGAATGTTATTCACGTTCGTATTATTAAGTGTCGTTGGCATGTTCACGATGTTTGTGTTATTGATTACATTTGTCAGACGAATGACTGTTGTGATATTCGCAGCTGAATCGACGTAACCACGATAATAGTGAGTCTCGTTATCATTCTCGATGATGATATTTCTTTCGATAAGTTTTGATGATCCACGCAGTTCTCCCGGTGCTTGTTCTGACGATTCATCGTCTGTTGAGTTTCCTAACACTTCTTCAATGATAATTGGTTCAACAATTTCAGGCTCAACTATGTCAGGCATTTTATCAACATCTTCTATAGGATCAACAACTTCCGGTTCGACAACATCCGACAACTCACCATTTGTTGAGTTTGAAATTATTTCAGATTCTAATGAATTTTCTTTATCATCTTGAGATGATATTGGAACACTTTTGGTGGTACACACGAAACAAGCAGCTATGAGAAGGCAAGCAACAAGTTTCTCACGCATTTTCATCCTAAAAAAAGATAGAAAATATAAAAAAGAATTGTAGTCGTTTCGTTGCGTTATCATTGAAATCGAAAAAGTTATCGTAAATTCTTTTCATAAGCCGCATTTTTAGTTTTCGATTCATAAATCATGATTAATTGAAGATCCATGGTTTTGTTTTAATCGTTTGGAAATGAACGCAAACCAACCTTGAAGTTTAACTTGTGATAAGATGAATCAAAAATTGTTGCTGATAGTTTACACTATTCGTCTGCTGTCTTACTCAACAATCGGTTAATTCTCATTCACTTTCAAAAATTTTGAATTTTTTATTTTCTCAATAATTTGTTATCGCATTGTCGTCGCACTCTTAGCAACTGATTAAAGAACGCATCAATTAAAAAATTATCAAACACAATTACTTCCACCTTCGTCTACAATAGAATTTCGACTAATGAGATTTTTCGCATTTTTTCTTCTATTTCAGGTTGAGAGAATTTTTTTAACAATTCGAAGTCGTTATCACTTATCAGTCCTATTGGATAACGCACACTTTGATAATGAAGCTTGTTGGAATTAGGTGATGTAGTTTTAATGCAAACATACCGAAGATCGCACGCATGCGGAACAACCCATTACTCAATGTAAATCAAGGTTGTTAATGATAAGATGAAGATAACACAATGCATGTCAACAGAAGCTTCTTTTGTTAAATATTTAGGTTGCTTTTCCATGGATATCTTAAATAAATATTTGGTAATTTATTTGCGTTTTGGAGCAATATGTGTGTTTATGAAATTCATATCAATAGGCAAAGTTTAATTATAATTCAGAAGAAAAAAAAGAAAAATTCATTACTCATAAATGGAAATTATAAAAATAACTTCTTAACGGTTTCATTGATTTTGAATAACATAGAAAAACATAGAAACTACTAGAAAAATTATTAAAAATTAATATCACAGATATCTTACTTTATTGTTACTGACATTACAAGAACATCCTTTAAATATACATTTCATCATTCATTTATTCAATTTCACTTCATCATGTTGTCACCTTCATTCAGAAAAATCTTAAATTTTGTTCTGGAAATATTTTTTTTCTCCCTTACATCAAATTTCCCCTCAAAATTGACCAACAACAAAAAATATTCAATTTTCTTATTCCTTACAACATATAAAATTAATTATTTTATGGCTTTAAGAGTGTAGTTCTGATAGAATAATGAATAATGTAACAAAAAACTCGATTCTTCAAACGGTAGAACAGAAGTTTCGATTGGGCGAAGTTGTTCTTGTGGTAAGTTTTGCAATTTTTAAACAGTAAAGAAAAAAAAATTACAACATCGATTAAATTCAATGATAACAATAATAACATTTCCTCTTTAGATTTTCGAGGCCTATCAGATAGTGGGTGTTGAACATCAGAATCGCCTTCTTGCTATTGTCAAGTCTGGCAACTCATCAGCTCTCTTCGCTTTCAATGTTTCTAATTATCCTCCTGTGAACCTTTCCGATCTTCACATCGAATCAGTTATTCCGATTAATGAAACATTTCTAATAGATTGTAGCAGTGGCTTTGGCATATCATCTTATCAGTTCATAATCATCAGTGGTAATGAACAAACACTTTATTACTATTATCCAGATCCAGAGATTTTTCGTAGTAAAGAAGTGTTTGAAAGAACTCTTAAAAAATTAATTCAAGGTAAAATACAACAAGAAATTATTAATTTAATAAAGAATGTAACTGAGTTTATTTGTTTTAGAATACTCGGAAGAAAAACATGGCGATTTTCAATGGCTTGAAGCTTATAAAAGTTCAGATCTTACTGACATCGACTTGAACATTGCTTTGAATAAATTTCCGCCTAAAAATCGTGAATCAAAGTTTCGTGAAGAGCTTGAAAGACGAAAACCTGAGTACACAATTCATGAACCTTATAAGATTTATTGTGGAACGTGGAATGTGAATTTAAATGCGCCTGGGGAAGATTTAAGTTTGAGAGAATGGTTGGCAACAACTGAAGATGCGCCGGACATTTACGCCATTGGATTACAGGAAATTGACATGTCACCGGAGACAATTCTTCGTGGTGAGATTCGCCCCGATTACAATTGGATTGCAAAGATCATGGAAGGACTTCATCCAGCCGATCAATACGAAGAACTTTTGACAGTTCGTTTGGTTGGAATGATGCTAACAATTGTCATCAAGAAATCACTCCGCGGTTCAATTTCCAAATGTTGTTCATCAATGGTCGGAACTGGGACATTAAAGTTTGGGAATAAAGGCGGTGTTGGCATAAGTTTCCAAATAAACGAAACTTTCATGTGCTTTGTCAATTCTCATCTTGCTGCTCATGTTCAAGAATTCGAACGGAGAAATGAAGACCACGATGAGATCCTTCGACGCATGTCATTCAATGATGGCTTTAAATCAAGAAATATCCTCGAACATCATCAAATCTTTTGGATCGGCGACCTTAATTATCGTCTAACGAAAACCGACGACGAAGGGATTCGAACATTTTGTGACTATGAGAAAATCTTTTATCTCGATCAACTCTACATTCAAAGAGTTCAAGAGAAGCGAGTTTTCCGTGACTTCCAAGAAGGTAAAATAAATTTTCGACCAACCTACAAATACGATCCGGGAACGGATGATTGGGATAGCAGCGAGAAAAATCGCGCACCAGCTTGGTGTGATCGAATCTTTTGGAAAGGCGCCAGAATTGAGCAAATTGCATATGAAAGTGTTATGCAACTTCGTATGAGCGATCATAAACCGGTTTATGGCGTTTTCATTGCTTACATTCTAACACGCGATGAAGCGAAATTCAAGAAAGTTCACGAAGAAGTTCTCAAGACTGTTGATAAGTATGAGAATGATAATCAACCACAAATCACTGTCGCTGAGACCGATATCGACTTTGGAATGATAAGATTTCATGAACATTACAGTCGGGAACTTCTCGTCGCTAACAATTGTCATCTTCCAGTTGATTTCGAGTTCATATCGAAAGATGATTCAAGCAACGGTGTTTGTGAAGATTGGATTAACATTTCACATTTAAAAGGCGAACTAATCACGGGAAATTCGTTAAGTATTCGAATTGACATCTTCATCGATGAGAAAGCAGCGTCGAAGATCATTCGAAGGTTGAGAGACTCAACGCCAGGTGAGAAAGTTCCACTCGACATTTTAGTGCTTCATGTTAAGAATGGACGCGATGTTTTCATCACAATCTTCGGTGAATATCAACCAAGTGTGTTTGGACTTCGTTTGGGGACTTTAATGAAGCTTCAAAAGCCTTTGATTGAATACACGTTGCAGGAACTTGTGTCGATTGATGACGATGTTAATAATACAATTCCTTATCATAAAGATGCAAAAGCGCCGAGGGAAATTTGGTTGTTAACTGATTATCTTTATCGCAATGGCTTATTAATCCCACATTTATTTACTGTTCAAAGGAAGCATAAATTAAGTCCAAGAATTTGCGCGATAAGAGATTGGCTTGATGAATGGTCGACGGAACCATTTCCAGGCACACCACAAACAGCTGGTGAAGCTTTATTGAAGATTCTTGAAGCACTTCCTGAACCTCTTGTCACTATTACCGAACATAATCTCTCAATTTACGCTTCGTATTTCGATAAATGTCGTGAACTTGTTGTCAATAAAATGTCATTGCTCAATCGGAAAATCTTCCTTTACATTTTAATGTTTTTGAAGGAAATTCAAAAGAATTATGCAAATAATGGAATGGACGATCGAACGATAGGTGAGAATCATTTTTCGTTGATTTATTTGTTGACATTTCTCATGATTTTTATTCCAGTGAAAGTCTTCAGTCATCCAATGTGTCGACATCAAAATGATCAACACTGTCAACGTTTTCTTCTTCAATTTCTAGCGAATGACTTCAAAGAATTTGCAAAAAATGAGTTTGCTAAACAATAAAGTTTTCTACCCAATCAACCTCCCACTCATATCGTACTTAAAGGGAAGTTTTAAGCTCAACTTTCTTCTGTTCGAACTCTCACATTCCGGTTGTTTAACATAAACGCTGTAAAGGAATTGCTCTCTCTTTCAATTTGTTTACATCATGTTTTGATTGTCCCCACGGGTATGGCGGAAATAATTGAAAGAAACATTTGATCATTTCCACCTTCACTCCTCCCCACACTGTTACAACTTGCAAGACATTATCCGTTGAAAAACAAAAAGAAAACTAAAGCAATTATCAATAAAGTCATCATATTGTAATTAATTATATTTTTAAATTCTTTCTTACATAGGAAAATAAAAGGGAAAATTAATTTGTTTAAAAGAATTTAATTTTATGGTAACAAACTTTGATTGTTTGTGTCACTAGATGGAAGAAACTTCTTCAAAGAAACTTCTCTAAATTTCTAACTTTATTCACTTCAAAACGAAAATCAATTACGGTCGTCTTTGCAACTTAATTTAATTTTATTTAAAGCTTCTTTTTGAATTGAATTGAGAACTTAACAAAAGATAAACTTACAAAAAATTGTATTTGAAAACTAAAATTTAAAATAATTTTCCGATAACCTTTAGAAGAAAAGAATTAAATTTAATTAAAATGTTTTGCTTTACTTTCTCGGTCGACCTTTCGCTTTATTGTTGATATTTTGTTTCTCTTTCATTGTTTTATTCTGTAGCAATGGATGAATCTCATCGGGTGGTGGAGCGTTTTCAAGTTCGATGTCGTAGGTGTTTGATTTCCTCTTTTTACCACCAGCACCGTCGATGTCACTAAAGTCACGTGAACATGACATTTGATCTGTTTCTGTGACGGGATCGGATTCTTGACCAGTCCACCCACCATCTTCAGGATCTTCAACCTCAGGTGCCATTGGAAGGAATTGCAAAGTTCCGTCTTCATTTTCCTCATCAGAACTGCAAAAAGCTGCAATTGGTTCTGCTGTTACGACATCAACTTCAAAATCTTCGTCATGTTTACACTCAGCTGATAAGTCAACTGATTTATCTTCATCATCAATATCAAATTCCGATTCTCTCTCTTCATATTCAACATTTTCATCAAGTTCTTTGAAGTCGGGTGCAAAAGCTGACCAATTCTCAACTTGGTTCTGTGCCCAAATGGACACCAATCCGGAACTGATACTGGCGATTATTGGACGAACTGGATGCCAAACAACATCAAGCAAAAGTTCTCCTTTCGTTCCATGAAGAATCTTCACAAGATTTCCAACAGACTTCTCCCAAATGTAGAGAGCATGTTGACGTGCTGAACCAGCACAAATGTATTCGCCGTCGCCAGAAAAGCAACACTTCTTCCAAGTTGTTTTGTTGACTAAATCTTGTAATTTCTGGATTGGTTCTGGATCGCCGTCCTTCTTACAAGCAAGAACTTCTTTAGAGTCATAGACTCGAATGACACGATCAGCTGTGTTAACAAGGAATGAATCTCCACGACGAGCAAATTCTATACTTTTTACAGCTGTTGCACTTGATGTTCCGATGGTGATTTTGAAGCTTGCAACAACTTTCAGCGATTCTGTATCAAGGACAAGAATTTTGCCTTTAGCATTGCCAGTGTAAATGAATTGTCCTCTTCGATCGAAAGATGCTACAATGTTGAGATCACCATCACTATCGACAGGCAAAATATCGTGTTTACCGCCGACTTTCACAAGAATCGCTGCATGTCTCATTGGACAGACAAGAAATTGAGATTCGTTTCTTGGGTGAAATTGAACTTTGAGAATAGGCGATGGGAAACGATATTTGCAGTCACAATCTCCTGATAATACATCAAATATACACACATTGTTGTCTGTTGATGATGATAAAAGTTTACGGCCACTTCGAGCCCATGAAAGTGAGCAAATTGGATGAACATGGGCAGAAATTATTTTTGCGATCCCGCGAGTGAGAAAATCCCAAATTACTATTCTACCGTCATTACATCCAACAGCAAGAAGTGTTCCATATTTATTGAAGGAACAAGTTACTGCTAAAGATATACAATCTAATGCTCCATCATATTCTTCCGGGAAATTTTGACAAAATGATTCTAGAATCGTTGAAAACAAATGAAAATTAAATAATCTTGATACATTAATTAAAATATATCTCTTACCAAGAAGCTCTAAGTTCATCGTGCCTCATAAACCTGCTTAATAATGTCTTATAATTTAATTTCTTTTTACAATATTTATGTAAACAAAAATATGCCGAGTTTGTCGGTTCAAAACTAAACGGTTCAAAATTGAACCGTAATGTTTGTAAATTATTTTTGTCCGTTGAATTTAGTTAAATGAAAATTAAACATTGATTTCATTCTTTGAACATGAAAATATCTATAATATCTAAGAAACACTCCTGAAATAGCTGAAAATAAATAAATACAAACAAGGAATCACACTCAGAATAAAAGCTTCTTTCTCATTATTCTTTAATGTCGTCATAAGTCTCATATTAATAAAAATTACAAATTAAATTCTATGCCAATTTTATTGATAATTTCATCGTCCATTTTTATTTCAAAATAATTGTCCCATTCGTGATGAGCCCTTATAAGAATTTAATTTATTATTTACAGCACTTCTCGTTCTACTCGCTAACCATTTTAAAGCGAAAAAAAATTAAGTCATAATTATTTTTATGTGATATTTACAACATCCTTAAAAAATCTGAAATGTTTTTCTCTTCTCGAGTCTATTTCATCAAATAAATAGATACGTCACAATTGCCTTCAAAGATCTAAAAAACGAATGAAAGAGGAAGAGAATCGTTAAAAGTCTTCAATAAAATAAAGTAAAAAAAAGTCGTCCGCAAGAATTTCCACTTACTCATCGTTTCTTGCTGTATTTCAACTTTATAGCTCGGATTTTCGTACGATACTTCGTTCTTCCTTGGTGGCGTAATCGTTGCACTCTGTACTCTTCGTCTTGTTAAGATTAAAAGTAAAGTTATAGTTGACATGACTGCTAGAGCGGCAATTACACCAACGACAACCAGTGGTCCATAATAATCTCCTTGTGACGACGATTGCCCAGCAGTTAAAAGTTTTCCTGTCAAAAAAACAGAAAACCAGAAACGTTCATTGAAGACATTTTTGTTTTATGAGAGAAACACATTAACGCTTAGCAAACCTGTCATCCCTGGGGGTCCTGGTTTTGTCAAAAAGATGACAACGTTACTTTTCTTGATGCTTCCATTTGTGAGATACATTTCAAGCCACAAACGATACCTCGTACCAGGCTTCAGATCCATTATCAATGTTCCCGTTGTTGAGTCTCGCTTTGCTACCTTGAATACACTTGAATCCTCTTTTCCAGTATCACTTTGGTAAATCGCCCGATAAATGTTTACGTATTTATCTTCTGGATATGGAACACCGCTCCAAACAACTTCAACACTTGTTGGTTTAATTTTAGTAACATTGACAACAGCTTCAAAGCCGTAAGTGTTAATCCTCTGATTTGTTGTGACTTCGAATCTTTCACCAACACGAAGCTCTGCACCGTGACCATGGAAGGGAATGTAGAAAAGGCCGACTTCATAAGTTGTCTCAGGTTTAAGATTATCCAATGTGTATGATGTCAAAGCTCTGAAATGATTTAAAATTTAAATAAAAGGAAATTCATTTCTTGAATTGATTTTCCCAATTTTCACCTGTGGATTAATGGAGTTGCAGCATAAACTTTTCCACTCAATTCTTTGTAACGAAGTTGAATTCCATCAACATATTGAACGACATCATCTGGAATCTTATTCCAAATGAATTTGATGAATGTCGAATTGATTTCATTAGCTTGAAGTTGAGGATCTTCAAGATTTTCTAGGATGTCTGTCATGAGTGTCGGCTGATAGTTGTCAATAGACGGCGGTGTGATTGAACGATCGGCAGGTGTATGAACCGTATAAACTTGACTAGACGGTTGCGCTGGCAAATCTCTTAAAATCAAAGTAATCTTCACGCGATATTCCGAATTCGGTTCAAGCGATGCCAATTCAAATTCAAGCTGTGACGTCGCAATTAAATCTTCTGGTGGTGCAAAAATTTGCGATTGCCAACTACTCGAATCATTATTATTTGGCTGATTTGTGAAACGCAATTCGACACGACCATGAAGTCCAACATAAATCTGAGGTACAATAAAGATAACACGAACACGTCTTGAATCAATTGCATCGATTGCTAGCAATTGAAGGTCGGGTTGAATGTGATTAAAGCCGATACCTGAAAGAATTTCATTTTATTCGAAAACTTCATTTAATTCTCAAAGTTTTTTAAGTAAGTTGAGAGATTTATGAAAAGTAGTAACACCCACATACACACACAACAATACACAAAAAACATATCAAAAGTAAATATCTTTGCTTGCATGAAAATGAGAAAGACGTGAAATAATTTTGAAGGGAAAATTAAAGCACTAAAAAATTGCTTCAATTCATCAACAACAAAGCCAAAGGTGATAAAACATTTATCTATGTAGATACTTATGTATGTTATATGAGTTTAAAAGTGTTAAAATTGTTATCGTCTGTAACCTGGTCTGAGATGATCTCCGCCTTGACCGTACTGATTGTAGTTGATGCCGTTAGGTTGGACTGGTGTGAATGGCAGGTTGACATTCTGTCCATGGAGAAATGGACCATTGTTAGGATCTTGAGATTGTATGTGTTGTAACAGTTGGTCAAGTCGCACTTGTGGTGGCAAATGTTGCGAGTTTGGTCCCAAAATATTAAACAGCTGTTTATCAATTGGATGTTGATGACCTGGTGCGGTGTTTTCATTGAACTGATTTTTAGTTGCGTCGGGGTTAAAGAAACCTGGCCCTGGCTGTTGATGCACCTGCGGGTGGTGTGGCAAACCGTTTTCATCAAAGTTGTATTTATTGTTATCGTGGGTCGAAGACGGCGGAACGAAGACATTGTTGTTGTTATTGTTAAAGTTGTTTTTCTTATCATCTTTGTTGAACTTCTTGTGCGGCTTTTCTTGCGGAACTTTCGGTGGTGGCTTTCCATCAAGCGTGGGATAAAACGGCACTTCAATTTTATGATTATCTAAATCCTCATCGGAATCAACGTCACTTGTGTCGTTCTCGTGAACCGGTGGAACTTTCATCGGCTTTCCTTTCTCATAATCGTGCGGCTTTTTATGGATTGTTTTGTCGGTTTCTGTAATGAAAGTTTGCGTTTGTGTTTTTCTTTTTTTCAATTCGTTTTCGTTTTGACGAATGTTTTGTTATTGTTTGAAATTGATTTAAATATGAAAATTTTGTTAGTAACGTAATGAGTTGGAAAGAAAGCATGGAGAAAGGTTAATAGCTACTGGTCATATTTATTTGTTAAAGTCCAACACACAAAGTAATCTTTTAGGATGTTGTGGGATGAAAAGGAACACCAAATACACGAAATAAGGAACATTGGTGAAGGAGAATTGTTTGATATTCAGTTCAACTTACCGGGAGTTTCACTGCAAGCCCATTGCTTGCAGCAGTCATCGTCATCGTCGATTGGCATGAGTTTAGCAAATTTGGGACTACATGGTAGTGTAGGTGGTGGAAGGGCGAGTACGGGTGGACATATTGGACGACATTCAACTTTTCCACCCTCGCAGAAACAGTGCTGATCACAACCAGAAATTTTACTTGGAATCTCCGACCAATTGTCGAACATTTGTCCTTTGTATTCGCATGTTCCATTATCGATACACTTCATTCGTTCGGGACAGCATTTCGGGGCAATTGCACGGAATGTTGCTGGTTCGGGCACCCACTTCAAACAATGCGGATCTACAACATCGAGTCCGAAAGTTGATGGACATTCAATCTTCGAACATTGCACGCCAGACTTGTCGCAGAAACATAAAGATTCGCATTCATCATGGAATTGGTCATTCAGTTTATATTTTTTTCCTTTATATTCGCAATCAGTTGACTCTAATTGAATGTCTTCGCGTGAGCCACTCGTCATTGGAACGTAGGCAGTTTGTTCATGGTCGTCTAATGTCACATCGCATAATTGAACTTCACAACATGGATCATTAACATCTTTGACAGTTACGCAATGATCTGATTTAGTCATATTCATAATAGGGCAACGTGGTAAACATTCAAAATTGCCATTTGTTTGACAAACACAAATCTTCTCACAACCAACTTCGACACGCTCGTTGACGTTATAATCTGAATTGTTCATACTGCAATGTATTGCCTTTGTCGATGCTTGTTCGATGGGAAGCATTGTTGGTAGAAATTCTGGTGTTTCTTGCAATCTTTCCGACGTTGTGTTTGTTTTTGTTGAACGGGGTTGATTGTCTGAAAAGGTGATATAATGAATGCAGTTATATTTGATTTGAAAAGTTGTTTAGACATTAATTGCAGTTTTCCAGAATTATTTACTGAACTAACTAACTTCTGCTTCCATTCTCGCTTATTTTCTTCTTTCCTCGAGTGCTTTATTCATTTAGTTATGAACACATAACAGTTTTCACCACAAACTCGTGTTGATTGAAAAACGAAACTTGAAACTTTATGAATTGAATTTTGTTTACAAGTCAAGTGAAAATGTGTAAAACCAAAAAAGCAAATTCATGATTCGAGGAATGAAAGAAGACAAAATAAAAAGAATAAATAAATAGCAAATTGTTTGAAAGCTTTAGAGAGCTTTCATGAACCTTCTTTTTCTTCTTCTTTAACTTCCTGTCGAGATCAGACTTTTATCTACTTTGAAGATGAAATTTTCTTGTTTTCTCTCTCATTTTCCCGAGAGTCTTTGGAGGTTGGGAAATTGTCTGCATAGAAATTGTCGAAACTTTAATGAAATTCTAAGATTTCTTCTTTTTTCTTCTTTCATTCACATGAATTGGATTTTCCCGTGTTCTTTGATGTATCATAGTTTAAAATATTTTCTTTTTTCGTTCTTGAAAATTTGTAGCAATGCAATGTACAATACAGAAAGATGATCTTTATCTTGCTTTGGGGAAATGTAACGACGACAAGAAGAAACTTTTCTGATGTGTACCGCAGAAGATGTTTTGGGGGTTCATTGAATCAGTGACCTGAATTAAAGTTTCAAGATTTGTTTCTTCTTTTAATGAAATGACAAAAAGTGGGGTAAGAAATTGTAGAGACTTGCGATGATTTTATGTCATGAATTACGGAAGAATAAATAAGTGAAGCTTTTAAAATTCATAACACAGACATCACGTTTTAAACTTTAGACTTATGTAAGCCTTTTTTCAAAAAGAAAACTTCAAATTAGTTTATGTACAAGTTGTAATATTCTTTACTTACAATCCGAATCAAATTTAAGAAATTCATAGCAGACAACATTTTTCCCTTAACTTTTTCTTGTCATTTCGCAACTTGACAAACTTTTGATCAAAAAAAAAAAAATTCTTTCACTCTTTTTCACGTTTGTTTATCCGGAAAGGAGGAAAACGGAAAAATGAAGTTTTTAATCTTTTGCTTATTTGTTGTTTACCATTTAATGCCATTCTTTAATTTTCTTTACAAGTTTCAACAAAGTGAGAGAAAAAGAGATAAAATATCGGAAAACATTTCACCCCAAATATAAAAAAAATAATTTATTCCTTTTAATGCTTTCAATGTGCAACTTTCCCTATAAAAATTGGCATTACCGCAATTATTAATAAATTGTTGCTGCAGAATGTACACGGGATAAAAGAGGGAGAGAAAGAGAAAAACATTTTTATTACAAAAAGCTTTTAAGTATGAAGTTGCTTTCCGCTTTTACTTGAAGGAAAAAAAAGGCGCAAAGCACGTATTTAGCAATGTTTGTGTGTTTGTTGAAGAATTTATTGAATGAAGCATCGTTTGACGGTTGATTCTCATTATTTAATTCTCGTTTGTGTTTGTTGAAGAATTAAATGAAGAATGTTTATTACAACTGATGTGACTTTGTGTTCAACATCAACTCAACTCACCCAAATCCAATGTTTCAGCTTCATTATCACATTGTACAGTTGCACAGCATTCGTCATTTGTAGACCGCTCTTGGCAATGCGGATCTGCATTTCCCATTTTTCCTCGCTGTATAAATGCACCTTGACATCTCGCTTCGCACTTCCATGTGCCATCGTTACGACACATGCAACGTTCCTCGCATCCTTTGTCAAGCACTTCGTCAACCTGAAATAAGTGAAAAAAGGAAATATTTAGCATGAAGAGAGAAAGAGATTTATAAAAACGGAATTTAATTATGAATAACGATGTATGAAGGGAAGAAAATAAATAAATCAAGTTTAGCAAGTGTGTGTTTGTTCACACGGAAATTTCATAATTCTCCCGAGAATTCATTTCGCATGGTCGTTTTTAATGTCATTATAAGAAACTAGCAGTACGGGAAGCTAAAGGGGATGAATGTGTCAGGAAGGAATCAAATTATAGAGAAACATGAGGTCTAAGAGCTCTCAAGCGCCATTGTAAATTATTATGAACGACTGCGGATGAGAATGGAAGGAAAATTCTTGTGAAAATCACTCTTCAGGCTTCTCATATGCAGTGAAAGCGGAAGGAATTTTAATGGGAAAGCACTTGAAGATTTCAACTGCAATTGGAGTTGCTCTAGGTACAACTTTAAAATGCTTTTCAACGTACGTAAGCACCAGAAATGATTCAACCTTTTTTTCCATCAGTAGTTGAAGGGAAATTGCTGAAAAAAAGCCATTTTCGAGTGGCTGCGCTAAATTGACAATTGAAATTTTTAACGATCTTGTTAATTGTTAAATTTAATGAGTGCGGTTTTCGGAGCTTTTTAAACATTTTGATGGTTATCCAATTTACGGATGATGGAAACATCAATCAGCTTATAGCAGCGCAACTTCAACATGAATCAAAGCAATGACCAGAAATAGCTGACATAACCGTGATTCGATCATCAATTCAATAATTCAACCTTTGCCAACCTTCATTAAAACTTTGTTCAATATTCGATTTGTATTCATAGTGAAACGTTTGTCTTTTGTGAACATAAAAATTTACGACTAAACATTGAAGATGATCAGATGGCAGCATTTAAAGTTTCACGATCTCTCTGAATGGAATTACGAACCTTTAAAAATGACTTTAATCGTCCCACGAGGGAAATCGATTGAAGGTTCAACATTATTACTTTTAAATTGAATGTTACAAAATAAATGGAAGTTTATATTTGCTGAAAGAACTTATTCGTCGTATAAAGTAATAAATTTTTAACTTGAAAATAAAAGGCATTAGTGAGAAAATTACAAACCTACATAACACATAAATTATGAAAAAAGCACACATGGATCGATATTCCATCGTTGGATATACCAACTAGCCAAATTGACTTCATTAAAACTTCATGAAATGTTCTAAAGTTTCAATTAATATTCAGACGCATTCATTTCATGTATTGAGAATTTAATAAAGTTCATGGATTTTAAATTCAATTCATCAACTAATAATCAAACTGTAAATTAACCAAAAATGTTTTTGCTTCCTTGAACTAATCATCGAGACTTTTTTATAATAATTATTCCAATCAAATGGTTTTCTAATGAAATAATTTAACAATTTTTTGATTATTAAACTAGCAGTAGAACATTAGAAACAGATTTTTATTGTAATTGAAAGCTTCACAAAATATTTATTAAGTACTGCATGCTTCCAGTTCGAAGTTTCTCTTAATTTCCTTGCGATTGCAACAACAAAAAAGAATCAAGCAATAGAAGTTAATGCAATTCGTCTGTTGATAATTGTAATGTATGAAATATTACACAGAACCATCGAAATTTTTAACCATAACATTGATGATTGTTTTCAATTAAGGGCGAGTAAAAGCTGACGATAAACTTTACCACATGTGAAATTAGCGACATGAAATTACATAATGGATTCGAATAGCAACACATACATTTTTTAATGTCAACTACAAAAATCAATTTGTTGCAAACCACTGAACAACTTTATGTGATGTGAAAACGTTTATGATATGTCGAAAGCTTAAAATTATTTACAAAAAAAAAGTTATGCTGCATGATAACAGAATAAATAGCGACGATGGACACATACCAATGATATTAAATAAAATTTCCCACCAGTAATGACGTCGCAAATTAACGATCAACATATAATAATCTATTTTTCGTGGATAAAATGTTGATTATTTAATCAATTGCGTTATGAAAATTTCTGATAATAATAATAATGAACGCTAAAGTTTTTTTACCTCATGATCGCATTCTCACTTTTCTAATTGATTATGTTAAATTACCCAATATTGTGGAATGAGATGCAACTTGAAATTCTAATGATAATGCATTATTACGTTATCTATTTATATATCACATCAATTCGATGAAAATATGATGTAATAATTTTAAGCAAAGTCGCATTGTTATCTCAGCAATTGTCTCGATGGTTTAATGGTGTTGATACATTTCTATTAAGTTTATTTATACTTGAGAATTGTATCTACTTAGTTTATGCAGTTGTTTGATTAAGTTATGAAACAAGATAGATATTCGTGAATGTTTATTGAGACAGGAAAGCTGATAAGGAACTGGTGAGTGTATTTAGTGAAAGTGAAATTATTATGATAAAAAGATTAATTAAATTGATCGTGATGAACTGGTTGTTGAATAAGACATAACATGAAGAAATGATAATTAACCGGTTAGAAAGAAGTGAAACTTTTCCAATATGCAACTAGTGAAATGAAAATAAATTCCCAAGTCATGCTTATTCGACTTCTCAAAGTTAGTTTTTGTCTCACTGGGATGATATCAAATAACTTTTTTCCTTCAACCAGCAGGAAATAATGTTTGCACAAAGTCTATGTTAAATATACAAGACGAAGTGATTCTTCCTCCCAAAATTGTTTTATGGAATAAGAGACGGGAACAGCGATGATACTCAAGTCGCGTTTCTCTTACGAATGCGATCATGAAGCTTCTTCATCGTGTCTTTTCCACAATTTGTATTCAGAGTTCTAAAATATGTTGTTTTAGTATTCATTCCTTCAATGATTTTTTGAAAGATGAAATGAAAGGAAGAATGGAATTCAAGTTGAAGCTCTTTTCATGTTTTGTTGCTATGCGTGTTCAACTTGGCTCCTTATGCTCTGCTTTCATCAATGGGATATTTATGTCAACATACAAAATGAATATGAATGGAAAGAGGGAAATGAAATGTAAAATTTTTTAATATTCCTTGTGAAAACAATAAATGAAATGCCTGCGAAACGGTGGAGTTGAAGGAAAAACAATATTTTAGTTGGTAAACACTCTCGCAAGTACTCGCTGTTCTTGTGAACATATAAAAGCTTCTGAATTCATGAAGGCGAAAGGCAGAATCATGAATAAAAAAGATATTTTAATGCCATGCAAAATGATTTCACAATTCTTGAGGAAAATTCTCGTTTTTACCAAAAAGATTTGTTTTCGTTCGTTTTTGTTTTTTTCTCTTTCTATTTTTATTATAGTTTTCTAAGAGCCATAAACTGTCATACTTCGCAATATGGTCGATTATCCTCATCGTTTCATTTCCTTCCAAAGCGTAGAAAAAATATAAATAAAAAATCTTTCGCTCTTGCATTCAATTTTTCACAATGCAGATTGCAAAACGGAAATTCTTTCTTTACTTTTATATTCCAAATGAATTTTGTATATGATACAAACAAGGATGTGGAGGAAGCATGTGACTCACAGCAGAATTCAAAAGCAAAAAACAACAATAATGTTGATGCCCAAGTTAAGTGGATCGTTAGATGGAAAGCTAAATGCAAAAGTGGATGATATAAAAGGATGATGGCTTATTCATTGAATATCAAGTGCCAGAAGCTTCCGAGCCAAGGTATCCAAAAGAAAACAAATATTGAAATTGAAATTGTACTTTCAAGATGCTTAATATTTTCTTCTCATCTCATTCAAATTTTCTTAAGAATAAAAAATAATAAAATGCTTAAAATAAACGTTCACAATCTTCATCCTGACCTTGCATAAATTTTCTCATGAAATGACAGAATTTCCCAAGAGAAAAATTCTTTTTCAATTGAGAATAATTGCTATTTATTTATTTAAAGATTATTATGGAATCTTTAAAGATTAAAAGTTTTAAAAGTTTTTCTCGTCGTAATTAATTGAAATTCAAGTTCGAAGCAGAATGCATAGTTACAAGTGTGACAAAGTTCAATTAGCGACTTCGTTTCCCTTTCTCATAATATTGCTTGCAAAGCAAATTTAGACACCTTGAACTCAAACCTTCAATTGGACACTCCGTAGACGGACAAAGCACATGTGTTTCAGATAAAAGCTTTCATATTTCTTATGTTAAGCCATTTCTAGGTAAAGGTTGATGTTTGTTCAAAACTTTGTCATTTCGTCGTCAACTTTCACAAGATTTGATTTTTGAAAATTATTTCTGTCACTACAATCGAGTAAAGTTGTTGTTCTGAATAAAAAAAAATATAAAACGAAAAATATTTCAAGTTGTACTAAAAAAAATATTAAATTCTTAACAACAGCATTCAATGTGAAACAATATTTCGTATTCTAATGAAGCATTTTAAATGCATATTTGAAGTTTCAAGGATGGAAAAACTCTGACTAAGTGCTTTCAACATTTTCGTTTGCGTTTTTCCTTCTTTCTCTTTTTTGTGGGAGAAAGAAATGGAAATGTTTTACAACTTGTACATAGACAGATCAAGTTCTACACGGCTTGAAAAAATAATTAAAAATACTAAACTTTTTCAACTCTGTGCGGTTTTAAGTGCGAGTGGAAAAGCGAACAAATAAGCAGAAGGAAAAATAGAAAAAATAAATTTCTAGCAAAAATTAATTGGACTTTGTTTCCGTGTAGACTCAAAAATTTCTTCTTCAAATCGTGCTGTAATCATTAAATGTTCTCATTTAGCCGAGCATTTAGCAAAAGGATGAATACGAAAAAAAAAAGTTAATTGAGAGCTACGCGAATGTAAAGAAGAAATCGCTTTCTTCCCCTCACAACGAAATCAATTAGCATTTAATTAGGCTGAGCTTAAAGATGTAAAATTGTTTTATGTAAATATTTCCGCTTTCGGGCGAAGTTAAGGACGTTGAAATCAGTGGTATTTAAATTCGAAGCATCACAAAACTCCTCCTTTGGTGTCAGAACATGTGTCTGCCGCTCTTGTGAATTTATTTTCAGAAGACGAGAAAGTAATTGAGTGGATGATGTTTTTCTTGTTTTGACAAAAATATTTTCTAATGGCGTGGGTGGGAGTCTTGTTTGCACAAAAATATTTACGTTAAACATTATGTTTATGAATGGATGGAGAAATTTTTCTTTTTTCTTTCCATTTTTTCTGTTTGCATCTTAAAATGCTGTAAAGCTCCAGTTTAAGGTGCCTGAACTGAGCGTCCCAATTAACGCAGACTTGTTACGTTTCTCATATTGCACATGACAACGTCAAATTCGCCGCTTCTGCTTGCACATAAGTAGTACTCTTAATGTTTAATGCGTCGTCCATTAACATAATAGCTTCTCAGTTCAGTTCATCACATATCCGCTTACGTGTTGCGTAATCATCGCCTTTAATTTCTGAAATTACCTTTCAAAATCACGCAATTGATTTTTAATCAATGTAATTGTTTTTGTATCGATTACATTCCGCTTAGATATTTCTCAACGTTAAATATTTCAACAGCAGTGGTGCGCTTAGTTGTGTTAAATACAAAAATTGTTTTTATTTTGAAAATTTCTTTCATGACATTAAATATTTAACTAACAATGCGAAATGATTGATTCATTTGAATAAAGAAATCAATCAGGTAGATACTTAGTCGAGTCTTTGCTATTTATTGATAATGGATGAAGAATTCACATTGTGAATAGCAAATAGCCTAAAGTCTTTGGCAATAAGCAAAGTAATTTATTTATACGCAGCAAGTATCTTCCTTCTTTGTTTGTTGTTATACGAGGGCGAGAAATAAAAAGAAATTGAAAAATTGATCATCGTGTGGTGTTTGTCTTTCCATTTTATCATTTGACTTTCGTGAATATTTGATTTTCATGATGTTGAAAATTTTTCCACGTGCAAGTTTAACAAATTGATATGTCTCGATTTTAATGTCATTTACAGCGCCGTACTTAACAAATTCGACTGTTTGTTTGTGTGCGTGTGCTTAAGATGGTAAATAAACAGACGACGTCACTGTCGCCTACCTGCTCGCATTTCATCACGGAATTCATTGAAGTGAGTCATTTTGAAAGTCTCAAAATTTGTTTTCTTCTCTTTTACGGGTGAAGAAACGCAAAACTTGAACGTTGCCAAAGTAGCACGGAACAATGGATAAGTAAATAACGCAGAAAAGATATTGCGAAGACGTTTCTCTTTCTGCAACTCTTTAAAGGAATGAAAGATCAGAAAAGTTTACATTATGAAGTTGAATCGAATGAATTGATGAATCATGGGCATCGATAACCATTTGGGGAAGGTTCATTGAAAATGTTTTCTTTTACACAACTTCATGATGCGATAACCTGACAATCCATCAAATAATTTTTGTTTCTTTAAGTATTCTAAGCGATAGATAAAGGAAGGGTCTATGCACTAAATTGCCCATAAACAAGAACATTTTTCTGCTCGATTACTGCAAAGAAGAGAGAAGTTCTGTTAAAAAGGTGAAAATCTCTTTTTTTTTCATAAGATTAATGGTTGGATATTCATTGAAATCATACCCACCATTTTACAAGTCACAACTTTATTTGAACTTAGTTAGCAAGTGAAAAGGTAGTTGAACTTTTCTTCACTTTGTTTCTTACGCAATTTCGTTCGCGAGCCTCTCGCGAGAATGTTAAGTAAATTGACGAAAAGAAACTAACAAAAAGAAATGGCGAAAAGTTCATAAGCAACACAACAGCGACAATCATTAATATTCCCAGTAAATGATGTAAAGTTTGAGATAGAAAAGTAATTCAACTTCGTTTACGATTCTTCGTCAATCAAAATAGACAAAGTTTTCTTAAATTGTTGCTAACTCACCCACATTAGCTTTGATGCTAATGCTACTCATTCATTCTTTTTCTTTTTCGTCAAACAGTGAACATTTCCTGAAAGTTAGAAGACATCATCGAAGGAATTCTTAATGTAATTTACTTTAGTTAACCATCAAATTACAGTCAAACTCAATTTTGTTTTTCCTTCTACATCTCCATTCGCGATTCATGAACAATTTTCTCTCGTTTCACTTCTATCATCTTTTTTTTTTTTTTCTTCTTCTTTTTTTATCCCTGTCATAAGAAACAAAAAGAAGGGAAAAAAGCAAGAAGAGGAAACCAAGCGATTGTGTAATTTCATGTGAAATTAATTCTACGACTTAGTACTTTTCTCATCAAGATTGTTGTATCATTCTGGCGTAAACATCGTTAACAACAGACAAAACATAAACTTCAGGAATGGGAGAAGAAGAAATTACAAGAAAGAACAATCATATGATGATGAGATCAAGTGGTTAATTAAATAAATGCGGCTTCGTTCGAGAATTAACCGCAAGATTTATTATCATTAGTAGTTTTAGCACGAATCAAGAGTTTGATTGAATTTTGAATGCATGTTTGATTGGATTTATGTTATTTGTTGAAATGCATTCAAAGTATGAATAATTTAGAGTAGTCGAGTGGTGGTTAACATTTCAAAGTACAATCAAAGATTTAACCTTTCGACGGACGATTTTTTCTTTATCCACTCAATGCAAGACAAACTTCACATGTTATCTGATATTTTGCTTTACTTGCCTTGTAGGTTGATCCGTTGAATGAACATTCATTGTTAATTAAATGCTCTGAAGTCTCCGTTGTCGTCTTTACATCTTTCAATTTCACATCAGGATGTTCGTTTTCATAATGATCCATGCTGACGTCACTCAAATCAAAAAACGACATAATCGTCTTTTCAGTGCTTGGCGTGACAAAGTTTATTGAGCCTGGCTGGGGGTCTGAAGACGTGCTGCTTGAGACTCCAAGAGGGAAATTAATGGCACGACCTTCTTTTTCTTGCATCTTTCGATTCTTTTCATTATTAGAGTCATCTATAGCAAGTTGCGGTTCATCTGCTTGTTTATCACCTTCATTACTTAAGGTTTGTCCCATCATTGTTGTCGTTTCACCGACAACATCAGGTTTGATTTTGGTTTCAAGTGAATTTACGGTTATTGGTGTGTGAGTCGATGAGGTCATGGTTAGAGAAATGTTTTCATCATCCGGTAAACTTGTTGTATTTACGCCAAGAGGTAAAACTTTTAATGACTCATCAGTTCGATGTTCACTTGATGCTGTAGTCGTTTCCGTATTCAGCAGTAATGATGATGATGTGTCGGGATGAGAAGATGAGGGAGAAGGGACATTTGTGTTTGATTGTGATGATAATGTTGTAATCTCAGGAACAGGTGTTGGCAGTGTCATTACTGTGGAGTAAAGAAATCAAAGATTGAGTCAAGTGAATAACAAAAAAATCAAATCAAAAGAAATGAAGATTGCTGAAACATAAACAGTCGCAATTGACATTGCAGAAATAAATAAAATATATAAAAAAGAAGGGAAAATCTCAACGACAAAATAATAAAGATGTCTCATCATGAAAAATGTCTTCATTTATTATTTAAATGTAATTTAAGAGAGCTTCATTGTGGCTTTATTTTTTTTTGTTGGTTGTTGTCGGATATCATTGAAAAAGCTGCATAGCAAAGTGAAGTGACGCTTGTCTTTTTACAACCACCATGAAATGATTCTATAAAATTTTCCTACCCATCAACTGTGTGCTAAACTGTTGCAACATTATTATCACTGTTCTAATTAGATTTCTTTACTATTTCGTGTCATAAAATTCACGAGAATTTTTTACGATATTTAAACTGAAATAATCGATTTTATCGACTCATTTAAACCAAATTGCAATATCTCATCTCATGGCGATGTTTTTTGTGGAATAAATAGATATCTAAAAAAGAAATTTACTTCCGCCCACGCATATCAACAATAAAATGATAGGGAAAAAATTCATTTCACAATAAATCACATTCAAAAAATGCAATAAAGTACGATGGTAATAAATGTGTATGGAAAATGCTAATATAAAGCTTGGAAAAAGCACGCTTTTGGTGGATTTTGTAGCGTCATGAACATATCAATGCGTCGAGTAATCACTCGAGCTTCGCGTGCTCAGATCTGCAAGCACATAAGTTGAGATATTCTCGCGCCTCTCGTTTTTCTGGTTATAATAAATTGGACGATAAAAAAAATACGAGAACGTATACGAAACAACATTATTACGCGCCTTTCGTACACATTTTTGTTCTTTCTTTCCTCTCTCTTGTGTCGATTAATAATTGAACGACAACATAAAATTCTAGTGACACATTTTACCCTCGACGAGAATGAACGCCTCGCGTTTTCCTCTCTCTTTCCCTTTTTCAAATTCTTCTTTTTTCTTCTGCAGGAAAAATTCGACATTTCATCGTTTATGTTGAAATGTCCGGAATAAGCGAAACGAAAAACATCGACAATAGCGCGCTTCATGTTTTATGTGACGCTTGGGATTTCTTCTCGGTTTTCGCATTTCATATTTTTGTATTTTTTTTATATTCTCCATCCACCTACAACAAAGTATTTGTATAAATTTTATAAAGGGAACTAGTTGCTGCTAAATGGCTTTTGGGACATTGTGTGCAACGCTGTTTAACTTTCACGAGGACGTGAAACAAGTTCGACAAAGCCACTTCACTGCTTTTATCTTTTTTATACAGATTATTTCTCTGTCTTTTCTCAAATATCATTTGACACAAAATTGAAATTACTGCGAGCAAATGTCAACGAGTGATTTCTAGAGCTTTCAACAGCTTACGTCGCTTAATCTGGCGTGTAATAATAAAATGGGATATTGGAGAGAGAAAACTAAAGTTTAAGAAGTAAATTAGCTTCCAAAATGATACTTAATATCACTCAAATAGTTGAATTTAGATGAGAAATGAGGGAAGCACAGTAAAGAGAGAAGAGTTTAAGTTTTAATCATCTTTTCTACTGCTAATTATCTTATTATTACAGCATCCCAATTTATGTTGGAAGACCCAAAAAACGAAAGAAAAAAAAGCTATAAAACATGAAAACTACCGTAGTGGAAAAGATTCATTATAGACGAACATCTATGGAAAATCGTTGAGTTGTGTTATGTGGAAAGAGCACAGTAAACTAGACCTACATACGCAACTCCGTAAAGAAGCTTAATGAGGTAAAACGAAACGTGCAAGCTAACTCATTCTTACTATGTATGCCAATTGCCAAGCCAATTACTTTTATTTCCATCTCAATTATTCCGAACGTAAGCAACGAATTCACTTCCATTGTCGTCTTCTTTATTAATTTTACTTTCATTTCAGACGCAAGCAAGTAAAGCTTTAATTAGAATGCAAATCGTCATCGGAAATTGTTAGACATTTGGCTTGAAAATGCTAATATAGAGCTTAATATATTGGATGGAATGACATGACGGAACTCTCTTATTACATTGACTGAGATACATAATTTATGAAATTAAGTGACAAAAGCATTTACAATTATTGTTATCATGGAAGCCATCTTGAAAGTGTTGTAATAAGAATAAAGACAGAATAAATTAAATGAAACATTATTTATGGACATTTCCAATGAAGAGTCAACAAACTGAAAGCAAGTTGAATGATCGCGTTAGCCTTTAAACCACATCAAAAAATTTTATTTCGTTTAAACGAAGGCGAAAAAATTGAAAATTGATTCATCCAACGTTGATTGCTTGTTTCAAAGCGTTTTCCTTCAAAGGTGATTGGCTTCATAAACTTTCGACGGTGCTTGGGTAGAATAAATGGCCAGTGAACAAAAATTTTAAACGTGTTTTTGCTTACGGGAAATTTCCGGTAATGCGAGGGTGAATTTGTTTTCTTCTTCTTTTTTTTTATATTGCGGGTGTAAATTTAACAATTCAAATGTCCCGTAAAGTTTTCCAAAAACAATCGAAATCTGGGACAAACTTTTACAATCGCATTAAAGTGACAAATTTTCTCTACAAGCGTGAAGTCGTGCCATGACGATTTATGAGCAATTACGTAACCGCTAATGAAATGCAAAACATCACGAACTTATTATTATACTTTATTTATGCTGCGATGTCGAGTCAGTAACGTTTTATATTTTTTTTTCTCACACTTTTCAACAAAGCAGAGGAAAAGCGCAGCTCATGATTTCAATAGACATTTTCATGATGATCATCAGATTATTACTGTGTTGCTTCTTTTTGTCTCTTTATGAGAACGCTGAGACTTTTTCCACATCCATAAAAAGTCTGAAGCAACACAAGCTGAAAAGGGGAAAACGAAAAAGAAGAAAAAGAATGTCTTAATCCGTTAAGCTTTGCTGTATTTGATACAATCGTCACGAAGGATTTTCACTGCTCTAAGTGTCAATGCAAATCTTGTGAATGTGACGTCATAAAAGATTTATAAAAAAAGAGCTTCGTCAATATGGATTTTATGTTGATTAAAAGCTTTTATTCTTTAAAATTGTGGGAATATGATGAGACGTCAGTAAATCTTCTTGTTGACAAGATGACGATGGAAAATAAATGAGGAACGATAGAAATTTGATGAAAAAAGATGAAAATCAATAAATTTTACGATCAACTTACCCTCATCTAAGCCATGGCAATTATGCCAAGAAATTGTAAATAATCCAGTAATAATTAAAACTGTTACAGTTCTGTTGATGGCGTCAAACATTTTGGAAAACAAAATTATTTTTAGATTTCTCACTAGAAGCCTTAGGAAATTCTTCTCTTGCTTTTAAGGACCAAAAGCCACAAATTTATTGTTGGATTTAATTAGAAATATTTGTGAGCAATTATGAGTTTAATTTATTCCGCAAAATTGCTCGTCTCTTTCACTTTTTGTTATAATCACCAACCGAATGTAAACGCGAATCACTGACAACGGAATTTAATTTTTTTCTCTTTTGCCTTCGAGCTATAATCGAAATAATTTTCAGCCACTTCGCGAGTGTCGCTATCAGAAACTTTTTTCATCTATTATTCAAATTGGGAATTAAATTGAATTTATTTTCTAATTGGCACATTTTCCTTGCTTAGCGCTTTTTGGAATTCTTCGTTAGCTTCTACGCCTTTTTTATTTCCTTTTTAAGATTTCGTTGTTAACTTTCTTCCTTGCTTGTATCGTTTTTTATTTGATTTAAGAAACTTCACTTTTGTACCGCACTTTCAGATAAGCTTCGTGGAGAAACTGTCATTAGTCTTCTACATTATTTACTCTGAAATTAAAAGAAGAAGAGAGAAACAATGAAAAACATTAATTTAAAATTAAATTAAGATATTAAAGTAATTATTCAATTATTGAATGAAAGAATGTACAATTATATTTCCTGAATGGCCAATGAATGAAATGAATGAAATTAAATTATGTTTCGTTGTTCTCGTTATCGTACTCAAATCATTTGTTCGCATAACTTATAAGTAGATACTCGAAGTGATTTGAAACTTTTCTGCTGTTTTTGCGTAATTTTGAATGAGCATGAATTTGAATTGAAGTTAACAAACCTTCAGCATATTTGTCTGACTAAATTTAAAGTTAATTAAGTTCATTTATGATTATGCTTTCTCAAAAATAAACTTTCATTCAGCAATTTTTTTCTCATTGTTAAAACTCTCAAATTGAGAGTTAAGATCTTGCAGAAATTTTTAGAAAATATTTCATTGTGCGAAAAACAAACTTCATTCTATGATTCATAAAATACAAATTTCGTCTGTTGTTGTTCCACTGAACGCTTTGATTTGAAAAATTAAACTCAAACTTTTTGCTTGAAAATTCATTGCGAGAACAAACAAAAATATTTTCACAATTTTGCGTAAGAAAACTCATTCTGAACAGCAACTTTAACTTTGTAAATTTATCAGTGAATAAGTTTAAAGTTTAATTAAGCTGTTATCTAATCTGTTGTGTTGTGTCACTGAAAGCTTCACTATTCACAAAAAGAATATAACAATGAGGTTATTTATGATGAAGCATAAACAAGAGAACTGCAATTTCATCGACAAGGCCACATGTTGAAGCATATTCTATCCCATCTTTAAATTTCATTGTTCATTATAAAAAGATTATGCAATGTGAAAATGTTTAAATGAGATTTTTGAATGAGAGAAAAACAGAGAAAGAGCTTGGTGACCAAATGTTAATTTGTTTAAGGAAAGCTACACATATTCATTCTACCTCTGTCATCATCTCATGAAACCACAGTGATGCTCAAGAATTAAATTTTCCATGCCTTTCTTCGCTTTGCAACTTCTAACATACCGTAAAAGAAGCAAATTTAATAAACTCGGGAAATTTACAGTATAATTGAATGCAAATATTGTTGCATATTTAGTATCCGAAAATTTTCAACACATTAATAATATGCTTGAACTCGGTGTATGAATAATTATCATTATTTGTACAATGAACATGAAGTTGCCTTCCCTTGCCCCTTGCCTGGAAAGCAAAAGCAATCCTCAAGTCGAATTGCACATGAATATATTCAAAATTATTAGCACTAATAATGTATTGTTTGAATGAAACGAACTAACAAGATCTACAATATTATTATTATTTCTTTTTTTGTTGTTATTTGGAGCTTGATGCATTCGCCGTTCTCTCATCGTCATGCACGAGAAACATTGTGAAGAGAACTTCAACAAATGTCGACAATCGTAATAAATTTTCGTCGACTACTTTGTGTAGAAAATTAATTTTAATATGCTAGTTTAGTGTACCATTACCATATGTTGAACCTTGTATGTGAGTTGAGAAGTTAAATGAAAACGCATTGCGTAGTCTTTGTATTTATCGTGATTTGATGTTAAGTGTGTTCATTAAAGTTTAATGGTTTGAAAAGCGTTTTCCTTTCGCTTTTCTCCCTAAGCGACATCTCCACCTTACACCATCGACCCACATCTTAACTTGTCCTTTAAAAAGCAAACACTTGAAATATTCATATCGTGTCATGATTAAAAGACGACACCGACATGGTATTTAGAGTATTTATTGCAAACATCATTCATTATGTAGGCATGAATGTTTCTACTTTAAGGAATCTCACATAAATCTTTCTCTCTGTCTGTCATGCTTCTAATAAAATTTGCCAAATGTTTTGTCACAAACACCATCATCAAATCAAATTTTGTACAAATATATTGTCGTTGTGATTAAAGTTGTTGGTTGTAACTTGAATTGGTGATGATTGCGATAACTTCAGTTATATCGTTTAGATATGCTCGAGTTGAATTCCATTAAACTTTCATTGAATATTTAAGTGTTGTGCTATAAATTACTTCAATGGACAAGGGGCTTTGATCTGAACATTCATTTTCAACATTAAACATAAAGAAGCGCATAGAGATTTGTAATAAATGATAATTAAATTTGCATTTAAATACGATTTTATTTATTGTAAATATCACAGACACTTCCAAGTTATGTATGTCGTTCTCGACTCCCTTTTGAACCAGAAAGCTTCTCGTAACTTTCATTATGAAAATTATCTCGTTCGATAATTTATGATAAACACATTAAACGAATGAGTAGAAAAAAAATGTTAATGTGAAAGATTTAACTGAAAATTTTGTTTTGTTACCATGTTGTGGGTGGAAAACCAACTGAAAACGTTACTATGGAGAATATTTAATTGTACCTAGCTGTATAATTACTACACATTATTTCAATAATAACATATCTCCTGGTAGTTTTAATTGTGAATCATGTAGGAATTTTAGAGAAAGATGATTTTAAACAGTAATCTCGGGAAATTGTGTGAAATATCCGCTTCCACAAATGATAAATAAATATTAAAACTGGTGATTAACTTAACACTCATAAAAGTGCAAATTTTATATTTTAATTGCATGTGTGCGACTACATCCCAATGTGATCAATTTTCAAATCATGTGACATGCAAGCGATTAAATTTACTTTCGATTTAATCAATTTTTTTTCTGATTTCACAAAATTTCTCGAGAGTTTTGGCAAATGTCAATTTTTTTATATTTTCCTTCTTGTTCAACAATTCAGTATGAGAAAACATTTTCCAATTATACAGAAAACATGAATTTTGCAATAAAAATCAATTTAAAATAACGCTACACGCATGTTTTCGATACAAATATCAATCGAAAGCAATTTTAACACACACAAAACGAGAAACGAAATTAAAATTAAACATTTCGATGTTGGAACATTTATTTTCTCAGTGGATGATTTCGATCAGCTTGAATAAGTAGAGAAGGAAACTTTAATTAGGAAACAGCTACTGGTTTAATTTTCCCAATTTTACTAAACAAGCTTCAAGGTCTTTGAGGTTTAATCAGAAATTTTCCTCTTCTAAAAAGAATTGCCAAGAGTTGAGTTGAGATGTTAAAATCCACAATCCGTTTCAAACTAACCAACAATTCAGTCAGCCTCGTCGTGTTGAAAGTTTTAATGAAATGACAATAAAACTTGATGATTTTTCGATAAACATTGAATGAATAATCGGTGGGTGAAGGCAGAAACTTATCACTCTCTTTATAGTGAAACCAACCGACTGAATAGTTATTATAACGACACACACAAACGCACACATTATTAATGTGTCCGCAATAATTTTTGACGCTTGTTATTTGTGTGCTGAATAATTTTTCAATGCGCTTCCGTTATGTCCGAAAATATTTATGCATTGGTTCGTAATTAGATGACTTTCTGATCGGTGACCGGAAACATTATGAAAGCTCAATGTGTGAGTGTTTGAAGAATTAAAAGAAGGGAATTAAACATCAAAATGTTAAGCAAATTTCAACAATTGGTTGAAGTATTTAATGTCAACCACCGTTAAAATATCGCTCATCATAATAAAAATGCTCGTTTGACATTTTCTTCCTTTTCGAAAGAGAAAAAAAACCCCAAAGCCGGAAATTTAAATGTGAGTTAATGGTGAGCTTCAACAAATGAACGAAAAGAATTTTAATGCAAAAAAATAAAAGTAAACATAAATTTCGCTTATGACCATTAAAAGCATTCTTTTGTTCAAGAATAAGTTGGAGCGACAGAAGTTTAAATGTGATTGTTGGCATTGAAGTTATTTAGATGTATAATGGCTAAGCAGAAATATTTATTAAACTCGTTATTTTTATGTTTAACCACAGTTCTGTTTGTCTTTTATAGCTTTTACATTATTTGGATTTGTGTCACTTCCAAAAACTTCCAAAGCTTGATGAATCTTCTCCATCTTTTGTTTCTATTCAAAGTCTCATACAATTACGCAATTCAACGATGAACAACAAAACACGTCAAGGAAAATTTTCCATAAACACATCTTTCATCTATTCAAATGGAACTTCCATGCTAGTAAAACGTAAATTTCAAAGCCACCTCATATGATTCATTCAGTCGTTTGTTTTGTCTACTTCTTTTATATACAAAACTTACTTATTGTTGTTATTATCCGCACCATATACATTATCATGTAAAATTATTCAAATTTTGTATTAAAAAAACAAACTTTTAGTTCTAACCATGCGTATGTGTTTGGCGATTGAATGAATTTCAACTTTAAGCTCATTGTCATCATTAAACATGCCCAGACTTAAGGTTGTTGTTGAGTGGCGAGTAAAAAAGGTTTCAAAACACTAAAACTTGTAATGACGTTAACCGAGCAAATGATTCAGGTCAAAGAAATTAAATTGAAATTTACCGACAGACGACTGCGGCCTTTCTCAAGCCTTCAATTGCTTAAACTTTCTGCATACACATTTATTACGAATCGAAGAAAAGGAAAAAACTAAAAAAATCCCCAATTCTGTGAAGTGAGTAAAGTTAGAGTCTCTGACTCATGTATGAAACGCTAAATGAATACTTTTCTTGCTCCATTCACCTCCGTTATTGCAATATATTGAATATAAAGTCCTTTTAAATCCAATCTACTCCCGTAGAATTTTATTGAATTTATATTCAATTTGTTGAAGACGAAAGCACACACACGACACGACAATGTTTTGAATTTTCTTTATGATTCTAGAAATTGAGAATTGAAAAGAGGGGAAAAAGATGGAATTTGATAAAAGACGAGATGCAATGTGAATAATAGCTGATTGGTATTATTTATGAGATATTCAAACTTCAAGCTATTAAATATATAAATAAATATATGCACGATACAAGAAGAATTTCAAACTTTGCTATTGACAAGCAAAGGCATCCCATTAACCTGCAAGTAAAGTAAGTTACATACATTCGGTTTTCGAGGTAGAGGAAACGAACAAAAAGGAAGCTTAATGGAAGTGGTGAATTGAATCATACTGATGATGCCATCGATATCTTTCATGTGTGTGCCTTCTGCTTATGTGAAATATTTTCAGAAGTAAGCATGAAAGCAAGCAACCAAAAAGGTAGCTCGATAAACAGTATTTGCATTTCTCAAGGAATGAAACGATGCTCAATCTCTGTCAATAGACGAAATTTACATTTATGAAATCTTTTTTCTTCTCTTCGTCATAATAAACTGAATTTTAGAATTTGATGAAATGAAATCTGAAAGGCATGAAAGAACCTTTTCTCTTGATTGTTCATTGCTTTGGTTTCATATTGTGATTCGAATATTAAGTTGTTTTGAATAGTGGCACGCAATTGAAAAACTTTTTCTTTCTCACTTTTCAAGACTTGATCGTGTAGACATTGCACAAGGTATGTGTTGAAAATAGTCCGCCATGCAAGTAACTTGATGAGTGTTGTTTAATTGGGGTTTTCCAGTTATTATGTCAAATGGTTTTTTAAGCTCAAATTGGATTTTAATTACAGAAGTAAATATTTTAAAGTTGTCGGATTCCGTTTCATGCTACGTAACAAAATATTTACGTTTCTCTTAATTCAGCCCAACATTGAAAACTTCCCTAAGGCTGAAACAAAACCCGATTCTATAGAAAAGAAGATTTCTTATGTATTAATTTCAAAAAAGAAGCAAGAAAGAAAAAACAAGAAGCTTCAGATCATTATAAATAAGTAAAAGATGAATTGTGAATAGAGAAGTGAATAACAAAAAAAAGTTTGAAAATTAATACTTTGTTCGGTCTTCCTTCTAGAAATTTCAAATTTCTTTGACGAGCAGATCAAAAATTTCATAAATGAAGTTTAAGAGAATGAAGTTGTACTACAACTTTCTTCAAGTAAATGAATATTTTATTGAGCAATTAAAAGCTTATTGCATAATTTGTTGGAATAGAAAACTTTCCGAAGAACCTTTTACGTCGCTCACATGACTTGAAAGTTTGTTGTGAATATTTTTCCCAGGTAGTTCAGCGTAAAATGTATTAAAAATGTTTTCATCGCTTTTCTGTCAGATACGAAAGCAATTGCTCGAGTACTTTATTCATTTATTTCTCTTTTATGACAACTTTTAATGTTGCGCTATGTTATTCACATGTTGGTAGTAAAAAAAAGTGAATGTCGAAGGAAATTACTGAAAATCATTTCACGTGCTTCAAGCAGCAATTCAGAGCGAAAGATTTCCAAATTTCAAATAAATATATTGATAGAAATTGTAAATATTCAGTGACAAAGTGAATTCAATTCATTTTATTGAATAGTTAACTCAATTGTTTCTAAGTATTGAATTGTTCTCTGTCGTGATAGAATTTCATACTAAATATTCTATCAATCGAAATGGTTTCTAGACTTTTACTTCTCATTTCGAATTGCTACACAAATATAAGTGAAACTCCCTTGATATCCTTTCAAAACTATCCAAAGTTTGTATTTGATTTGCAAACAAAACTCTTTGGAGATAAGTTTCAAGTGAACATTTCTCTCATTTCTTGTTCCAATTTTTATTTCTAGCTCAACAATCACAACGTTTTACTACACTCTAAGTACGTATGTTTGTCGAGATATTGTGAAATGATGCTTTCTCCAATCCACAAAAGTGCTTGTGAAAACTATATCTGATTTTATCGATAAAGAATAATCTGTTTATTGCTAGAGAGAACTTTACCATTTAGGATTACATGCAAAAGTTTCTCTCAATCGTTCACCAAAAGGTACAATGTTCACATCAAAGATCAAACTTTGATGGTGAAAAAATTTGCACTAACAAAAGACGAAACAACTTGATAACTAATAATGTTAAAAAAAAAAGTTCTTGAATAGCTTCATCAACAGTTTCTTCTAAGTAATGAATGAATACCTCAAAGCAATTTTAATTTGCGATGTGTTAATGGCATAAAAATTAGCATGAAAATTGGCAACAGTGCGAAGACAGCGAGAGACAAGCATGGATAAAATAACAGCAAAGTTTTACGCTTTCTCGACCGAATAAAATCAGATGTTGCACACGATGAGTAATCCTTAAGATTTTAATGCGAAACCTTTTCTGGTCGTTTGCTTCTCAATGAAAAATCGTCGAGTGAAGACAAAGTAAATCTCTGGTTAAATGAAAAGTTTCTCCCCTCGCTCTTCGCCGTTTCCAGCCCACCGCCAATCATCCGAACCTTTAATGAAAACCGAAAGAGGAGGAAACTTGCTTAATTAATCAGAAATGTTTCTTCCAATAATCTCTTCGTTCAACAATCGAATAAAGCTTTACCAGAAAAAAGTCTGTTTTATTTCTCGCCAGAATAGTTTTTCTCATGATTTAAAACTTTTTTGATTAAAAAAAATCTTTGGGGTGAAAAACTTTAAGCGAAGTTTTAGGAATAAGAGATGATGAAAAGCGTGGAGCGGTGGAAACGTATTGTCGATAAATTAATCCTGTTTCACTTCATTTAACATTTTGTTGTGTTCCGCATTCAACAATCCTTAATTTCCTTTTTTTTCTCTCTTATTCGCTACAAACAAAATGAAACACTTTGTGAGTCACAAGTTTAAAAACATACAGTGAGTTCTCTTGTTATTTAACTAAATTGTTTTCAGGTATTGGGAATTTAAAGTGTTTTGAAAAAATCTAATGCCATTAATCACGAGGCTTTGTTTACTCAATTTAGTTTTTGATTAAAAATCTTCACACAACTTTCGACTCTGATTAAGTGACTTCATTTTTAAAGTTTTAAACTGTAACACAATCGACCAGGAAAAGCTCATTTTCCTCTCTTTCTTTCTTTTATTTATGTTGCTTCCCAACTCCAATGCATTCGAAAAGGTTTTTCTAGTCAACCTAAAACTTTTTCCCTTTCCTTCCGTTCGATATTGTAGATTAACAATAGACGCGAAAATCAAGCCAATTAACCATTAAATCGCCTTTTTGTTTACAAAACAATGACGATTCTTTTGTCTTGTATAATTTTATTATAGGTTTCGAGACCAAAAGCGTTGTTCGAGTTAATTTCATTCATTTCAAGATGTTTTACAAAATGATTTCATTCAGAAAAAAAACCGACATGCAGTTGACGTTTGTGTGAATTCTTTGAATACTATTACGAGTCTTACTTTCCATCAATGGAATGACAGGAAAGCTTCATTCCGTCTTTGGCAGCTTCTTTGATGTCATGAAAATTTCTCTCAACTTGTTTCTTGTATGTCAAGACCAGTTTTCACTTCACCATTCACTTCAATTCTTTTTTCTTCTTAAAGATTCTTCTTCTTCTTCTTCTTCTTTTTAAAATATTTTCTTCGCCAAATTATTCGTGGTATTGAGTCAAGAAATAATATTTAACACCAGTAATCACAATGAAACAAAAAAAGCGATACAAATCGACTGTAAAATTTTTACTAGCAAATAAAAAAAATTGATCTGGTTATGTTAAGCTTCTTGTGCTTATTTGATGTTAATTGTTTTCACTATCGAGATTCTATAGCTTTAGACTTCACTCATAAACTCTTAATAATGTTCACGAATATCGACCGATTATTGAGGTTTGTGTGATGTGGCAGAACAATAAACAAAGTATCAAATTTTAATTCTCGGTTATGTTTAAAATCTGTTGCACAATGAGTCACAGTTTAGCCATGAAAATAATCTGCAGATGCAGTGAATAAGCCACAAAAAATATAATAAAGAAGTGAAGAGTTTAAAAGCAACTACAACGAGTTGAGCTTCGCGTGATATCCAAATCTCTACTGAAGCCTTAACTGGTAAAGTAAAGCGAGAGACTCAAAACACTGTTGAATGAAAAGAATCAGAGCTGAAGTTGTAAATGAGGTTTCATAAGTATCACAGTGTTTGTTTGTACAATGAATTAAGCATGCATACACAAGACTTAAACGTTCAAAACTCTGCTGTTATTTTTTTCTTTCCTTTTCAATCTGAAATTCACATTTGTGGATGTGTAAAAAAAATTGTTACGAGATGAATTTACTGACTTAGCACAAGCAGCAGTGATTCGAATTCTCTCCATCTTTTCTTCATGTCTTTCTTCTTCTTTTAATGCCTCTTCTTCATCATCAACAACATCTTGAAATGTTTGAAATGCTTCAATCGAGAATGTTATTTGAAAATGTTTCTGCTTCAACACTAACACATGTTCTCATGTCTTTGATGGTTTTCCAGAGTCTCTAAGACGTTGCGAGAGAAAATAAGAAAATAAAAGAATTGAAAACGAGTTAAACAGGTTTAGTTAATTATTTTTTATTTCATCTTCTCTTTCTCGATTTCTCAAAAAAAAAAATGAGCTCGTGAGCACATTAAGAACCTGTAGGAAAAAAGATGAAATCACTTTTGCTAGAATGTTGAAGAAAAGTGTAATTGGAATCTTGTTGGAATTTTAATTGCTTTTGACTGCCATTGTTAAGATGTCGCTAACTAAACCTTAGATCATAACAAACAATTTCGAAACTTTTCCTCGTTGTTTTCATTTATTCTTTTCTCCTTTCATGAAAGGATATTTGACGAGACGTTTTTCATCATGATAGTTTCTCTCGTGTCTTTGTTCTTATAAGATGCCTTTGAGAAAACAATTTACCTTCCGTTTTGCTTCTTTCATCATCCTTATTATTATTCTACCCTAAATAGGAAATTATTTCTACTTTCCACAAACAGTTCTTTGAGTTTTTTGTGTTGAAGCATCGAAAGGTAGCTCAAAACGATTTAAATTGGAAAACCAGGAAAATCTAAGCAGAAATAATTATGGGAAGAAATTTGATTTAAATATTAAAATTTTATTGTGTCTGATGGAAAATTAATCAAAGATAGATATTTATTTGAGAACTTTAGGCAATTTATAATTTTAATCAGTTGCATTAAATGTTATTAGTAAATTTTCATGTTAATGTTACTCTAACGAAAATCATTTGAAAATATTTACAACCATAATGCGCCTGAAAGCTATGCTGTCATGACAACATATTTGATATCTTTTGATGTCAACTTCCAATTATAATTTAAATACATAACAAATTAATGATCCCAAAATGTTTTTAGTATTAATCGTTCATGTTCCAAACGTAGTTAAAAAAAATATTTCATGAACATGCGGCAATTAAAACTCTCTGCGAAATTTATTCAACAAACTTTAGAAAAATATTTTAAAATTATCAACTTCACAAGCTTAATCACTGTCGTCGTCATAGTTTCGCTTTGGTCGTGAACCTCTCGGTAGAGCAGTTAAAATGTTTTCAACCTCCACTTTTGATGGATTTGTTTCCAAAAGCTTTCTAACGTTTCGAACGATTCTTTTGTGTGGCAATTCCTGGAAGATTCAATAAACATTAAAAATTTTACACGTTCTTGTCACATTCACATACGTCATGATAATCCTCTGGTAAAAAATATTCCGGGTGTGGCCACATGATCTGCAAATAAATTGATGATTATCATGCTGCGCAAGAAATCAAGGTTGAACTTACAGGATGCCAAGCTTTTCTTTCGGGCTGTAAAGACAACATTATGAATACAAAGGAGGCTCATGATCATAATCAGATAATAATCCTCACGTGCTGTTTGTAAGCCTCACGAGGTGGCTCAATGCTCGGCTCAACAAGAAACCTTGGAGCCTTCGGATTACCTTCCATGACAACTTCTTCAACACATTGAACTGTTTTTAAAGTTTCATCATCTTCAAAGCTACAAAATTTGAAAGCTTTTTCATCAGAAACTTGAAATGTTTACCAAACAAGAATTAAGTATTTACCGTGTTATTCCTAACTTAAAGCTTTGAATATTATTTCTAGCATGTAACAATGTTTCACAGGCTTCTTTTAAAGTCATTTCGCGTGTTTCTTTGTTCTCAATTGACACAATAGAGTCGCCGAGTTTCAGACCGACGCGTTTTGCGTTTGAGTCTTCCTTGACCTAGCAACGTCGAATTAAGAAACAATCATAACAATGATGATGATGACGGAACATAAAATAAAAACCTACGTGGAAAATTGTTAATGGCATCTGAAAGTCAACACCTCCCGTGATTTTAAGGCCCAACATTTCTTCAACTTCATCTTGTAAAGTGTCGATCTCCGTTTTCCTTGGAACTGATTTAATGGTTGGATGAATGTCAACAGAAATTGTCGGCACAAGTTTATGTTGCAGCGTAATTGAAGATTCCGGCATTGTCTAAAATTAAATCGAATTAATTTTAAAATAGAAGAAGTTAAAAATAAGTTTTTGAAATATTTTCTGTAGAAACGAGTTCAGTGTCGTGATTGAATTTCTTTGATTGCACAATTCTTTGCACTTTTAAATTCTTTGATTAAATTATTCTTTCCAACATGCATAACTTAAACTTTAAATTTAATTTCCATAAATTATTTTATAAAGAAATTTGCTCACAGAAAGAAAATTGAAAAGTTTAAAATGTTTCGAAGAACTTTTTGTCACAAAATCTCTCAAGCAACTAATGAGCGAAATCAAAGAACGAAATTCAATTTAGTCTCAATTTTATTTTCTATTTATAAAGATCGACAACAAAAGTGTTTTTAATATGAATTATTTAAGTGGCTTAATTTATTGAGAAACAGTTGAAATTTTTCACTTAATTATTGACAGAAATTAATTTTTAAACTATTGAAATTCTTACCTAATTAAAATATTTGTCAACCAAAGGAACCGTTAATTAAACCGTCTAGAAAGAAATTAAAAATTCAAGAAAATGTCAACTTTCCTGTTCAATTTCCACCACAAAGAGAATCAAAATTTCCATTCACAAATTACCATCAACAAACTTTTAACATGTACTTGCTTTGATTTTAAACACAACTTTGAGATGGAGTGAGTTTTAATTAAAAAAGTTTGATGTTACAATTCAAACTGTCGATTGTCTTTGCAATTTTTCAACTGTAAAAATGTCTTTTATGTTAAATATGCAAACAAATTTTTTTGTTCGCGTCAAAGAAACTTCAAGTCTACAAAGAGCTTTTCTTTTATTTCTTTATCAGCGACTCCATAAGTCGGATAAGGAAGAAGTTAAACAAAAAACCATATAATTAAAACAAATGACTTTTTCTTTCTTGATTGAAATTTATGTTGAGATTTGTTATGCTTTGTGTTTAGCATTGTTATCCTTTATTCTCTGCCAAGAATAACAACAACACACACATAAAAATACCCTGAATGTTTTAGCGTAATCACAACCGTCATTCATTCATTATCTTTATGACACATTACTCATGTACAAATCACATTTAATTGCGTAAAGTGCGCTTCCTTGTTATAGTGAAAAGAAGTGAAAAGAATGTTCTTTCAATTTCGTTTAAAAAACCATTCGCTATGGAAATGATGATTAAGTTGATGCAAACATAATTTACGAGTTTGAAGTTTACAGAATTCTACCGAGAGACATAAATATACTTCAGCTTCACTATCAGTGACTTTACGAGGCGACAAATGAAAAAAATTCTTGCAAGCGAATAATGATATGACTCTAACAATACTTTATTTGAATCACATAAATAAACAAGCCCACTAACAAAACATAACTATTGCTTGTTCAGCTCAATTGTAATACATTAATGTAAACATAGTTTTTCTTTTTTTTTATTCTTTCTTTCTTTCATTTCTTTCTTCTCCGACTCGCGCTCTACTCCGTGTTGAGCCCACGAAAATAAATTGTTAACAAAAATATTTATTTGAATTGGCGAAATTTTGGCATGAATAAATTTATTTCCGTGTTCCTCTGACTCTAACAATAAAGTTCATGTTGAATGCTAACAAATGTTTAATATTTTTGGTGAAGTTTATAGGATAAGAATAAAAGAATGAAAGGCTACAAAGTGAAAAAAATGGCATTAACCACGTTCGACGAACAGTCCCTTAATCCAGCGTGTAACACCGATGATTGTGATATAATGAAATCGTGAAAACTTGGCACACAAAGGGAGTGGGGGAGAGATGAAAACTTTCTGCCACACAGCATATGTGCTGCCATAAATTTCAAAAGTAATTCAGAAGAAATTTAATAAAAGAATGGTGAAAGAAGGAATGAAAGGAAAAGGGAGAAAATCATTACGTTTTAGCTGTTGGAAAACTCATAACAAAAATAAATAAATTTTGATTGTTGGTCTACTTGCTTTATGACTTCTTTTTCTGCGCTTTTATGTGCTTCTTTCTTAAGTAGGATGGCGCGATAGTAAGTATATGTCGAGTGAGAAGAAGAAAGAGATGAAAATCGCTTTTAATGTCTTTGAAAGAATGTAACATTTGGGTTTCAAAATTGCATTATCACATGTTGAAATTATATTGGTCGGAAGATTACAAACGGAGCAGAGTGGAACGAAATGTACGAATGAGAAAGCTAAAAGCTAAAGCAACTTTCTTTCAACAGATCTCGCACTTTAAATTCCACTCGTATTCGTACCGAATTGTCGCTAAAACCATATTAAGATATGAAAACATGTTATGTCTACTTGTCGACGTGCGTGGGTGTATTTGGATAACAAAAGAAAATCCCACTGAAGCAATCATCACGAACTAATTTAATGGATATCAAAACTTTTATTAATATTAATTTTCTTAGCTTTTCATTAAGCTCTTCAAAAAGTTTGAATTCTGTTAAAGTTGTAAAGATGTTTGTTAACATCAACTGAAATTAAATATTCTCAGTAATTTATAAATATTTCATGATTGAGCATCATCAAATGTCAACCCGCAATCGAAAATCATTTTTCCGATTTTCCCATCAATGTGAAAAATCCGAAGCGGTGAAAGCAATCGATATGTGTTCGATCCTTCTACGAAAATAAATATAAAAAATGCTGTAAAAAATATGTCGTTAGTAAATATTTCACAGAAATTATCTCTTTTCCAATGGTAGTGTAGAGATTCATGAATAAATGAATAATAATACAAACAAACGCCATGAATGATGAATAATTCATTAGCTTGTGATTTGACTTCACTAATAAATAACCAATAGCCAACATCCTTCTTCAAGCTCAACATGTCTGTTTGTTCCATTCCTCGGAAACGCATTCAAACAAATCACTTTGCGGTCGCATCCAATTAGCTTCCAATATAGTGAATGTGATGGTCTGATTTATGTTTTGTTACTTTACCAAACCAAACCGATAAGTAACAGCAACATGGGGAAAATGTTCTTTTGTTTTTCTGTATTCATTTATTGGCATGTTAAATCTTCATTCAAATATCTAAACATCTAATAATATGCGACGATGCAAATAGAAAAACAACACATTTTCCATTAAGGAACAACAAATCTTACCACACAATAAACATAAAACATTTGTAGATGTTTATCTGAAATGAAAAGGGCGAGTTTATCATATGCATGGGGCTTTTATGGCAGTTCATTTCCTTCAATGGAAAAGCTTTGAAATTAAGCTGAAAGATTGACAATAATGTTTTAAGAATAGAATCATAAAGGCATATTTCAGCCTCAGAATAAGCTTTGCAAACACACAAAAAAATCCATCATGAACCTAAATCTCAGTCTGACCCTTTCGTTCGCCTTTATAATCCCTTCGGCAAACACCATTCACGTTTACGGAAGATTATTGAAATTCTAACATGAGAACCTTAATTTTCACAACTGTTTTAATATAAGTTTTTATGGGCATGTAAGGCATTGCAATGAAAAGGAGATTATGAGAAGCTTAGAAGTTCCTAAAGCTTTATATTTTCTTTTCATCTTGTTCGTTCTTCTTCCTCTCTCATGAGATTTATCTTCGTGAAGCTTTATATTAACTTTTACTCATATCCTGAGCAAGAAGAGATTAAAATTATCTTCTTTTATACTTTTTTGTTCTCACATGATGATCGAAAGCTTTCTGCAAGCCCCTCAAATTTATGTTCATTCATGGAAATTGACAGAAGCGAGATTCAATATCGACAATGATTTCAATCTTCGAACAACGTTATTATTGTTTTCCTTTTCCATTGATATCGTAAATATGACGTGAAACACGAAGACATGATATGTGAGCGAGCATCAATACATTTTCTGAACATTTTTATATCAGTTTATATCATGTCAAAGCTGTCCGATTTTATGCAAGGATTTCTTTCCTTGTACGTTGCCAGCATCAACATCAAAAGTCGAATGATGAAGATTCTTTGAATCTGTCTTTAATTCTCCTCAAATAATCTCAACAAGGTTAAAAGATTTTCTAGTTGAAGTGCTTTCAATTCAGATTGAATTAAATGATTGAGTTTTGAAAGACTTCAATGAAATTTAACATATTTTCTAATTTCGTATTTAATTTTCGGATCAACTTGAAAAGTAAAGAACAAATGAAACAGTTTTAATTTGAGAAACCTCAAAATGGAAGTTTAACAAAGTGTATTTAACTTTTCTGTTTCAAGTTGGATAAAACAACAACAGACAGAGAAAGAATTCAACAAAAACGAGACAATAAAAAATCACTAAACTTTTAATAAACTCCCACGCAATAAAAAAATTTGACAAACTTTCTCTACATTCAACAGAAGTGTCGAGAATGAAATAAATTTAAATTCAGGTGAACTTTTATCACATCTGGTGAAAGTACAAATAAACGATGAAATTCGAAGCACTTTGTGTGTTACTCAGTGAGCTGTTTCATGTCGCCTACACACTTAGGCTTCAACTCTGATAAGATATCAATTCTTTGAGCATTTAAACATTTTGGTCACGTGCGATTGTATAAGACTAGGCATGTACAATATCTACTTTTAGTACCTAAATATATTTAAGCTGATGATGGTTTCTTATAACATATCTTCTCCCTTTTATGATGTTCCAATTTTTAAGGCTGGCAAAATACATTTTCTCCATTTTGTATGTGTATTCACACATAAATATTATTCTGCTTCATAATTTTACGACAAGGAAGAAAAGCGAGAGAAAGAAATTCAATCAATATGCTTGGTAAGCACGTTTCAAGGCACGGCATATGGTTTACACATTTTAATAAAGTTAATGACGGGAGCATTACGGAATGTAAGGAAACTTAATATTTTTCTCCTGCCCTCTCCTTACTTAGAGTTTGCTGTTTGTCTTCCTTCAATCTCCCGACAATCACACACAATAGAAAAGGGAAAGAAGCTCGGATTTGAGTGTAGGAAGCAAAGGAAAGTCTTTCATGCTCACTCTTCGAAGTTGAAAAATAAAAGATGAAAAGAATAAAATTCTTCGAAATACGCACACATAGTGAAGCTTCAAAGAGAAATATCTTAAATTTTTATTAACGATCGTAAAATGTATGCATGCTTACTTAAATATCTTTCTACAGCTGTTGTGCCTGCTGATTATGATTATATTTTTATTCAATTGGAATCAGAAGAAAAATATTGAAAAGATGTAGAAGATTTCCACAGTTTGTCGACTGATAGAAAAGGAGAACAGAAAAAGGCATCGAAGCTTATGTTAGTGAGTTAACAAATTGAATTCTAGAAAGGAAATGGAAAAAAGAAGAAAAACGACATGACATGGTTGTTCAGGTCATGAGAAGGTAATTTATGCACTAATTTGAAAGGGAAGCATAGACAAACTTTAAAGGTTCACACCAAGACAATGTATGCTAATAAAGTTCTTGGAAAAGTTTTCAAGGCTTCCTCAAAGGGACCCTTAATCTACACGAGCAGGAAAATTTATTAGTTTTGTAACGTTTATTCTTAGAAATTCATTAGCAAGCTTAAGGACAATTTCATTTTTATGAAAGTGTCTTTATTGGCAAACCATCCATGTTCAACTATTACGTGACAAAACTTATAATCACTCTTTTTTGGGGAGTAAGTTTCTAAAACATCCTTTTCAACATATTGGCTTTACAGCCATCATCATAAAGCTTCTGTTTCAAGTCGTGAGAATTTTCTTTCTCCATTGAAAACATTTGTAAGCATTTCCTTTCGTTCGAAATTCATCACACACAGAACACAAAACAACAGAAAAAGAAAATTTTCTTTTTCCTACCCCGACTTTTTGTGATGAAGAAAGAAAACTTTCCGGTCTCAGCACATTTCTCATTATTTACATTTGCAGTGGGACCGAAAATTTTCTCGTCAAAAAATAAACAGAGGGAGAGGCTTAAGACAATTGAGATTTTATAATAACACCGATAAATCATGAATACTAAGCCAATGAAAAATGTTATCCCTTTTGAACTCATCTTTAATATTATGTGCACAGTATCGTTGTCATAAAACACAACCATTAAATTCTCTTAGGGAGACTAAGATGGGAAGGGACGGGTGGAGAAGCAAACACTCATGACTCATGACCATAAAACCCATTACTTCCTTGTCGGAATGTCCGAAAAAGAATTCCTTTGACCTTACGCTTTGATTGTCATAAAAATGTGATATATTTTTATGTTTGCAAGTAAAATGGAATGCTTTGGTAGAATGGTCTTTTTGTAATTTATTTTATGTCTATTTTTAATGATTTCTTTAAGTTCGCAACAGACCCACTTTCATTCTTATTTTTTTGTATCATCGTGAAAGAAATTTGTCGTACAAGTAGCTTAGGGATGATAAAGTTTAATGGCACCTCCACTAAAGACTTTCATGGTGATTCGTAAGCTTTTAAAAGTAACTCAATTTCGTAGTTTATTCTTTGACACTTTTCCACTCTTTCAAACTTCTTGAAGATGTGATGAGAAAGCTTTTGAGTGCTTTATCAAACCTTTCTCATCTCCAGTAACTGTATACATATCTAAGTAAGTATTTATATCCTCAAACAAATGATCATTCTTAAATGCTTCAGAAATAAAACGCTACACATTTTTCTATCACCATCAACAGGATGAAAGAATTTGCAACATGATGTATGATGATAAATAAGCATGACAATAAAAAATGTTCTTCAATTTTTTCTCTTTTAATAATATAAACTGGAATTTATGGCAGAACAGCACATAGCGAGGCACCAAACCAAACACGAGCAACATTATTGCAAAAATGTTAAGATAGAATTACACATGTATCTCCAGCTTCACGTTTTTCTCTTCCGAATGATGAATATTTGTGACTGCGGGGACATTTATTAGCATAAAAACGATCTTCTGCTTCTCCATTTGTAAGCTGTAACCATAAAGCATTATGTTCGGCAAACGCGTTTGATACTTGACAGTTTTCGGTATCAGTTTTATATATTTTTTTGTCCTCATTTTTCGTTTGATTTATTTCCTTTCAGATCGTTTTTTAGTTAGGAAATTCATGGATTTATCAAAAGAAAAGTCATTTAAAAACTTTTTTGTCTAATTGAAATTTATTGAGCTTTCCAAGTATTGAAAAAAGCTTCAAACCAAAAGCTTTCTTCTTAATTCATCTTAAGGAAAAAGTTTTTATCACTTAAATTGCTAAAGAATGCAATTTAATATTTAAATCTGTAATGAAAGACAAAACACAAATCACTTTTTTTCGGTTTTTCATTGGATTTTTATTGGAACGAAAGAAAAATTTTCTTCTGTCATGAAAAAGAAAAGTTATTTACAATTGAAAAATAAAAATCAAAAATTGTTTTCAAATTTTTTTCCTTCTCACTTAAAGCTTATGACTTAATTGTAACAATCATTTGAGATAAGATTATGTACACAAAGGATTGTTGGCGTGAGTGTTACTGTTACATGAAACACTTCCATAGACACAACCCAAGATTGCATTTCTTCTTCAAAAGTATACATCTTTAAAGTTTAACTTCTTTATCTGTCATAACACTGATTTCTTTTTTTTTGGATTTTTTATAAGTTTCTTTCATTTTCAACACATAAATAGAGAATTATTAATTACACAATGTTCTTTGAGCCTTTACGGATTTCTTTAATTTTTAAGATTTTTTTTTCTTTTTTCTCGAGGAAATGATTTCTTCCGCTTTTCAATTAAAATCGTTATGCCTTCATAAATGGCATTTTTATGGCGGCTTTTAAAAGAAAATTCGTTTTAATTATCTAAAAGTTTTTCATTACATTATTAAAATATATAAAAAACGCAATAAAATCTTAGACCTTTTTTTATTCTTTCCATCCATTCATTTCATTATAATCATAATGAAACATATCTAATGTTGTTCTTCTTTCTCTTCCTTTCATCTGGTTTAATATTAAATTTATTTGCTATCTAACCTACATATATACTTATTTATTCATTGTTTCTTCAATTCATTTACAATACTTTACAATTGTTGGGGAAAACAGATGAATGCTTCAGATATCAATTTTCCGCCAGTCATGTGAATGAGGTTGCCCATTAATTTAATGAATGAAATTTCCTCGTATCATTGATTACTCAATGAAAGAAGATCTGTTTGTTTATGAGACAAATAAAATACGATACTAAATATATTGGGTTAGAGTGTTTGTGACTTCTGTGATAACGCGTTGGCGTTTTGTCAATTTTTCGGATCTGGGATGATGTAGCATCGTAAATTTCGAGTCTTTATTTTTGATGTTCAACGTTTTGTTTGTTTAGTTCCTTTTCACTGTTGAAAAAATCCGAATCATCTTCTTGTTGATATCTAATTGATCAAAGACTTGGTAGAAAAATGTTTGATTCTTCAATGATTAATTGACGTTAAGATTTCCTAAATAAATATCTCAAACGAAACTTTTCTTGAACTAACAATTAACAGTATTGCTCTAAGTAAGTAGAAAACGTTATAAATAGGCTGATTTTTCCCTTCATCGAATACTATGAAATGACAATTTTTCCCACGAAAAGTTAAAACATTTCAAAGTTTCATGAAGAGAAAATCAACCCACAATAATTTCCATACGAAAAATTTATTTAATTGACTGAAACTAATCGTTGTAAAAATTATCATTCATGTAAAGACTTAAGTCTTACATGTCATTTCATTTTTGTTATCACATAATATATTTAATTATTTACTCTTCATTTAATAATGTCAACTTAAAAAGAAGAAAAAAAGGAGAATTTCATGAAAAGTTTCAACACATCGTCGTTGGTTAGATTTAATTAATTTTTAAGTTTACGCAATCAGGTTTAATATTTGACATGTTTCTGTTTTGTTGTTTTAAACTGATATGATTCTATTTAATGATCACGATTGAGCGAGCTTTTTTAATGCTTTCACTCTTGACGCTTGCCAATCGCTTTCATTTATTTCCTTCGAAATTAAACTTTTTTTCCGCAATTAACTTTTTTCATCACTTTTTTGTTGATGGAACATCACTGACTATCGTTTTCAATGTTTTCGTATCTTTAACCACTCAAAAACTCAAAGCAACGAAAGGAGATTTTTAATGTTTACGATTCAAGGGAATGTAATCGAGTCATGGATAAACATCATCCTCAAATGTATCCACTTAATGGATGATTGTAACAAAATATCGTATAGAGAAAAATTAAAGAATGTGGAAATCCATTTTCCGACAAGATTTCTCATTCTGTCATTCTTTCACATTTCTTCTTACCAGATACAGATTGAACAACATCAAAGTGAACAAAACAGAGCATTTAACAAACTAAACGTTGTAATTAGACGCAACTTTCTTGTTCAGAAAATGATAAAGGCGTTTTAACAGTGACGATATCACGTAGAAATTGTTTGTTTGCAGATGGCAATGGTAAAGTTTGTGTGTGATAATTGTTTGATGGAAACTGTGATGTTGCTCCTGCTGAAATGGATGTAAACGTCGCTGTCGGTGTTGTCGATGAGGTGATAGAAAGTGTTCCTGAACTACTTATACACCCCGAACTTCCAATGCTATTCCCGGATATAAGCATTGTTTGATTACTTTGCGTTGTGGACGTTGGCGTTTGTGTAAGCGGAGATAAGAGTTGATTAAATTGAGTATTTTGTTCAGTCATCATTAAGCTACCACTGACGCCACTACCTACAGTCTTTAAACTACCATTGTTTAAACTTTGCCCACTTGATCCCAACAGATTAGCAGTCGACGACTTGCTGAAATTGCAGTGGTCGATTTGTGCGTATATTGTTGGATCATCGAAATATGCTGAGTAAGCAGGTGGAGGTGGAGGTTTCTTAGCATGATTCAGAAGACTTTTCGTCTCATCTTTTGGCATCTGAAGTGTTAGTTCGGCATAATGAACGTCTCCAGCCTGTAATTGGAGAACAATTACAATTGTCATTACTTTAATTTGCTTTTCGTTTCCAAAGCTAATTAGTCACGCACGACGAACAATCTAAATGCCGGATAGCTTAACATTTTCTTTCTCCGAGGCTTTTGAAACTTTTTTCCGGAAAAAGGAAAATGTTTCAGTTATTTATCGTGAGTGAGCTTATCTCAACCGTGTACCAGTTAGTTAAGGTTTCTTTACTTTTTTTTCTTTCTTCGAAGACTCCACGAACAAATTAAGAAGCTTACGAATCAAATTCAAGGTTTCGAAACTTGCTAATGCTAATCCAGAACATTTGAAAGGGAAAATTAGGCTTCATGGAAGTTAAATCGGAAGACGTTTTGACTTTAACTTGTAAGGAACGAGAACATAGATAAAAATGAGATCATCTCACCCCTTTAATAAAAGCTTTTCTTTCGTCCATGATGTTCCGTGATATCTCATGATTGTTGGTGAGGGCATTGCTTAAAGCGGTAGGTGTTTGATTTGCTGATTTCAATTTATACTCGGGATCTGTGAATGAGATTAGAAAAAGGAAAGAGAAAGCAATAGGTTAAGGGCATGTTACGTAATAATTTCTCGATTTACAGCCTAGCTGCAAATAACAATAAAAAGACGAAGAAGACGTAAAAGATTCAAGAATAATATTATAAAAAAAACTGACTTCTAAAGACACAAAACAGCAGATTCTTTGTCCTTTCTCTTCTTCTTCTTTTATTTTTTTTTCTGGCGTAAGACGAGAAGATGAAGGAAATTTATTTACATTTTATTTTTACCTTCATTGGATGGCACAACATCTGGGTTCTTCTCATCGTACATTTCCTCCGACTGACTCAAAGGCACCGAAATTTTCTCTTTAATCGGCAAATTGCCCGGACGTTGTTTGTTATTTGATTTTTTATTGTTTGCTGTGCGAATTTTCAACACAACGATGATGCCAATAATAACACAGACTAGAGCAGTCAATAGACCCACTAGAATTCCAAATGAAAGCATTGTTGATCGGTCGAGAGACTCATGTTGACCTGAAAAGGAAATTTCCGATGAAAAAGGAAACGTAAATAAACAGCAGCCAAAGTTTAGATTCTTTCGAAAGATATTTTATAAGCTAAAAGTTGCGAAACAATTTCTTTTTCTTGTTTCAAATTTTTGCAAACCCCAAGGCAGTTTGATTAAAGAAAGATAAATAAAAGTTGAGGTAGGCGAATGAGTAAACGTCAATGATACATAAAATATTCTTTTTCTTACCCGTTTGCTTTTCTGCTGCCTTTAATGTGAAAGCTTCCAATAATACTGAGTCACTTCGACCCTTTACATTGATAGCATAAATAACGATCTTCAGGAATTTTCCAGAGTCAAGTCCGCTTACAGTAAACACGGGATATTTTGATGAAATATTAGCTTGTAGCATGTTCGTGTGTTGATCGAATATTTCCATGATGAACCATTGTCGTTGTCCACCATCAAATCCTATTGAAATTAAAGCAAATAAAAAATATCGAATGACTTTTGTTTATCATCAATTTGAAGCACTGAAGTGATGATACAAAATTCTACTAAAGTTTAAATGCGACATAGAATGGAATGAACAAAAAAGTTTTTATTGCAATAAAGGCATTCTACATTTTAAGTACAGATGTTGTCAATAAGCGGGTCGAGCTTGACATGAAATTTTCATCTGAAACTCAACTGCTTCACTTCCCCTAAAGCATATGAGTCAATATCAAGCCGACATTTAATGGAAATGCTACTCAATATTTGATATTTGCTTATGACAAAAAAAGAGAAATTGAAGAGTGAATTGGAAATGTTTCTCTGTAAAATTCGTTTTTGAATGTTTGATTAAACTTTTCTGGTAAATGCTTCAGTTGAGTTTATATTATTCATGACGAGAGAAAGTTCAGAAAAATGAATCGATTGTGTGGCCATTCAATCTATTGGGGATAAGAACTTTTCTTCCTTCTTTTTCTACACTTGATGGAAGAAACTTTGTTTCGTTGTCGTCTTCGTGACTCAATGATCATAATGTTCGTAAGATAAAAGATATACATGAATTAAGCCCAGAGGAGAATTTCCCGGTTCTAAGGAAATGGAAGGAAGAAAATGAAGAAAAGAAAACATTCCACTCTGTCCGCTATACAACAGGAAGGAGAAGTGAATAAGATAAACTTCAGAATCGAAGAATGCGAGAAAGTAAGAAAATAAAACAGAATTCTAAAGGGAATTCGAGAGCGACGAGTGAATTGGAAAAGAAAAAAAAAACTTTTCGCTTCATGAAAACATTTTCACTTCATTCAATCGTTGCCATATTGCGGGGGAGGGTGGTGGATAGGCGTTTAAAGAAAAGCATTTAGAGATGGAGAAGCAATTGAAAAAGGGTCAAAAGGGAAATTTGCCGATTATAAAAGCTTCCACTTCACATTCGTTTTTCCGTTAGCGATCTAGGAAATTATTTTTAATGAGGAAATGGTTTTTAATTATAGCACACAAGCAAGCGAAAAGAGAAAAAGAAAAACTAACCTTCATTGCAATCAACTTCAAGCGATTCAGATGTCTGGTTAACGAGCGTACAGTTGTACGGAACATCAGGCTTTCCAGCAGCAATTAAATGAAATACGCAAGGTTCTTTTTGTTGTCCCACGACATTGTCGGCCCAACACAATATTGTACCGAAGTCCACTTCCTGAAATTGGATAAAAAAAAGTGAACATTTTGTTGTTGAGCTTTTTCAGTGTTTTGTAATTATTTAATCCCCGGTTTTGTCTATTCAATGAATATTAATTTCCAATGCAAACATGAACATTGAATATTGGACAAGGCGTTTCGAACATGTCGTATTGCTGTCAATGCATGTACATGAAATTGTAGAGAACTCATCCTCGTAAATTTTTGATACTTTTTGAATGGTATAAAAATTGAAACTTTTTAATTTTTTATCCACTATCTCGATATTTCTTTTATTCTTCTTGCAAAACTAGATATTTCTTATGCCAATAGAAAGCTTAACAAAATATCAAATTTATCATTCATAAATTCATACAATTCATGGATAAGGGAAGTTTGTTGAATGGGAAATAAGAGCTACATAGAAGCAGTGAGAAACTTTAAAATGGCCCAAAGTCTTGTAAAATAAATATTTGATTATCATTAAATATTCAAATAAGAATTTTCCTTTATCTTCTATGTATACGACGGGGCCTGGAGTTAGCAGAGAAAAAGAGAAGAAAGAGAAGTAAAAAAGGGTTTTTTCGGTTGTTATATTTTTACAAGACATTCCGTTCTTCTGGCTTGTGTGAGACTAGAACAAATAGCTCTGAATGTGTGTTTAAATAATTAAAACTGTTTGGATAAAATTCAACATTTTATGTTTGCACAGAAGTTTTTCCATTTTATGTTGCTACTGCTACATCGACCATGTTCTTCTATCTTTTATGGGAAATATTTTGAATTAACGTATGATTTTTTAAATGGTACTTGAGCTGTAACTTTATAACGGTTATTTAGAGTTTGAATTATGTAGTGATTTATCTTGGAGGGGATTAAGGGACGGAAAAACATTTTCCAACACCTAAATTACAAATATTTCCTATTCATAATTTATTTCAAAATAAAAAGCATATCCTTGTTTGCTTGTACAAGAAGCCTACCGTCTCTTACCGAACTCGATAAAATCGTTTCTCGTTTTCAAAGGTGAAACATTTTACTGCCTTCTTGCTTTGAATAAATTAAATTCACTAATTGTATAGTTCAGAAGAAAAGCAATTTTTTGTGTTTTTCTAACGTAGACTAACAAGTATTTATTGAGTTCAAAAAAGTTGGAAGTCTTTCATTTACTCATTGTGCTATAGCAGGTAAATGTTGAGCGCAATATTTTTACGAGTTTAAACTTTGCTACTACATCCGTAACTGGAGGTTTACGTACAGAAGTCATTTAACCTCTACAACCCTTTTTCAAAAAGTTGAAACCTTACCTTAACCGGCGTATAGGAGAGCGTTGATGCTTGTGATGAATGGATTCTGTAATCACTTTGCGGCATTTCAAATGTCTCTGCTGTATTGTTGAACGACCATTTGAATGATTCGGGTGGAGGAAAGGCATCAACTTCACATAAAATTTCTGCCGCCTCATTACGTGCTACACCATAAATGCGTTTCTGTTCACTGCGACATATCGGTTTATCTGCAAAAATCGTATTTGCAATATAAAATGGTGTAGCAATAAATTAAAGCAATGCTCGAGAGGAGAGAAAAAAATAACTTAAATAAATATCAGAATCTAACTCAATGCGACTTGATTCAAGAATATTTATAGTCAAGCTTTAGTTAGATAAAATTTCACTGTTCACTTTAATAATCAATCTGCACAATATGATGGACGATATAAAATTAAATTTAAATTTTTTAAGTAACTTAATAAGAAGCTGAAAGTTTCAGCAGGGAATAAAAATCCTACACAGCAAGCATGAAAAGTTTTTTATTTGCTTTTTTCTTCTCATATTAAAGTCTCTGTGTCAGTATGAAAAGATTGCACATCAGACAAACAGAAACAGCACAACGATGCGGAGGTAAAGGAAGAAACTTTTGCCTTCAGTCCCTCATGAATAGATATCATTTTAAATTATTCAGTGGCTGAAAGTTTCCTGATGCTTTTTACTCAACTGCAGTTCAGGCAAAAATTTAAATTAACTTACACATAACTTTTAATTCAACAACATTGCTTTCGCCATCTCCCTCGACATTTGATGCGACACAGGTGTAATTTCCAGCTTGATATCTTGAAACAGCTTGCAAGGCAAGGTTGTCACTGCTCATGATGGTACGTTTGGTGTTATGCGCTATCGGCAAACCCTGAAATAAAAGAGAAATATCAACGTAAGTGTGGTTTCACAATTTACAGTCACATTTGCATAAAGTTAGATAAAGAATCTTGGAGTGAAAGATAAAATGCCTTTCTCTGCCTTAATAAGTTCCATTAAACTGATTTTATTGCAAGCTTTTCGAATTTCCAATGCAGTTTTCACTCTGAGCGTGCTTATCTATGCGAAAATTTATTTGAAAACTTTTACATGGCTTAGAAGACAGAATGCTTTATCAATGCCTTCACTTTATTACATTCGACTATTGAACTTCGACTATCTACCCAGAAATCATTGGAAAATTTTCCATCCCCTCCAATCAGACCACAAAAAAGCTCAACATGAAAGCATGTTGTGCTTCATCAGTGAATTTATTGATTGTCAAGTTCCTTTGATAGAGTTGCATTTCTCAAATTGAATTATTCTTTTTATAGTTCTATTTTGGATCTTACAGTCAAGTCAGACCAATGGGGAGGAATAAAGTTTAACCGCTATAAATTGTGTTGATGTAAATATCACAGAGAGAAAAGAAATAAGTATACAAATTGCACCATAAACTTTCTGTTTTTATTTTGTTTTAGCTTTTTTTGTTGTTTTTGTTCAAACAATCTAAATGGAAGAAGAAAAAAACTTGCAACAGAAAAAAAATTTATTCCATAAGAGAGGATAAAGAAAAAACAAAAGCTCGTAACTCCGAAGCAGTCAAGCAAGTACTTCGAGCGAAATGCAATTTCTTTGTAACTTCAAATTTCGTTTTTCATAGCGAAAAAGATATTTTCCTGTAAATTTATGAATTACGGTCGCACACAAAGTTTACAAAAATAATAATAATTTTCTTGAATAATGTTTCTTTGATTCATTTCAAGTTTTGAAATTTCAAATTCCGAATGAAGCTTAATTTTAATCTCTTTCTTGAGTACTTTTTCTGAATGGAAAAATAATTCTTATCAAGTTTGCATACAAATGGTGGATGGTTGACGTAAAATGATATTCACGTTGACAATATTTATAAAAGCAGAATAACATTTACAACTTTGAAGTTTAGAAGTTAAACTAACAACGCATTAATTAAATATTTTAATATTCAGCTTGAAAGCTCTTTTGAAGTCGTCATAAGACTAAAAACGATTATTTATTTAAATGAAGTTGTCGTCGCAAGTTGAACGTCTCTATAAGAAAAAAAAGTAAAAAATCGAATTGAATTTAATTAAGAGCAGTACGTATAAGCTTTTTAACAATCACTTTTAATCACGCTGAATGTTATCGTTCAGTTGATTTCAATTCACTTGTCTTCACTGTTGGTATTTATTTATGAAACTCTTCTCCGAGAAAGGCGGGTAAAACTACCAGAGAGTTAGAGATTAAGACGAATAGGCCATTACACAACACATAGAACCGTAAATTCTCATTCAATTAAAGAGGGATTATTAGTTACGTTAATTAGAGTCTGTCTGCATTCGAGAAAAATCGGATTAATCAAGACAGCTTACAACTGTATTAAACGAGATTTCCACTCGCTCCCGTCCCATAATCTTTACGCGTCTCATCGTAATCATGTCTTTGGCAATTCCGACAACTTTTTTCTCTTTCTCTCTCTCTCTCACTCTATTTTCTATTCTTTTTTGTGCCCTCAAAATGACTACAATTATTACATGGATAAGAAGACAAGTAAGTATGTGAAATGTTCAGTCGTGGATGGCGAAGTCTTTTATAAAGAAAAAATCATTCAGGATAAATGTTGCGGTTGCCACACCCTTATTCGGTACATACTGATATGGAAGAAGAGAACATAACATGTTCATGCAATTCTTAGTTCAAAGAACAAGAAAAGTAAAGGGAAGAAAATCTTGAGTACTTTTAAAACATCACAAGCTAGCTTTCCCTTCTTTAAATGTTAGTCAGGATCTTTTGACTAATATACTGCTTTTAAAATGCTGGTATCAAGTGCATTACGTAAGTCGAAGCGAATGAACATAAAAATCGTTTCTCGTCTCCTGTTTCCTGGTTGGATTTTAAAATAGAATAGAGAGAAAGATGAATGGGATAAAAATGTAAGAAAAGTTCGTGAAATTTTCTCAGCATGTGTACTTATTTTTATGTTTGTATGTCTAGCTAGAAAATGTATCAGATGACGTGAAGTAAAACTATCAAGAAATTATACGATAGACGAGAAAGTCTTGCAGAACTTTAGGAGAAATAAAAATGTAACTTCACTTACGTTATGTCTCCATACAACTTTATAAGTTGGTGGATTAGCTTTGATGATGCATTCAAAGTAGCAATCATCTCCCTCTTCAATGTCGTCGGGATTCAAGCTCGGTCCCAGTTGAAGTGTAACTGAAGGTGGATCTAGAATAGAAGAACATGGAAATTCAGTAAAATTTATGACATTCACTTTATGGTATGCATGTAGTTTTTATCATGAATGAAATTCAGTTCAATAAGAAGAGAGAAGCTTCTTCAGTCACAGACATCCCAAGTTTCACATCTAAAAAGCCACAGTTGAACTCTAACAAGTTAAAGCAACTGTTTTTCGTTCAAGTCTCATGCGCTTTGCATCCTAAATTAACATCGTCTCTCTTCCCTCCATCATCCGGATTTAAAGTTAATCCGGGATTTTTCTGTAAAGCCCCAACAGCAAGGTAAGTGACACGAGTGCGAATACACAAAAGAAGAGTTCCGATGGTTTTTAAAAAGGGTCATCAACTTCACATTTTTCATACCGTTGCATTATAGTATGACAACCCCATTTATGCCAGTAACTCTTGTGACCAGATTTTCCCAGCTTTTTTCTTCTTTTTCTCGTCTCTTCATTTTATTTTTTTCTTGCTACTCGTGCTCGTTTACCACGACAGAAAAAAAAGAGAAATAATTTGAAACACGATGTTACACACGTCATTCATCGCTCAAAAGTATTTTTCCGCATGGTATGAGGCTGCTATGTATAAATTTGTTATTTTCATGAGACATATGGAGCATCACATTGTGATTTATTCACAGATCTTCATTTCTTACTTCACTGAAAGTTAATAAAATTTATCTAACCTTTAGATACAAAATTGTTCAATTTTCCGATGTTGTTTAAAAATAACAAAAAATTTCCTCTGCAAATATGACGGGATCAACGATGGAATGGTCCATAATGTCAAAAAACACAGAAATAATGTTCATCATATTCCAATATGAATATTTCACGTTTCTTTTTCGGGTTATGATTCTCTGCCATTACTGAATAATGGCAAAAAAAAGAATGAGAGACAACCAACCTTTCCCGCCAGTTCGCTTTTCGTGTTTTTTTGAGACAACACATTTACTGTAATAAAAAAAGGTTTTATGCCAAAAAAGACAAATGTAACCACATTTGAAACTAAATGTCCGCATATAAATTTTCATATATTTTTTTAAACTGACAACTTTTCGTCTTTCCGTCTCTCGAGGAATCGGTGAACCAACGTTATAACTTTATATTCACTACCGCATGCACACCAGACTTCGTTCCAGAAAGTGAAAAATGGAGTAGAAAAGCAATGAAGCAAAGAATTTTGGTTGAAGTTGAAAATGAGCTTTCATTTTTAGTCTGTGGGAACACGATTCGTATTGTAGATATAAAGTTGAATGGTTTTCATTTTTTTTGTTCAAATTTATTAAATATATCTGACTAAGCTTCAAACTTTAATAAACACAAACCACATTTTATTTTAAAATCCTCTGACGAATGGAAAATTTTCTTTTTATTAACTTTATTGATTTAGAAACTTTTCAATGCTTACAGTTGTCAAATAAATCTTGCCAACTTTTCCTTCTCAACAAACACGAGTTAGACACCGAATCAGATATTTTTTATTCATCTAAATCTCTTTTAAAACTTACATTTTGTGATTTTAATTTAAAAGAAGACGAAAGCTTATAAAGAAAATTTCACATGACATGAAGGAAAATCGTTTTAGTTGCATTTACAAATCCATTAACAGGCTTCCTTTTTTTCGTATAAAAAGTTCTTTTAATCTTATACATACATCTGAGTATCGCTGAAGAGCATGACAAAAAAGCGAGTGAAAATTGATGTCGTTGAGGGATTTACTGGTAAAAGCAATTTTCCTCCTGGAAAATGAAGCTATCCAGGATAATTTCTTTAGTTTTTGATATTCAGTTCCTTCCGCATATCTTGTTAGTGATGTTGTGCTTTTAAGAAGGTGTCTTGAGATTTGAAATTTAAGGATAAAGTTTTGCTCCATTTTATAGACGACATTGAACAGGTTCCTTGCGTCAACATAGGCGACCCAAATCAATGATTGTGAGAAGTAAATAAATCTTCGTGGAAATACATTAATGTATGGTCCAAAGAATTTTATTTAAATTTAAAGGACTTGCTTATAGATACAAGTTGTGTGTTTAGAGAATTCTCTACAAATGTGAAATGAAAGACCTCGACATACATTTTTCCCTTTGAAAGTCTTTGAAAATGTTCAAGTCTCAATTTACAATCAAACATTTTTTTCTTAGATAATTAATTATTTATCAAATTGATAGAAAAGTTGATTCGATTTCATTAATCATTTTAGGTCTCAAACTTTCATTTGGTTTGAATGGAAAAGCTTTCTATTCAACTCGTTTTTGTAATTCTTTTGGTTGAAGAAATAAAGAAAACGATGCTCAACAACCGATTTGCCCTCGCATCAAATGAAGAGTACCAGAAAGTTCACAATCTGCGAAGGCATTCACAAAAAGGAATAACGATAATGATTATCATTGAAACGTTAATTTCTTGCCATTTTTCGTATAAAAGGCTGTAATTCACAGATTTTCCATCCCTTTTTCTCGTGTCTGCTGGTTGCTGGGGTGGCTGAAATACATAAACGAATGAGAAGGAGAACACGAAGGAAAAAAAAACTAAAACTCAGCTTCTTTCCATGAAATTGATGATGAGATAAAATTAGAGATGCGAGACAGGAAAAAACTTTGATTTTGTTTCTTTTCCTCTCCCTAAAGTTCAATTTTTCACTTCCATCTTCATTTTCATTCATTACAATTTATACAGAAAATCGTAATTGATTTTTAGTTACATGCACATAAAAGTAAATTGTTGGGATCACTTATAGTTTTTATATTCTGACATCATCTAACATGTTGTTCAAATACATCGCAACATTCTAAGTTAATGTTCTGGGAAGAAACAAACTCATGAAAATGGAAAAATCGTTAGGCACAGCAGCTCATAGACTTTCGTGTGAATTATTTATTTCACTCTCTCTCTCTCTCACTTTTCCTCTGTCTTACTTTCCCTTCTTCATCTCAGCTTATATACGAAGCGATGAAGAAATAAATGAACAAAAGGAGAAGAAAAAAAAACTTCGCCTATCAAGTTTAATAAATGTTACATCAGGATGATTGATCATTCTATTAATTTATATTTCCAAATAAATTTGTTTCATAATGTTTCTGCTTCAATGAATTTTCGTTTTCTTTGTTTTCTATTTCATCGTTCTTATGCCTCAAGAAGGTTGCTTTGTACACGCTTTATTTATTCTGCGTATATTTCCATAAGAAGTGAAAGCTGAAGAGACGAGAACATGGCAGCAGCGGAAAAGAATGAGAGAAAGTTATAGGAAAACTTTTCTTTCTTGCTTTTTTACTTCTTTTCGACTTCAAGATTCTTATTAAAGCAAATTTTATTTTATTTATTTTTTTCTTTTTTACTCACGATGAACAATAAATTTCTCATAACGGCAACAATGCCTCGAAGGGTAAGGAGAGAAATTATATTTTTGTCATCACAATTTAGATGCTGCTACCATCGAAATGAAAATCTCTTTATTATTTTCTTCATGTTGAAAATGGAAAATTTGTTGAGAAAGCTTAATCTAATTTATATGTAAACAACTAAAGACGGAAGAATTTTTCCAGCATGTAATTATTTATAGTCTATTAGATACTTTTCTTCCCATCTTTTGCACTCGCAACAAATTCTTCCGCGAGAGATGACAAAGCTGCAATTTTATTTAGATCGTTGTTGCTCCACATAAAATGTTAGTCATGATGCAAGAAGTAGGACGAAGATAAAAAATTGTTCCAAAAACAAAAAAAAAGGACGACAAGAAGTTTGGGAGGAATTACATTAGCATGTTTTAATAATCTGGAGCCATGCCAAGATCATCGTAAAATGAAAATTGGGTTGGGGACAATTCATCACTTCCATTCTCATTTCAACTTATTTTTTTAATAAAAAAGAAGTCAAAAGCTTTCTAGATTAATGAAAATTTCATATTTTGAAACAAACATTTCCTTCAATCCCTATGATGATTTGTAAAATAAAATTTTTAATTGAAAGAAACGAGAAACTAAGAAAGAAGTTAAAAACTTCACTTTTTTTCTCGAAGAAATTGCATAACGTTTGCTCATTGCATGAATACGTATGTTAATGCAGTAAAAAAGTTGTTTTTCTGTTTTTAATAAAAGTTCTTTCTGTAAATTTATAATTTCTTTGATCTGCTGCAACAGCATCAGAAGGAAAATTGTTTAAACTTGGATCTTATTTCAGCTTGTTTTCATTCAAACTTTTTCCAGGTATGGTTCTTTTTCCTTTTAAAAGAAGAAATGAAAAGCTTCTTCGTGTTTCCAAACACAACAGGGAGTGTAGCTAAGGGGCTGTTTTATTTTTCTTATTTAAATTGCTTTGCTTTCAGGTGCTGTTATCTACATCGAAAATGAGTGTTTTTCCTAAACCTGTACATCTAGCTAAAATTTCGCATTTTTTTCTGCTGGCATCATCAATCATTTTTAACGTAATGCTGGCTATTATAATTAATTTCTGCCCAACTGAATCTTTGGAAAGTTTGAATGTGTTGTTTGCTGATGTTGTCGCTTTTCGTACTGAATGAAACTTTGTGACTGAGCGCATTATTATGCGATGTATTGCTCGTGTTAGTAGCAACTAGCGTGAAATATCATCAAAGTACTTAAAAGCAACAACTTGAAACGTATTTTCATGAAAGTGCTGTTGATTACAAGTTGGTTTGTTTAACACGTAAAACATAAAGTACGAGCTTTGGCAAAGTGACTCTCCAAAGTGCTTTTTATTTAATAATTTCGAAACGTAATTACGATGTTGAAATTTATAAAAAAATGAAAACTTTTGTGAAAGTCACATAAATAAATTTTAATTTTTAACTCTATAGAAGTCTCTTGATTATTAAAAATGTCGCTTATTGAGATGAAGTTTGATTACCTTAAATAGAGTTCAATGGCATTGTTATGGAGTTAATGTTACGTGCTCATCGATTAATATTTCAGTAATGTGGGCAATAATGCTGTCGCAAGTACATGTACAATGAGAAATTATAGTTATTGTCGCTTTTATAAAAAGGTTGAGCTTTTCTAAACAATTTTCTGCACTTAATCGTACTTTAGAGAAATCAGAAATTCAATTATGTTTCAATCAAGCGAACAATCATTTCACTTAAACTTAAATGCACTTCTTAACTACACTAAAGTGTCAGAAACGTTGACAAGATTTGTTTAAATTGAGAAGACAAGGAAAAACCATCTGGATCATGTTTGAAGTATAAAAATGTTATTAACAAATGAAGAAATTTACTTTTCATGTTCTCTGTTCTCGTCGAAGCATAAGTTGGAAAATTTCTGATTATTTTCACTCGAACAATTTCTCATAAAAGCAAACATTATTCACATTTTTTTTGTGCTCCTCGTTCGCTGTAGGTGGGATAGCAAAAGTGCTTTTTTAATTGAAGCTAATTTTTTTCCGTTTTTCGTGGATAGCATTTTTATGCTTTTAAAAGTGCTTCCAACCGAGAACATGGGAGTAAAAGACCTGACATTTGTTGATTATAATTTTCATGATGAGACAAACAAAAATTACGTTTACTTGGAAACAGCAGAAAATGCGAGCTTTAAGTAGAAAGCTCGTTAAGCAAACAAAGTTTAGTGATAATAAAGAGGGAAAAAGGTAGAAAAGATTCTTTTACTTACAAAAAACATTCATTTTCAATGTTGTTTCTTTGATTCCGTTTCTAACCAACTCATTTGTCGCCCGACAAACCAAATTTTTTCCATTGTCTTGCCTTGTCGGTGTAAACAGCAAAGTCGACGTCGTAATGTTACCATCTGGAGATGTCTATGAAATAATAATGGAAAAAATATGTAAAAATATCAACAATCACGTAATTTCATGCTTAAATAGAGCATAAAAATTAATGAGAGGGTGAGTAAGGGAGATAGAGAGACAAAAGTGTGGTAAGGAAGGAAAATTAATAAAAAAATCAATTTACTTTCGTTGGTTGAGCGACGAGAGCAACTCCATTCATCCACCACGTGATAACTGATGGTGGACGAGAACCGATTGCTTGGCATTCAACCTCATATTGCCGATCGGCGGATAAAGGCTGATTGTTGAACATGATTTCAACTTCTAACGGTCGCACTAGAAAAGACAGTAAAAAAGTAAATTCTCCATGCAGAAACATTCGAAAAGCTTTTGATAACTCACAATATAATTCTATTGTAATATTTTTTGATACAAATTTATTTGGAAAGTTGCTCGCTTGACATGTGTAAACCGCATGTTGGTGTATACGTGATAAATTCTTAACTATTAACTTATTGGTTGTCTTACTCGATGGAAACGAGTAGTCGTTGGCCTCGGTCGGTAATTCCTTCCCATTTTCGTACCATTTCACTTTTGGTGCCGGTGATCCTAAAAATGAATATTTAAAGAGAGATAATAAAGGAAATGTTAATACTTTATTATATTAAACGCCATGATTTAATTTTATGATAATTATCATCTCTCATAATGCGTCTTTTCAACACTTTCATGAAAATTCATTCGTTGCTTTGATATTATGATCAGAAATTATGTCGCCCACGAATCATTTACGCCCCCGCTTTTTTTTTCATCCTTACTTACTAAGATGTACATTTCAACTTCTGATGTTATGTGGTGAAAATATTTATTTTATGCTTCGTTGATGTTGATTAAAATCACTTCGCCTTAAGCACATGTACTTAAATTGTGCGAAAAAACATTCGCTTAACTCTTAATACTTTCACATTCGTAGAGATGCTTTCATCTGCCTTTTTATATTTTTTTCTCTTTCCTTCTCTCTCTCTCCCTTTTCTCTATCTTTCTTACTTCTTTACTCCCTTTAAGCTTAGCGATTTAGGAGGCATTTACGTCGTTTGTTATAATGAAATTGATTTGACATGATGGCAACGTCATATCATGGAATAATGCCGTTGCCGTGCTCGAGGAGATATGCGAAAGTGAAAGGCGTAATACTATCATTCATATTATATGAGTTCAGTTCACGTTCACGTTCATGGGAAAACATTTATCGGCGTGAAATGTATTGTTGAAGAAGATTTATTTCTGATGTTGTAAAGCAAAGTGAGCAGGTTCTTATCACTTGAATGAGAAAAGCAAAGTCTTCTTACCTCCCATTACGACACACGCCAATATGAGTTGTCCACTTTCTTCATATGGCCCTGCACGTGACTCAATTGGTAAGTTCTGTTCGTTATAGATTACAGGTACTGCAGGCGGCACTGTTTAAAAGTTAAAATAAATCGTTAATCATTTAACAAACAATTGCTAAAATTAACGGAGTGAACGAAAAAGGATTTACAACTTACCTACAACTTGAAGGTTCACATTACTGTTTCTCGTTGGAGAAAGTTTAAAGTCAACTCGGCATCGAAAGTTGCCCGCGTCTTTCTCCTGTGAATTGCAAAGAAAGAAAATAATGTAAAAGAAAGAAAAAGTATAAAAAGAGATGGAAAATCGATAAAACTCGTTGAGCATGAAAAACTTTTTCATTTATTTTTGTTTTCCCTTTTTTCAATTGTTTAAATGTTTTCAACTTTTGAACAGTTTCCTTTTCAAACTTTACCTGGACTGGCTTTATAACTAATTCCGCAGGGGATCTTATAGTTCTAAATATTGCTCGATTCTCTAAGATTTCATTGTCTTTCCAATGCGATGGAGTACCGGCGTGCGATCCACGCGTGTCATAGCTGAAAAGTTATAATTTTCATGATTAATTCCTCGACCTAAGTCTCTTTGAATTTCCCTGACATAAATTCTTGCATACATCACGCTTACACATATTGAAACTTTTCTTTCATAAACACACAACTCATATTCATAAAAGCTTTTTCAAGCTTACACAAAAATTTCATGAGTCAACAGTTTTTCTTAATATATTTTTATTTTTCTATACATTAATGCCAAGTTCAGGAAGCTTTCACAAAATAAAACAAATAAAGTTAAAGTTCATTTCACGAGTATATAACGCAGTAGGCAATTTCATATTTAAATTTATAAAAAATTAAAGTTAATGCTACATCCCTGTTCATAAAATATGTAAATCTCAATTCTAAAGTAAAACGAAGAAGAAGACTTGAATTTAAATCACGACATTTTTAAGCAGGGAACTTTTAATGAAGTTATTCTATTAATATCATGAAGCAATTCACGCTAAAATGCCTACCAATGATTGCTGTTTCTCTCAACTTCTCACATGTTTCACAGAATTTCAGAAGAACTTTTACATAAATTTTTAACCATGTAAGAAGGAAAAGATTTTTTTTGTACATTGAGAGGAGAGACGAAACGTTTTTGGGTGGGAAAATTTAAGGAAAAATAAAGACAATGCGGAAGAAAACAAAAAAACATATCAATGCTTTTAAACCCTTGATGCTTAATATACACAAATACAAATTTTTCGAATGAGAACTTCTTGAAAGCACATTTAACTCTTTTGTGGTTGCTGAAGATGACAAGAATAAAGAAAGAAATGATGGGAAAATAAAATTCCCCAAACATTTTCCTCCGAATGTTTTCCCTACAATGCTGAGCAATAAAATATTTAAGCATCAATTTTCATAATAATATGTGTATGAATAAAACATTCCTGGTTTTGAAAATATGTGTACACATGCAGACGACGAGCATATAATGTGCCATCTTTCTCGTCATCGAACAAGTGTGTACACATGAGTAACATGCTGCGATAGAATGCATAGAATTGAGGCTGACGAAATTACGAACCATTTAAAGCGACTCGCTTTCTCTTCCGTATAACAAATTTTTAAAGAATGTAAGACGGTACAATAAATCAGCATTCTCATTTTCCATCCCGCCATGCAGAAGACGCTCAACGAGCTTCAATGTAAAGCATAGACATAGGGTTGGAATGGCATTACAAATTTAAAAGCATATGCTTCGAAAAGTCTCTTTTGTGTTTTAAAATATCACGCAACATATTCAGTAAAGAATAAAAGAACAAGAAAATTTTCAAATATTTATGCTTGTAAAGTATGTCATTAAAATCGCGATAATATACAACACATAATTGAAAGCAATAATAACTTAATATCAAAACCAAACTCTACAATTCTTTATACTCTTCAACAATCATTCAAAACATTCATTAAATGCACAATAAAATATGTCAAGAATTCATTCATTCTATTGTTGCAAGCTTTCCATATTGGGATTGTATTTAAATTACGTCTAGTTCTGTCATAGAAATTTATTGCTCATAAATGTCAATTTTGATGAAGGATTTGGATATTTACATAAAACGTGTCGTAACTTACATACATTCCCAATCAAAAAGATCCGGAAATAAAAGATTCTTACCTATAAATAGGAAGATTGTTTTTGTACCATACGACTAATAATACTTGATCACCATCAATGTTTGATGAAACATCACATTTTATCTCTGCTACACCATTAACTAAAACTTTTTCCACATTCTCATCTGTCGTGATGTCATTTGGTTTTGTTTTTTCATGTCAGTTAGAGAGCAGTAAAAGAACGGTCGAAGATACACGAACGGAAAAAATTACGAAATGTATAAGAAAACAGAAAGAAAAGTATTATTTTTCTTTTGTTTCGCTACATGTCAGTAGGAAAATGTGCCTAAATGTATTCAAAGTAACTTGAAGGCAAAAAAAAAGAAGAAGAAAGAATTGTGTACATTGTGTTACGGCATGTATAGAAAAGCATAAGAAAATGGCAAAAGCTCACACAACACAACAAAAACAGAAAAAAAAAATGTAGAAAAAAAGGATATTTGAATAAGTTACGTAGGGGACATGAGGGGCTTTTGTTTACTCTTAATCATAAATCATTCAGAAAGTTCAAGGTTCAGGTATATGTATAACATACGGCAAACTCCTCATTTTATCTTCCATGGGATTATAATATTCTCTTCGCTCTACTTTTCCACGGCTTTACTTCTATTTCAAGGTAAATTTATATTTATTTAATTTGAAGGTAGCGGAAAAAGGCACATTTTGTTTTTCTCCCTTATGTTTTTCCCCGCGTTTTCCTTTTCCTTTCGAGGAAGTCAATTATGATGTTGAGAATTTATTTGAAAAGTTACAGATACTTTCGTTATCTTTCTCTCTCTCTTTTTTTTGTTTATTTTTTAATGGAAAATTCATAAAAACGAAAGCTTGAGTGGCTTTGTTTGTCTAAGCTCAGACTAATTTATTGGAATTAGAACAATTTTTACCAGAAATCGTTGTAATAAAAAGAGAGAAGAAAAGAGAAAACTTTTTGATCATTATAAAGTGAATTAAGCTTTAAGAAAATTGTTATTTGACAATCCATTTATTTAAAGTTCACTGAGATTTTCTTCTGTGACTTAAGAAAATTCTTAGTGAGGAAAATATTTTCCATTGCTCACGTTATTAAGCATCAGATTTTTGATGAAATTAAATAGAAAAGTTTATTGTCTATAAACAAAACTTAACTTCTGCTACCGAAAATATTTTTTCTATTTTATTATGGGTTTAGTAACTGACAACTAAGTAAAGAAACTTGACACACATGATTGCCTTTTATTTATTGATAATGGAAAATAATTGACATTTTCTATTTTAATTCTTCAATTAATCGAAGAGAAACTTTAAACCGTGTCTTCAAGATTGTGTTGGAATATTTTGATACAATCAACTGTACAACTGTGAAGCTTATGGGAAAAGCAAGCAAGCAACTAAGCTCCTTAGCACTAAAAGATTTGAAAACTTATCAAAAGTTTATTGAACTACTTCACACCAGAAAGCGTTTGAAACTTTCGTGAACTTAACGAAATACGATCGTTTAAGATTAGAATTTAATGATGTATGAAAATTAAATCCTTTTCCATTTATTTCGATAGAAACAATCGTTAGTTAATCTGTTGATTTACCTTTCAAAAGGGAGAATAAGTTTTCTAAAGCTCTCAAGGCTATCATCGAGAACTTTGCATGAACAATTTTCCTTCGCGCCTCGAAAGCTATTAAGATGAGAAATTAATTTTTCATGGAAAAACTTTTCATAAATTTTAATCTAATTTTCCCTTTAAATATTTAACTATTGTCGTCGTACATTGTGTTATTTTACTTTTTTTTAACTCGATGTCAACACAATTTTCTGAAAGTCCCTATCAAAGCTCGTAACTTAATTGAAGTAAATTTTAATTGGTCTTACTAAAGCCTTTCCTTTCCATCATTATGCGAGCACGCGGTTGCATATTAAATATGAACCTTAACGTGTGCCTTGTGTGTTTGAAGCTTATGTTCAAATTACTATTTATTAGAGCAAAAAACGCAAACTCAGAAGTCGCCCTTTAAAGCTCTTTACGTTTCTCCATCCGATAAACCTTTGAAGTTAAGCGCAACAGAAGAAAATTTGTTTACCGAACCTTTCCATCATGTGTAGGTGTTCATTTTTTTTTAACATAAATTATTGTTCGATAAGGTTCTTCCTGTTGCCATTTCTTTATCTTTTCCGAATCGATTTTTCACCAAAAAAAAACAAGAAAAAAAAAGAATCAAAGACGAAGACGAAGAGAAAGCTCGTGAAGTTAAAGCGGAAGAGAAAAGCGCACGAAGACGGCGTAACAACAGCAAGCGGAAGTAGCGAAAAATCGAGAGAATGAGAGAAGTTGAATATTTAATGTGCTTCATAAATATTTACATGATTGTGATATTCACAAAGCCGACAACAACAAAATATGAGCCTCATGAAAAATTCTTGTTTTTATTCAAACATTATTATTTATTTAACAATTTGACTCTCATTCCTTCACCCGCTTCTTATTTCTCTTTTGCCTTTTCTGCTTTTGGAGCTTTCGAGTTCGACTATTCCCACTCGAAGTGAAAAAGTGAAAATATCGATTATTCGCCTTGAGGTGTAATACGTGTACAAAGCACATATTTTTTCTGCCACACTTTCTCCTTACCCTAAAAGGATTCGAAAGAAAAGGAACAACACACAGAAGGCAAGAAACACCGAACGAACCATACGTGTTATTTTATTAACACACAATTTTTTTTTCTTGTTGATTCATGGAAATAAATGTTGAGCATTGAATTGTATATGGAAAGAAAAATGATTCAAGGAATGTTGTGGTAATGTTCATGATGTTCTATAAAATTTTATTAGGTGTTGGTCTCCATAGTGGTTGTTATTTAAGTTTATTCCATTAAATTTTGAGAAAATTTACTTTCATTTAGTTTAACACTCTGCTAGTAAAACGATTAAATTAACTTATTTTTATTTTTCGTTTTAAAGGAGCAACAACCATAACCACATTGACTGAATGAGTGAGTGAAAATGAAGACGAAACGACGTAAACACGGTAAACTCACAGATTGCGTGTTTAGGGTTGTAAAGCGTTTTACTGTGACTGTTATCGTCAATATAATATTTGCACATTGAATTAAATTTCGTTTAAAGCGAAAAGAAAAAAAAAGTTGAGCTCAAATATCGTTGGATGAATGGAAAGTAAAAAAGGCAAACACATTTGATAGCGTTTTTCCTCGGAAATTTCATTTATTTTCAAACGGAAAGGACATGATATGCATTTCCACAATCTTCCCCACCCAATCCTCTCTTATAGTTCTTCGTGCTTAGAAATGTAAATAAAATCTGACGAAAGTATCTTGAAAAACGTTCTTTTAACAGCTTTGACTCGGTTCAAATAAGCTCAACAGTAATGTGTTGATTTTTATGTTGTTGAGCTTTCGTAAAGCTTGACCAACATGTTATTTGGAAAATTTGTGGAAATGAAAATTTAAATAGAACAGAATAATCTAATCTTTTGATCTAAAATCACGAAGCCCCAAACATTAACATTGATGAAAGCATGAAAACGAAACATTTGAATCGTTTCATGAAAGAAATCGGATTCCAACATTGTCATTCTAGTTGATTTGTGATGAAAAACTTTTTCTTCTTCTCAGTTTTTTTATTCTCTCGTCGGCTAAAGAAAACATTGAAGTTTCTGAATGATATGAGCCATACCGTATAAATAAAAAAAAAAAGAAATGTAAAGAAACTCAGTGGAGCTTTTATCTTGAATACATTTTCCGCCTAACATGAAAGTTAAACAAAAAAAGAAATTAGGATGAGAAAAAATAAAATAAAAATAAAAATTTCCCTTGTCGTGGTGTTGAGAAGATAAAAAATAAAACTTTGTCCTTTACCTGGCTTAAAGCCCTCAGTGCATTTGTATGTTTGAATACTCCACAATAAAATAATTGTTGTCGTTATAATCCTCAAGGACGTTTCCATTATTTTTCTCTTGTCACTACACCCAGCGGTATTTTTTACGATATGAAAATTAAATTCAGCTTTTCACGACTTTCGGAAATTCTTCATTTCACTCATTTCTTATTTTTTCACGTTTTTTCTTTTTTTTCTCTCCTTCTTTATGATTTTTTTTTCTTATTATTTTTTGCTTCGCCTTTCACCGCTGGCTAGATTAATCATAAAACAATTTTATTAATTCCACCATTTTACTTTGGCTGTTGTCGCCACTTGTAGTGTTGCGGCTGATATGGAATGGCCACGTTTATAGCTGATAGCGAAGGGGCTGTGGATGCAATAATATTTTATGACACTAACTATTACTTTCATTACACATTACTCTGCAGCATTACGTTAAAACTAAGAATGGTAATTCATTTGCTATTATAACACTTCATTACGACAAACCGCATTTTATCGCGCACTTTTCTTATTTCTTATTCTGTCATTATTAGTGTTTCGCGTCTAAAAAGTATTTCTTATTACTTAGATATAAATTGTATGAATTCCTTTTATTTTCTCCTTTAGCTTAAGTTGATATTGTATTTTTGGTAAAGCACCAAGGGGGATCTTAATATTCACGGCTTGTGTGCTGCTGTCACTTACATTAAGCGATCATTTTTCATAGCTTTTTTCTCCTTTTTATTCTCTTCTTCCTGTCATCGGTTCAATGTACACGGTTGAAAACAATTATTTGCACTCAATTGATATAAATTTTGTTCCTTAAAATGTTATCAATTCACCCGAAAAAAGGTACAACATTCGTCTATTTAGTTTCGACAATTGATGAATGAATAGATTTATGAAAAGTTTCTCGTTGCTGACACAAGCAGTCACACTTACTTCACATTTCCCCGTATTCAGTGTTAGCAATTTAAAGCATACAAAACATTCACGAAAACTTTTTTTTTGTTGTTTTTATATCGCACTGATAAATTTTTGATGGGTCTTTCTATCACCCGATAGAATGTTTGTGCACGAGGCTCCATCAATCATCATTTAATTTATCTGAAATTTTTCAGTCACGAAAAGGAAACAACATTGAAAAGTTTGTACCGAAGAATGAGAGAGACAGAAATAAAGCGAAGAAAAGGCGAGTGGAAGTTGATGAAGGCGTGAAGGAAGAAAAGAAATTGAAATGATTGCTTTTGCCATAACTTTATTTTCAGAGCAGTGATGTCACTTCATTACAATCGATTTTACATTCAAAAATCATTTTTAAAGCTTTAGGGATTATTTCTTATCTGATTGAACCGAGCTTTGTGATGTCAAACGTATATTAATGTTTCCTAATCGCAGGGTAATTTGTCATCTTGAAGTAAGATCAAAGTATTCTATTAATCATCATCACTTATCATTGAGTTTTTCTTCATGTTCACGAAAAAGAAAAGAAAAGTTCTTCATACTTTGTCTTTAACTGTTGGGAAAACAACAACGAAAGTGTCTTCAATGATTGACTTTTAAAAGCAACATGGCCCGAAGTGAAAAGCGAGAGAGGGAAAAGTGCCTCCTATCAGTAAATTACGAAAAATGAGCCAACATCCGGCTGACATTTAAAAACTTTAACATCCTCAATAATGATAAACGAGCTTTTTATTAAAATTTCTTGACTATAAACTTTACAACATTTCTCACTTTTCCCACCAACGCCTTCGTACTAGTCGCTTTTATCCGCCCTCGCCCAAAACTCTACTTTCCTTTTTGAAATCGATAAAATATTTTTATATGTGAAAAATATGAATCTAGATGAGAAGCAGCGGCAAATTTTTGCAACTCAATTTTAACGCCATGCTGTTTAAAAATACTTCGCTTCCGGCCACGCGTCATCATGTACAAGCTACGTATGTTTTAAAGCCATCATGTGAATAACAAAAAAGCTTCTCACTCATAGAGTGAAACGAATTTTATGTTCAATGTTTTGTATTGATTTCCGGCGTATTTTTTTCCCTCCATTATTCAGGAAAAAATATAGAAAAAAATGAATTATTTTGTGAATAAAATCAATTTCAAAAAAAAAATTTGTACTCAATACAACAAAGCAACGATACTTATTCTTTGACAATACACATTTCTGCATTATTATTTTGATTACTTTTTGCGTGTCAGCATACAACACAGATGTTTGTTCAAGTTGAATATGTTTAATGGTTTAGAAGGGATGAGTGAGAAGTAATTTTCTATGGAAATAGTTTAAAGGCTGTCAGAATATGCCGTGAATGAACTTAAAGCTCTCATTCCACTCAATTTCTTTAATTAGCTTGGATACATGCATACCTATTTATAAGTATCTAGATGACAAACATCTTGAATTAACTTTTATAAAAATATTTTGAGACAAGACTAAGGTTTCAATCGTTTTAAGGAAACTCTTCAACATGATTCCGCCTTCTTCATTCTTAAGATTTTTCTTTTGTGTCAAAAGTCAAAAAGATTCTTGCCTCTGATATACCATGAACAATATTGTCAATGAAACTTAAGTGAAGCTACACATCAACCCACGCATATCCATCCGAGCTTTTGTCATATCATTCTACTTCTATCTAAAATTATCTTTTATGCCTTTGTGCCATAAAAATAGGTGAAAGTAATAAATTAAACAGACATAGAAAACGATTTATTTATCATCGCTCTCACTCACTCTCGTTCTTTTACCATCTTAGAGCCTTTTAACGAAAGCCAACGGAATGCATGAAAGAAGCAGAGAAAGAGCCCCGTCGACATGAAATAAAAATCATAAAACACAATTTACAATGGTGGAAAGGAAATGCCAAGCAAGAGAAGAGAAGGAAAGTAATATTAGAAAAATATGAAATTTACGGGTTTCTCGCATTCCACAAGCAAGTAAGTAAGGCAAGCAGCTTGCTAGATAGCAAGTAGAAAAGAGACAATGCTTGCAAATTGGAGAAAGCACGAGAGATGGCATTTCATTTGAAATGTCGCACATAACGCACTTTATCATGGCATTCCTCAAGACAATAAATATTGTGTGTCGAGCGAGAACGCACCGTTAAACAACTTCAGGCAGAAAGAAATGTTGGAATAAAAGCAATTCACGGCAATTTCTATTTTTTTGAAGCTCTGAAGCTCATTTTTATTTAAAAATAATTCTGAACCATAAATCGTTGACGTTCACTTTTAATGGGAATTTTGTACGCGAATGGAGGAAAATCGATCAGATTAACGTATATAATCTGTTTTGAGCTCATTTTACTTAGTCGAAATGAATTTCTTCTTTTTCTTTCTCACTTTTTTCCGTCACACCGTGAAATGACATTTAATTGTAGACGGTAGCTAACGAGATCAAGTGTCAAATAGAAGGAAATAAGAAATTAAATTCACGAATAGAAAAGCAATTGAAAAAAAGGAAGAGAGCAACACTCGACTGAGATTAAATCATCAAGTATTATTCTCAAGTGAAGTTAGTTGATCTAATTAAACGTGAAAATACATCAGTGTGAATTATCCTTCAATATTTGACATTTTTCTGACACTAATAGCACTTCGAATTGCTTAAACAAATAACTTCTATGTCACTGCTCAAATGTTTTCGATTTTAAATCAATTATTCACATGAAAAATCTCCCTTGCTAATGATGGCAGCAATTGATTTCAATTTATTCTTATCCACGTTTCTCATACTTTGAAGCTCTCGCAATTTCTTTTCTTATATTTATTTTTTGTTATTAAAGATCGTCAATCACCTTTCAAATCATTTCCAACATTTAATAATTGAAGTAATCCATTTTAAGTTTGATATCCAAGAATTTCTTAATTTTGATTTCAAGCTACAAATTTTGTCTTTCACATTATTCACTTGATATGACAAAAGTTTTCTATTCTTTTTTTTTCCTTCAACACGATTTGATTGCAAACCAAAACGCTGTTAATTCGTCGACATTTAATTCACTACTGACATCTGTCTAATCAGACGACTTTCCATAAAGCAATGCTTCTCCCACAGCGACGATGAAGACAGAAAAATTGAGCCTGGAAAATATGCTTCTTGTTTATTTTGTTACGAAAACGAAAGAAAATAAGTTTTCCATGCTTTGAGCTTCCACGAAAATGAAAATTTGTTCCGACACGAGATGACTCTCATGGAAAATTTTCCAACGCTTTCCACAGCGCAAGACGAAGCGCTCGAAGTTGAACAAGAGAAAATGTAGACAGACGCACCCATTCACCTCTAATATTATACTCGTTTTTTTGTCGTTCGTTGCTACTGCATTACTTTCATTAATCTCTTATGTTCATTGATTTCTTATGAAAAATGATATGCGACGGCATACTTATGAACTGTTATTGCCTGTTGTATTCCCAAAAAAATTCTTGCGACGTCGGGGAGAGTTGGAGTTGAAATTTATTACCTAATGGAGACGACAGCTCCCGCATTCTACTCGAACGACCTTGAGAACAATTCTCATGGTTAAAGCTGCTGAGTGAAAATATTCGTAAATATAACAGCCGAACTTTAATGCAAATGAAGTCATTATTCATATACCGTCGACTATAATCAGCTTAATAGCGTTTGGTTGCATTTACTTAATTCATGCATATTGTAAACAATAAAACTTCCCACGAGTTTCCGCCTTAATTACCAATTCAGCTTTTTTTTCTTCCTCTTTTTCATTTTTCGTTTTTTGGATGTAAATAAAAATATTTTCGAACAGAGAGTTTATAATTAAAGTGTAAAAGTTTAGAATTTTTTTATATATTTTTAGAGGCTTTTTTGAACTTTCAACTTTTAATAACAAATCAAAGGAAAACATTTTGAAACTAAAGGGAACAAGAGTAAAAGGCTTAAATGATTAATTAAAAATCAATAAACGGTTGATTAATTTTTAATATCGTAAAACGGGCGTCGAAAAGAAAATTGATGAGAATTCACCTCGGAAAAGAGAAAAAAAAGGAAAAACTCGTATAATTTTCCTTCGCCTTTCATTTTCGTTCGCAACATGACGAGATGATTTAGGTGGAAATTAAATCATATATCAAAATTTATGATACATATTTCGCTTTCTAGATATCTAGTGTCGTGTGTTTCAATCAATCAATAAGCTCATTTGATGTGATGGTAGATTTAATATACTGGAATCAATGAAGATACGTTCAAGAATTTTAACTCGAAATAATAAATAAATATGAAAGACTGGCTAGATTAAGGGATAATTATTTATGTTTCATTTCTTTACCATAAACATCAAATTAAGTTAAACAAATGGTAAGCTTAGCACTTATTGTAAATACTTGTTTATAAACATAAACGTAAAAATATGCTTTATCTCGTATGTTTATTCAAAGAACGATAAATAATTTCTCTTTAATTAACAAATAATTACAAGACAAACAAATAACTTTCAGGAAGAGGTCTCAAAGTTTATTCGTATATAATTGATCTTGGAAATGATTGCAATACTGTTCAAGCAGTAAAAGTTAATGATCCATGAAATACTGGTGAGTGTTACAACAATCTAATAGAATTTTATGATAAATGAATTAAGTTTAAGTTTGATTATAGCTTTGTATGTACTAAATGATACTTATCAGAGTCAGAATTATATTAATACAAAATTTTAATGATAGATTTCTTGCCTTTTATCAAATTCAAAATTTTAAGCTGTCATTATTGTCACTTTTGATAACCTTTGTTACTAATAACAATCAAAGAATCTGACAACATTGGCGTCTTCTTTTAAGTATTGTCTCTTTATGATATTTTAAATCCTCCCACATGAAGAAAGATTTAAAATCTTTTCAGAAATGTTACAAATATCGCTTTTCACTTCTTTTTGCTAAAACTTCTTAACATGACTTTGACATTTATGATTCCATCTTAAAATTACTTTCATTACTTTCATACACCAAATCCCTGAAGCTCTTCGACAAAGTAGAAAACAATTCATTAGCAACATGATGTTGTGAAGTAAATATCAATAAGAAATCTGATATTTTTAGAAACGGAATTAGCATTTTATTCACCTGACATGAAATTCAAGTTTCTTTAAGGTTTCTTGGTAAATTAGTTATTCACTCAATTATTGCTGTAAAATTAGTTTCATTTCTCGTCTTTTCTGATTCAGAGTGATTTTCTTATGCACCATAGAAGTTGATAATAAAAGATTTTCACAGCATGGTCGAAAGAAAAGTTTCAATTATCATCATAAGCTGCTTACAAATCAACATAATCCAAAATGAAGTTTGTAGTAGCACAGAGCACAGATTGTCATCATGTAAGTGCAATGCTTCTGTCAAGCTTGGTTGTTGTCTTGTGAAAAAGCAACTACACAGTCTAATGAAGCTACAAACTTCATTCTTTTATTTTATATATTCAAACTCGACAGAAATCTTGATCCATGCTATGATTTTTACGACTTTGCTTGTGGAAGCTTTGTAATGAAAAATTACACGCCAGATGAAAGTGTTGCTGTTGATACCTTCATCGAGACGGAGGAAAATATTGATATGAAAATTTACGCTCTGTTGAACGATGAAAATCGCAAATTCTTACAACTTTGTAGCGAAATTGTTTGAAAGATGTCTGGTGAGAAATGTTGGAATGGCAAACATTCATCAAACATCACATCTAAATTTAGACTTCATAGAAAATTTAATTATGTTATTTGCAAGGTTTACTTTGTAATACATAATTGAATGTTCGTTTTATGGAACTTTTATAAATTATGAAGCCAGATTTTTATGAATTTAAGTCAGTCATCTCCCACACATTGTTTTGTTCGCCCTTAAAAAATTCATAAAAGTTCAGAAGTTTCGGAAATAACAACAAAATAATTGAAGAGCTGGGCGGGAGTGGCCTTCACTCAAAGACAAAACATTTTGGAGTTTGAATTAGTTGCTAAACTTCGTGGGCTTCTGATTCATGAAATATTTGATATTGATTTGAAGTTACTCTTCATTCTTCTTCAAGCTATGACGTTTTTTGTTCTGACAATAATAAATTAATTCAATTTATTACTCAGCCATTCATCCGTCGGCAACATTCTTTTCGCTACGCAACGCTTACGCTAACTACATTAGCAAATTATTAAGTTTTCTTAAAGCAAACGACAAAGTAGATGAACGCAAGCAAGAACTAAATCATCTTCTCGACTTTGATTACAAATTAAATTTGATATGAAAAATTGACTACGAAAAGAGTTGAAAGAGAAAGTCAGCTAATTATAGAAAATCTTTCAGATTAATCACAAGTTCCAGATGTTGTTGTTGCGATCAAACGTTGTCGAACGAATGTTAGACAAAATCCTAAAGCAAATTTTTTACTTTAACTGCCTCGATTTCTTCCATCCATCACCGATGAAAAATATTCCCGTTGAAAGAAACGATAACATCACTGACATCATTTTACTGAAGGAAATAAGAAATTTGTTAAATGACACGAGCGTTAGGTGAGTTTGAGGGAAAAACCAATTTTATTGGCACTTTGAGGATTTTTTTTTCTTCATTTTTATTTTTACAATTTTCAGAACATTGGCAAACTTTGTGATTTTCCGAGTCATTGATTTTTTCGCGTTTGCAATCAATGGGTGATCTTAACAATATTTACATTCGATTTCAAAGTCAAATAAATGACCGTAAAGATTGTGACCAAAGGTGGGAAGAGCGTGTCAAAATTTTATCGATCAATCTTTCATTTGCAATTGGTGAAATCAATTTGAAAAAGCATTTCAAAGCTAATATGAAAAGTTCAGCTATTGAAATGTTTAAAATAACATCAAAGAAGAATTTGCTGCTGAGATAAGCAATGCTGAATGGATAGATGAAAGTACTCGAGAGAAATTGTTGTTGAAACTTAAATCGCTCGTGCTGTTGATGGCTCATCCTGATGATGGTTTTGACGAAGATGTACTCAAAGCTTTTTATGATGATATAAAATTCGATAAAAACCAATACTGAAGGACTTTATTTCAATTGAGAGTTCTCGATGTTGATAATAAATTTCGTCAAACCTACGCGATAACAAGACTTGAGACTCAAGTTACTGACAAAAATATTTGCCATCGACATCTGTCAGTTCATTCTTCGTGGAATCAGACAATACAAAGCACAGCTCAAAGCAATACTTTTCCTTTTCAAGAATCATTTCAAACATAAATCTAAAGATTTGTGAATTTTATGAACTTTAAAACATCAAAATTATGCCAATTTTCAGAGCTTCTGACATAAATTCTGATGTTGGCATGAACAAGACAATGAAATTGCCAATGAAACTAAATGACAACTGAAACTTATCGTTGTAATGTTTAAGTTTCAATAAATGCAGCAAGAAGTTGAGTAATTCTGTCATTTCCTTTAGGGTATCTATTGGGATTGTCTAGAATGCTTTACATGACCGGAAAACGGATTGTTTCAACTATCCTAAAACGAGTTTCATCATGGCGCATAAAATTAGTCACATTGTCAATCAGATTGTAAGTTATCGACACACAATCGAGAAATTGAATTCCTGTTTTATTAATTTTATCCACTTTTCCTGTGTATTGTAGTATGAACTTCGATCTGAACTCGTCATCGTTGATTCCGGAAAATATCCGAAATGGAATAACAGCAAAAAAGCTTTGCTTGGTTGAGCAATACAGTTAATATAAAGAGTCTGAAAAGTACTTCGATGGACAGCGTACGGTCATCGAAAATTTTGCCAATAATACAGGAATTAAAGTAGCTTATCACGCTTACTAAAGCTGGAGTGAAAAGTTCACTGTCAGGTGATGGAATTTGATTGGATTAGACTACACGTGAACTTCAGCAACTTTTTTTGGATTTAGCAAGCATAACATTGACGTGACGAATATCGATATAAGTATTAAACTTTTTAATTCCACTTGATTTTCTCTTGATTATTCAAACAGCGTGAAATTTTTATAAACTTTCCTTCGATAACAACGCAACCGAACGATATCGTGTAACTGGGCCACTTCAAAACTCACCACATTTTCCAAACGACTTCAAATGTTCGCAATTGTCGTCGATGAATCGTAAAAACAAACGCTTCACATGGTGAACGGAAAAAAAATCACGTAAAACAGTAAAAGCTCTGGAGAGAGATGAAAATATAATGAAAATATGTTATATGGCAACTGAGAGCAGAAAAATAAGGAAAAACATATTCGTGTGTAACATTCTGTGCTTTGATTCAAAATTGAAAAAAAAATTCAATTTCAAACTAATACAGCATTATGAAAACGATTCGTGACATTGATAACTGATGTAGCTGATTCCAAGTGACAACTCACAACGAAGCTACGCGTAAGAGAATGAAAAACGAGAGAGAAGAAAGTTTCCATTTTCATTCGCTTCAGTTTCACTCAATTTTCAATTTGAATAATGAGACTCTTGAAGAACATCGGTTACGCATTGAGAAAATTGAACTGATACATCCTACAGGAGTAGCAAGTTGGTAGTTGAGGGCAGGTAATTCCTACGGTGCTAAGCACAAAAGATGAATTTTTTAATTATTGTTGTTGCCTTTCATTCCTTTATTCTTTCAATTTTTTTTCTCTTCCTTTGTCTTTGAGGGAGACAAGTGAAGTCGAGAAATAGACAAGAGTAAAGTTCCAGCTAAAATATTGCGCCGGTATTGCGAAGGTTATAAATCATGTTGTATAAGCAACAGTAAGGTGTTCTTTGGAATCATCATAAATATATATTCGCCGCTCGTTTCTTGTCTCGCACTTTTGTTTTACCAAAAAACTCTAGCAAGCAATTTATGGGAGTCGATTTCCCTTCCTTTTCTGCAAATGAAAAATTACTTTCGCAATGATTAATTATCTTTGTCTAATAATTTCTTAATTTGCGTTTAGAATGAAAATATTTCCTGGTTTCTTTCTCTTTTTTTGTTGTTAAGGTGAGAAAGCGAGAAATCAATAAAAGTTTCATACAAACTCTTTGACTTATGAACCGTGAAAAATTTGCTTTCTTTATCAACAATAAGATTGAAGTCTCAATATGTTCATGTTTAATTTTGCAGTTGTGTACATTTCATTAATAGTAAACTTTAAAAACTCTATTCAAATAACTTCCTTACTATTAGATATAATAAATTCCCAAGAAAGTTAGGAGAATTTCCTCAGGATATTCATTCAATTAGAACTTCCACTCTCAAATGCATATTCATAATCATATCAACAACGTAGGAGTTTCACATTCAGGTCTTGCACATAAATATCTTATGAATTCCTTTCACAATTTTTCGCTATGTAATGATTAATAGAAAATTTATATTTGTCAGCATTCTACATTTTACACATTAAGCATTTTTCACAGATATTTCTTTGGATATTCGAGAGATCTACAGCTCAGATTTTACTTCAAATTCACGATGATATTCATATTTATCAAAATGTAATGCAAGCATTTTCGTTATAAGCTCAGTTAGAGCGATTGTGAAAAATATCTTTGAATGATTTATCTTAAATGAAAAGGGAGAGCGTGGGAGTAGAAATATGACGACATACGTGGGAACAGCATTAACTAAGATATTGTGAACGTTTATAATTCAGAGGTTAGTGTAAATGTCATTGAGGTGAACACTGAAAGTCTTGCTGCTTTATTTGCATAACTTTCCATTTACAATCAGCTTCTTTTACCATATCAAAAGACAAAGTTTGAAATTATTTAAACTTCCTGCAACATCGAAACAATGGACAACTTTCAAAATATCTTTAAAATTTCTCAGTAAACATAAAATATATTGTTCGAAATTCAATTCATACAAAGAATATTTCTCCAACTGTAAATAACATAAGATCAAACTTTTCCATTTCCAATTTCACAAGTTGAAAATGTTTCTTGCAAAGTCAATGTTAGCCTTAAGGCGAGGTGTGTCGAGCCTTTTTTCCTATTTAAAAGTTTGATTTTTCTTTTCCATTTCCAAGAGGAAAATGACAACAACAAAAATTAAATCAAACAAAACATTTTCCTTGTTTATTATATTTTTGCAATTCTCTACACAATGTAAATAAAAAAAGAAGAGAAATCGGAAAATAAATTCAAACTTCTATTTTTTAATACATATGTTTGCCATGAAATTATTTTGCAAGAAAAAAAAAGAGAAATACGATTCACTTTACTATCCCAACAATGTAAATTCTTAAATTAGGAGGATCTTGGGAATCTCTGCTAAGGTTCACAGACATAAAGCATATCCAAATCACATATCATGAATTTATGTAAATATTAGGGATGAGAAGATGCCAGACTGGCTTTAAATTTCATCTCATAAATCAGAAGAAGAAGAAAAAATCTTGCAACCATTTTCCACGCTTGAGAATATTATTCAAATTTCTGAATCACTGAACATTGAGTTTACTACAAATGTCAAAAGAGATTTTGCTTGAAAATCTTTCGCTTTAGCAAGATTGTGTTTTGATGAAAGTTTGAAGAAACTTTTCCGATCAAATCAAGTTCCATTGGGAGTACACAATTCGCCATACTCAAATTTAATTTAAATGTTTATCAATAGTTTTTCCAACCCATTTTACATTCTCGTAGTCGTAAAGATATTTTCTGAACCAGAGCAAACTTTTCTAATTAAAATATTTTCTAACGAAGAATCCCCTTTTTTGTGTTGGCGCGATTGTGTCAAATTTAATTGAAAACTTTTAATTGCTTTACGACGGAAAAAAGAGTGAACAGCACCAGATAATAATCAATTTCAACATTTCTCTGTTTTCTTTTTTGTGCCCATGACGCGAATGAAAAATTTGGTACACTTAATATAAGTAATGATCTGGTCGTTCATTCCAGAGAAGTTTCATGGGATGGAAAAATCTACATGGGATAATGAAATTAAAATTCCAAGAATCGAGTAAATTGATTTCTACATTCAAGTGATTTATTTGAATTCCAAAGAGGGCATTCATCTTTTAATTAAATTTTCAAGATCTTATTAATTTAAGCGTCAAAGTAATAGAAAATTGCAGCTGCATTGCAAATACTCACCGATTGTAATTATCATAAAATCATTTGAATCGAATTATTTTAAAAGCTTGTTTACAAATAGCATAAAGCATTTGGTAATTTGATTGGTGAGTGTGGAAGTTTTTCAGTCATTCACCTTATTGGAATATTCTTTCACATTAATTCAACTGCTTTTTCACATCCATTGTTCGTTTTGAATTCCTTTTTTACTATCGAGTTCCGTGAAAGTTATCAATATGCTTTTAATTATACCACATCCAACCCATTTCAAATGTAACTTTGCAATTGACATTAAAAATAAATTTATTAGGAAAACTTTGTCTTTTTGTGCAGTTTACAATCTCATCTCGAGCAAAGTTTCATTTTAAATTCTGTGAAAAAAGGAAAACTTCTCATTCGCCACTTGTCGGAAACCTCTGCAAAGGACGAAATCATATTTTTTATTTCAAATTTAACTTACTGAAAGAGGATATTAATTGCAGCATGAGGTCTTTGCGTTTTTTTTGCATTCTTTTCGAAAATCATAAATTATTTTAATTATACTACATTCGTGCTTGAGACCGATAAAAAGTTGTTTCTAACAAGTATTAACAATTTATTCCTCTTCATATTACAAGAAGAGTAGCAAGAGAAGAGTAAATTTTTCCAGAAACGCCTCTTAAAACCACTAAAATCAACTCATTGCAAAATATTTCCAGTTTTTGTAATATCCTATCATGTTCAAAAGTGAAAAACGCTTTTTGTTATTCTCTTGGTAAACATTCATTAGTTTTGTCTCCCTCCCTAAGGTTAACAAGCAAGAAAAGCTCACGAGCATATTCCAAATTGACGCAAGTCACGAACGCCGCCTTCAATTTACTTTTTCCCCTCTTAACGCTACAAGCTTGAATTTACATTTTAGCTTAATGTGCACTTTCATCTGCATTTTAGAGAATTTTCAGTTCCCTCCTTGTTAGATTATAAAAAAATATCAACAACACTCTGAGAGTCTTTCAATTGGAAATTAGAATAATTCTTTGCTCTTTCCATTTCCATATCATTTTCTACAAAGGCTACGGAAACATTAAAATTACTACAAAACTTAAATATTTGGTTTTCATCATCATAGAGACATGAACAATAAAAGTTTAAGGAAAGTTTTGTAAACAACACTCAAGAATTTGGTTCAAAAGAATTTCAAAGTGACGATTGCTTGCTTGTAATGTTTTCATAAAAGAAAATTTCAAATATTCTTCTCTAAAATATTACAAATTTTATTATGTAGATAACTTGATATTTATGTTCATGATGAAATATTCTAGATCGAAGAACTTAAATAAGTCCAATTATTCATCGGAAATTTTGTTTTTATCGACCGTTGTTTGAAACATACAAAGTCGATTCAATTACAACTTTCAACTTTTAAATACTTTATGAAATTCTTTTATTCATATTGATTATCAATGGAGGCTACATAATTTATTCAAAATTAGAAACTTATTCAACATTTACATTTTTCTATCGTTTTTCTATGTTCACCATGAAGCCTTGTTTGATGTTTAATGTAAACAAAGAATAAAGTTTGAGTTCTGCAAATTTCAACTTTGTTGTTACTCGATACCTCATTAAAAATTGACTCAGGAATGTTTTTATAACGTTCCAAGCATATCGATCGCCAATACAAGAACGTTCACCGTTCGAAAATGGGATGTAAGCATAAGGATGAATTTTACTGAAGTTTGTATCGGAAAATCTCTCAGGGATGAACTCATCTGCATCATCTCCCCAATATTTCTTGTCTGTATGAATTATCTGAGGGAAGAATGACACAATAACTCCTGCTGGAATCTGTAAATCAGCTGAAAATTATGAAACCTTTTTTTACATTGAAATCTTATTAATAAATCGAATAACTTCATATTTACCAAGCTCAATATCTTTTCTTATTTGTCGTGAAATTTGTGGAATTGGTGGGAGTAGTCTTATGGTTTCTTTGACTACCATCTCGAGATATTTCATTCTATTGAGTGTACGTTCATCCATGATTTGATCTGACTTCCCATTGAAGATTGTAACCAACTCATCAATAACTTTTTCTTGTTTATTTGGATTCATAGCTAACATGAGGATTGTTGCTGCTATCACTTTTCCGGTTTTTTGCGAACCACTGATAACAATCGTCGATATTTCATCTTTTAATTCAAAGTGATTTATCAGTTTTGTTATCTCATATATTTGTTCCAATGGAGGATAAAATTTCTTATCAGTTGATTCAACTTTGTTTATATTTTTCTCAACGCCAGTTTCAATTATTTCCACAAAATCGGAAATACTCGATTCGTGCTTCTTCAATCTTTTACATTTGTTTGTAAATTTGAAAACCGGTTCAAAAGCGAGCCATATGTTGTAACTTTTTTCGCATTTTATTTTGAATGATCTGAAAGAGAAGACAAAAAGTTTAAGGTTGAAGTTGCAGGTTTTTTTTTGTCACAACTCACTCTTCAACATCTTGTAAAAACTTCAATCTTTCGTCTTCATTAAAGTCTTCACATCCAAACATTGAAGATAAAATTGCAATTAAAGCAAAGTCCAAAGTATGTTTACTTATATCCATTTCATCTCCATTTTCCTTCAATTTCTCATCAAAAGATTTCAAAAAGTTTTTCATTTTAATATTGATTGTTGGGATGTAAGTCTGCATTGCTTTTGAATCTAAAATGATGCTCATGGTTTTACGATAAAGTCGATTTTTTTCACCACTCGACACGAATAATCCTCGGTTGAAAAAGGTCTTGTACATTTTCTTTGGTTTATCATAACTTTCATCAGCGTTTAACAATATTTTGATGTCTTCAGGCTTTCTTATGAAAAGAATGAGATTCAATCCCCACCAGATTTTGAAAACTGAATCAAACGGCTTAGCTATTTCGAGGAAGTTTGCGTATGCATCTGAAAAGCAAATAAAGATTGATATCGACTTCAAATTCAATCCTTTCGTATTACTGATGATGATTTTTGTTTACCTTCAAACTTCACGCTGAAATATTGATACCAAAACCCAACGATTGGCATTCCATTGTAACCAGGAATCTTATCACCAAAATCCCAATGCGATCCAAAATTCCAACGAAGAACCAAATACACAACAATGCACACAAAAAATACGTCTATAAGATTTAACATTTTGTTATTAACTGAATTTCATTCACTTCAGATATTTTAGCTTAAGAAGACGACAAGAAGAAAAACCTGTTGTTTGAATAATCAATTAAGTTTCATATTTTCTCATGATGCTAGTTTAAATATTTATTTATCAAGTTGAATTTTATCTCATCTTTCTAAAGCTTTAAGCTGAGCTTTTTGTTTTGAGTTTAATTTCTGAGAATGAGTGAATAATTGAAGTTGATTTTCTATCATTATTTATTTCAAAGAATCTCGTCTTGTCGTTTTGTTTGCTTCGAATGAAAACATTTCTTAATTTGATTGGAAGTTTCTAGGCATCAGTGACTAGTGAGAAATTCAGAATTCACCACAAAAACCATAATGAAGCTTTTTCCTTAACTCACTTTATCTTCTTTGCTAACAAAGCGTGTGGGGTGGAAAATAAAGTTGGTGAGCAATGATGACTTGTCGTATCGATGCAAAATTTCAATCTCTTTTCTCATTCTCCATCCAACTGAATCAACGAGAAAAATATTTTAATTAATCTTCTAACTCATTTTCCGATTCGTTGAGCAATTTGAATTTGATTTAAGGGATGCTTCGTTGGATTATTATTATTATTTAAAAATATGATGAAGCGATTTAATGGAATGCTAAACTAAGCCACAATGAAAGTTTCTTCTCCCTCCTTCTGTTTGTTTCTATCGTTTTCCTGCTTTTTGTGACTCACAAAATTCTTCATAAAACACAAAATTTAATAAATGAAAATGGAGGAAATATCTGTGATAGGATTTTTTTCCCTTTCGGAAATGAACCAATTCGTTGCTTGTAAGCCACATCTACATGAACTTTACACTCAAGATGTGAATTATTTTCGGTAATAAATTTTCTCGCGGCTGTAGAGGTTTACGTAGTGGGTGAGAAAAAGGTGTGAACAACATCAGTTTTAGCTTTTAACCAGATATTTCCTCAGCAATCAATCATGTAAAGCTATAAAGTTGGAAATAATTTCATTCATAACACAGTGTCGTATGAAAGATTCTTCACAAGCGCTTAAGAGCTCCCTTCGCTAAGACGACTAAGCAGATTACATATAAAGTTCTTACGATGAGTTAAAAGCTGTAAAAGTAAAGAGATGAGAGTCTTGCTACTAAAGAAAGGCTTCATAGTGTGGAAAATCTGTGAATGACTTCATTATCTTTCATGACAGGATTTTCAACAGTTCATTTGAATTTATTCACATCGCAATTTATTTGAAAATTCTACTCAAATCGTTAAAATTTAAAACTTTGTTTTTTAATGTCTGAAAAAATGTAAACGACTAGAAGGGAAAAAATGTCCAACTTGATCCCTTGACAGTCGTTTTAAATGAAGTCCGAAGAAGTCATGAGATATTTACTTGAAAATTGTTTTAAGACTTCATGTCACGTACCTAATTCTTCTGCTGTTGAAATAAAGAAAAATGTTGTTGCACCTGGATAACGATGTCGATGACATTTATACGTAGAAATAATGATGTTGCGATCGAGATGAAAAACTACTCGACTCAGGATGAAAAACTGTTCAAAGTTTGCTGCATAAATTAGTTTAAAGATGAAGTTTTCGTATTTCCTGCAAACTGTTGGTGTTGTTTATCAAACTTTTGCCTTCAACATTCTTTTAATATTCGTATTTATTACGTTCACTCGCCTACGATTTCTCTTACAATGAAAATTATAATAGCATTAAGTAAATTATTGAAAAGGTTAGCACGTTGGATCGCGCGGTTCATGGAATTAATAATAATAATACTTTGAGAACATTGAGAATTAATTCTGACAGTTTTCAGTGGAAACTCAATTCGGATATTGTGATGGAAGCGGTTGCTTGACGTACAGTAAAGTTTTATATTAAAATTACATAGAAATAACAAACAACAGCCATAAGTCGAATTGATTTAAAGCTAAGGATATTCGTAAAACATACAAACAAACGTGAATGTTTTCTGTTGTTATGGATTTTGTTTTGATTATGGACGGCTTGATAAACGATTTTGCAAATTCCATCAAATATCCACACAATTCCCTTCAGTTTTTGATGAAAATTAATCAATATTTGTTCTTTTGAAAGCTTTTTTTATCACCGCTTTTATAGCGACATTAAGCTGCGGTTCTCACTCCTCATCATTGCATCATAATAGAATCCAATTTTTACAGGCACTTTTTCCTTCTTTACTTGCAACTTTTAAAAGCGAAAATTTAAAGCGGAACAAAAAAAATTTACGATCATTTTTTTTAACGTTTCACGTTCTCAATCTTTCATGGCTTTATCAGAGAAAGATTGAAACATAATAGCAGATATCAATCCAAGCGAATTGTTCGACGTAATAACTGGTGTGGAATTTTCGTGAGAATTTATTGATTTTCCTTTTATGATTTTCCAATCAATTTCATTGTATTTAAGGTTTAAGCTGATCAGATATGTATGAGATATTTAGAATGAGATGCAAAAAAATTATTCAATTTTGTACCAATTTTGATATTAAATCTTTATAACACTCAATGAGAATCTGTTTGAATGAGAATGAAACCAGGGCCGGGGTTTGAACAAGCATTGAAGAATAGAATTTGTTGGGAAGCTTAACAATCGCCAAGCTCTGACGTTTAACATACCTCGGTGTGAGAATGAATTGAACACGGAAATTTTTATGCATATTCAGCGCTATGAAAGGCAAAGCAAGCGAAGTTGCATTGCAGCAGCAACATAATGTTGCATAAAAATTGTATTAAAAATAAAAGACGAGAAGCTTAATTCTAATTCATAAAATTCAAAGTTCATTTTTATATCATGATAGTTCCTTTCTCTCGTCGTTGCTTCTTTCCGCTCTGCCACTCTTGGCATTCTTTCAAGTAATTTAGATGTCTAACTCAAGCTGAAGAAAAAGGTTCAAAAGAGAAACATGCTTTTAATAAAACTTTTATTATCAATTTTTACATGCATGCTGTTATACAAGTCTTGACATTAATGCTCTAAATTTTAAACGAAATCTGGGATTATTTTTTGAACAAATGATGGGAGGATATTCTCGACTACTACTGGGTCTTATTTTGCATGCATATAAATATGATTCTTAATGTAGGATAAGAAAATCTTTAAAAAGTCTTTGTAAATTTGATTTTTGAGAGAAGCATGAAGAAGGAAAAGAATAAAAACATTCACCGGAAATTTCTTGTTGTTTATTTCGTTCAAATTTGTTGTTCTTTTTTTTAAGTCCTTCGAAATTTCAAATTACTTTGCTTACTTAGAAGCAGATGTGAATCAGATAAGCTTCGCTCGAGGTCATCATAAATTGAATATGTTTATAAGTAAACAATTTTTATCTAAACAATTTGAAGCATTCGACTTGTTTTTCATTCAAGAGTTAATATTTTCTGTTTGCATCCACGACTTGAGACTTGAGAGATAAAAAATTCAATCCATTTATGTATAGGAATTCCAAGCATATAAAAGTCGCATTAAATCGACATTCGCATAAAATTTATTTTCAGAACGATAACATAAGGGCATGCAAAAAGGTCCGAGCTCAACAAAACACGACATTCGATGATATTGATAAATGCTTCTTTCTTGAATCTGGGTTGGAATTTATTTAAATAAATTTATTGAAATTTACATTCCATAACCTCTCCTGAGCAATTTGAAGAAGATAAAGATTGGAAATTGGATTTAAAAGCAAAAAGTATGCCGACGAAAGACGAAAATAATTTTTAATTATTCTCCAATATTATTTGAATCCATTGAAGCATGTTTGATTAAAAGCTAATATTGTTTCAAACGACAAAAATATTATTATGCTGGGATCATTTATTGATGAGGTTACATTGTTGTCATAAATTATTTCATAAACTCTTCAATCGGCCTTCAATACAACAACAAAAAATAAATCCTGAAACAAAAATTTAGAAATTCCTCCCACAACAAAAAAAATGAAAATCCATCGACAAAGAGAACAAGAATTTAATGAAAACAAAAGCTTGACATTTAGAAATTAAAAGCAAATTGATTTCTTCGATGAACTGTGAGTTTTCGTATATTTTTTTCTCAATTTTATGCAAACACGGATATAACAAAAAGTCAATTTAAAGGCCTTTGGTTGAAGCATGGAAAAGCCGGATGGGAGAATTTATCGGATTTGATACGCGAAATAAGAGCAAAGTTAAAAAAAAAATGTTTCCACCAGAATAACAAACGTTGCACAGAAAGCAAGCACTGAGGATATTTGACATTAATTAGATTCGTTTTTTGTCAACCCTCATCTGCTGCCTTCTCTCCTTCCTTCTTCCGTTGTGTTTATTTATGTATTTCTCCTTACCGAACTTTTATTGTTCGCATTGGTGATTTTTGTTTAGTTTCTCTCTGTTTCTCCTTCAAACAAAGTTTATCTTTCATTTAATTACAAATATTTTTTAAAATTTAAACTCAACGAAAAGAAACGGAAGAAAAATAGTTGAAAGTGATTTACAAAGTTCAGAAGCGAATTGGAAATTATTTATCAAACTGTATTCGTTCATAGTTTCAATGAAAGAGGAGAAAGAGAAACTTGTGCAGTTTTATCAAATGAATGTTCCGGTTTGATAGAATAAACATCAATTCTGGTTTCAATACTGAAAAGAAAAAATATTTTGCTGATTCAAAGACAGCTGATTCACAAAAGACGACTGATGACTTCGATAAAAGACTGCAAACTATTTAATTGATTCATTCATATTCATGGTGAAAGGAAAAGTTATAATTTGAAATCAATTTATTCGGTTTTTAAATCATTTTCCCTTTTTTTTATTTTTCAAAGTTTTTATAGACGTCGATAGCAATTTAAATCAATGATTGAATGGTATTCTGATTTAATAGAAAGGTCAGAACGAAGAAAGCTAAAATGATTAAATATTTTATAGACTCGCAACTCAGAAAAAGTGTCAGAAAGCTATGTTCAGTTTATGTTTGCGTTTCATTTACAATAGTTCATTACGAACGATGACATTTACTTGAAACTGATTTCTGTTTTATTATTAATTGCTTGAACGTTTAGACAGTTGTCGTGTGTGTTATCAATATCAATCACATACGCATTCATTATTCTTTTGCATCAAAACACCCTTCGATTTCAAATCCTTTCATTACGAATGAAAATATGGGTTAGATAGATTCAGAAGCACTTACAATAATCAAAACTCAAGCTTATTTATTTATTACAAAAAAACATTGATTTACTTTACTTTATTTTCGTTTGTTTCATGTTAAATTACTAACCAAAGTTGTGTTTACATTTGAGAATAAATATTTGAATAATTTCCTTTCTCGTCAAGCAAAGTTATACTGTGTAAATGTAGATAGTTGAAAGGATCAGAATTTCTTCTTTCTTGACGAAAGTTTTCATGGTAACTTAATGCTTGTGTCAACTAGAAAGTTTTAAAGAAAATTGAAAAAGTTTTTTCTGTTTTTCAGGAATATTTTCATAGAGATGAATCGTGAAATGTTGTAACAGTTTAAATGGAAAGTTTTCAGAATTTTTCATTAACTTAAATTAAACTTTATTCTTAAAACATGTTATGTGACACGGAATGTACAATTAATAAACGTGACAAATATTTTGAGCAACCACATAGCAAAAATTATCCACCCACACCATTCTTTAAATATTCATCTCGACCATCATTTTGAACTAGAAATTTAAATTTAAATATTTGACTAAAATCAGATCATTTGACCCATTTTGGAAGCTTGGAATATTAGACAGAAAGTCAAGCATGTATGCATAAATAAGCAAACCCAAACCCTGCTGAGCGCCACCGAAAAACGGAAAGCAAATGCAAAAACAGTGAAAAGAAAGTAAAAAAAAAGCAATTTAATCTCTAAACTTGACTGGGATCTGGATTGTTGCGTCCATCTCGAATCTTCGCTAAACGTCTTGTACCAACAATTGCCAACAATCTTTTGTGCGGAAGAAAGGATGTTTGAAGAAATGAGAAAGAAAAATATTTAAATTAGAAAATTTCTTCACATATTCTATGTTTTCTTTTTCTTCTAACTTCTCTTCTAAGAAAAGATAAGATTTGGATTAAAGAAGTTCGAAATGAAGAATGGAATGAAAATCTGAAGTAAAGAAATTTCCATTTCTAAACCCAAACTTTCATTCTTCAATTCGAAAAATTTTAATCCTAACCGGAAAAGAAGAAAAAAAATAGGAAAGCGACAAAAACATGTGAAAGCAAAGAAAAGCAATAAAAATATTTGAAATTTCACTCACAGCTTCTTTATGTTTGGATAATAGCAACCAATATATGCAATCCAATTGATGGGAAAAATTCCTGACCAGCATAAGTTTTTATTATTGGCTAAAAGAACTGCATAAAGATAAGCACAACGTTCAGTTGTCATTCGTTTGTCGGTTGGTTGAACTGGTTGATTATATTTCAAGCCGGGATTTTCTACAAAAGCCTCTTGTAGAAAATTTGAGACTGTTGGCCCGGGACAATAAATGTTAACATTGATCTCCGGCTTCTCGTTTCGCAACGATTCAAAGTAACCCTGTCGTAAGCATAGAATGAATATAAATGAGAGCACTAAGCTAATTACGTCTCATTAGCTTCATTATATTAATTTGTTATTTACATGTAATGCATGCTTTGCTCCAGTATAAGAAGCAGAGTTAGGGGCACCAATGAGACCAGCTGTACTCGATGTCACCGCCAATTGTCCTTTGATGCTGTTCTGTTCAAAGTAAGTAACAGCAAGACGTGAAAGATGAATGACTGAGAAAACATCCAATTCAAAAAGCTCTCGGTCAACATTAATATCAATTTTGTTCCATTCAGCTCTTTGTGATCTTCCCGCATTATTTACGAGAATGTCGAGAGCACGAAAGTGACTTATTACACGATTGAAGCTATCTTGGTGAAATGCAAATTTAAGCATATCTAATGGAATGACGAGAACATCTTCGGCTCTTAGTCCACCTTTCGAAAGTGATAAACATTCTTGTTTCGTTAGCTCTAACTCACGTAGATTGCGAGCTGATAAAACTAATTTCACTCCATGAACTGCCAGAACCTTTGCCAGTTCACGCCCAATTCCACTTGAAGCACCGGTAATCCAAACAACTTTTCCTCTAAGACTACCTTAAATAGGAAAATACCAAAAAATAGAAGTTTTCACGGTTCACTTAATTAATTTAACAATGTCGATGATATTTAGTGAAATCCTACTCACTTATAGGCTTTCCCAATTTTGATGCAAAGAATAATTCAATGTCGCAATCGAGAAGGGTCCACAACAGAAATTGAATCACAAAATATGCTATTACAATGAAACCTATTGCTGCTAACAATCCCATGATTTGATAACTTAACTTTTGAACTTTTAATTTAATTTAAAATAAAAATCATTTATTTAGATTGTGAAGCTACGTCGACAGTTGTGCATCGCTGTTTTTGGGAGGAATGTTGTTTATTAGCATCAACAAGTTAGAAAAGATTCGAATACATTTATAAATAAATATACGTATATGGAATTACACGCCCGACACCATCAAGTATAGTCAACCGATGCGCTTGTGTGGTATAATTAAAGAAAGAAAGAAAGAGAAAACAAAGAAAAGAAGTTGAAAACCCTGAGTTAAGCTGACTCTCTAAGGCGTTTGAGCGTGCGTAAATCACATGAGTGGTTGACTTACTTTCTACCTGCTACTTATCATACATGCGATTGCTGATAGAAAGAAAGTCTTTAAGAAACTCACTCAGATATGTTATGTAAATGACTTTAAACATGACACAAATTGTGTCATGAAATGTCATCAAAATTTGCTACAAAACTAACATTCATAATATTTCTACAGTTTCACATCATCAACTTTGTATTGATTCAAACAACTCGACATTGAATCTAATCAATATGGTCAGTGATGTGTATGTGTGACACCCTCTTCAATCAATGTGAAAAAATCGTTAGTTAGAGATATCTATTCGAGGGAAAAAAACTTTCTGATTGACATACTCCGAAGAAAATGTCAGCACATGTTTGGAAAATAATCTCAGATGTTTCTTTTCCCAAGTAAAATTGTTCATCTTTTTTTTTTTTTAAAAAAAAAGCACAAAGGAAATGAAAATAAAAGAGATGGATTGAGTCGATGACACGATTCAAATTTTATTATATTGTTTCTTTAACTGAAATGAAAACGATGCTTTAGAATGAAAAAAATATTTAAAAGTTGAAAAAAGTTTATCACGTTCTTATGCCACACTGCAATGAATTTGAAATTGAAAAACTTTTCATCGTGACATGATGCATTGTCTCTGTTGTTATACTTTATTTATTTAGACCAGCACAGTAGAAATATTTTTAGATATTTCAGAGAAACATTAATAAAAGAAAAAAAAGTTACGAGCTTCAACTTTTATTCTAATTGAATTTAAAAAAGTGTCTCTAAAAGTTTAGGGTTGACACTTTGCGCGGGTGGATGTTTAAAATGTTTTATGATCAATTTTAGTATCTAGATTCTAAATCTTCAAGATATAAAGTCTTAAAACCTTGAGTTAATCTCATGTTCGCTCTTATTACTTTTTAACTTACTTTCAACCTTTTCTGGGTCTAACAGTTCGTCCATTGCGTGATAGTTATTTTTAAGAGGGATTATTTAACTTGTTCCACACGACATTACATTCTGTCATTCGATATTTAATCAAGTGTATCATAAATGAAATTAAATTACAGACAGATTCACTGATAATCACTCATTCATATCAACATTAAAAATTAATTGAAAGTCATCTCGTAATTTATTGAAGAAGAAAAATCCTTTTTTCACTTTAACGATTCAAAACAACTTCTTTTTATTTCTTTTTCTCTCGTAATATATTTTAGCATCTTGCTTAGCATTATTCACCACAGATTCCGAAAGGTAGAAAATAAAACAGTTTAAGACCCGTCGTTTTATGGTGATTGGTAATTCCATTTACTTCTACTTAGCAGATTACCCTGACTGGTCATTAAAAGTTTACAGAGTCGACTTCATTTTAATTTAAAATAAATTCAGGAAAATGTTTGATTGTTAAATATGCAGGAAAATATTCAACACTAACCAACTAACTTAACTTATGTTGTGAACATTTTGCCTTCCACTTTAATTAAAAGTGAAAAAAAGTTTTCTTGCTTTTGTTCTTGTTGCAACATGACATGGTAAATATTAAAAGCTTCAAGTATCAAATAATAATCTTAAAATTCACCTTCATACAAGTTCTGTTATAAACACAATGAACAATTGAATCTTGTTCAAGGATCCACAACGTGCAAAAAAAAGTTAAATGAAATGAAGCATTAAAATTGTAAAGTTATGCAAGCAAGAACTTAGATAAGATTTATGCTTTTTAAAAGTGACATTATTTCTACATGAACCTTGGTTAAGAGACTTCGAGGTAAAAAGATATTTTCTTATACTTGCATGCACATTTCAAGTTTTTCACAATGTCACACGTAACCTTATTGAACGCATTTGTCCTCCCCCCACATTAATGTAAGAAAGAATAATACTGATGCAGAGTTGAAATGTGGAGTTTAACAATGATTTAAACTGACTTATATTTTTTTTTTCCATTCACATTGATAACTTACTTCACTTCATCCGTCAGCGCGCTGAAATGTAACAATGGGTGACAATGACAATTGTCGCAATGAAAAAGTTCTTTCTTACTGTATACATATTCTCTCTTTACTTCATCTTCGTCATCTGTACTTGGCGAACATCCATAAGAAGCTAAAAAACTTTTTCACCTGATGTACGACGGAATAAAAAATAGCAAAGAAGGAGAAAAAAGTTCTGGGAAATCTTAAAGCACATTTAAAGAAAGGTTTCGATTTTCTTTTCTGAATGACGAGAAGAGTCTTTGATGGAAGTTTCTTAAGAATGTGTGAAGGTTTTTCAAGACTTTTCCGTGATCACTGGAGGTAAAATTGTAAACTTTCTCTTAGATGGGATGAATTGAAAAGCTTTTAATCCGATGTTCATTATCAGGGAACTATTCAAATGATTTCGAATGAATATAATAGAAAAAGAAAGAAGAAGATTTGTTTAATTACCTTAAGATAACAGTTTCTTCTCATTAATTTATTATCTTATTGCTCTCACATTGTTAAGGTTTCTTTTTCTTTTTCTTTTCAAAGTTTTTCCATTGCTTCTTCTTCTTCTTACTCTTTCATACTTCGTTGTTCAATTCAAAAGGAGAATGAATAGAAAGCACTGAGCTTGGACAAACAATAAGGTGAATGAGAGAAGCTCATCGACATAGAAAGACATTATATCGATAATAAAAGGAAATTGAATAATGTTCAATGATAAGAATCAATTTCTTTTTTCTTTTCTATAGAATTTGAAACTTTGTCTAAAAGAGATTAGAAAAGACGTGAAGTGAAGAAAAATTGTCACGAGAAAATCAACCAAATGCTTCAAAAGTTTTCCTTCCTTCTTATGTTTCACTAGGAAAATTATTTAAAATAGAAAATGTTTCTTCATTGCAAGTTTCATGCTTCAAAGATCACCTTTCGCAAATTACGCAAGCCGATAAAATCCCCAAAAATTTTTTTTCTCAATTTCCTGCTGTGGTTTTCATATCGCTTTGAATATTTTCTTTTTCAAATGAAGACGACAGGAAAAAATAAAGTCCCACAGCGTGCTCGATGAATTTCTCATAGAATCGCAATGGGGAAAAATGCTGACACGACTCCAGTTTATTCCAGCACGACTAGAACAAATTTTTTACTTTTTATACTCTTAAATTAAATCGTAAGGGAGTAAGCAGGATAGAATGAAACGTAGGTTGATAAAGGAGAGCACATGAAAAGAAAAACCCAAGGGGAGCGAAAATTACTTCCCAAAATAAAAGCATAATGAAATCGTAAAAATTATGTGGCGTGATTGTTGGCAGTAAAGTCATAAATCCATGAAATTATGACCAATTTTCGCCGTTAATTAACTCGAAAGCTTGCCGATTGATTTATAGTCAATTTATGTGTTCAACAATAATAGCTTCGCTCTCTCCCTTTTCCTATCTCTCCATTGCTATCTGTCGTAGCAGAAGCGTGGATGTTTTATCATCAACGTTGATTTTGATAATCATTTGAATCTATTTTGTAGATATTTAAATGTGTACATGACAATCCAACTCCCTTTATTAACTTTAAGGAATGAGATTAATATTATAATAGTGAAATTTCGAATTAAAATTCGCTTGCGGTTGCTGCTCATGGAACACAAAATAACATTAAAAAATAAAACCTTTCTTCAAACACGACACGAAATTAATTTGAAAACGTTTATTCAATCTACTCTTGAAATAATTTGCATAATTAGATTAGTAGTTTATGTGCTGGAAAAGCTTTTCTGTATTATGATTTGAGAGGAAGTTAAAACAGATTGACAAGCACGTGAAAGCTTTCAACATATGTGCATACATCTATCAAAGTAGCAGCTAATTAGTAATTTACGAGAAATCATAAAATTTTCATTCTATCATGCACCATTTCATTTTGTTTCTAACCAACCAGGTAGATGACGATACTTCGAACTCTCAATGCTCCCTTAATGCAGAGCTTCTAATTTACTCTGTGCCAAGTATGGAATTTTGTTTATTTTTTATGTGTGTGCATCCATAAAAGTGAGGGCGTTATATTTCAAAAAAAAAAAACATAATTCTACTTGTGAACAGAAGCTTTCGGAACGGAGAAAGATATTTGTTGTATTCATGAGGGAACCAAGGCTGACAACAAAAATTACTTACATTGTTATGAATTTCATGAATGTTAACAGAAGAGAAAATAAAGTATAACGTACATATATGTATCGTGTATGACATGCCATGGCATGTATTTTTCATAAAAAAAGAATTTCAATGAAAAATTATGAGCGAGATTTCTGCGAACTTTTTTTTCCGTTGATGTTGGTGTATGTGAAGCGCCTTTCTTAAGCATCATGAAATGAAATATTCGTGAGCTTGTGCCACGCTACATTAGGGAGAGGAAAAAACTTTAATATCCCAAGGACCTTTCTTTGCACATACTTAGACATCGCATTCATGAAGAAAGTGAGAATAAATCAAAATATTTTCTTTCCTGATTTCTTACTTTACTTCTCATCGCATGGAGAGAGAAGGAAAAAAGAAGGAAATTCAAGTTTGATTGCATGAATGGAACAAGCTGCTGAATATGAAAAGCAAAACTACTTAAAATGACAAGAGAAAAAGTTTTTTGTTGCAACGAGAATTTAATTTCTGCTTTGACTTATCTTGTCGTCTTTTGTTGGCGTAGGAAGTAAGTGAATGAATTATTTTACAATTTCTCTTCGCTAAGCAAGCGTGAAAAAGTTTGAAATAAACTTTGATCATTAAAATGTTAGTCTTCGTTTTTAAGCCCTTCTTGAATCATTTCTGATTATGAAATATGATACGTTCAAAAAATCCTTTGGATCTTTTCAAACTCATGGAGCTTTAGAAGATTAAAAACTCACAGCCTGTGATCAACTTAATCGTTAAGCTTATTTTTATCACAGCGAAAGAAAGAAAAATTTCAAATATTTAGACATAATTCAGCTACTTTTATCAAATATCTAAATATATAATAGGAAAAGTTTCTGAATTAGTAGCCAAAAACAGTTTTCTGATAATCAAATACGAGTAGATTTCTGGAAGCTAAAGAAATTCATTGAAACAATTTTACATGGAGGGATGAAGAAAGTTTTCTTAGTCTTCGTCTTCTTTTTCCTTTCAGTTCATTTTCATCCATTCAAGCATTGAAAGTTTTAATTTGTTCACCAAAACTATGGAAATTCGGAAACTTTGTGTAAACACAATTTTCAAAGCAATTCATTTGATCTTCCGCTCGAGATCGGAAAGTCAGGAAAATGTTTTGAACTTAAATCCTCGTTTTCAGTCAACATAATCATAAAATGCGTCATTCAAATGGTAATGAAATGCTTCAGGTGAAAGCTTTATGTAATTATGGTCATTTACCTAAGGAACAACAATTATTTATCCATCCATCATCATTATCAAAGCTTTTGTGACAAATAGCATGTGAAATTTCAATTTTATGAATATTTCTTTTTTATTTCATTTTATCCTGTTTTCCTTCCCACCATATCGGACGAATTTTTGATGTTTGTAAGTACAATTAATTAACAGGGGAACAAAACTGACTCATAATGACTTTAAAAATCATTAAAAACTTTTGTTTAGGATTTAAAACTGGTTTCATTGCGATTCTAACCCGATGTAAAATTATTTTTACAGCCAAAAGGCGCTGAGCCTTCAAAGATAAGCTTTCCAAAAATATTACCTTAGCGAGTGTATATATCACCTAACTCAAGAGTTCTCTTAATTAATTAAAAAACAATTTCTAAGGTAATGTTAAAGTTAGTTCTCAAACTCAAATGCTGCCATTAAGGAAGAAACATTTCGCCTTGAACTTTTCCCCTTCGCACCGAAGCTGAATGGATAGGAGTGAGAGGGACACAACAAAGAAAGGAAAACCTTTTACTGAATTATAATGACTCTTTAATGAGTTTTTAAAACTTTATTTTAGTAACAAACAAAATCCATTTTAAATATTCAGCATCCACTTTGGTGCTAATGTATGGGTGCACTCTGGAGAAATGTTTTCTTTGGCATGAAAAATGTTGTAAAGCTTTCAACCTTAACTTACGCTTTCCAACCGCCGACCGGCGGGTTTTCCAAAACCCGAATTAACGAATTTTTTTGATTGCATATCAAAACAATTAGAAACAGCAAATAAATTTAAAAAGCTTCATAGGTGTGCAGTAAAATAAAACAAGGACTTCTTCTAATGTTCCAAGAGACAACAAATAGAAAAAATATATCGACAAAAATTTAAACCGAATTTAAACTCGAAACTGACTTGACCAGGAAAACCCTACGCCGCCTTTACTTCCCTTTTGCCTCCACAAGTAAATTAATATAATTTTGAATATAAATTTAATGTTTTGTACACTTAATTACTTCGAATTAAGCCATAATAGAAGAAATTTCTATCATAAAAATCAATTTCAATAGATTCATAAATAAAATAAGGAGCAATAGATCAATCATTAAAATCAATGACAAGCAGGCATGGTTCATTAACGACCACAATATTTATTTATATTTTTTTTAATTCCATATTTCGTTCAATGCTTTTGATGTTCATTAGATGCGAAATTGACAGTTGTGCTCTTGGAAAGCAAACACCAACACCCGCGTCAAATAATTAATTTAGGTTTAGACAGCGAAAATCCATATCGAAATGAATTAAGTTTCCATGGTGATTGTCCATCAATTAAATTCTGTTTAGTTAAGCAAATTTATCTCTGACAAATTTTCGTAATCTGCTCTCTGTTCATTACAATTTTCATGATTTAATTAAAAATCATTGACAAGAATATGAAAATATGTAGATAAAAAATCAACATGTTATGTTATGTATACATACACTTGGAATTGATCCAGAAATTTGCGCATAAATGCAATAGAAGCACCATGAAAGCTTTTAATCTTCTCATGCATGAACATAATTGAATTTAATGAAAATTTTATTTGAACTTCGAGCAATATTCTTAAAATTAGGATTCTCTATTTGTGAAATTTCCTGATTGTGATTTGATTTTAATGATCTTTGATTATGAATCTCTCTATAAGATAAAAATATTGAAATTTCATGTAAAGGCATAAGACATTTACCAACGTTAAGTAAACATGTTTCATGCTATGCCAAAGAGATTTTCCGACTCTAAATGAGGTTTGTTCTGTCATCCACAAGCATAATCAACATCCCAGAAGATATTTTCTATCGAAAAGCCAACTATTCATTTTGTTCATGCGGTTTAGTCAATTAAATCGTATTTCCAATGTTTTTGTTACAAAACCATTTCACATTGATGTGGAAATTCATGAATTTATATTACATTATATGTTGACCTGTTATTAACATTATCGATCCTATATCAATGATTACATGATGAGATTTGACTTAAATCGACGAACGTTATGTGAATGTCGCAATGTAATCCTTTCTTTTTCATTATACAAACAATTTCACTGACATTAATTGCCTTTTCTCGACAAACAGATTGAGAAAGTTCATAGTAGAGATGGAGAAGCAAAAGTTTCTACACAGCATAACAGAGCACAATAAACAAGTTTATTGTTATACATTAAGACTGATGATGTCATTTCTGTCAATTTCAATTTAGATTATCGCCAACTTTATTTAGCGTATACAATAGTCTGATGATCTAAGAAATTTCCTTCACTATCTCCCCTCACGATATCGCAAGTGAAAGAGGCTTCTCCGTTCGGGATGATGATGAAAACTGTTTGATAATTTAATTAATAAATGCCATCAAGCAAGAAAAAATAATAATAATAATCCCAGAAAGATAATTCTAACGTGCTGGATTGGATGAGATTGATACAAAAGATAAGATTACAATAGAGCAAAGTTAAATTCGATTTCTCGGTAGATTAAATTCAATCATTCCGAATAATTAATCAAGAAAAGTAATTAAATTGCATCATAATTACAATTTGTTATAAGAATAAGCTACCCAAAAAATACTTCAAGCAAAATATCTCAGTTGATATTTGTTTTAATTGCATTTTCCATTCATTTAAGCAGAGCTTGAATATCAAAAGGAAACAAAATATCTAACATAAATAATCTTGAATGTGACTTAGAGTCTTAGACGAAGTTGAAGGAAAATCTGCCCGTAAGGCAAGTACGAGACAAATTTTAAGAAACCATTAAAGAACCGAACCGACCGATAAGATAACGACAGAGAAAATATACTGCTCAATAAATAAGAAACAGCACTCGTTAACAACACAATTTTCTTACCTTTTGCATGAATTTACACGTTTCGCTTTTATCCATTACTTATTTTGCTTTTGTAGCTTTCCTTGGCTTTGCATTCCGACCGGAAGACTGATGACGACGAGAAGGGAAACGAAAAGAAAGAAGAAGCTTGTAAAGATTTGAAAAAAGCGCCTTAGGTAGAAAAAATCTGAAAAGACGAGTAAATTCTTAATGCTTTGTTATATCACTCATTCGTGAAAATGAAAATGGAAATGAAAAGTTTCTGTTGTTCAGTAAAGACGAGGCTTGTTCACGACATCGAATCATTCAGTGAAATACTTCATTATGTATCCATGTACATACAATGAAAATAAATTATCAACAAGATAACATTGAGCTTAACAACATTATTCAATTTAAGTGCATGTAAAAGTTTCCTCGCTCATAAACTTTGGAAATTTCTCAAGCGATGAACTTACAAAAACTTTGATGCAAACATGTGAAGTAAGATGCATGACGCTACTGATAAAACAAATTGTTTGGAATTTTCTAAGAAAGGGAATTGTTTGAAAATGATATTCTAAATGAAAACTTTCAGATATTTGAGAATCGATTTGAAACTTGAGAACTTTTCCTTACATTTTCATCTCACACATAAGATCGTCTCTTATAATTTGTGAAACTCGAACAAATCATAAATGAGTATGAGAACATGAATATGAACATCAAAGATAAACCACCTAAGAGAAAGTTAAATTGATAAGATTTTCGAGTAAATTACAAACCAAGAAAAGTTAAATTTCCCCCAACTGCAGATGCTCGAGACAAAGGTTTTGTTAGTTCAAATTTCATGCTTTATTTCTCTGCTTTTTCACCTTCTAAAACTTCTTGGGTATAAAACACTTTCTTCAAAGATTTTCTATGCCATAAGTTTTAAAAATTTTACAACTGAATAGCTTTATGATTATCTTGGCTTAATATTCATTGGTTTTGTATTAACTTCTATGACTACAATTGAGTTTAGCATACGATAATAGACTTGTTGAGGTAGGGTTTTGAAACTTTAATAAAGAAAGAAAAAGGTTTCGACACAAATATGTATGTATTAAAGGGAAGTTTCCTTAATTCGTTTCATTTACAAAGCACTTTGACCGATTTTCCGAAAAGGGAGGAAAAAAAATATTCGAACAAATACAAACTTCATTTTCATTGGCATGAAAACTCATAAAAGTCAGAAACAAACAATTTTCTTTGAGCACACAACACACGCATAGATTCACGTTACACAATACGAATTATAACAGAAATATATGCTAAATCATGCAAACATCAATAATACTTAGACGCAAAAAGCAGTTACGTGTGAGCTATAAACCTTTCACCGAAAACACAAGAAAAAAATACACACCAACCATTCATTATGCTGTTAAACACCCACGCACACATTATGTGGCAGTACAATAATAAAATGATGTATAAACGTTTGGTGAGAAAGACGAAATAAAGCTTTTGTTGATTCTTCACAACAATAGGATGGGAATGAGGGAAATGGGATGGCAATATTTTTTTTTAAGAATCAAATCACCATGACAAAGATCAATTTGCTGAAACAAGTTATTTTCAGAACCCTTCATTCTCTTCCGACCCATTCTATATTCCTTCCATTGCGTTGTAAGCAATTCTATCAGGAAAAAGGTTTCTCGTTTGCAAAACTCTGGGGTACTGTTTGTTGCGTTCTCCAATCATTCTCGTTTATATTCTCAACTTCTCTTTTATTTTGAAAAATTTTCCGAATAAATCTTTTCATTAAGAAATAATGATTTTTCATTAAAATGTTTGCACATACACATAGAGTTGAGTTGAGTTGAGTTGAGTTGTTCCATGAGCTGAAGATGAAATGAAGGAAGAAAAATGTGAGCCATGAAAAATGAAGAAGCATAAAAAGCAAAAGCACCCTCCCTATCGTGCAACGCTTTAGCATCTCTTCGTGATGAGGTGCTGGGGGAGAATTTAAGATCTTAATGGAATAATTTTCGGATGGAATGAAAGGCATCTATTCAGAGTTATTCGTCTGGTAAAGGAAGGGAATGGAGAAGCGAAAAGGGAAAGGCATTGGCTGTGATTCATTCCTCAGAATTGATCTCTTTGTTTGTTTTAATATGTTTTTATTATTGTAATAGAAAGCAAAAATAAATCACTCTTGATGACGACAAGCTGAAAGGAAAATGTTAAAAAAAGATTTTGGTTTCACGAGGTTTTGCCATAAAACAATAAATCCGAGACTTGTAGTGGAGCTTTCGAGACTTTCATGTTATTTCCTTTTCATGTAATTATTTCTTAAAAGCCTAATTTTTATAAATTCATCGAATGGCAGTTTTGCCATCAGTAAAAGCGGAAGAAAGGCAAGAATAAAAAAACAAATTTTCCACCACCACCCCCACCCCCGCATTTAAGCCAATTGCCCAAAATGAACATTTTCATGTATATTTTAAACCGGTCGTGATTAATGGCTGAAGAGAACACGACACAAAGCGGACTCCAATAACAATTTCGCCAACAATAAAATATCGCTTGTAATCTATCGTAAGTTTCTGTTTTCATTCTCTTTTTTTTTTCGCTGAGAGATTCCTTTTTTACTTCGTATCGATTTCAGCACGAAGTTACAATTCAATAAAAGCCACTCAAACAACTTTTATTGTTTTCCTTAAATCATTTTTCAAATTTTCTATGAGAGAAATGATGAAAAAGAAAGTTTAAGACATACGAGAACATTTTTGCACGTCTTTCCATCGCTCACACGCTTAAAAATGAACTTATTCGCTTGTTTTATATTCTTCTGCTTATTTTTGTATTCATCCTGTGTACACGGTTGTCGCTATACACTTTTCATTACATTTGCGATGATGAAATTATGTGTTTTTCTTCACTCACCGTTTTTCTTTTATTTTTCGCGATATGGGATGAAGCAGGAGCCTCTTTTCACTCGATGTTGCTCTGTTTTTTTTTCTTTCTTTTTATGAAAATTTATTTTCGACAAATAACTCACTCAGTTCGTCGCATGTTGCTAAACATAAATGCTGTATGTTATTCTTTCTTTCCTTCTTTCTTCTCCAGCAATATAATGAGAAAAATGCGAGTTGAGAAGAAAAAATGTTACAGTGAATAGCGTCGATGGGAAGAGAAAACAAATTTAATCCGACGAAAGGATGAATGAATACGTGAAACGATAGCAAGCAAGCATAACATGCATGGAACCAATTTATATAATGGAAATGTAATAATATATTATTTATGTGTGTATAACTCGTTTTCAATGAATTTATTATTTTATTCTCCTCCTCAAATTTCAATTTTATTTTCTTCTTTCTTTCAATTTTAAGATCCTTCACTTCAATATCACAAAAGAGACGCAAAGCGCGGCAGGAGAATGAACTTTTCTTTTTAATATCGTCAGTTTTCTTTTCATCAACAATCATCCTTCACTTGAATTGAAATCTTATTGCGGCCTTTTCCGTCAAGAAAAAAGAGATGACGACGTTTTGCCTTTTTCCACCCACACACATACACACAAATTTTAAATGAACTTTCTATACTTTACCGTATGTGGGTGATGGATGTTCATCTTAATGCCGTTACTGTCTTCAATTTATTACTTATTTTTGGTATCGAAAGGAGCTCAATTTCTTTGTTTTATAATTTCTGACATTTTTTTTATATTGTTTTGACTAAAGAATGTTTAATGTATTAGATACTTAGCATTTCAATTTTATGATGGCAAATATAAATCCCTAAGGTTATTTTCTCAATTCCTTCATCCGTTGACTCTCATGATGTAATCGAGATTCGAAATATTTTCCTTTACTCTCTTAAACAAGCTTCATCTGAATTCCTCACCGGAATTATTTTTCGATATTATTAAGTTTCTCTCGTCATATCTTAAGATGACGATTTAATGTTAAATTCTTGTTTGAAGGCAGAAGAAGATTAAAAGGGAAGTTTTATACATAATATATGTAGTTACAATATTAAACGATATCAGATAACATGTTCCTAAGTCTTTCTCTTATGTGCAAACATCTTGTAAGACTTGAGCAGAAGCAAGAAAATTTTCTGTGATAATTCATAGCGATTACTGAAGACACTTTTCCTAAGAAATACGATTAAAGTATCTAAGATTTCACTTCTTGAGCGAAGCAAATGAAAGAAGATGAAAATGACTGGCGATTTTATTGAAAAGTTTGCAGTTTTATGTGAGTTTCAAATGGCATAAAAAAAAAGGGAGCAAAAGTTTGACTTCTTCTTCGCATTTTCAATCCGGAACGAGAGTGAGCGGATTATCAATTAATTCAATTTCAACATTCTTTTTCAAAGCTTTAATCCGCACCATCATAAAAATAAAAGTTCAATTTTCTTAAAAGCAATATTTAAACACTTTTTCCTTCAATTTCTCTTTCTTTTCACAGTTTCACAATCCTTAATGTCCTCCCTGTTAGAATCTGAGTGCTTTACTGTTTGAAGTTGAAAAGGAAACGACTATTTAGAAATCGAATGATCCTATTTCAATGATAGCAACGCGTTAAAAAACGCTTTAAAAATATAGAATATAGGCGACTGATTATGGAAGCTTATAGCAAGCACTGACTCTATTAAAATTGAATGACAAAAATATTACCAAGCAGAGATTGACGTTTTACGGTGATTCTATATCTGTTATCATCGTCAGAGTTTCAAATTACAAAAGAATTCTTTTTAGATTTTATTCAACATTTTTTATCATAATAATGCGCAAGTCAAAGTCTTGGGTAACAAAAGCGCTCCACAAAATTCGTTTTGCTAACATCTCAAGCGATTATGATTGTTATAAATAAACCTTAGACTTAAACACTGTTAGGAGATCCTTTTATGAATCTTCTTTCAATGAAAAGCTTTTTAGAAAAATGCTTAAGATAGAAATGTAATCTTGTCTTTAAGACATTGTAAATTACTCCTAAAATTTGAGGCGACGAGTGGTTGAGTCTCTAATTCAACAACCCTGAAGATATTAACAACTGATACAAAAAAGCACTCTACAAAAGCAAGAGATTCATGTTGAGACTTACTAATTCATAAATTAAATGACTAAGTGAATGTAATTTTGTGAGCGATGGGATAAATAAAAATAAAATTCAGTCGTGGAAAAACATAAAAATAATTGTTTGCATGCCGCTTTGAACATATGTTAAGCAGTTTATGTGGAACATATTAACGCAGAAAATGTTCATAATGTGTGTGACAAGAAGTAATATCGTTGAACATTTTAGCATTGAAATGAAGGTGGCAGTCACTTGTTTCAAAAACAAGAAAATATTTAAACTCACTTCATGATTAGAAGTACTCGTCGGTCGTTTTGTTTGAGGGTTTTCACTCAGGTGTTGAACTGCAGTTCTCAATTAGTCTTCCAACTTTTTTTTCCTTTTCAAGAAAAGTGATCAATAAATGAAGAAAATTTCTGTTAAACATTTAATAATGTTCGTTATGCACTAAGCACTTAATTTTCTTAGTGAAAGCAATGAAGTGAGGAACAACAAAGAAGTTTTTAATGAAAACAAAACAATTTATCAAAATTAAAAATGAAAAACTTCTTTGAAGACGGCTAAAATGAAACATTTGCTTTTTCTTTCTCTTCCGATTTCCTTGCCAAGTTCTCGCCTGAAACATTCCAATGCACTCCAACTCGCTTATTTCTTCCGTTTTCTTTTTCAAGCTTCAAAGCATTTCTTCCACTACGTGATCAAATTTCAAAATGCTTCTAATTTATATCTTTGCCGGAAAGATATTTTTCAAATGCTTAATGGCATCATTACTTGCTTTTTGAAGATTTTCTTCTTTGATATGAGATAAGCTCCGTTTAAAAATGACTCTATTGCATGAATATACTTATTTAGTCGTGACTCTGCTTCTTCGTTCACAGTTTCACATGACGAATCGTCAAATGTTTCTTATAAACATCAAGCATTTTAATTTAACTAGATAAAATGTTCATGCACAACTTTATTTCGTTCTCTTCTTATGCTTGGAAAATGATTTATTTGCATTGCGGATGTTGGGTGAGATTATTAGTTTTATAAGTTTAAGGAAAAGTTTTATTAAATTTCCAACAAATGGTGCTTATTTATGTCATTTGACAAAGTTGAACATTATTCTTAACAGGAAAGTTCTTTGATTATAAATAAAATGAAATAAAGCAAGAAATCAAAGGCAAGTAAGTGTAAGTAAACCAACCAATGCTACCTCAAATCTCATACAAGCTTTGATGGATCAATTTACCCAAATTTAATTTACTGAAAACTCAGAGAATGGAACAGAAGTCAACGTAAATATGTAAGTAAAATGTGCCGCATGTGCACTTGAGTAATGGATATTCAATGCTAAATCAAAAGAAATGTTCAAAATCTAACGAACCTTAAAAGGAAATGATCTCAGAAAATATTTTAAAACAAACCCAAACCTAATTGAGTTGAAATTTCCTCATGGCTTTTCATTTATGAGAGTATTAGGAAAGAAACAAATTCAACATACATCTACATATATTTAAATCATAAAAATATGCGCAATAATGAGACGTGAAATGATAGCTTGTAAAATCTGAACTAATTACTCATAATTCCCATTTTAATGCATGACTTTTCCATTTCGTATTAATTTTATTCTCCTTTTTTATTCATATATGAAACTCACACCCATTCGTTGCACTATTAATTTGCATTCGTTCATCATAATAAATTCACAATTGGAATACAAAATCCGCTTTTAAGTTTCAACAATAAATTGCTTAATCGGCTTCGATATAACAATTTTTATTATAACAAGAATCAATTTAATTACAAAAAAGTTTGTTTTATAATAAATTTATTGTTTTAGTTTTCAATTCATCGTGCGAACCATAAAATTTACAAATGCAAGTTCATGGTAACATTACAATAATTTTCAACATTATAATCCCATTTTAATTAAATGAGAAAGCGTACAATTAATGTGATGTTGACATACATCAAATGATGTATGTAAGCGAACAGTATGGAAAATAAAAACAACTTTCATATTATGGGTTTGGCACAGTTTTCTGTCATTTTACAATTCCCAGAGTCTAATGAAATGAATGGCAAGGAGTTAGCTAAACTACTTTATAGCTTTCTTTCAGTAGTTGCATAACATCTTTTTCTATGCCTAATAATAGAATTGGAGCTTATCAAAATTGCCAGTTCAAAGGTTATTTCTCTTCCTTCCCCCAAACAAAAGCTAATGCTTTGTTTTTTGTTATAACTTATAAGCTATAGACTTCATATATAAAGCTATTTGCCTTTCGTACACATGAACATTCTTTTTCCATTGCGGTCTCAAATTTATCATTCATATTTATTTCCATGGATTTAGTTGCTTCTGATTTGAATAATCAAAAAGAAACAAAAAAAATGAACGATCTTCGTAAACTTGGAAGGAGGAAAAGAAACTAGAAAAAGGAAAACAGCAACTTGGTTCTATTTAATCCAAGAAAATGCCAGAACGAACGTTGAGGAAAATTACAGTCATTTTTTAAAAGTAGAAAAACCTTAGAAGGAGAATAAAAGCTCCAACAAGACCGCAGCGCACATCATTAATACTTACTTGGAAGTATTGACATTCTTAAAACGTTTTTTACTTCTTAGTTTGATAGGATATTCATTGAAAAGTCTCATTTTACTTAATCATTTGCAACGATGTGGCTTAGAAAGTTTATAAGCTTCGTTTTAGTGTATAAAAACCAACACATTATTCAGCATAGAAACGCGACCAGAATGAAGAGTGCTAAGAGTTCGTAAAGCTCTCACTCTCGTTTCATGTTTAATGCGATTAGCGATAACATTGCATCGTTTGTCTTTCATAATTAAATAACTTGTGAAGCGACTTAATTTCATTGCTATGAACTGTGAAGATTGCAACGATCAAAGGATAATTTTAATTAACATTAAATCGCTAGAAACCGTTTCAGAATTGTCGATGTCAGGTTATGAGATAGAAAAGCTGATTTTTCAATTAACTCAAAAGCAAATATTTGCTGTTTCGATACAATATCAATTATTTATTGGATGAATATAAAAAATGATACACTTCATAAAATATAAATCCTTTAATAGTTTCACTCACTCCAAATTTATTTCCATTCTCCATTTACACTCCACCAAATCAAGGGTTTGTTATTTTTTAAACCATTTCATTTAATCCTTTTTTAACATTGTCAATTTGATATTGGGAAAATTTTCTGCTATTTTCATTCTTTTTCTTTTTTAATTAATGTTTCCACAACGAGGGTAAAATAACTGTGTACAATGAAAATCGATATTTCAATTATATGAGAGTTTTTTAAACTCAACCCATCGCTTTTCCCACTCTACAACATCAACCGTTAAAATATCGCATGATGACAAAGCCTTAAATTACCTCAGTTGAATATTTATAGGAATCACTGATCAAATTATCTTTATAGGAGCGTTATTTTTCTTTCAGCAAAACGATATCTGAAGTAAAATACCGCGAATATATCTTTGCACTGTGAATAGAAGCAGTGAATAAATCTCAAATAATGCCATATAATCACCTATAGGCCGTATCGCTTCTTTATCCTTTAAAAGCATCATAAAACGGAATTAGAATGTGAATGCTTTTCACCTGAACGTAAGTACACCTCGAACATTGAATTATGTTGTCATCGAACTGGTAATGATTCTCCTTTTCAATGTGACTGAATCCTTGAACAACCCCTTCTAGCCACTTCAAGCGATAGAACGAGAGAAATCACTTTGTTTATTTAAATCACGACGATGAGATATAATAAACCTGTCGTCGTATCGAATTTAAGGCAATTGAATAAGAAAGAAGAAGATTCTATTTTCCCCAGAATGTTGTGAATGTAAGTAAGTGTGTATACTTAAATGTTCGTAAAAGCTCCGACGCTTCGAAGATATCACTTTCAAAAGTAGAAATAAAGCATGAAAAAGGTATCAATTTCCGATATTACTTCTACGTCTACCCGAAGATTACCCTAGCCCCATGAATTCTTATTCCTTCTACTAGCTAACTAACAGACATCGAAAACATGTCTATTTAAATATTTCTGGCACGGAATGTTCTCTAAGTCAGAACGAGAGGCAAAGAAAGTTTTTTAAATAAACTTCTAGCAAAAAGAAAAGGGAGAAAAGGGAGAAATGTGTGAAGTGGTTTCGTAAAAAGCATAAAATTCTTCGGAAAAGCGACAAAACCATGAAAAGCTTTCACTCGCCTATTTATTGAAGAGAATACGAGCATTTTACGAATCTTCGTGAAAGTTTCATTTCGTTTTCACGCACTAAAAATATTAATTCACGTAATGAAAAGCTTTATTAAAAATTGAGCTTTTGCGTGAGTTGGTAGATCGTAATCGATAGAATTATTACTTAATGTGATATCTATATAAATGTTTATATTTTCTATATTTCAAATGTAGCATTTCAAACACAACCATCATCCATCACGCATGGAACGTCAATTACAAAGTTGTTCAAAATACCAACATGCATGTGTGTAAATGAAAATTCTTTTCTTCTGCTAAACTCGACTCTTAAGTTGCTTACTGCGCGAGTTTTATTTTTTATTTTTCTTTCCAAACCCCAGCCTCGTGAAGGTAATTTTCCATTCTCATAAAATTTAAATTTGAATAACAACAGAAAGGAGCTTTGACTGCTTCGCAACACAACATCGTAGAAGAGTGAAGGGAAAAGAGAGAAGGAGAAAAAAAACTTGTTTTAATTTTTCATTTCAAGAAAAAATTCATGATGTTTTTATTACAGTTTTTAATATTCATACGCCATAAAGAAGAAGAAGGAAAAAAAACATGAAAAGAAACAGATGGATTTAATTTAGTCATAACTTGTTACGAGCACAATGCTTTAAACAACTCAAAGAATAAAATTATATCAAACAGTCATCATAGCCTTTTCAAGATCTCCATGAGAGCGACGTTGGGAAATTCTCACACTCCAAGATGGTGAGTTTGAACTTTTCAACAAACTCCGATTCTCATTTCGAGTTACTAATTCATCGTAATTTCCCTAATGGGTCAAGCCATTGCCTCAGTTTTCCCGCAAACTTTTTTTTCTCGCTTTTCCCTCATCACGATAACTTTTTATGTTTTATATGTCCTCAAAAGCATTCGAATGAGCAAAGTCACACATATTTCTTGACAACGAGACATTTTAAATGGAAAAAGGAAATGTAAAATGTGCGAATATGAGATATGACATTAAACTGCAAAAGGAAAGGTTTTTTATGAAACATTACTCCTCCTTTCTTTTTCCCATTGTAAATGAGATATAAATAGCTGTTTGACAATTATGAAATTTGTCATACGTTTTGTCATCTTTCTTTTATTCCAAAGAAATGTAAATGTGTGAACCCTAAAAATGAATAACATTCAAATTTTCGCTACACAACGCCAACGTCATAAAATATTAAAGCGAAAACAAGGCGAAATGCGATATGTACAAGGAGATAATAAATATTTTTATTTACTGAACAGCATTTTAAAAGTCAGATGTTGTGGGGCCGCAACATGTTTCCCAAGAGTCAATGAGTAGGCAACTAAGATATTGTGAGAAAAGAGGCAATATTGTGCGAAAGAACATAAAAATTGTATAACATTAAATAGGAAACAAGTATAAGCAAGAGCTTTCAAGGAAAGGCTCAGACAGGAAATTGGCTTCGTAATGCGCAACGTAATAGAGCATGTAGAAAACATGACAATTCGTTTATAACCCAATAATAAGACGAAACATTTCACAACATATTCGAATTTTGTGCTGTACTGAAATATTTATTTAATGTCGCATTTCAAAAGGCACTCGTTAGAATTAATTTTACATACCAGCAATTATAAGTTCACAGCAATTTCCTGACCAACGACAGTCAACACGATGACGATTAAAGATGGGTTTTATAAAATTTCTTGCTTTGTAGTTATCGTGATACAAATGAATTACTTAATACAGTGATTGTTGTATGTTTTTAAGAACTACGAAATGAAAATTGCAATGATAAACTGCACGAGTCATCTTATTTAAGGTCAAATAATCCGAATAATGTTTGAGGTTATAATTTTCTAAATTTCTTATAATTTATTTTAAAAGGCTTTGAAATTGACAACAATACTGCTTGATTGCTATAGTGAACATTTCAATTAGAAATATTGATTTAAATGTTCCTAACATTCAAATTTCCGCATTTTAATTTAAAAGAATGACCTCAAAAAAGATCTTAAAAAACGACATGAAAGGTTATCTGGTGAAAATAGTTTTAATGATAAAATATTATCTCTAAATCTAATAAAACTTTTGAAAATTAAGTTTATTATTTTGGTTAAAAAGATAATTATCTTTGAAAACTATATTTTGTTTTATTGTTGTTACTCATAATAAACTTTATAGCCAAGATTCTCGCTCGAATTTAGAGAGCGAATATAGTAATTATCATGGTAATGAAAGCTCGTATGCGTTAAGCTATATTCTTTTTAATTGTTTCTGGTTGTTTCATTCGTATAGGGAGGGTCTAAAATTAAATTAAGAATTTTTGAAATTCGGTAATGAAATGTCTATGAGAATGTTTCGACGATTCGTAACATTTATCAATAATAAATAATTACTGCTACTCGAGATCACAACAAGGAGATCCTTTTCAAACAAACTAAAACCAGTTTTAAGTACTTTGTGCTCATTCGGTACATCATTGAGACACCTAATTAAGACTTTCCTTTAACATTTTTACACTCTCAAGTGTCTGAATGAAGCATGAAGGAAGAAAAAAAGAATATTTCATGAGTATCCTCAAATTGCTTAAAGCAATGAGGTTTTTCAGGCTGAAAATTTCTTTTCATTTATGTTTAATTAGTTGGAAGTGGTATCAAAGTGACAGTAGCATTAAAGTAAAGCGGATTTTCCCTTTATGCAAATAAAAAAAGGGGAAAAGGGTTTTCACGAAAAAATAAATAAATTCAAATTTATAATTCAAAAGGAACAGGCGGGACTAATCGAATTATATTTTAGCATCTGCTTGATGATTAATCTCAAGACACTAACTTTCTTCTAAAATGCAGAAAACGTTCTTGCCAATAACTTAAATCTCATTGAAATTCATGACTTGTCACAAAAATCTTGAAATCTTCATCTCGTTGCAAACATCTTGAGAATGTGAGTCAATATTCTCTCTCTCGCTTTGTTTATCGATAAACACTCTTAAAGTTCATAACTGCTTTAATATTCTCTGTAAGACTTCTTCAGATGACGTAAAGGAGTTGGGGGAAAAAGTCATTTTGTTATAATTTTCCTAGTTAAACAATCAACAGAAAGGAAGGAAAAATAAGAATGATGAGAATGATGAAAGAAAGTGAACCTAAGCAATGGAAAATCCCATTCATTCATTTATTTTTTCAATTTCGAGAAGCATTTCCATAATGATGATGTTGGATTGTTATGGAAGAAAAATGGGGAAGAAAGAATGAAGAAAAGTCATAAAAACAAGAAGTGAAGAAGAAAGACACAAAATGACAAAGAGAAGAGCGATGAAAGATTATTAGAGGCAAAAGTAAACAATCCGTGCATCTTCTTCACTTCCAATCGCTTGTTTATACGAAAATATTGTCATCACTTCAACAGACGAAAGAAATGAAAATAACAGAATCGAGTCATTAATAAACATTGCACATAATTTTATGAAGTGCTTCCTTTAACGATCAATGTGGAAACTGTTTTGGCGCATGAAGGGAGGAAAGAAAGAAAAGAGATGAATAATGAAGACGTAAGTACCCGTCATCATCACATTAACAAATAATTTTTCCGTTCGTCTTCTTCGTCTTCTTTCGTCTCATAAAAGCTTCTTTCGCTTGCTTGTTTGTCCTCGTGCTTTAGAATATATTGAAGTGTTTTGGAGATGGAGAAAAATAAAGAAAAAAAATTAAACTCTCAAAAAATAAGCGACTATCATCAATTAAGATGCGACTGATAAGAATAAATAAGCACTCGAGACTTGCTTTTAAATTGAGACATGTTTAAACATTTATGAGTGATTGTTATGAGTGTTTCCTTCATCAGATTCATGAGCTTTATTGAAGTAGAATGTCTGAATATAAAAAAAGGGATAAATGCAAAGATTAGCACTCGAATGTCGTTGTAAGATCTTTCATTTGATCACCGAACTAGAAAGTGTGGCAATTTATTGTAAGAACTGCTATTTATGTCATTCAAGTGTTAATTCAGTCGAATGTAAAGTGTTCTATTTATGATGGGGATGGAACTCTTAAAAGGTTTTAAAGTGTTTTTGGATCTAGACATGAAAGCAGATAAGAAATTTTTCTACATTTATATCAACAATTTCTTTCAGTACAAAACAGTTAAAAATTCTCATAAAAACCGATGGAGATTTTCCAACAATGATAAGAGTGAGAGTTGAGGCTTTTCTCACCTTTTCGGGCTATTTGAATAGCAACTCGCATGAATTGCTTTGTGTGGAATCATTAAATTTAATATCTTTTCTAATTTTTATCCTTTCATGTTATAAAAAGCTTTGAAGTTTAGAATTAAAAGAAAAGATTTATTTGTTTAGATAACAAGCCCGCAAAGAAAACTTTCATTCCTGCAATTCGCCTACAACTGCAAATTTTTAATGCTTAAGAATGAGTAAAATTTTAATCAAATTTCATCACAGTTGATTTAAAACTTTTTTACTATTCGGTGTTCCATTTTTGAGATCTTGGATGAATTTCAAACTGAATAAACTTGAAAATTCACAAAAAAGCATCTTTTTTTTGACAAACAATTCTAAAAGTCAAACGTGCTTGGAATACATCATGAAAGGCTGAAATTTATAGCAATGAAAAGTTGTCTGCTGTCATTCGTCGATCCCAAACTACGACTGAGTCTTTCTCTATTCATCTCGTTTTCAAATCGTTTCAATCTTTCAAATAAGCTTTTGCTTCAATTATTTGATTGTAAGAGATAGAAAATTCGACGATTACTTTTCCATGTCGAATCATTCAAATGATTAAATATTTACGCTTTCTATATGAATCGTCTGTAATTTCTTTCTTCTCCCGTCATAAAAAGCGTTCAAAAACAGTAATTTGTCGTGGAAACAGTCGAAAAAAGCGTTTTTCCATTCAAGGGGATCAATTGTATCTTTGATAATCAACATTGACAATTTCTTTTGTGATTTAAGATGGAAACTATGATGATATGTGCATGGCAACGACTTGGGAAAACATCAGAAACGAAATCGTTGATTTCAAGTTCGTTGCTTCTCTCGATTGAGCTTTTTTCACATTTCTCAACTATTACGCTTCAGGGTTGAAAGAAAATATTGAAATGTAAGGACAATGATACAGAAATATGCTAAGCACATCTACAATGTTTCATGCATTATGATGAATCCAAAAGCATGTATGAAAATTTGTAAATTATGAAAACCAAACTTTCTTGCAAAAATCATTTTACTTTAAGCTTTAAAATTGTTTTCATGAAAGCTTTTCAAAAGAGAGTGATGTAAAACATTCAGTGGATTATAAAATAACATAAAGAAATTGTCATTTTCTATGAGAGAACTCGCAGAGCTTTCAATTCATTTTTTTAATTAATTAAAAGGAAACTTTCTGTTGCATATTTTCAACATTATCCAATTCCAAAGTTTCATTTTTGCATTGCAAATATTATGAGTAATAATAATACCGATGACAAACTTTCTCTATCCAACAGATCAGACTCATTTCACTTTTTCTAACTAAAAATTTATGATAATATGTAAGAGATTCTGTAATGATAAAATATACGAGCATGAAGAGATATAAATTAAACTTTATACATTGCAAGCAGAGAAGCAGCTTTCATCTAATGATGGTTTAACATGGTCAAATCATTTGTATATTGTCCTTGCATGGCACAGCATGGCAACTAAGTAAGTGAACCAGATATAACATTAAAATAACTAATACATAATTGAAACATACGATCCACGGTAAAGGAGAGAACAATTTTTTTCCTTAAATTACATGATTTCTCTGAACCTCATAAATTAAAAGTTGAAGGCTTTTCTGCTAGTGCTACTGTTGCTGGTTGACCATTGAAGCAAGACCAACATTTTCATCCCAACTTTTTCCTATTTGGACACCTTACTATGTATTATTTAACTCATATAACGACCATTATATAGAAAGTCGAAGTTTTAAAGTTACTAGAGCAAAGAAAAAGGACAAAATCGGGGAGAAGAAGAAGGCTTGCTGCACATAAAGGGAATATTGCTTCCTTCACAGCACTAAACCTTTTCCAAAAAAAGTCATTTTCCATGTTGTTTAGAAAACATAATACAAAAAGAAAAAAAAAAAAGTTAAAATGCACTCTTTAGCGACGACCATGCAACGAAGAACAGTATGTGGTCCGCTTTTTTCACGATAAAATAATGCATTATGCTCTTTTCTCTGAACAGCAGCAAAAACATGTTCACCGCTTGGTTTTTTTTTTCACCACACTTTGCTCAAGAGTTGGAAAGAAACGAGCTCTATACGGATCCGAGAAAAATAATTTATGGACTTTTTAAATTTATGTTTCAGAGTAGCTAACTGAAGCGAGTGTAGGGATAGAAGTAAATGTAGTACACGATGGTAAAACTAAAGCCGAAGAAACAAATGAAAAAGAGTTTGAAAATAAAAATTGATAAAACGAAGCTTCCTTTATTTTTCCACATGGCACCGTAAGGACAGCCGTCGTGTACATACAGCAATTAAGTTCTTCACTCAAAGTGTTATAAAATTGGTCGCTTTACAATCAACGAAGAGAGAGAGAGGAAAAGAATGTTGTGAACTTAAAGTAAAAAAGACTCATTAAAAATATCATTTCAACAAATCTATTTATGTAGTAAAAACATGTAAAATTTTCATTCTTTTAAAGAAAGAAATAATAAATGAACCTAATTATAAGCAGACGTTACAAATATTCCACTAACAACAGTCGGTTGCTCTTTTTTGTTGTTTAGTTGACATCTTGATACGTGAATTTTTTCTTTCTTTTTAATTATTTTCCCAACATCTGTTAAATTGCCAGCAATGCAATCAGAGTTTCTTAAGAACAGACATTGCGATGCCGACAAGCCTGTTGCTTATAATTCTCCAGCTTGTTTTATCTTTAACATATTTTCATGGCATGATATTTCACATTAACTCTTTATACTTATAAAAATATTTTTATTTCAACTTAGATAGGAAAAGGCTTTAAAAAGTTTTCATGGCGAAAAGCTACCGTCTTAATTAGCCACCTACAATTGATGCCTTTTCGTTAAATTCAGCCCTCAGGGAAAATTTCAACACAATAAAGATTAGATACCTTAGCCATTAAGTCCCAACCTTCACACCTAAGACAAAAATATTTTCTTCTTATCTTAGGCTTACTTTTCTCTCTCGCTTTGATCAGTACGCCCACACACCGTCAATGAATATTGTCATTATTTGTTAAGTGATGGGGAGAGGAAAAGATTTTTAGAAGCAAACAAAAGAAAGAAGCCATAATTTCTGACCAAACAATTGAAAGACTGCCACAAAAACGATAGAGCTTATGACGCCATAATCAAAACCGTGCTAGCAGCAACACAATAATGTTTATCGGAACCTTTTTTTTTCTTTTGTCATGAAAATTTAATTAAAATGTAATTTGTGATGTTAATAGATCGACAGAGGCGAGTTCATAAAAAAGTTTATGTTCGAGTGTTTCGTGTGAGTTTTGAAAGACTCAAACGGGAACGTGTTGTGGAAAAGTTTTTCTGTTGCCTTTTTTTTTAGGTGTGCATGATTTCCCTAGCGCTGTGTCACAAACGTAACACCAGAAACCGCTTTCACTCGCCCCTTCTCAGATACTCAAGGGAAATGAAAAGTTTTCCATCCACAGAAATTAATTACTTTGCTGGTGTTGTTATTGCTTCATAACGTTCATGTACTCTTCTCTTCTTCCAACAATGGAAGTCCCATAAGAAGGCCTCAACATTACTTTATCCAGAAGGCCAATGAAAAGTTGCATCGCACTTTGAAAAGTATGTGTTTGGGACAACGACAAAAAGGACAATCTCTGATATGAAACGACAGAAATATTTTTGTTCTTTTAAAGTTTTTTAGTGACGGGACGTTAAACAATAAAGAGAATAAAGGGAATCGGAGTAAGAGATAAACAAGTCAACGCTGTACTTAAAATTGTCGTCAAATAGTACTGGTGAGGTTTTCCACTTTAACTCATGCCATCGTGAAATCCGGTCGAGAATCACCACCGATGACCCTTTGTCATTAATGCTTCATCATGTTTCGCTAGTAAAAGGAGGAAAAAAGAAATCTTTAACAGCATTTTCCATATCAGAGGAGAATCGGGATAGAAATCATTCGACTATGATTTCCTCAAGTTGAATCATTGAATGATGACGTTATAATTTTCCGGAAATTAAGGGTTCAAATACTTCGACTGTCTCTCTTGTGTCGGTTGCGTGGGCGGTTTGAGTTTGAGCGTTAGAAGAAACATTGAAAATGAAGATTTCTGTCCCTTTTCTGTGTTCCTTGCTTCCTTCTTGTCGCAAATTAAGATGGATCAAATAGTCACACACACTTTCCTTTTTCGAAAATAGATAAGTTAGGGAAAAGAAAGGAAAAGAAGGAGACATTGTTGTGCTTCACAATCAGCAAAACATTATTTCGTTTTCCGGTTTTCGAACTGAATATTTTATCGTAAGAAAAAAAATTCTCTTGCCATGAAAATTTCATGTTTGTCATCTTCATCATCGCCTTACACGCTTCGTCTTCATCATCATCATCCTGATCTTTTTTCCTTTTATTTTTGGTCTTTTGGGTGACGAAAGGTTTTCCTTCTTGGTCACAAATGAGAATTTGTGAAAAGAAAACGTAAGAAGAATGGAAAAGGAATATCCAGTCCTAATTGTGATTTTGTATGATTTGGGTTCGATGTCGATGACGTTTTATGTGTAATAAAAGACGATTGTGCAAAAAAACACATAAATAATTCAAAGAGCACGTACGAATTTATTGATTAGTAAACATTATTTCAAGCCATAACAAAATTTTGTTTATTTCTTACAAGTTTCGGTTTGCAAATTAATTTTCAGTTTAATTGTCTCGTCAAATTTGATGTTTTGTTTTCATGACATTACGCTCGAAGCAACAAAAAGTTAAATTATAACTAAGATGCTTCACAAACTTTGCTACCTCTTTAAGCATTTAATGGAAAATTAATAATCATCCGAAAAGGATTAGAAAAAAAGTTGCAGAAAATTCTTTCTTAGGGCGAACCATAGATATTCGTGCAAAAGGCAAAATTCATCGTTGCTATCTTTTTTCCTTCGTTTTCCTTCATTTATTTTATTTTTTGAATCTCAAAGTAAGAAAAAACTTCTAAATAAACAACCAACAAAAACGTGAATGAGAGATATGAAGCGGTTGGACGTCTTAATATAACCGTAGATAAATCTGTCGGAAAATTAATGGTAATGGTGGATGAAAAGTTTTTTTAGCCTTAGACGAACAGAGTGGGGGTGGGGGGAAAACCTCAACATAACGAGAGATGGATGAGTAGCAGAAAAAATGATAATAATGAAACACGCTGCACGAAGGATGGGCACACAAAAAAAGGAAGAAGAGAATTAAAATTTATTTTTTGCTATGTAATAATATAATGTAATTAAGTGCCAAAGTATGAGAATTAATGAAATAAACCATCAACAATATAAAAAAGAGGTTATTTAAAATGCTTTTAAAAAAGCAATGATGCTCTGTAGGGCTTAAAATTGTTGGTGTTTATGTATCGTTAAAAAGCATTTTCGAGTGTTTTTCTGCACATGTGCATTTAATTAAATTTTAAGATATAAAAACAAGTGTGAAATCGCAAGGTTATGAATATGTACTTGCAATGCATACATTAAACTTTCAACCATTTATCTTTCAAATTAAATTCACATTAATTATTAAATTACAGCGTAAAACATGAGTTGAAAGCTTTTACGCATTTGTAAGTATCGTTGCGTGAAATGACCAGAGTATAAAATTAAATATTTCGTGTAATGTTTAAAAAAGTGTTTATGAACTTTGAAAACTAATGAATGTCAGCCACGATGATTTACATAATTCGTTTTAAGGCAGTGAAGAAGAAAATCTAATTCCATTTATTTTCCAACAAATATCTACATAGCTACATAACATTCCTCAATCGATAATGTTTTTCAAACTGAAAATTGAAAATAAAATATTTACGCATTGACGCTTCGTGTGCTTCAAAGAATAAGAAGGAAACAGGGATTTAACAGTTACAACAGGCGAACGAGAGGAAAGCTTGTTAAAATCTTTTTGGAACAAAAGCTATTGATCTGAAAAAAGCACGAGATACTCTGAAAGATTATAAATAAAACCAAAAGCCTCAGCTGGAAACCATTTTATTAGCTACCTTCCTTCGCATTCAAAGGTGCTACAAAGTCTTACGTTACCATAAAAAAATAAAATTCATATTTAATCTCCATCGTTTTCCTTCTCATTTGAAGAAGCTTCTTCATTCAATTCCGATCACGTCACATTTTTAAGATAAAATTACGTTCAACATCAAGATATTTTATCACTCATAAATCTGGCATAAAACTGATATGGCGAAGAATAAATCCGAGTATCGTGCAGCACGTATCATCGTCTGCAGATAAACTGAAATGAGCGAGATTTTCACTTGAAAAACCATGTGTTCGTAATGCCTTTTTGTTTGCTAACAGTTGAGCTCTGCTAGTTTGTTTGGTTTTTCCGTTTTTCCGCTGTAAAATCTGTTGAAAGTTAAAAATTTTTTTCCTTTCTTTCTTTGTTTGTTCTCTCTTTACAAAAGTAATATCGAAGGAGATACTAAACTAAAAAAATTGTCACAAATGTTCATATTGAAAGTATTGCAAGATATTAAAGATCATTAAGCTTTTTTCCTTCTCGCCCGTTCCTGCATGACTTGAAGGGATAAGAAAAAAGAATTTATGGGATATTAGAACTCAGAAGATGTCATCTCATATTGAATAATTTATGAATTTGTAGGAAAGTTTTGTAACCTTCTTCAACATGGAGCTAGCAACATGAATAATTGAAATTTAATCACAAAGTTTAGTTACTGACGAATTTAGAAGTGACAAAACCGCAGATGGACCCACATTATATAAAATTTTCCTTTGCAAGCGAGTCAAGATTCTTTGAGCAACAAAGTCTTGCTAAAATTATATTCTTACATTATGAATGATGGAAAACCAAAACATTGAAGCTTTGAAAAGGATTCCTTTCTTTAATCGAAAATAAATTGAGCTCATCCAGCTTTGAACCCACAAAAGCACCCACAAAAAAGAAACTTTTGCTGTAAGTTTCTCCTCAAATATTATGAAAATTCTTACGAAAAGAAAAATATCTTCAGTAGGTTAAAAAGAGGAAACATAATCCAACGACAATATAAAATATTCAAAGAAATTTGTTCACAATGGAAAAGTCATTTATTCACAAACACAAATTTATTAATTTCACTTCAACAGGGAAATGTTTTAAAACTTCGTGAAATGTAAAAGTTTTTCCTGTCTTACTTACCTGCTTCATTCAAATAACACAGAAAAAAATGTTTATTTCTCAATTTGAGTCAAGACTTGAAATCATTGGGAACGGAACAATTTTTAATCTCAAAAGCAAACATTTTTCTTCTTGCATCGAGCTAAAAATAAAAATAATATAAAAATTCTTTTAGTGAAAAGAAAATTCTCAAGCCTCCCTTAACCCTTTTTTCCAGCTTACATCGTAATTTAAATTGCTTGAATTTCATAAGAAAAAATATTTTTAAACACAAAAATTCCTTTTTTTCCACTTTTATTTCTTGTGAGTCATGAACAAGAATTTAACAAGACTTCTTGCAGGTACGAGAAGATCAAAAATAAGTTCATGGCATTCTTACTAATGGATAAAGTAAATTTTTTTATAAACGTGTGATCTGCGCTCCTCAAAAATAAATTATTTTAAGACGATACAAAGCATTTTAATTAAATATTTTGCGACAATTCTTTAGCCAACATTTTAGTGTATCGAAATTTTGTGAAATATACAAAGTTGAAAGTGATCCAAAGTGTTAAATATCACTTTTTTTAATTTTTCGTTGGAGAAAAAAGCAATCTCGTCACTTTTGTTCACCATCTCTTTGTTGTATTACGCGACAAAGAAAAGAAAAAAAAGGTCATCATCTTCTATTCTACGCTGCTGCATCTCATCACCGGAATTCCCCACAGTGCATTCAAGGTTGTTTTATAAAACAACCGAAGGCGCTTGCCGCGTGAGTTACTTTGAAAAATAAATAAAGAATATCCTTCTGGTCTTCGTTCTTCTGCATTTCTTTCAGATCACAAAGCATAAATCGACTTGTGGGGGGTCGTAGCTATAATCAACATATCCTTCACATCATGACAAAAACTGAAAAGTGCGAAAAGTGTAAAATCAATATTACAGCTATCAAAAAACCAGGAATAAACTGCATTGGTTGCAAAAAAGTATTTCATTTCGACTGTGTATCTCTATCAACTGAAGTAGTAAAATCTTTTGCTGAACACAACATCTCCTGGCATTGTAAGAAGTGTGCAAATCGAAACAGGCGCTCTTCAATATATCCTACACATATCAACGCAAACATTTCTCAACCAGGGACATCAGGCATACAAAAATCTTCTTCAACATCTATTGAACAATTAGCGAAAGCTTTTGAAGAATTTAGAGAAGCGACCAATAGTCGCATAAAGGAGCTCGAAGATTTATTAAAATCGAAGACCAACGAAATATCAGAACTTTCAACTATTGTTAATAAAGTGGATACTAAAGCTGAAAACTTGGAACAAATTGCCTGCGAGAAAACTGTTGAAGTGCAAGGCATTCCTGATAATATCCTGTTAAATCCATCACAAGCATTCACAATCATCGCGAACGCAATTGACTGTCCAATTAATTCGAAAGACGTTAGCTGTTTCTCCTCTCACTGCGGTACAAAGCCAATTCTTTCAGTAACATTTAACTCTAAAATTAAACGACAGAATTTTCTTAAATCTGGAAAAAGTTTCAACAGAGAAAAAAAATTGTTAAAGATTGAAAACACTGAACATAAAATATTCGTCAACGAACAACTAACATCGGAACAGAAAAGAACTCTTTACAACTCAAAAGCTTTTGCGAGAACATTTCATTACAAGTTTGTTTGGTTTTGCAACGGAGCTGTCCACTTGAAGAAAACTGAAACTTCTACACCAATCAGAATCCATTCCTGTCAACAACTGGAAGCTTTAAAAAATGAAGTTAACATTTTACTACCAGAATGTGAGAGGGCTGAGAACGAAAACGCAAGAAATTCTTCAATCAATTAAAAGCCATAACTACGACATAATCATGCTTACTGAAACTTGGTTAAAGGATGGAATCTACAACAGAGAATTTTTTGATGACAGATATGAAGTATTAAGAAGGGATAGAGACAAAATAACTTCACTCAGAACTGACGGTGGTGGAGTTTGTGTGGCCTTAAAAAAATCTTTATCTTATTCAATAATTCATCAAAGTGAATGGCAAACAACAGAAATTGAAGATATCTGGTTAACAATCAATCCAACACAAAAACATAACTGCACCACACACATTAATGTTGCTTATGTTCCTGGTGAAACAAAATTTGAAATCTTTAAAAAATACACTGAAAATATTTCAGAAATTATTTTAAATAACTCTAATGACCACTTTATAATTTTAGGTGATTTCAATGTTCCATCATTTGAAGATATCCACAGCTCACGCTCTTCTCCCAAATCAAATCTGTTGAATGAATTAATGCAGTTTGGAAACTTAGATCAAATAAATAATATTCGCAGTGAACAATCTAGTCAAAACCTTCTGGATCTTGTGTTTTCCAATCTCCCTATCAAAGTCGAAAAAAGTCACGATCCCATTAGCAAGGTTGACATCTTTCATCCACCTTTCATTGGCACGTTCACTCTCAATATTCCTAGAGGGAAGTTCATTCATTATACTTACCGAAACTTCAAAAAAGTGAACTGGAAACTCATAAGCAACGACCTAAAATCAATCAACTGGCCTCTCGTCTTTAATGAAGCTGCTGATGTTAATGAAAAAGTTGATCGTTTCTATAAAACAATCGATAAATATCTCGACAAACACTGTCCAAAAATTAAGGCCAAGGAAAAACGTTTTCCTTGCTGGTTTTCGTCAGAAACGATCACTTTACTGAAAAGAAAAGGGAGATATCATCACAAGTGGAAGTTACATCAGAATCAGGTTGATTATGATATGTTTAGTCATCTTCGAAGAAACTGTAAAAAATCAATTGAAAAAGACACGGAACTATTCAATAAGGAAGCTGAACTAAACATCAGAAGAAACCCGAAATCTTTCTGGAGCTACGTAAACGCAAAGAAAACGAACGGAACAGGCTTAGCAGACTATATTAAGCTTGGTGATAAAACAGCATACAATAAACAGGATGTTGTGAATCTTTTTGCTACTCACTTCAAGAGTGTTTATGAAGATGATGACGTTTCGAACATTAATCATGACGTCCAACTTGATGATGATCCCAATCAAATAGACGATTCTTGGAAGAACATGCAAATCAGCCTACATGAAATTAATGTGAAATTATCAGAACTCAACATAAATAAAGCTGTCGGTCCCGACAAGCTTCCAGCCATTCTTTTCAAAAAGTGCTCAATTTCTCTATCACCACCATTGCACATCATCTTCAACGACTCATTACAAAGTGGAATCTTTCCTTCATCATGGAAGAGAGCTCATGTAACGCCCATTCATAAAGATGGTTCTACTCACAACGCACAAAACTACAGACCAATCTCAAAGCTCTCACTTCCAGCAAAAGTATTCGATAACATCATGGCTGACGAACTATTTGAACGTTTTAAGGATAAGATCATCAAACAGCAGCATGGTTTCTTCAAAAAAAGGTCAACTGTGACTAACTTAGCAGATTATACAGAAAAACTCCAAAGAACAATCGATAATTCCTCACAAACTGATGTTATTTTCACAGATTTTTCCAAGGCATTTGACAAGATCAATCATGAGATACTTCTGGAAAAACTTGCTTCGATGGGGATTGCGAATAATATTCTCAAATGGTTCAAGTCATATTTAACACAAAGAAAGCAAAAAGTTCAGATTGGCGAATGTACTTCTTTCGATATCGATGTCACTTCTTCGGTGGTTCAAGGCTCACATTTGGGACCGATTCTGTTTTCCATTTTCATAAACGATATTGAAAATATTTTCACTGATGTCNTTATTTAGTATGAGGTTCATGTCGACGAGCCGAAAACGGTTAATTTACTTTTCTTCAACAAAAGTAGCGAATTTTAAACCCTTTCCTTATTATTTTTATTAGACAGAAAAAAAAACAAATAAGTTATCATAATGGCAAGAAATCGTAAACGTTCTACAATGAAAAGAGAAAATAAAAGGCACGATGAAAGTCAGAAAGCAAAAGGCAAAACAAAAGGGAAGCCGGTGGCCAAGAAATGTGAGAGTGAAACTGATTGGTTCTCCTACCCCAGCAATGATAATCTAACCGTCTTAAATTTTTTATTTGTCGATGTCACTTCTTCGGTGGTTCAAGGCTCACATTTGGGACCGATTCTGTTTTCCATTTTCATAAACGATATTGAAAATATTTTCACTGATGTCAGTTTTTGTGTTTACGCAGACGATCTAAAAATATTCAAGGAAGTCAAGAATCTGAACGACGCAAATATCCTCCAAGAAAACATCGATCGTCTCATCACCTACTCGAAGAAAAATAAATTAGCCTTAAATGCTAAGAAATGCTCTGTGACGAGTTTTACGAAACGACATACAAATTTTATTTGCAACACCTACAACATCAATGGTCATGAACTGGAAAGGAAAATTTCGATCAGAGATCTTGGAGTCATTTATGATTATAAATTAAATTTCAATGATCATATTGATTCAATTTGTGGTAGAGCACGTAGGATGTTAGGATTCATCATGAGAATTGGCAAATATTTTAATAATACTCTCACATTTGTAACACTTTACAATTGCCTGGTACGTAGTATTCTTGATTATGCTTCAATTATTTGGAATCCATTCTCTGAAGTCCAAAAATCTAAATTAAATAGAATTCAACATAAGTTCTTACGCTTTATCGCTTTTCATTGCTTCAACACAAACTCTCATGACGCGATTGTATATGATGATATCGAAAAATTATTGAATATCGATAATTTAGAATTGAGACGTATCATTACGGACATGAAATTCACAACAAAATCATTTAACAATCACATTGATTCAAGCACTTACCAACATAATTTCAATTTCACACAAGAAAGTCAAACGAGAAAACATGATGTCTTCAAAACAAAACAAAGCAGAACTGACACTGGAAAACATTCACTCTTCAACAGACTCATGACTAATTACAACATGTTTCTCAAAGATCCAAGATACCTCGAACACCAACCAACTGATGACAAGCTAAAGCAGATCATTCGTGATAACATTGTATCAAACGCAAATGTTCCTTAAGTTTGAGTTTTTTTCTACGTCACTGGAATGTTCTTTGGAGGAGGGAGTAACATGGAGCTTACCTCCAGAAGCATCAACCAGTGACCTTTTTCTCAAACAACATTAAATCATTGACAAAATTTAAAATTTAAATTAATGCTCAGATTACAAACATGACAAACATTTTATATTCTTCTCATTACTTAAAGATTAATATGAAACAGCTATGCACACAAATATAAACACAAGATAAAAAACTTAAATCTCAAGCTAAAATTGTTAAAAATATTCACATTTATTAAAATATTGATTAGAAAATCTGATTTGCTGCAAATTAAGGGTGTAAACCTGTTCATGTAGCNAACTAATGAATGTCAGCCACGATGATTTACATAATTCGTTTTAAGGCAGTGAAGAAGAAAATCTAATTCCATTTATTTTCCAACAAATATCTACATAGCTACATAACATTCCTCAATCGATAATGTTTTTCAAACTGAAAATTGAAAATAAAATATTTACGCATTGACGCTTCGTGTGCTTCAAAGAATAAGAAGGAAACAGGGATTTAACAGTTACAACAGGCGAACGAGAGGAAAGCTTGTTAAAATCTTTTTGGAACAAAAGCTATTGATCTGAAAAAAGCACGAGATACTCTGAAAGATTATAAATAAAACCAAAAGCCTCAGCTGGAAACCATTTTATTAGCTACCTTCCTTCGCATTCAAAGGTGCTACAAAGTCTTACGTTACCATAAAAAAATAAAATTCATATTTAATCTCCATCGTTTTCCTTCTCATTTGAAGAAGCTTCTTCATTCAATTCCGATCACGTCACATTTTTAAGATAAAATTACGTTCAACATCAAGATATTTTATCACTCATAAATCTGGCATAAAACTGATATGGCGAAAATAAATCCGAGTATCGTGCAGCACGTATCATCGTCTGCAGATAAACTGAAATGAGCGAGATTTTCACTTGAAAAACCATGTGTTCGTAATGCCTTTTTGTTTGCTAACAGTTGAGCTCTGCTAGTTTGTTTGGTTTTTCCGTTTTTCCGCTGTAAAATCTGTTGAAAGTTAAGAATTTTTTTCCTTTCTTTCTTTGTTTGTTCTCTCTTTACAAAAGTAATATCGAAGGAGATACTAAACTAAAAAAATTGTCACAAATGTTCATATTGAAAGTATTGCAAGATATTAAAGATCATTAAGCTTTTTTCCTTCTCGCCCGTTCCTGCATGACTTGAAGGGATAAGAAAAAAGAATTTATGGGATATTAGAACTCAGAAGATGTCATCTCATATTGAATAATTTATGAATTTGTAGGAAAGTTTTGTAACCTTCTTCAACATGGAGTTAACAACATGAATAATTGAAATTTAATCACAAAGTTTAGTTACTGACGAATTTAGAAGTGACAAAACCGCAGATGGACCCACATTATATAAAATTTTCCTTTGCAAGCGAGTCAAGATTCTTTGAGCAACAAAGTCTTGCTAAAATTATATTCTTACATTATGAATGATGGAAAACCAAAACATTGAAGCTTTGAAAAGGATTCCTTTCTTTAATCGAAAATAAATTGAGCTCATCCAGCTTTGAACCCACAAAAGCACCCACAAAAAAGAAACTTTTGCTGTAAGTTTCTCCTCAAATATTATGAAAATTCTTACGAAAAGGAAAATATCTTCAGTAGGTTAAAAAGAGGAAACATAATCCAACGACAATATAAAATATTCAAAGAAATTTGTTCACAATGGAAAAGTCATTTATTCACAAACACAAATTTATTAATTTCACTTCAACAGGGAAATGTTTTAAAATTTCGTGAAATGTAAAAGTTTTTCCTGTCTTACTTACCTGCTTCATTCAAATAACACAGAAAAAAATGTTTATTTCTCAATTTGAGTCAAGACTTGAAATCATTGGGAACGGAACAATTTTTAATCTCAAAAGCAAACATTTTTCTTCTTGCATCGAGCTAAAAATAAAAATAATATAAAAATTCTTTTAGTGAAAAGAAAATTCTCAAGCCTCCCTTAACCCTTTTTTCCAGCTTACATCGTAATTTAAATTGCTTGAATTTCATAAGAAAAAATATTTTTAAACACAAAAATTCCTTTTTTTCCACTTTTATTTCTTGTGAGTCATGAACAAGAATTTAACAAGACTTCTTGCAGGTACGAGAAGATCAAAAATAAGTTCATGGCATTCTTACTAATGGATACGTCTTAAGTTGAAAAGAAGCAAAATTTGTAGATGAGGGGAAAAGAAAACATTTTTTTCTCTTTAAGCCGGAAGGAATCATGAAACACAATTTATCGTAACAAGAACAAAATCCTCCCACTCATTGAGAGTTGTAAACCAACAGGAAAACAATTAGAACACAAATTTAAATTTGTTATGAACTTTCATTGCCATTTGCATTCCACATGTCTACTTTTGATCTTTGTTTTGTGTTTTTTCAAAGAGAAATAGAATAAATTTTAATTCATTCAACTTGTGGCAATAAAATAGAAGTTCAACTTTCACAAAATTCGAAATTAAATCATTTTGTTGAGTTAACTGTACGGTGTCTGTCACCAGGTTTGTATGTAGCTTTCAAACGTAAAGCAAAATGAAGTGCTCACGAGAAACAATAAAGCATTTTGACATTTAATAATAAATAAATACGACAGTCGTAGAAGGTTAAAAATACTCAGTCGAAGCTTCTCGCAATAAATATATCATCGCTTTCCAAAAATAAATAAATTTCATCCACATGAAAGCTTCTTCTTTTTGTTTTCATTTTATCAGTTCAAAAACCTTTTTCGCTTTACTCGACACATCAAAAACAATTTTTTCTTGTGTTTTGTTTTAGAAGTTTGGTTTTTATGAAACTCAAAGTAATGCCATTTAGTCGTGAACGGAATTTTCTTTAAGCTAAAGTCATTTTCATCGGAAACAGATTGAGAAAAGCTTCATAAAAACATCAGAAGGCAACATTTATTTAATCCTGACGGGAGATTAATCGAAAAAAGTTGGCATTAATATAAAATCTACTTCAAAGCATAGACTTGGGAATCACCAACGTTCCTGTTTTCAATTGACAGCATAACTTCTATTTGACTCATACTTTGATATTTTCACATATTTTATATTCGTTATAAGTATAAAATAATTTCCTTCTCTGCTAATAAAAATTAAACAAATTCCTTTGAGGCATTCATAATCAACACCAGAAATTTCCATCATTCCTAAGAATAAACTTTTTTAAAGCAATCTACATTAAAAATGTGAATTATTCATAATTTTACTTTGACCTACTTTCTGAATGATGTTAATGTAAATATGTTGTATACGTATTTATGTTGTTATAAATATCTAACCAGAGACGTTGATGTGAACATACATTTAAAGCAAATAGAAAGGATACATTTGCAATGATGAATGTCGATGTTAAGGAATTCATCCTTCTGTTTTTGGAAGAAAAAAAACATTTAATTACCTTGAAAACTACTAGTTAAAGGCTGGGAAAAGGCAGAGAAAGGCAGCATACATAAATATATTTTCGAACAGTAAGCATGAAACACAGAAAACTGCTAAATAAACAGAAAGCAATTGAAGAGCAAACACAATATTTAAGATGTTAACCCCACAAATATCATTTCCAACGACATAAATACATACACACCAAAACTTGATGTGATGGTGAGAAATATGGGGGCGGTGAAAATTCGACAAGCTTGCATTAATACTTTGCCATCCCACCCATCCAAACTCAAAGAAAAACTAAATAATTCAAGTTGAATTTTCTTGAACTTCTGAACACACTTAATTAACTCACTCACTCATATACATATGCTTATTTATTCCATCGATCATTTTCAACAGCACACGAGGCATACTATACCGTTCTGAACGTGATGGCTGTAATTAAAACACCTCCAAAGGCAATTAGACGCGATTACTTTTGTATTCATAACAGACAAGCAGAAATTCTTCTTCAACATTTATAGAAGTCTATGAAGAACTTTAGTTCTGTGTTTGACCATGAAGAATTCGTGGAGAAAAATTTAATGAGGTTGAAGGTTGATACTTGAATCAAGACTTTAACAAGGTTGATGCTTGATTGGAGTTATTTATTTTCAACTTTTTCATTTGAAGCTTCTATTCAAACTTTTTCTTATTCGTCTAATTAAATTAAATATATCCGTTGAAGACTGAGATACTTAAAGCAGTGTTAGTTAGTTAAAAGCAGAGGTTGGGGTTAGTATTGATTATATTTTCGTCCATGAACTTGCAAAGTTGCTTAGGGAAGCATTTTCAACTCCTAGCCCTGGTTATTTGCTTACCTAGTTAGGAATACTTTTAATATGCTTCCTTAATCAAACATGCATAAATTATGTAAAAATTTTACAACTTTAAATTTTAATATTTATGCTACTGTTACAACACGAATGGGTAAGAAAACTGTTGAGACAAATGAAGGTTAAATCCGCTTGTTACCCGTTGACCTTTTTTACTGCAAAATGAAAAATTCTTAACATCCAAAAAGTAACATAGATAAGGGCAAAAAAAAGGTCCACAAGAACGGAAATTTTCTGCAAACGTCATACATTTTTAAAACTTTCATTAATGGAATGTTCTAGAAAAAACGTGTGTCGTCAGTTTGTGTACATTATGATCAGTTTGTGGCTATTATCAACAAAATCACCCAAAAAATTGACTTTCACGAAGGGTAGCATTGAAAGCCGTTCAATATTGAATATCCTTAATGCGAATTGACATCATTCCGACAGCAAATTTGTGGTGTAAGAATAACTAACTCGAACGATAAGAACGGTCCGTGGAAAAGTTTATTAGTTTATGATAGCACTCAACCATAAAACATGTGTCGAAAACCATTATTACAATGCTTTCAGACATCGGTCGTGAAAATGATAAAAACATACATTTTCACAATCAAAATACATTTTTCACAGAAACTACCTCATTGAGAAAATGTCAAAGAACTTTGATTATCACTGCTTTGAAATTAATTCGTGTCATACGAGGTGACATTATCAGTTATATCGATCTTCAACACCACCGGATGCTAAGAAAAGATTAACAATGTTGAGTAATGTTCGTGTCACACGAATTGATGTAGGAAAAATAAGTTCAATCAGTGATCCTTTTCGTTTGTCCCTTTTTTCTTATTTTGAGCAAGCATAAAGCTTTGAAATTTACATAAAAATATAAAAAGAAGATTCTTTCATTGTTGGGTGTGAGAAGTCAAAAAGATTTTTGGGGAATAAATTACGAAAATCATAGAAAGTTCTTATAAATGTGTGTAAGTAATTCGAAAGAATTTCATTTTGACATTTTCCCACGTAGCAATAATTAACTTTATACGACTGTAAGGCATGGTATTAAATTTTTTCTGATAAGTGTCACACATAAATACAGATTATTACCGTGATTCCGCTAAAGTGTGGGAGTTTATTTGAAAAGAAATTTCAGTAAAAGGAAAAGCACTGCGGATTAGAACAAAAGATTTTTTTATGATTTTAACGTTTTCCTTGATTTTCTTACACTGGATGAAAATGAGAATGAACGATTACTTTGTTTAAGCTTCAATTTGCTTTCATAAAGATATGTTTAAATTATGCTTAAAGCTTATCACGAGCACGTTTTTGAAAGTTTAGTCTCTCGTGAGAAAAATGAAATTCTTTCGCTTCTGTTTGTTCACAGAATTAACTCAGCTGCTGCTGCTGCTGCTGCAACGCACGGTGGAACGAAAAGAGGGATTACGATAGATTAATTTAGCTTTATTAAAAAGTTTTTAGTCTTGGCTTAGCTTTCAACCCTTCTCGTTTTCGAATTCACTTTCGCCACTTCTTTTTCTTCTTTTTTCGTGATACCATAAAATAATGTTCAGATAATAAAATTTTCTCATAATCCTCATCGTAAATTGTGAATCTTCTTCATCTTCTTCCCGTACACGGTTTTCCTTTTTTCTTTCCTCTCAATTTTATTTTCCTATTCAGTCAGAAATATCGATGTTAAATTTTACTTTTTTATTCTCTGTTAAAAACCTCATTCATGTTAGGAATAAGAAAAGAACTTTTTCGCTTCTCATATTGTGGCGCATGATTTCTAATTTTTCCTCAAACTTTCAACAAGAGAGGAAAATTCTTGTGGAAAATTCCAGTGGAATGAAATTTCGGAACAATTTCCCTACTCTCACCGTAAATTGCTAAGCGAGATTAAGAGCTTTAAAACTTATCAATGAGAAAGGAAAATAAAGTTAAAACAACATTTGGTTGTAGGAATCATCAACATATTAAAGAGGCAGTTACTTAAATAAGTACACAAACATATTTAATTTATGAAAAACAAGAAATAAGTTCTCTCTCGAGTATAAATTTTCCAGAGTAGCGACACGTTCCAAGTTTTCAAAGTATTTTTATTACACCTTCCTGGGGTCAACTTCATTAAACATTACGCAAAAATATTTCAGCTCGTGCACGAAGAAAAACAAACAAAAAACAAAAAAAAAAGGTTAAACCACGTAAAACACCATAAAAATAGAGCGCAGAGATAATTAAAAGAATATTCCTTCCTCAGTCTATTTAAATTGCAGATGAACTGAATTATTCGGGGGAGAATGGAAAATCCATCGCTACACGCGTCCACCTTCGCATTATTATCAGTCGTTGTCGATAAAAAATATAAACATCCCCAAAACACTCTCCGATACTGCTTTCCATCTTTTTTTATAGAAGCGTTTTACATTTGGTATGAGGTCGGAAAATAAAATTAAACATCCATTTGGCTTCAGATGAATTTTCGCACATGGCATCGTTTCGCATTTGCAAACACCGCACACAAAAATAAATCAGTAAAGCCTTAAAATACGTGTTTTGGAAAATAAAAAACCGTCCGAACGTTTTGTGAGTTTTTTATGTTTTATTTTCGTTTCAATGCATGACGTTTCCACTCGTCCCCATTGAAAGATTTTTTTTGGAAAGGTATCTGATAGTCGAACACTTTACATTCCCATGCGCTTAGAATTCGACCATTTCCACCCATTTTCTCGATGTTGTAACCTCCTGATTTTCCAATTTTCTCCATGCATCATAAAAAAATCAAATTGTGCTATGTTGTGTTCGCCCTGTGAATGCGAAACATGTCGAAGAGGGTTCGAAAGTTGAAAAAAAATATCATAGAGAGCATCATAAACGATGCACGTAAACGAGGTCATTTAAACTATGATATCGACTTGCGGAGGGAGAGTAAACTGAAAAACTTTCCGTTGTTATTTACGTTTGCATAAAAATAGCGAATTCAGATTGTTTTACTTTTACAACGCGATTCTCTTTAGTTCATCATTTTTATTTTATGATTTTTATGATTCAAATATCTGAACAATTCTTTACCTCACCCTCCACCATACATATTTGCCATATCTATAAATGTTTATTATTGAATCTTCGCGAGATAATGTTTAACTTTTTCTTTTCTGCTTTAGTGCAGTTGAAGTGGAGTCGTTGAAAAAGCATCAGAAGCCATAGGGCAGAGAATAAACACACAAAGTTGTGGAACACAAACATGTATTTATTTTTTTATGCGTCCCGTGTGAGTTTTGTTAATGTAGCAAGTTGCAAAATATTTTATTTAGGGTTGCAGATAGTTTTTGTGGGATTTGGTTGTGCTCCACAAAAATTGCGTTAAAAGTCATGCAAGACTGAGGTGGATCTATTAAAGTGGAATAAAATATCTAAGTGTTGTTTAAAGATCTGCTTTAAGTCCTTTGAGAGGTCTTTGTTTGTGAAATCATGAGAAATTTTCGTGGAATAATCACATGTGGTTGTTTCATGCTATTTCATTTATTTACCGCAGTTATATTTCTATTCATTTGTATTTATATCCATATGAAATAATCAGAGGAGAAGAGAAAACTTTTACTGCTATAAATTACTGACAGACACTTCTTGAAACTCATTCGCATGCATAAAAGAAAGTCAGCTCGATCATGCATATATATTTATATAAATAGAACATAAATGGGTAAATTATGTGATCCAACCACACAAAACAAGTCACATCAACAAGACAAGAATAAGAAACATAAAAATCACTTCATATTTCGAGAAAGCCTTTCTTTCTTCTTCGTTCTAAACATATTTATTTACTATGAACAAAATAGAACAACCGAAAAGAATTTATTCAAAATAACAACAAAGCACCACGTATTCAAATGAAAAATTACTCTCGAAGGAGAAACTCAACAAATAAATGTTTCGTAAAATAAAATTGGTAAATAATGTAGAAACGTTATTAAATATTTATAATCTCATACAGAGGGAGAGGAAGAAAAATCTTATGTTGAGTTGGAGGGAAAAGGAAGCAAAAGCACTTCATAAATGATACTTTCTCTGCCTTTAACTTTACTTCTTTCCGTATTTCTTTTTATTTTCCCTAGACGTTCGTTGTTACAACAGAAGAGGCAATTTTCCTTTGTTGTGTAGATTTCCTTCGGTTATTTTTCCTTTATCTTTATTCCGTTTTGAATCAGACTTGAAAGGTTATTTATTGGAAAATATGTGAATTTTTTTCCTCTTTCTCTTCACTTACGCTATGATTCAATCTGGGTTGCTGGAAGTGCTCTCGAAAGCTTTAAGTTTTAAATCAGAATGATTGTGTAGCTCTATGAATCTTCCAGAGATAAATTCTCTCTAAAATCATGTGAACAAATTTTCTTTAAAAATAAATGCACATTAAATGAGAAGAACAATTTTTGTTCATACAATCTCGTAGATAGAGAACAGAAGGGCATGAAAGCTTCACGTTTCTTTTAACGATCTATAAGCATATAAAAAAAAGGTTCAGTCATACATAACTTATAATTCAGAACGATTGCATTAAAGAATCATTAAGGATATGAATTTAAAATCATCCCTTGCAATTCCCCGTTCACCTAACCCATCTATTCACAAAGGGATTTTAGATGGAAAGTAAAATTATAATTTATAAGACAGTTAGCCTCATTTCATTCTTCTCTCATCCCCTCATACTCGTCACAATATTATTATTTGTAGAGAAAAAAAACAAGAAGAATACTTCCAAGTTTATGAACCATCTTCTCTTCCTTTTTTCGTAATCATAAAATATTCAAAATCATTCCCTTGACGCAACATCTGTTAAGGATATTTTACGTGAACTTTAAACTGTCATGAGATGTGTGAGCTTTCTTTACAGTGATATATCAAGAAAAGCGTTCTGACAACAATAACAACGACGGTGACGATTAAAGATGGAAAAAGTTTGAATTTATTTTAGATGCATTCGATTTCTTCATTCAAATAGAAAATATGAAAATCAACATTCATATCGACATCTTAAGCTTCGATCATGCTGAAAAACTTCATCCCTTAAACTATTTACTTCAATCATCAGACAAGCTTAGTTTATAAACATGAACAGCTTGCATATCAAAGACTCCGTCGTTTGAATCCATCTCTATTACTTATTCAATAAATGAGTTTTTCTTACATCTCATTTTCAAAAGATTCACCATCAGAATATGAAAAAAAGGAGAGGAAAAAGAAGAATCTTCAACGATGTAATCTTGATGGATTCACTTCAAACATTTTTCATAAACTTTAATAAAAAGTTTATTTTCCTTCCTTTTCTTCCCGTCACAAACAAAAATTCTTTTCTTGCTTTTCTCATCGTTCAACCCGAAATCTTTTCCTTTCATTTCTTTATTTTTGACCTTAAGTTTGCTACTGTCAATCATTCTTCTCCGGAATGGAATGTAAGATGATCATTACCAGGGTACGTGATGCAATTTTTGGAGCGCTAATAAATCTTTCGACTCATCGACCCACCAACGACTCTATCGTCCTAAGCAAACATCGAACATCGTTCAAACTTCCCCCCATCTTTCAACTTGCCGATGAATTATTTGTTGGGTTGATGTTAGAAAGAGTCAATAGCCATGATAACAACAAAAAATATGGAAATATCTTTTTCGTTTGCCTCTTCTTTGGTTCCGGGTTGTACATATTCAATGTGAACAGAAAAGATGGAAAAATGTTTTCTTTACAAGCACAAAATCTACCCAATTTCTTCTCTCTCCATCATCAACAACACTGATGCTGATTTATTTTTATTCAAAGTCAAATTTTTTGAAAAAGGAGAACGAAAGTTTGCCTAATGTAAAAACTCTTGTAGTTGTCTTTTAGCCTTCAATTAAAGGTTTTCAACGTATAAGCAAGGGGCGCTTTTATATTTATTTATTCATTCGTTCATTCATTATTCATATCCTAAATTAGTAAAATTTGGTCAGAATGAAAAGTAAAGCAAAAATCTTCTTCAAAAGTTTTCTTCTCGATAAAGTTTTTGTTGTTTTAAGCGAGGCTCATTCGAGCATTAAATTTGTAAATTGTTTTTATTTCCACCTACAAATTCACGTCAACTTCTCTCGAAATTTTTTACTTTAAGTTTTTTTTTAATTTATTGACGTTTGAGATGTTTGAGTGAGACAATTAAAGTTGGGAAATTAAAGAATTTTGGAGGGGAATTTCATGTTATCAGAGATGATCACATCCCTAAATTTGACTGCAGTACATTCAACATATTCAAATATTCACAATTCAAACTTTTCTGGATAATTATTATTACATATTACTTTCACTTCCATGCACACGAGGCGCATTTTCCTTCCTTATTTTCCTTCTTTACTTAAATATCATCGAAATATCTGAAAAAAAATTGAAGAAGCTTTTCCCAGGGTAAATTGATTTCAACTCCATTTTTTCACCCTTGGTAGAAATCGAAAATAAAATAGATAATCAATTATGTTCAATGATAAAGATTCTTCTCTAGAGCTTCTACAATCTAGTTCAATGTGTATGCTGTCAGAGGGTAAAAATCGAAGAGGAAAGAAAACGGAGGAAGTTATTATATTTATACGTAGAAAGTTTCTTTCGAAGGATTTTCTTTTGTAAATAACCAAAGCAACAGAACAAAAAGAAAGCGATGAAAATTTTAATGAAATGGTTCATCCATTGAGAATTGCAAAGAGACAAACATCGAGTTTTGAACAGGATGATATAAATTATAAATCCTTCTTATGATTGCGAAAATAAACTTTAATAGATGCTTTATGGAAAAGTTTTATTATAAATTTTAATCCTAAGTAGATTTACTTCATTAATGAAGTTTTAAGAAATATGTAATTAAAATTTATTTTTAGTGAATTAAATGTCTAATATCATTAATGAAGATTTACTTTTAACTAAACATCTTTTAGAAACTTTTCAAACATTTTTTCTTTGTCGACAAAGTTAAATTTTCCATGAAATGTTCCTATATTAAGAAAATTTTAATTTCCCTACAAACAACAAGTTGTTTTCTTTTCATTTTTCGCGTTAATCTTTCTTCATTATGCGACAAAAAAAACAACACATTAACATTAAAACATTTCTTCTTTTTCTGTAATCACTCGACGTGAAATTCAATAGACGACAGAAGCTTTTTGTAAAGCTTCACTCTCTTTGACTTTTTATCTCCGACATTTGATTTTTGCGAAAGACGAAAGACCTCACTCACCTAAAAGCTTTTTCACGACTTCTTTTACTTTCTTTTAGATTTCTCACAGTCAATGACGGTAATTCAATTTACGAAAGTTATTCATAAAAAAGTTTGCAAATTTCCCAAAGCAGCTTTTGAATGCTTGTTTTGTAAAACGAGCTAAATGAGGGTAATCAACATAGTGGTTTTGTCACCTTAAAGCATTTAAAAGTTTAAATAGCTTCAAACAGAATCAATCTTTAATCCATCACCCACACACCTGATTTCACTTGAAGTCAAGCTTATTGTAAAGTTATAAATGTTGGAATTGCTATTGAATGAGTCAAATGATTGGATTTATACGTTTCATTTTATTTCCTTTTAAATATTTATTTTTCTAAACGTAAATAACTATCTGGGAGCTTCTCAGAAATTCTGATTCAATTCGAAAGAATTTCAAGAAATAATTTTTCGGTTAAAAGAATTTTCTATTCTGCTTTTCATTTTCTTTCATATATTTCTAAAAAAAAAGGAAAATTCTTTCAATTGTTCACTATTCAATCCATCACAACAAAACTTAGTCGCATCACGTTCACTGCTGTGAGGTGAACCAACTTTTCCTTTTTTCTATCTGTTTTCCACGCTCGTGTTCTCTTAGAAAAATCAATTAACGACTTGTTTCTCTTAAAAATTGTCTTGTTTATTTATTTGTCTTCTGCTCGTGATCAATCTTCATTGCTTTCTGCTTGTATCCGAAAGAAGAAAAAGAAGTACAAAAAATACGAAATAGATTTCAACCATCAACCCCTCCTTAAAAAGAGAAGCCAAATAAATAATAAAAGTACACGATGCCGACCGAGAACAAATAGGGAGACGTAAAAAAAAGACAAGAAAAGCGGTACAAGAATAAGAAGGATATAAAGATAAGACAAAAGGCATCTCCAAATGAGACCAATCCATTTTACGAGATTCTTTTTATTATTAAATTTATTTCGTTAGCTTTGCTGTTCTCACATTCATCCTTTTTTTTCTTGTTGTTCTTTTTATTCTCTCGCCTTTGTGTCTTCATTGCTCACACCGCTCCTGATAGCTTCGTGAACAACTTTCCTCCTGTTCTCGTGCTGATTTTCTTTCCCTTCGACTTTCGTTGGTCGCATTCACTTGAACACTGAGCCAGACGAGAGACATAAAACAGACGAAAAATGGCTTTAACCCTACTTACAGTTGTTCACTTTTTTTTATTCTACTTGACTGAAGGAGAGTGAAGGGAAAGAAAAAGATGAAAGAAAAGTATTCAATCGCTGCAAGAAAATCTCAAATCGTGACGAAATTGTCTCTTTATGTTGCTGTTTGATACTTCAGTTGAATGGAAACCCCCTTAAGACGTCTTACATCTTGGCGATTCTCGTCGTCATCATCATGTACATAATTGAAATAGAGATAAAATTAAATAAAATCGAATTTATTTTTGTGTGAATCTTGCACAATAAAACAAAAGATTTCTTTTTTATTGTTGGATGAATTGAATGAGATTTAAGACATGTGTTTATTGATTCAATTATTCCTTAAGTTTTATGTTTCAACCTGTGATTTTTGATAACATTCAAAGCCTTCTTAAGAAAAAATTTCGAAGCACTTCCAAGTCAGTATTATTCTGCTTAGGAAGAAAGTAAATAAAAAACCTTCAATCAAGCAGCACTTGATATGTCGAGCATTGTTCAACAATTTATTCTCAATGTTTTATACATAATAGAATGATTGCATGTGTGAGGTTCTATTAATTGAGTCTTTAAATAGCATTCAATTTTTTCAAACTAGATAGACAAACAAACACGGAAAACCTTCAATTTTGTAGATATGAAACAATCTGATACAACACGAAATGGTGGAAAAAGTAATGAACATTAAAAATATGTTTTGTTTCCAATTGCGTATAATGACACAAGAAAAAAAGCTTTTCTATTGTTTGCTATAACACTTTCTATTCATTTTTTTCGCTTTCAATGCATTGCGATTATTCCAAAAGCTTTTAAATCGAAATTTCAGAATCACCTTCCTCAGCTCTAAAAGCTTTTGCTGTTCATTCCCACCTCACTCTTTCTCACTTTTGCTTATTTGCTTGCGACCCTCTCTCGATGACTATAAAAAAAGAAAAGCAAAAAACCGCCATTAAATATAATATCGCGAACGACAACAACAATAGGAGGCTTCACAAAATGGCATCGTGGTGAAGAAGCAATAGCAATTTGACAGAAAGGCAACAATACACATTTATGGCTGGCATGTATTCTTTGCGATGAACAGTGAAGAGGAAAGATTGCGAGAAGGTTGAGAGTGCGAGTGGGAGTAGCAGCAGCACCATCGGGGTCGTTTCAAAATGTGTTTTCAAGACTTCTTCTCGTCTTCTCAATATTTTATAGGTTTTTTCTTATTCTTTCCCTCCATCGCTTGGTGAAGTTGTTTTTCTTTCGGGTGCCACCATATGATACCTCAAGTTATTGTCACTCCTGGTTATGTTTCGCTTAAATTTTTTATTTGCAAGAAGCGCTCTCGATGGTACTTAAGACAATCTGCTGTGTGGGTTTTCTGTTCAATTCCTTTGCCTCTTCTCATTTTATAGAAGAACGATCCATTTGCTTAGTGATAACAGCATGGTAAACGCTTGTCGATATGTTGACAGCGACTTTTGATAATTTGACAATTTTTGTGTCACTGTTCATCGGTGAAAGTTTTATGACTTTAGCGTGATTAAAGAGAAAGCTTCACTTCCAAAACCGTTTGTATGTTTGTCACTGAATTAAATTGAAATTTTATTGCCAATAAAATATGTCACATGATATCTAAGAAATTTAAATTCGAATTGAACCTTTTTCTTGTCATTTAATGATAAGTGGAGAAGTGGGAAACTTTTATTTATACTGAAACCTTCTCTCCCTCTTTGTCATATTAAAGAACCGTTTTTCGCGATAAAACTTCGTTTCATGTTAAATGTTTATGAGCGTTGTGTATGTGTATGTGTGTGTGTGTGTGAGTCTGACATTTATGTCAATGTTTGATGTTGTAAAAAGCGTATGAGAAAAACAATTTCCGTTCTTGAAAGATGAAAGTTATTTTCCTTGAAAGCTTAGAGGTGATGAAGTGTAAAAACTTTTTGTTGCTATGTGTAGGTAAGATGTTGGATTATTTTCTGATAACATTGCCGCTTCTACATTCGTGACAGAATTTCAAGAATTTCCCCATGAGAACCTCAAGCTACATTTATTATTAAACATTCTCGTGGGACGAATAAGAGCAAAAGTTTTGAAGAGTAGCAAAAAAAAAACATTGAAAACTTCATAATTAAAAGCTCTTTTTTTGACTCAACCTCTTTACCACTTCTCAAATTAATTTTCAAAGCACAAAGTAGAAGAAGTTCGTTTAATCTTCTTTAATATTATTCACCATTACTTATGTTATATAAAACAGAACGATTACATTTGAAATTAAAAACTTTTCTGTTACTTCTCACTTTGCTTCACATCTTTATCAATTTCTTTTTCATCATCAGCACTTAGTTTAAAAAATGTTCTGTCATTGTAACTATCTCAAGCAGTTTTTCATTCCCTCCTCATTCACTATGAATGGCAATCTTCAGTCGCGAGATGAACGTGAAAAACGAAGTAAAATGTATCCAAGAAAAAAGTAAAAGTTCGATAAACTCATTCATCTCATTTTATAGAACGTTTGGTGTTAAATAAAATAAACTTGATGTTCCTGATGCTTCTTTCACTGAAGACAAATCTCTGAAACGTTTCTTCATTCCTTCATTGAGAACTTTTTCTTTCTCGCTTTTGTTATATTTTATCGGTGAAGATATCAGAAGCGGGGAAAGAAAATAAAAATTATCTTAAGAGAGCGATGCCAAGTCACAGCATTTCTTTAACATCATCGTGAATTAATTTAATTTTAATTACAAGAAGATGAGATTTGAAAATTTCTTCCAATAATTATTTATGTGGTTGAATGTCAAAGATATAAAAATATCAACATGAAAGGGTTGAAAATATCTTCAATATCACTTTCATTAATTACTCAGCAAATGAAAAGAATTTGACATTTTCAACTATCTTCTTAAAGAAACTTTTTCCACTTAAAATAACAAACAAAGAAAAATCTTTTGTTACGACAAACTTCATGCTTAAGAAAATCTTTTTTCGTCACCTAAAATGGAACATCTAAGGATGAAAATAACAGATGAAAAGGGAAGATTACATGCCACAACTACGGAAAATTGACAATAACTATAAAAGAATGAAACTTTTCGGTTCAGTACACTTTGGCACTTTAATGAAAATCCCTCGTACCATGAAATATAATGGCAGCTAACCAACTCTTACCAATGGATGTGAAATTATTAAATGGCTTTCTTGTATTGTCTTTCTCCTTCTCACTTATTCACTTGTTTAACTTGTCTTACTTTTAGCTATGAAGATCATACAACAATGTGGAGAACAAAACATAAACACAAAATAGAAAGCAGAAGTCATTCAAAGAAAATTTTAATTGGACTTTTATCTGAGTTGTCGAGAATGACTTTCATTTTTAACCCTGCACTATAAAAAGGAAAATAGACAACAACAAAGATGCCTCATATTTACTTTCCCCTGCAATCTTCACCCTCCCCCGCTTTTAATCTTCTTTCGACTCTCAATGGCTGTTGAAATGAAATGTCTTAGCAAATATATACAAAATGAATTATGAAAAGGCGCTCATTTAAAGAAGCTCAAGTAATTATTTGTCCTTAGATTTACTTGCTCCTACCGCACTAATTAAAAGGAAAACCCTAAGATATGCTTCCATGAAGGAATAATAAAGAATAAGGAAATAGAAATAAAAGAGAAAAAAAAATCTGTGTGATTGGATTTGACTTAATTAATTTCTTTGATCTGCCTTTGGGGAGGATTAAGCGAAGCTTCTCCTCAAACACTGCTTAAAATTCAATGACAAATTTTTCCAATTACTTATCTATTTTCGACATTTCTTGGATATTCGTCTTCAATTCATCTCTCGCTTCTAGCGCAACTTCTCTCTTGTCATTGAAGTGAAAAACAAGGAGGGATGATGATGAAGAAAAAGATGGAAAAAGTGAAAAATATGCGCTAAATAAATAAATTGGAAATGGTAATTCTCTCCCTGAACATCGTCCCTGACAGCAAATTAGAATTAAGTTTTCTACAGCTAGCTAGCAACTCCCTTAAGCTCATTAACCTGATCAATCCCTCAAGTTTTTTTTTCCTTCAGCTATCCGCGCCCGTTGGTCGCATCACAAATTCCTAAATAGAAAAGCGAACAATCGAAGAAAATTCCTTCGAAGAAATGAAAAATATTTTAGATAGAAAATTTCTCACGCAACAAAACAGATACACACACACACACCTGAATCATCATCGATAATAAATTAAATTTTATCATTCTTGCTGATATTCCAATGGTATCGATAGATTGGATTTTATCAAGATTCCGTTCTGAATATTAAATACCAATTTTCTCTACTGAATCAACGGAAAACGTATCGAAATGGTTGGGGTGAATATCGAAACGATAGAAAGCGTTGTAGAGTGAAGGAAAAAGCCATAACCAGAGAAAGATATAATTTTATTATCGTTTTTTTTTTGCTTTCTTCTTTCCCTTAGTCGATTGTGTAAGGTGTGGGCAAAATGCCACCATAAAAGCCTCAAGGAAAGATTGAAAGCTTCACCATTTGGATATAAACTTTGATATAAATAATATTCGCATGAAGATGTTGATGGTTAAAAAAGAAGAAAGTAGAAACGAGCGATTCTCGTTTCACATTATTATTAATTAATTAAATGATATTCATGCAAGGGAAATTGATTATTTCAATATTTTTCCCATCGTAATCAATTTGATAAGGTCGTTTAGAGAAGTTCTATATCGCTTTCTTTCTCCCTCATTTTCTGAATGCCCCACGCTGTGTAGCCTCATTTAATGGGCAGGATGTTTTATGGCTGTTATTCCTTCTACTTTTGTTCTTTCGTCTATTGCTCCGGAGAGCGGAGAACAAAAAAGAAAAAATTCCGTACACGCCACAATGTTCAGGAAAGAACGAAGGAAAAAATGAAAAATTTCTTCATTCAATAAATTCAATTTTAGCGTGAACCGCGTGATAAAATTTTCATTAACTAGGTAATTTTCCCTTGACTCCTGTTGACTCCCTTACAAGCAGAGAGGGAGTTAAGTGAATTGTTTTACGAGTTGTTGAAAGTTGAATAGCTTGAACTCTTTTTTAAAACGTCATTCCGTTTATTCTTTATGATGGAGTGAAGTTCGTTACACTCACTCTTATAAATTGTGTACAATTTGACAATAGAGAAATATAAATGAATTCATGTGCAGTTTAAGTCGTCTTCATTTCTTCGAAATTAATTTATTATGTTGTCATTTGTGGCTTTATGAAGAAGTTCTTTGTGTGTTTTATTATTTAATTTTATCGCAAGATTATTGCAATGATTATTGCATGACTTTAATCTTTGGATCATCTCAGGGAAATTAAATATGAAAATTGAATTGGGAATTAACATGAAAAATGATTTCGTTAGATGTGACTTGAAATTCATCTAAAGAATTGAGCTTAAATGAAATGAAACTTGACTTTTGACATTGATGCTCTTGTAAAATGAAACTGTCTCAAGAGATTCAAAGCTTTTTTGTGCTTCAATTTCAGTTTAAATTATATTTATGAAAGGTTGTGATGATTAAAATGATGTTTAAGAATCCCTCAGTAAATTGAGCAGATTTTGTTTCTAAATACCTTAAAAAGGTTTCGTGAAAGAATTTTTTTGATCTCCCAAGTTAAAAGTTATTATCAAAAAAAAAAATCTGAAAGCTTTTAATTTCTTTTACGGTTGCGATCCATTTCGACTGTGAATTGATTATCCCAGAATTTTTTTTTCTTATTCACTCAAAAGGATTTGTTTCAATTCTTTAAAAAAATATCTCAACAAACAAGAAAAATTTAAGGAAACACCAACTTAAATTTCATGAATAAAAAGAAGAAATAAATTTGATGTGGGCGTTGATAACGACAAAATATTCCGAAAATTTCTCATTCATGTCTAGTTTTATTGAAGGAAAAAACTTTTTCCTGTTTAAAACAGATAAGAATCAACAAAGAAGATGAAAGAAAAACAATTCCCATTGTTACTCATCAATAATCTGTTCATACTTCTTCGAAGACCCACTGCTTAGTCAGTCGTTATGCTTATTATCACCATCACAATATTGTTTAAAAACTTTGTTTCTTTATTACACTTTGATAATAGTCTCGTTTCTTTTCAATATCTTATCGATATCGTCTTTGAATACATAAAATCTTTCCTAAGCATCTATTTTAATGCTTTCCAATCTATGTAAGTAATCTCAAGACGAGAAATTGATAAAAAAAAGAAGGAATGAAAGCTGCTTAACGCTATAAATTCCCCTCATTGAAATGAATATTACTAGAACTTCTTCCCAAGACCATTGAAACTTTAATTACACAAATAAAGTATTTCTTCTTTCTCGTTTAGGATTCTTCCATCGAATGCAACTCAAAAAACATTGAAATTGCTTTTTACATGACGCCTTTTTACATTCTGAATTATTTCTCACCTCAAATGTTGAATTTAATGTTGTTTAAGACTTAAAAGGGGATTTTTTTTATCTCGCAACCGTTTAAATTTCTTTGTAATTAAAATTAATTGGCTTTCAGTTGCGAAAGTGTGTGGGCGAGGAAGATGAAGGGGAAAAAAAGGTATTTAAGGGAAAATAACCTTCCACCACTTCTACAGCTGTTTGCATTGGAGCTGAAATTAAACTCCTTTTTGCAGCACTTTAATGTGCTTCTTGAATGTGTGAATTACGATTATTGGTTGGTATTAAAGAAATTTATTTATAATCAATTAATTCCCACATGATGAGGATGAAAGTTTTCTTTCTTCGTTGATTGTTATCAAGATTATCCCAATTGGAAGACGTTGTTCAAGCTTGTTATTGAGATTGTGAAGGAAATGTTGTTCGTTTGCAAATTGCAATTAAGAATCATGTTGTTGTGCCCTTCTGTGGTTATAAAAATCATTTTTATCCTTTTCATTTTATTCTATCCAACTTCCAACTATGATATGATGCGGTTGGCATGAAGATATGTACTTATGTAAGCAGAATTTATCTTACTCCGTTGTATGCATGCAGAAAGAGATTAAAACAGAGGCCACAAAACATGCAATTCGAATGTGTGGTCAAGAACCATGACGACAGTTCTGTGAACAATTCTTTGAATTAGCCTTTAAAATATTTCACAACAATTAACCAGCGAAACCAACCAAGAGTCGAATGCCACAATCCTTCTGAAAGGGAAAATTTTCCATTTTTTCTCCTCTCTTTACACTTTTTACCACATCGTTGAGTATGGCGAAAACTATTTTAATCTGCTATTTTAACTGAACGAGACGACGGCTTAGTTATTCTGTTGTTTGCTTAACTTTTGTTCTCTTCACAGAGATCTGCAGCTTTTATTCATCAGGAAGCTGCAATAATGCACCACTTTTCACCTTTCGTAACTATTATGAAGAGACCTTTACAAAATTATGTTTCTCGGAATGTTTTTCTGTTTATTTTATAGTTTAATGAAAAAATATTCTTTTTCTTCCTCTCAGGTTTCCGGTGGATGGGCACATACAAGTTTTCAGTATATTTTATTTCATTTCCACAATTCTTTTAACATTTTCTCGCACGAAATATTATCATGAAAAAAAAAGAAAGTTAAGAGCGTAAAGCGTTCGCTTTTCTCGTTGCACAGTTTCGTTGGTAAATACAAAACGAAGAGATGAAAAGTTTGTTTAATTAATTAAAATTAAAGCTCTTGAGATGAGAAAAGTGAGTGAGAGATGGAGTGAGGGAGTGAGAGAAAAGAACTTTCAGCATGGTTAAAGAAACAAAGTAAAGGTGAGTTGAAAAGTTTTTGCATCTCTCAGCTGGCTTGAGGGAATGAAATGATTAAAGATTATGATGTTCCCATGATGCTGTACACACAGTGATAGTTTCGACAAAAGGATTAAAATGAATTTTAGCTTCTTTTATTATATCATAAAAATATAATTCGTACACTTTAAAAATAAATTTTTATTACTCTTAATAATATCAAAGTTTCATTTTTAATAGAGTTGTGAAGATTATCAACTTGATGATGTAGCTAACCATTGAAAGTTTCGTTCTGGTTAATGTTTCATAATTTTAAAAAGTAATTTAAATGATCAGAACTTTTCTCCTGATTTTTCTTCCTTCAATTATTGTCTGTATGAATGAAGACACAACAAACTTTCTCCAATTAAACAACTTTTAAATATTTTTCTTTACTTTTGTAACAAAATAAGAATTTTTCTCTCTTTTTTTCTTGATAATTGCTCATGGCGAATTAAATTGTCAATTATTCTTATTTTCCTACATTTTCTATCACAAGTACACTTCGGTATCATTTTTTATGTGACTTTAAAGTCGATTTCTTTAAACTTATTTATCTTTTTTATGTCTTAATCTTAAATATGGAAGAAAAGAAGCAAAAACTTGTTGAAAGTGATGATCTGTCAAAAGCTTGTGGAAAACTTTTTCTTAATTCTTTAAAATCAAACAAAAAATAAATTCGAACTAAATAATTAGCTATCATCAGCAATACATGTTTGATTGATTGATTGAAATGAAAATAAAAACGCGAAGATTTCGAGTAAAGTGAGGTAGCTTAAGGTAATTAATTAAAAGAAAATTTTCAGTTCTGACACATTTGATTGTCGGTTAACTTTTCTTTGATTTCACGTCTTAAAGCGTTGACGATTTGTTCAGTTAAAATTTGTTCATGTTCACTTTGATCAGCTTCTGGCTTATAAAATGAGTCCATTGATTCAATTGATGATGAGCTGTGTGTTTGTGATGAATTCAAGAGATTATCATCATGCTCCAAGGCATCACTAACAATCTCATCGACTTTAATCTCTGCGCACATCCAATCAGTCATCATTTCTTTTGATTCTGGTAAAAGAACTGCAATGTCGTGTTCAATCATGTCTTGCTCTTCATCAACATCTTCAAAATCGAATCGATTTATCATTGGATTGTCATGATTTTCATTGAGATTTTGATCTTGGTGGAGCTCTTGTTGATTTGTCAACTCTTCGTCGTCGGTAACGTCTAAGATTTTGGTGAACTTCATCTGAAAAGATTTGTGAGTTTCCTCCATTAGAAAACTCTTCATCACGATTTAAAGTTAAGATGAGTGAATGATTGTTTGAATGAAATGAAATAAATTTCATGATTTAAATGCAACAATTCATGATTAATGAATGGAACTCACAGTTTTATCAGTTTCATCCAAATAATGATACGAGTAAAGAGTGTCATGATGAGCTGCATTTGTTGCCACATGATCCAATTTATTCACTTCGTCATGTGAGCTAATACTATGTGATGACATAGCATTGTGATGTGAACTTGCAACTGAAGGAACCGCGCTGTTTCTTCTCGATAAAATATTACCTCGAATCTCAAAGTTTGGTGGCTCATCATTGTCACTTGCCGTTGAGAGATCAACAATTGAACGACGATGACCAACATTTTGAAATTGCTTCAAAATTGGATCTTCCTCGTACATTGATTTAATCTTATCTGAAAATCCGTCCATTTCAAGGAAGCTATCTTGTCGTGGAATCAAAAGTTGATGAAGATTATCCAAAACGAATCTTGTGAGTCCCCAAACAGTGTTCTTGACTGTCGGTGCAGATGCCAAAATTCTAAACAAACAAAAATGATTAAAATTGAATGTTGAAAGATGAAAAATTGCTTACTTGGTGAGTGATGCGTACACAAAGTCAACTGGCATTATAGCGGGAATTGAGAACGTTCTGAGAAGATAAAGTGCGGGTTGTTGGAACCATCTGAGCATTCCTTTGTTTGATTTCTTCATAATGTACTTCTCCATGGCAATGAGAACTGTGTCAGGCATTGAATTATCATCAAGCGCTGTTCCACGATGATACGAGCATGTTTTACATTCCGGATCATAATGTTCAGGTGTTCGATTCGAAAGAATGAATGTTGATTGAATTGCTAAACATCTCGTACAGCTTATCAGATGATTACGATGAAGGAAGTGAAGCGCATCATCGAATCCTTGCTGACACATATTCGAAAGAATTTCTGGCTTTGGTGGAAAAAGAATTCGCATAAAGCGATGAATATTTTCTTTTGATAATTCAATGCTTGTGTTGGCGAGGTTGACCTGAAAAATGTTAGGAAAGAGAAAGTGTTAAAAAATATTAACTTAGTCATGAATCAACCGAATAGACACAATGAATGACTTTCAACTTTTCTTTCGAAAGAATAAACTTCATAAAAACTTACATGAAATATTTGTGCGGTGTCATCACGAGGACAAATGTCAGATTCACCACCAAATGGACTGACAGTGACTGTGTTCTCATCAAGTGTTGGCAAGTTATCTGAGAAAGCTCCGTCCATGTAACGAACGCCGTGGAATTTTGGTGGTAAAATCCCAGAAAATCCAGGAATGAAGCAAGCACACAAAAGAGCATCAAGAAGATCTTCACGGCTATTAAATTGCGATACGATCACACTTTTCCCATCATAAACTCGCGTTAACGAGATGTGAAGCTTTCCATTAACACGCAAATGTGCGTCTGGTGGCAAATGCCGGGACATGCCTTCCAATAAGCACGTTTGGATGTTGAACGATGGTGAGAATGGGCCGAGTGAATGAGAGCGTGCTTCGTTTACAATTCTAAAGAAATCCGATGTCATTTCACCTGCAGAAAAGAAAACGAATAAGAGAAACATGTTTAATGATGATTTTGAGAGTTTTTCTTTCGTTTTATGATGGATCAGAGAATGGTGAAGGAAGAGTAGAATGACGCAACATTAAAAATCATAAATTATGGTGCGTAAAGTTTGTTTATGGTTGAAGGAAGGAAAAAGCTTGAGTGTCATGAAATTCTTTAATTCAGGGAATTCGTAATTTACGTATGAAAATGTAAAGAAATGGCACACGGCACATGGCACGCCGTTCGCCTTCTGTCAAAGGCATTTTCATGAAAATTTCATTAAATTCTCAAATCATGAACATGCTTGCGCTTGACTTCATACGCTCATCATAAAACAAGCAAAATACACGAAAAGCTGCTTTAGTCAGTCATCATCATAAATATTTTTAGAGCCAACATGAGAATGTTGGTGAGATTACTCGTAATGGAGATTTGCCGTACCCGCAAAATTAATTCCTTGTCAGAGTAAAAACAACAAGGAAAAAAAAGGGAAAAAGATTTCTCGCCACATTGCTTGAACTGTGTCTTATCAAAAGACCGAAAAACTCTGAATCTTAACACGCTTCAGCTACGTTGTAATCATCCACAACGAGAAAGGCGGAATAAGATAAGAAGAAGAATAAACATCTAATAAATTTTTCGCGTTTTTTTAGCTTCACTCTCGTGATTGTTGTTCACGTCATTTAAAATGTTGGTCAAATCAGAAACAGGAAAAAATAAACAGAAAACGACAAATGAAATAGAAACAACGTAGAAATGGTTTTGTAATCAATGAGATGGTGACCTTGGAGAAGGCAATCGTGCGGTTTATGACGTTAGTTTGTGTCGATTAACAATAATGGAAGAAACAGGCAAAAAAATAACTTTTCACCGATAATAGTTTCAACTTACATTCAATTATCTAACTAACAGTTTTATGATTCAGTTGATGTGTGTGTAAGTTTATCATTGGTTGTTACTCGATCGCATGACTCGCTCGTCACACTAAAAATCTCATTGTTGTCCCTTTTTTAATGTCTTGTACTATCAGGTAGAAATTTCCAGGAAATAATTAAGAACAAAGACTTTAATTTTTGTTTTCTTTTTCATTGTCGTCTCGTCCCTTAAATATGGAAATTGTGGGCTCGTCTTTCTTTTTTTTGGCATTTCTTATCTCATGATGTTCATAAACATAAAGTCACGTAACACAAAGACGTGAAAAATTTTGTCAACAACGCAAATAGAGATTACGAGGAATCTTATCAGTTAACCCCTTACCTCTCTTGAGGAATGTACACAATAGTAATTCACATAAGAAAAAAAATTAGCTCAGGAAATGACACGACATGCGATTGCTTTTAAATCAAATGAACGGCCACGACGCACTTACTCGAAAGTTGTCAAGGTCGCGGTCAAACACAACAAAAACTGATAACAAATGAAACATTCGAGATTAATGCGGCATTAACTGCCCTGTTAGCATCGGCACTCGCTTTGAAAATGTCGCCTCTCTATTCACAACAAGGTGTCGTCGTATCAAAGCGTAAATTAATGAAGGCGACGAAAGAAAGCCTCCCTCGCGAATGTCGAAAGCATACGATGAACACAAGGAGTGCCAGATGGATTAACGCGGATACTTCAGGCTAAGTGTTCGTGAAAGATTTATGGTCTGAGAGAAAATGAAAGAGAGATTGAGTGAGTGAGAAAGAGAGAGAGAAGCAGTAAGCAGGGAAGAAGATTTGCTTACAAACGTCAATCATTTTATCGCATCGCTCGAGCGTAAATTCGGCGGGATTACTTGATGTGGTTTAGTCGCGGGGGTGGAAGTGAAATGTATAAATTATAGACTTATTTATCTATATAGTAAAAAAGGGGCAACAAACGATGATAAATGAAATATTTTTACACATGAAGGAAGATGAAGCATCACCGCCAATAAATGTGATGGCAATTTGGAAGGCGCATCAAGTATCAATGTCAATCAGTGATCCATGCCCGTTAACATCAAGGAAATCTCATTTCATCGCTCGTTGAACAATCGCTCCATTAAGCATCCCACTTTTCTCCTTTTATTCTCTTTGTTCTTTCCGAAACTTCACCGGAAGCTTTTAACATGCAAATTGCTTCATCCATTTCGTCGTGATGATTTTTTACAACCTCCCCCGAAAATGGGTGTTCATGTATCATCGTTTTTATGTGATACTTTCCTGTGTTAAGTCGTCGACGTTGTCGTTTAAGTCAATGACATTTATCGAGCGGCGAAAATGTTGACATTTTTCCACGCAACTTTGAAAATGCACGAAAGAAAATTCAACGGTGGAGAAAATGTGACGACAACCGCAGCAGTGTGGAGTTAAATTTAATTTCTTGCACTTGAGCAATTACTCAAACATGTCGTGAACCGTTTTGGTGTTGAGAATTTGTCATTTTACCAGGTAGAAAAAAAGAAAATTTCTACAATTGTAAAAGAAGCTTTCATAGGCTTCTCGTTCATAATAAATTTTGTTGCACATAAACAAAATAAGAAAGAAAAGAAATTAAATGAAATGGAAAGAAAAGGTTTGAAAAATGTCCCAAAACCCACAATGCTCATAACATAATTCATAATGCAAATTTTTCTTGCTTTCTTTTAGAAGAAATGAGTAGGAAGAGACAAATCGGATAACACTTCGAATGACAAAGTAGCGCGTGGAAGGTATGACGAAATAGCAAACAGACAAGACACTTGTTGAAAAGTAAAAAATGGTCGATTTATGGACATGTGTGGAGTTTACATTGCATGACATGTTGTCATCAATGTGCTTTGAATGTAATTAAATAAGCGTTGTGTTTGATTTCACTGAATTACTTATCTACTCAATCAATTAATAAACCCTTTCGGAATGAAATTATTATGCATATTTATGCAAATGTAAACTGCAAAGATTGCACGAGTGTGGCGTCATTAATCATCGTCATTATCGTCATCATCATGATTATGGTTGAATAAATATTATCAACGACCTTGCCATTAATAGTCATGATTCAATGTCAATTTCAACGGTAATGGAGAAATGTTCATGTTCTTAATTAAATTTCAATTGATTAACATTCCAATTGACACTTGGTGGTGTAATAATTAAATTGAATTATCTTCATTCATTGATTGAAACTTTTTCATATGTTTGACAGTTGGAAAGTGACGTGTGAGACAAAAAAAGAAAACTTTTCTGGGTTTAAAATTTGAAATTAATTTAATTCACATTGGATTCGTAAATGTTGTGATGTAAAATGTTCGAAATGTGAAGATAATTTAAATGAAGTGAGAAGAAGGAAAGCAAAAAGCGTATCGCTTTGATAACCCAACTGATCAAAGGTTGGAAGCAAGTCAATAAAAGTTGCGATTGTAAAAGTATAAAAAGCGCAACGCAATTTTCACTTCATTCAGCCGCGTGTAAATCATCACAGTAATTGAAATTCCACGTTGTATTTTTTTTAATCGTTCAATTTACGGTGAGAAACGAAGAAACTATTAAAATTAATTCAAATTCTTGGAATGAAACTTTGTAGAATATTTTTGTTTAATTTAAATATTTATAGAAATCTATTGACGTACATCGTTGAGTGTCACAGCTCGCAAAGCATTTGACCCACAAACTGATAGTTTCTTTTTGCTGTTCTTACTTGTTTATTTATAATTTGCGCTCTTATCAGCTTTTTTCATAACCCGATTGAACGTGGGTCACTTGAAAGAATTCTTTTAAATTATGAAACTAATAAATTCGTTCATTTCTTTCTTGACTCTCGTGCCATCCATGAATGCGCAACAAAATTGATGTTATGATTGCATCACTCATTGACAAGATAGATGTTACAGCATAAATCGCTTTGAAAAATTCCTTCACAAATTCTAGAAAAAGTTGAATTTTTTAATTTCCATTTTATTAATTGTTCAAGTCGAGGTCGTGTGAGCCATCGATTTTCTTATCAATTTGATTTTTATTGTTCATCTCTACACACACGAGATTTTTTTACGAGGTCAACACCATTTGCCAAGTATCGAGAGTGAGTGGGAATAAAAAAAAGAGAATTCTAAAGTTGTTGATTTTAGAATGCATTATAACTCATCATAATAATTTTATTGAAAATAGTTTTTGTTTTTCAAATATTTGATTGTTTGAGGAAAACAAACTGAGAAAATAAAAACAAAAAGCGGTAAAAGTGAATTTTTTTCTATTTTTATGACGTCACAAAAGTGAAGGAAATCGGAAAAAATTTAAATTTAAATTGTAATCGGAAGGAATTAGGATAGTCAGATATGACAGGATTAATCATGGAAATACCAAAAATTTCTGTCCCAACGATGATTAACCATACGATCAGTTCATTCTTATCAGTTTCTTTCTTCAAACCAAATAGAAAACAAATCAGAACAATGTCAATATTTATCCACAAATATAATTTCAGAGAATCTCGAAGGAATTTTATTTTGTTTCATTTTTTTTTGTGTTGTGTTGATAAGAAACAAAGGCAACGCACAATGCTGATCATCGATTCGTGCTATTGCCCCATCGAGCATGTTCGTTTGCTTAATCCGCGGAACTAATTAGATGGAGAATAAAGGAATAAGTGTCGCATGACAAAGCGATGTGAAAAGGAGCACAGAGAAATATTGATCGATGAATCAGCTGTAGTTGAAATAACGCAATGTTCGCTTATCAAAGACGGTGAAAAGGTTGAAAGCTTTTCTTATCGTAAACGTTACGATAGCGGATTAAAGTCCACGCAAAAAAAAAAATTGAAGGTCACATATCATACGATGTTATGATTGTGAATTGTGACAGCTTGCAGGTCATTTCATTATCAAAAAGAGTTTTTTTTTCTTTTACTGAATCTTATCAGTCATAAGCCTTTGGGAAATTCACATTACGTGAGACTTCTTTCATATTTTTCTTTAAATTTTTATCTATTTATCATGAAATCATTTACAAAAGTTTTTGTTTTATGAAACCGAGTTCAAGAGGATAATTCTTGAGTTTATGTGACTCCATTCACATTGTTAATTACAAGAAATTTTGCTCACGTTCTAAAGCACTCGACAAGGGAAATTCTCCACGAAAATGGAAGAAACAAAAAACTCTTGTGGTAAATTAAATTAACGTAAATAAACATTTGGAAAAAACGCGAGGAGTTGCATGCTTCTTTCGAAACAAAACAAAACAAAAAGTTGTTTCAATGGGTTGGAGTGTGAAGGATTCCAATAAGCTTGAGGTTAATTTATATTTGTACATACCTAAAGGCATTCCAGTGAGTAGACATGTTGCAGCCAAAGCACCTGCTGAAGCACCAGAAATCTTTTGTAGAAGTAACTGTGGAGCGTATTTCTTAAAGGCGACAGCAACTCCAACTTTAAAGATAGAAAGAGAAGACAGACAATTATTTGATTGAGTTTAAATCGTGAGAAGTTTTTTTTTTCTTTAACTTACCATGATAAATCCCCAAAAATCCGCATCCGGCAAATGACAAATTGTACTTTAGTGCTTCTCTTAATTCTTGAGTGATTTCTTTCTTCATTCTCATTGATGATTACAATATTTTTTGATACTTTATTCTTGTAGAAAATATTTTTGATTCTTGTTTTATTATTATTTTGTGCACTAATAAACACTGCGATAATTTTTTTATTCAAACAGCTGATTCAGAATTGAATGTGAAGGAAAAGAAATTAATTTAAGTATAGAAAAACGACAACCGATTTGTTTGAATGTCGAAAAATAACTGAGGGAGCGATAAGCAAAGCGATGAAATAAGAATGAGCTTTGTGAATATGATGAGTGAACACACACTTACTGGACGATAACGTCAGTGACGTTTTATGAGAAATTCTAAAGTAAACTCACACACTTAAAACGATTTTCGTTAAGTTAATGCTATTCAAAACTTAATTACGCTTGTAAATTTCAGGTAGTTAATCGTTTTCTTTCAGGAAAAACCTCACTTGAGCATCTGTTAGAACTTTTGTAAATTTTAAGGTAAAAGAAAAAAGATCTGTTTCATTTTTCGTCTGTTCTACGAGTTTAAAAATTAATAATGAAGATGGCGTTAGTATCCAAAATGTTTTTATTCAAAACAAACGTAAAAAAACTTATTTATCATCACAAATTTCCAAATAAAGAATGTGAGAACTTTACTTAGAATTGTTATGGAGTAAAATGATTGTTTTTATTATTATTTACAATCACTGAAGAAGCTAATAACATCAACAAACTCTCTCTTGTTTTTAATTCCCTTCGTAAATTGTTTGCTTCTGTAATCACTGAAAGTTTAAAGAAGGAAACTCCTTAAGGTTTTCTTATCAGCAAATGATTTTTCATTGAATTCTTCATAAACAATCGTTATTCGTCATTATGTTTTTGTTATTTTATCAATGAATATTTTGTTTTCTTTGTAGGCTTATCACTTACAATTATGATTTCTTGTAGTAATGTAAGAGAATAATAAAACCAATCAATTTGTATCAATGCGTAGTTTTATTCGTCATTTTTAATTAGGTAGATCTCTTAAATCCAAAATATAGAGAATCTGTTTTTCGTCAATAAAAATTAAACATTCTTCTCACTAAATAGTAACGCTTTCCATAACCTGCGATCATCGCAATGTCACAACAAATTCATTATAATCTAATTTGCATTAAGCGAAAGTGTTAGGTTGAGGTGAAAGTTAATTTTTTATAAGGACAGGGACAAGATTACAGAACTGGTCTTTTATTAAAGTTTATAACTAACAAAGTGTACGGTGACTTAAATTTGTTATTTTTTTCTTAACTTTCTTTTTTTCAACTTTATTTTTAAGGCTGTTAGAATGTGATTAAACTGTTAGAGGTGAAATGGAACGAATGAATTCAGACTAAAAAAGTGTAAATTGGATATTTTTTCCTTGCTTCCAATAAAAAATCAGTCAAATAATTTTTGTTTTTCACTTATCAGATGTCAGTTCGAACATCAAGCTTGTCGTAAATGTATTTAAATTTTCCAGATCATTACAGCACAATATCCTGCGTGATGAAATGACAAAGCAAAATAAAAGTCATCATCAGTTGACCGCAGGATCAAAGCATCCACACAATTCTTGGCATAAACGGACTTTTTACTCTTAACATTATTTCATAATTTTCTTTTGTTTTCCGGAGAGAAATTTTACACACTTTGACAGGTGCGTGCTTATTAATAGAGAAATTGGAATTTTATAACTTTTTTAAATATGTTTTCAATCGAGCAAATGTACTCGACAATAACTTGGATTAAATAATTAATTAAATGAAGTTTAACTTAATGTGACAGAGAATTATTATCAATTAAAAAGATTTTATGAACTGTACTGTGATGAAAGTAAGAAAAAAATAATTTTCTGAATAAATTTACAAAACAGGACATTTTAAATTGTAAAAAATGTTCAAGGAAACGAGAAGTTTGAGTGTTGATTACCTTAAAGGATAATTTCAACATTTCCATTAGATTTACTATCGACATTGAGTTGATGATCTCCAACAAGCTCCACACTAATAGCATTTTCATCTGCATCATTCTGAATGAGTGCTTTTTGTTTCTTTTTCATTTCAAGAAGCTTTCTTCGTTGCTCGTCTCTTTTCTGTGCTGCTTCAGACACTCCTGAAGTTGTCGAGGGTTTTTTTAATGGAACGTTTGATTTTGTTCGACTTGATTGCGCTTGTGTGAGCGGTCGTTTTGTTAGTCGACTTCCTTTTGGTGGTTGAGGAGTTGGTGGCTCTGGTTTCTATGAAAAAAGTAATGGAATGAACGAATTAATAAAGTTAATTGAGTTTTATCCAGACACAAAAACTTACCTTCCATCCATTTTCACGACATTTATCAATTTCATTAAATGCAGCATCAATGTTATCTACTTGAAGCATCATCATATCCCAGAAACCTTGTAAATCTCCTGATAATGTTTGTGGACCATCCGAACTTGGATTGAGATTTTCTTGACACAAACCTAACAAATAACAAAAGAAATTTTTAACTGACAACTTTGTTGCATCATTTCTCACTCACCTTCAAATTGTTTGAACTTTTTAGTGGCCAATAAGCGACCTTTACCTATAGCAGCAAGCACCAATCCAATAATTTCTTCTGAAGGTATTGTTGATGGCTGTCAATTGAAAGATTGAATTAAAAACTCTTATAAACAATGGAAAAGATAATGTTATCAACTTACATTCGATTGTAACTGCATCAATTCTTTTTCAGTTACTTCTGCTAAGTCAAGGATTCTTGTTTTCTCTTTATGGAGTAGTTTAAGGAAATAATGACCATCTTTTATCTCATCTTGCGTTGATTTAATTTCAGATTCCATTTTGTTGATAACATTTATTTCATGTTTTTGCATAATTGGAGTGTTATTTGAAACTTTTTCTTCGTTAATGACAGCTGCAACCTGATCCTCTTTTACTTTACTAGGTAAGTTTTTCGAATCTTCACTCTTTACCTCCAATTTTGATTGATCTTTAGAAATTTCTTTTGTAATTAGCGGCGATTTAGAGGTTATCAATTCAGTGTTGCCTGATGTGATATTGTTTTCAATTGTTTTCAAATCATTACCAGAGTTACTGCTTTCAAAAGATTTAAATTCAACGGATTTTTTCTGCTCTGATTTAAGTAAAATATTTCCTGTGCTTGTTCTTGTCAATGACTTCTTAGGTGAGCTCATAAATTGTAATTGTTTACAAAACTCAGGCCTCAAATGTTTCATGACTGGCAAAGAATTCATCGATTCTTCATCATTTTCTTTCTCATCCACTATCGTACCGTTGGTTCCATTCCTTGAACCATTAATATGAGTTATCGTTCCATTGCCATTAAGTTGAATGCTATCTGATGATTTCATTGTCGTGAGAATTTTTGTCGTGCCATATAATTTCTCCACACGCTGTTGTATGAAACTTTTTCGATTAGCGACACTACTACTACTGCTTCCATTCGTCATTAAACTCGCGTTATCCACAGTATCCTTTTCATGAAGGTTTAGCGCCGCAAACCTTTTCGTGATGCTTGTAAGTGGCGATTGTTTGACGAAGGTCACAGGTTGTGGCACCGATAAAAGATTTTCATTTGATCTCTGTTGACGTGACATACTGATTGAGCTGATAATCGGTCGAATTGGTGAAACTTCTCTCGATTTATTAATTTCTTTACGTTCAATCGAATCGTAGTTTGTATAATTGCTGTAACCGTTGACACAACACGCTAAATTTAGGTAACTTGGTTTTTTATTTGCATGAGCTACTACTGTTGGTGATTGAAGTTCGATCGTTTTCTTACTTAGAAAGCTTTCGGTTGACATTCCATTAAAATATCGACCGTTTGTATCACCAGCACGCGACACTATGGTGCTGATCTTTCCAGAGTTTATGTCAAAATAAGTTGTGGTATGATTAATCGGTTGATTGAGTATCAGTTTCGGTGTGAGTGGACTTGGTTGTTGTATCTTACGACACCTTTCAGTTATACCAGCTGTAAAATCTTCACGTGTAGCTGATGGTGAAATGAAGTTAAGGCTCTCAGAGGTATCTACTTCGTAGGAAAGAAAGTAAACGAATGAAACAAATGCAAAGCTAACATCGCTTGCTTGTTTATAATTTCAACCTCTGAAACATTATTCACAAACATGACGTTTAATAAGCAACATTGCGTGTTATTTACAGATCAAATTTCAAAGTAAGTGAAGGTCGAGTTGACGGTTGTCAACGTTGTTAAAATATGCACAAGAATTAACATTAATTTTGATAAAAAAAAATTGTATAAAAATAAGTCAAGCCTTGACCTTGTCATGAAACTTTTCACCATATTTGCTAACCAGCAAAAGAGAAAAGAATCCTAAATTATAAAATGAAATGCGTGGGTGGAATATTTAAGATTAAAAAGTCTGTGAAATGTGAGATTCCGCCTTTGCATTTCTCGCGTCATTTTTGAATGTTTCAGATAATTTCATCATCGATGCAGGGAAGTCAAATAAAATAAAATAAATAAAAGCAAAAATCCAAATAAAACTCGTTTGAGAGATGCAGTTGGTTATGAAACATTGATCGCCATAACAGACTTGTGTCGGAGACTATGAAAAGTCTAATTTGGAATTCAACTTCAATAACGATTGATAAATGTGTTACGTGTGGGCATCGTCTAATTCTGTGATCTATTTCACTTTCTAAAACACCGCGGAAGCAATAGAAGAAATAAAAAACCAAAACTTCCGGTAAGAAACTGAGAATGAATGAATTAAATTATTTAGCAAAAGATTCACTTGACAGAGGCAAATAATTGTAGGAAGAAGAAAAGAGAAAAAAAAACCGTAAAGCTAACGAGCCGGTCAAAAACATTACTTAAACTGTTCTTTCGGCTGTTGAAAAATGGATTGAGGTGGATTGCTAATGAAAAAAATATTTTCGATTAAACTTGAGTGTTGAAATGTGCATTTATTCAAGCCATTTATCGATGAATCGAAGCAACAAAAAGATAAAAAAATAAGATTTTACGGTCCCATCAATGGAAGTGTTTCATCATTTGAGTTTTTCGCAATGATCACGTTCGTGATTTCAACTGGCGTGTGCTTTGTGTCCGTGTGTTGTTAATGAAATAAACTCAGTTATCTTACATTTCTGTTTTACTGTGCAATTGTGTTTATTTGTGAGCATTTAATTAACTTGTACCAGACAATCCATCATGCAATTGTTTTCATACTTATATCCCGTTTTCATTTCTGTGTGCTTTTTTTCGTTTTATTGATTAAAAATTACCTGACAAGTCTGTTGAGTCGGCATCTAATGAGCAACTTCCAATCGAATCTATACTTCGATCCATCACGGTTTTCTTTTGTTTATGTTTTCCGATGCGACTCGTTTATATATTTTTTTAATTCGATAATTTATTGTCTATGATCTCTCATGTGAGAACAATAAAAAGAAGACGATAAACTACTTTGAGTTTATCCGGGTGGATTGAATAAATTCCCTGTTAATTCATAAGGTTTGCGGTTTTGAGAATTATTCAGGGAACTATGCTGTGTGAAGTAGCAATTGTTCGACTTGATGTTTTTCTACTGACACGTTGGCAGAAGAAATATCAAAAAAATTGTTCTGTTAAAACATTTAAATCGTAAATTTTATATTCGAGAATGTTGCGCAATATTTTCGATAGATTTTTTATTCGTCTCGGGGTAACTCTTATGTGAGCTGTAAAGAGATAATGAAGAGTTCGAAAAGAAAGAAAAAAACTTGATTAGAATCAAAAAAATTTTGAAGATCGCGATGTTTAATCGTTCAATTGAGAGATGTTGATTTGGTAGCTAATTATGAGATGAAAGCACTAGTCTAATTATGACAAAGCAGCAACTGAAACTATGTTGTCATCAGTGTTTATTTTTTTAATTTAAATTATGCAAATTGCTACTTTTCATTGTCAGTGATTTTGACTGTGCGGTTTAAATTTAAGAAGAAAAAAAACTTTCGAAAATTCTTCGATTGCTGCTGCTTACTTGCAGTTTTTTCAGGCGAAATTCGAGAGTTTGGAAGAAGAAATTAGCCCATCAATGATCGATCACCTTTAAAATTTGTTCATTGGTTAAACATTCCAAAAAAGCACCTTGTTAAGGCAAGAAAAAGTTAATATTTGGCACACACGTTCACTTTCTCAAACTATGGCTGGGATTATTCCAAAATTACGTCACAAATCAATAGCTTACGCCCTTGCAGCAGTAATTATCGAAATCTTCCCACTCAAAAGCCAAAGCCAAGTTTCGTGCAATATTTGTTAAAATTTTATATTTGACGTCTATAACTTTAAGCTTGTTAATCAATTAAGCGGTCATAAAGCGTGACATTTCGCAAGCCTTTTATTTGTCGTATATCAAGTTGCATCCCATTCATTTATTGATGGGGGCAGTGGAAGCCTTGAAACCTGTTTAACATGATACTTTCGCAGAATGTAAAAGGAGCAACTAAATAAACTCGTTCTTAATTTTCTGATCCACGCGACAATGTTGAAGTAAGACACGAAATCAACGACATAAATATTTCGACGGATTTTCATGTCACGCTTGATTGAGGAATTGCTTTTGGGGAATGCGATTTGTTTATATTTATGAACGACATTTTTGATTACTCGAATTATTTCATTCAGTTTTAGGGCGCAGAAATATTTCGCTGCGAATATTGGAATGATGATACTTATCTGTCAACTTTTAAACGTATAACAAGACGACGATTATCATTAATTTGACTGTATTGGAATATCAAATTCATTCCAAAATTAGTCTAAATCAAACTTTATTATTTTATTTACGTCTCACGTTCCGCTAGATGAGAAAATTCAAATTGCAATTTGATCTTGAAACTAGAAACCTTCTGAGTATTTTCTGACATTCAATGAATAGAAGGAGTGTTGTTTATCAACAGGAAGAAGAAGAAGTCTGAGAAATATTTTAGAAACTTGAATGAACGTCACATGTTTATTCATCGATTACCACTTCATATATTTTTATTATTATTATTCATAAACTTCCATGAAACTTATTAAAGACATTTGAATAATAGCTTTGCATTGAGGGGATCGTTAAAAATTATGCCGCAAATATGGCTATGAATTGAACAAGTATTTTCATTTTGCGGTTTTTAATTGTTTTGAAAACAACTGCAAAGCAAAAGTGAAAAATTTATAAACTGACACATTTTCTTCTTTAGAAAAGCTTCAGTCAATTGATTCAAAACTTCAAAAGGAATAGTTTTGTAACATTAATAACAGTTTATGTTGTCTTTCTAAAATGATTCTCATTATTAATGAAAAACACGACGCTACTTAGACAGTTTCAAGTAAGAAAAGTTTTTGAAGAAATTTTTAACTTTTTCTTATTATTTGAAATTTCTTATAAGAAAGAAATGAATGAAACAAAATTCACGTTTCTTTCGCTTTTTGCTTTGAACTATCAAGTGAAGTTATTACACCTTCATGACTTGGGAACAGAGATCGCTTATTTTCTTGTTCATATCTAAATAAAGCATGTAGGATAGAAATGGATTTTATAAATTATTATTAGGATTAAAGAGTGGCTGAACTCTCCTAAAGTTCATGTTTTTACTGTTTTACTCTGATTTGCTCTCAGAAATTCTAAATTTATTTCCCTGTCTGCATTGAAAACGAAGTGCATTTAACTTATGTTTTTTTAAGGGGAAAAGGAAAGAAGAAGTGACAAGAACTTTTCTAACTCGTAAGTGGAACCAAATGAAAATCTCGGAAAAAATAAATATTCCAAATAAAGAATTTCTATTCTTAGAGGTTCTTTTCTCATTAACTTTCTTTTATTTTCTTGAGATTTCTCAGACTTCGCTTTAAGCATGAAATAATGAAACGTGGAAGAGATGGATATGATGAAGTAATCCGCTAGTTTATGTCTCTGAATGCATAGTGAGTTATAGCTTTATAACAACACTCTATCAAAAAACAAAAAACAAAAATAAAGCACATCAGCTTCAACACGAGACGGATAACAATAAATTCACACATATATTACTCGCTTAATCATTAATTATTACAGTTAAGTAAATACAATCCACACAGTTCATGTAAATTCATGCTCGATTTTTTTCCTCGAGCCACACAACTTTTTAATGAATTTTTCACTGATGTGTGGTGTGGGATTCGTTGTTTGTTGCTTTGAATGTTTCATAGTTTATTTATTTTTTTCGTAATTTTGTTAAATCAATAATTCCCGATAGATTTTTATCAATCACATTACAAACGAAGTGACAAAAAAGGCTCAATTTTAAGCAACCAGCTTTAAGTGATTTTAGAATATGTGTTGGTTGGCGATTAATGTTGAATGAACTTCATGATTTCCCCGATTTCGTCAACTTTTTTTTTTTCACTTGCATTTAAATTTGTGTAAATTACCTTATTATTTTCACAATTATTTCATCACTGTTATTATCCTGAAACAGTACACTTCACTGTTTAGTACTGCTAGGTTTTAGCTTCTTAATAGGTTGTTAATAAAAGGATAAACAGCGAAAACTCAAGTATCCGATGTGTTCACTATAGCTACAGAAAAAATAATGAAGTACTCTGGTGGTGAGCCCAAAAAGTTGTGTGCAATAACCGCTTAGCTATTCAACTTCAAACCGTTATTTTTGAACCGTTTCATTGAGTTTTTATGCCACTCTGCTTAATTTCTTTTTTACTAAAAATTAAAACATAATTAAATGAAAATCACTCAATCATTACTACCATTCTAAATTTGTTTTTGCTGTAGTTGTGCTATATTAAACACAACTTTCAAAGGTAAGCTCAATCGTGATTCATATCTCAAAGTTATTATTTACATTAATTTAAAATTCGTTCTTCGCTTTTTATTTTAGAATATAAACAAAATGAGTAATTTCATGAAACTTAGAAATCTGAGATCTTCTGTGCATCAAAAAAAAGAGTCAGAGAGTGGATATTCTTCAAGATCTTCATCTCTTTCAGAAATTTCAAAATCAAAGAATTTTGAAGAAAATGACGCTTATGCCAATTCATCATGCAAGAATGAAAAACATGAAGAGAAAATTGTAAATATTGACGGAGATAAAGTGCAAAATCTTACTGAAGAAATCAAAACAATAAAATTGGAGCACACAAACTTTCAAATCGAATTAGAGGACAATGAATCAGATGACGCTGCTGATCTTTTAGGGAATCTTGTGAGACTGATTGATAGTCAACCTTCATCTTCGTCTGACGATGATAGTACTGATATATTGTGTAGAACAAACGAGAATGAAAAAGGTGTGAAGCGTCGTTGGAAGCATCAAAGTGCTTCATTCTGTGAAAAGAAGAAATCAAAAAATGTTGAAACATCATCAGAAGAATACCAAAACAGTGGAGTAATCGATGAAGTCATCGAAGACATCTGGTATGTTAGTGTAATGCAAATCGAAAATAATCCAGTTGTAAGATTTCTTGTCAAATGGGATGGATTTCCTCCATCTGAAAATACATATGAGCCATATGAACATGTATCAGATACAGAAGTTTTGAAAGAATTTGTTAATAAAAAATTTGAATTGCATGAAGATAAAATCAAAGCGGCTCAAAAGAAACTCTTGCAAGATAAGAAAAAGCACTACAAATTTTACTTAGGAAAATCGAAGAAGTTTGTTGAAGGAAAAACGATAAAAGCAGAATTTGATCCTCTGGAATTTCGATGCAACATTCTTGCTTACATTTACACCTACGAGAAAATTCTTTCCACTTCAGAGTTTATGAAAAAATTGTATTATCAGAACATCCTCTACACGTTCTATGAAAAGAAAATTGCTCAGGAAGAGAAGAATCGTGAATTTGTTAAATTAGTCTTGAGAAAAGAGAGCAACAAGTTTAAATTAAGTGTTGAAAATCGCATCGACTATGAAACAGTACCAAACTTCAAATATTTAAGTAAAGTCAAATCAATTTCGGAAATCTTATCAAAATTTGGCTGCAAATGTAAAGATTCATGCATAAAATCATCAAAATGTTGTCCTAATCAAAAAGATTTGAAAATGGTTTATGATAGTGACGGTCGAATCTGTTCGTCGACTCACCAAATGATCATTGAATGCAACAAGTTATGTCAATGCAGTGAATTATGTCCAAATCGACCTCAAAGCATAACAGCTTCACTTGCTATATTCAAATCATCTGATCGTGGATGGGGATTAAAGGCAAAGAGCGATATCCCAGCTGGAACATTTGTTATCGAATATACTGGAGAATTGATAAGTGAATCAGAGGCAAGAAGTCGTACAAAATGTTACTCCAAATCAGGAGTAACTTATCTCTTTGATCTTGATTACAATGAATTGGGAAAAGCTTATTATAGCATTGATGCTACTTACGAAGGAAATTTGTCAAGATTCATTAATCATTCATGTAATGGAAATCTTCAAACTTGGCCAGCAATTTCATGCAACGAAGATCCAAAGATGCATCGACTGTATTACTTTGCCTTACGTTTTATTAGAGCTGGTGAAGAACTGACTGTTGACTACTTTGGGGGCGTTAAAGTAACTGCACCTCCCACAAAAAATTCTATCGAGTGCAAATGCGGCTCTGCAAATTGTCGTGGGTTTATTTTTTAATACTTTAAGAAGTTTTTTTTTGCTTAAGTTTTTATTTTAATTTTTTCACTTAATAATTCTCACAAATAATTTTTGTTTCCTTTTATCTGCTGATCTTACAATCATAATTTTAAATCATTTTCTGATATCTCCAAATGATCAAAATATGCTTTGTTTAATTTGTTTTTCATTTATTTTCATATCTCAATTTACAGCAGAAAACGATGTAAGTTTGTAAAAATATATCATAGACTTCTTTATAGTTTTTCATTAATTTTCTTTATGTTTTCATTTGTGACAAATATTTTTTTGTAATTATTTTCATTATTTCCCTTCTAATGAGTTTTCTCTTCTACATGTTGTTGTTGTTTGTTTTTAAGCAAAGATTTAGATTTATAAAAAGGAGAAATAGATGATCAGCTTCATAAGAAAATCTGAAAATTCTTTAATTAATAAAAAAGAGACAAAGTAGGTTTTTTAATCGTGAAAAAAGTTTTTCTATCTTCCGAGTTGGGAAGTCAATCTATTCCTCTCTCTTTCCTACAATTCTATCGACTTTTTTTCTCACTTTCTTTAGTATCCTAAGCAGCTCGACTTTAATTTTACACCTTTAATCATAATTTATATATTTTTTCTCCTCAATTTTAGTCACTTTCTAGGTAGTGTGATAATCAAAATATATTTTCGAAAAGTTTTCTTTTAGTAAAAAATTTTTATGGCCAAATCCTTTCACAATCTTTTTTTTCGTGTTAATTTTAAATCACAATTTAGTTTTCATTTTCTATCGCTGAAATTTTCAATTTTTTTCTTCTTTTCATCCAAAATAAATGAAAATATTTTTTTTGATTTCTCCAATAAGCTTGACATTAAATTCATTACAATTTAAAATTGTTATAAATCGTCAGAACAAATTCTTTTTTGCAAGTTTCAACTACGATAGATTGACTTTATATCAAGCATAATGATTCTAACGATTAATGATTTTTTTATTTTAATTTGTTTAACTTTAAACTCAAAAAAGGAAAAATTAATAAAAAAAGAATAGAAAAATTTTTATCATTAATTTTACTCTCAAATCTTATTTTGCATCATTTCATGATCGATTCCTGTTTACAATTTTTAGAAAATTGTTACATTGCTTTGTTCATCTCTCTCAGGAGTAAATTATGGAAAGGGAAGCAATTTTTTCATATTTTTTTTCTTTCGCTTACAAAAATTATTTTATGTCTCTACGTCACTTAAATGTTAATTTAACTTTTGTCAATTTGTCAAACATATATCTAAACAAGATCAAAGACGTTTCCTAACAACACTCAATGATTCTAAAGAATTCTTCATGTTTGACATAAAACATTTTCATTCTGTTTGATCAAAAAATTTTCACTTTCCACGTTTGTAGAAATTATCTCAGAGCTTAAGAAAACGTAAAAAAAAAGAAAATCCTTTATAAGATAAAACAAAAACTTGGCAAGAAGAAATTCGTTAAGAAAAGAGCTTAAATCTTATCATTTTTATAAAAAGAAATTTAAGCAATTAAAAGAGTGATAAACTCAAACGATCATAAAGAATTAAATAAACTTTACTTTTATCTTTCTTAATTTCATTGTAAAATGTAAATTGTAGAAAAATTACCGTGGGAAAAGTGAGGGGAGGTTTAATGGTTGATTCTTCATTACTTTTTATATCTCTGTATCTCATGTAAAAAAAATTCTGACAGTTTGTTTTCAATAGAACATTTACGCACATTTAATGCCTAAAACTTTGTTTACGATACCGAACTGCACTGCAATGGCACTTGCATTTGAAGTAAAACACGGTCCAGCCATTGCAAAGGTCCATTCAGATGCAATTCAATCCAACACGGTGTTGATGTTACTGTTTGTCGTCTGAAATGTTCATTTTTGTATGAAATGCTTTGAAAGCAATTAAAATAAGTAAGAATCTCACCGATATTCAGCGCCCCATCCTTTCACAAATGACATGCGAATCGTACACATTCTCGTTAGTTGGTAAACAGCTTCAAATCCTTGCGACACTGATTGTGACAAAAGCGCTGCAAATTCCTGATTGTTGAATATTTTCAAATTACAACCGGGTGGAATTTTGCAAACCGTCGCTGGATGCCATCCATATCGTGAATTGCAATTAGGACTTTGAACAAAAATGCTTGAATCACTGAGACATTCAGCAAACACTTCACCACCGATGTAATATAAACGAACGCCTTTCCCAATGTGTCGTCGTGTTTGCTCAACAACTTCATTACGATTCACATTCGATAAGAGACCGAGACAGAAGCGTTCAGAATTTGAAGGATCCGTAAAACCGTCGACGGTTATTGATGGCTGTGAAGCATGGAAAGTTTCACCGACACGTAAATTTAATTCATAGTAACTGATAGAACACCAAAATGTTGGATCTTGGTACATAACTGGTGCTGCTTCAAGCGTTTGTGAGGCCGATAAATGTGAGAAACCTAAAACAACAAACAATCATCATCATCATTTCTTCATTGTAGCTAATCTTCCATTGATGATTTGAAAATCGTTTGATCACACTTTAAACTCACTCAAATTATCATTTTGATCCATTGGATCGCCATCTTCTGACATATAGCCGGGTGGAGGTGTTTCAGTTGCTGATATTCCAACACTGCTCATACTGCCGGAATCCATAACATTGACGCTTGTGTTATTTGGTATTTGTGTCATTGTAGTATCCATTGTGGCGTAGCCAGCGAGAGCTGAATTTTGGAGGCTGTTCGAAAAAATAAAATCATGACATTTTTAACCCTTTTTCTGATTTATTCATCACGCTACTCACTTCAATGCATTGTATTGTGTATTCAAAGGAACTGTATTGCTTAAACCATCTAAAAATGATGAGACCGTAGATGATTCAGGTGACGAAGTCGGAAATTTTGGTACAAGAATTGAGAGTTGTTGCTGCTGTTGCGGCGATTGTGGTTGAATAAATTCTGGTTCTGCTTTAATATAATGATAAGGATTGATGCAAATTTCGTCTTTCTTCAGATGATACGCAAATTCGCAGTGATTCAGGTAATTTAAATCATTGTGTGACTGAAATATTGAATAATGATAAGATGGAGGAGTAGAACGGAAGTAGTAAAGTCTTACCGATAAATCAGGCCAGCGCCACAAACGACAATAAATAACGTGCGGCAAACCTTGAGGATTTTTCTTTGCGTCGTTGGGACGTGCTCTGTTGAAATAAACATGAATAACATTGAGAATAAACGTTCAAATTTATCATCGAAACATGAGACGCAAGAAAGCAATTCACGGATAATGAAAATATTTCCTCAAAAAACTTTTTCCTCCATCGTGAAATTCATCTCTTCCCCCATACCGCACACACAAAAATTTCATTCTTTTCTTTTCTTCTTTCTTTGCTTTATTTTTTTTAATTTTCTCGTTTCGCAAAATATCTCCTTCTCTCTTTCACACACGACATTTCACATCATCACTGCTGGTGGAAGAAAACTATTTGAATATTTAACCAAATGATTTTCGTTACGGAAACTAAAAGAAAATTCACACCGATGTTGAGCTAGTTTCGGATTGAAGGTCACACAGCTGAACTCTTCTTTATAGCATTCACCCGTGAAATCTCGCGAGACTTTTTTTTGCACACAGGAAAGGGAAGGAGAATAGAAGAAAAAAAACTGAAAATTGTTTGGAAAGAGCACCAAACATTTTTTACCTGATCAAAATGCAACTTTTCAATACTTAGTTATATTTCTATGACTTAATATCACACTATCAATGGCTTAAATATATGAATATTGTTTGTATACAACTTTTCCGTATGTAAATTTATTATTAAACAAAAAGAATTGAGAAGTTTTTCGCGAGTAGCCGAAAATGATTTCTTTTTCTGTGCGCAACTTGACTTCAATGTTCAGTTACTTGACTTCGTTTTAGGTTGTTCCATTATCGCTTATGTGTGGTGAAATATTAATTCACTTCATATTTCACATAAAAACGACTTTATTTTCATGACAACTTGATAACTTTTATTTGTTTATTAACATTTTTCATCTAATTAAACTACCAATCAACAAACACTCAAGACAATCATCCGACATCAAAATCAAAAATCATTCGCAGACACTCAACTTTTCGTTATCGACTCGCCAACTTCATGGAAATGTTATGTTCAAAGCCCCCATAAATTTACACATTCAATCATTTCACATGAAATAGAATCGAAAGAAAGAGAAAGAGAAACAAATAAAGAGCCTGAAAACAACAAAAGTAAGAGTAGGAAGGAAAAGGAGACTTTTTTAAGTTATGATTGCGCAAAACGAATGTAGCTTGGGTTCACTCTATTTGACATTTTAATTAATTTCTTATCAGCCCTAATTTTCTTTCCCTTCATGACCTTTGCCTTCTAATCCCACATTGTTTGATGAAAAGTTCAAAATTGATATACTTAACATTTATATGAAGTAAATCTTTTCAATATTTCTCATGACCTCATCTTATCAGCAAGTTATGACCCAAACGACAGTGATATGAAACTTGTAATTTGAAGTGGGTATTGTTAATTCAATTAAAACAGGTAGATGATAAAAAACCAAATTAAAATTGCGAAAATAAGTTCCCAAGACAAAAAATTCAATTTATTTCCGTAAATCATTTGATATTAAGCATGTAACCTTGAAGGAAGCATCGAAGAACATATAAAGATGAAGAGAAATTTTCGGTGTTGGGAAAAGCACAAGAGAATCAAAGTGCAAATCAAGAAAGTTGGAGAAGGCAGAAGGAACAATCTAGTAGTAACTACGCGAGAAGAAATATGGATTCAAAAAAACTTTTTTCCTGACTTAGGAAGAATGATTCAATGGTTTAAAAATAAATCCGGCTTCATAATTCCAAAACTATAAGAAATTGGAGTACGTCGACTTCTTATTTTGTTTCTTTCCAAATCTGGATGCTTCCGGGACACAATCATACTCACCGTGGAATACAAATACACTTTGTATTTGGATTTTGAGTGTTTAGAATGATTTCAAGTGCACTAAGTTGGTTATTTTTGAGCTTTTTAACAAGACTGCGCACTGCCTTTTCACTCCATGCCGCTTCAGCAAGCTCAATTGAGCCATTTGCTTTTCGGTATTGTAAAAGCCGCTTAACACTCGCGTTTTGAAACATTATATTAAATTATTTATTTTCCAACTCTTTGTCGAGATATGATGGCCCGATATGACCGATCTTTAAATGTTTCCTAAAGGAGAAGAGTAAATAGGATTTTGTCTGTCTGTTCTTGTGAGAGGAAATGCTTTGCACAATTTTAGTAGAATGAGAATATTCTAAGCCTTATAAGTATAACGTAGGATAAGACACTTATTAGATGTTTCGAATGTTTTGAATATAAGATGTTTTAAAAGAAAATTAAAACTCTTTGAAATTTAATTTGCAAACGGCTCAAATTTCAAAAATGAAACTAAACCGTTTACACCTGCTTTGTCAATCGGTTCGAAATCGGGTTTTTATTCCAAAAGATTTCCTCATAGAATTTGAACTCTATAAATATTTTATTAAATCTTAGTTGTTTAATACGTTTTTTAGTGATAAAGGTATGTTTATTACATCAAAAAGTGGATAACGATAAGTTATCCGTTTAAAATTGATAGATTAATTCATTTTATGGCTTGAAAAACAGCTCACAAAAATTCCCTTTTCTTTTACTCACACAATCAGAGAAAAAAATTTTCAGTTCAAAAACAGTTCGTATTCATAATTTCACAATAAGTTTCAATTTTCGCGCTCATGATTGCATAAAACACTTTCGAAGAGCTGAAATTCTTCAATTACGTCATAAAAATAGTTAAAATTTATCAAATTGCATTAATTTATTCGATTTTACCTCAAAAAGCTTCATTTGAAGAAATTGTTCGCGTTGAAATAAAAATTTGTCACCTCATTTAGCTGCAACGCAAAATCTCCACAAAGAAAAGAAAAATCAAAAGATAATCATTATCAGTTGTGCTATTAAAAGTAAGGGAGGACATAATACTCTAACGAAATATTTATTTTTGTGAAAAAGTTTAGTGCTCTCAGACGACAAGGTCACAATGGCTCGACCAAACTTCAGCAGTAATTCAGGATTAAAAAATATAAATCTTGAGGAAATATGGGCAGACCTAGAGGAAGGAATCAAACAGATTTACAAACGAGAGCAGAAAATGGCGGTTCCTCGATATATGCAGCTTTATACGTAAGTTTAATTTTATGCACTGTTGCGATGTTTTTAAAACCACTTTATTTAATTATTATAGACATGTCTACAATTATTGTACCAGCGTTCATCAACAACCGACATTACGAAATGCAGGAAACAGTAAGACTGTACGCCGTGGTGGACAAGGAGTTCAGCAACAGGCTGCCACTGGCGGAGCTCAGTTGGTCGGATTGGAGCTGTACAAACGACTGAAGGATTTCCTTCAAAAGTATTTGGAGCAGCTTGAAGGAAAAGGTGTCGATTTAATGGGAGAGGATGTGCTGACATTTTACACCAAGGAATGGGCGGAATATCAATTCTCAAGTAAAGTTCTCAATGGGGTTTGTGCTTATCTCAACAGACACTGGGTTCGTCGTGAATGTGAAGAAGGACGAAAGGACGTTTACGAAATCTACCAATTGGCTCTTGTCACATGGCGTGATAACTTATTTAAGAAGTTAAACAAACAGGTGCGTAGTTTGTTTTGATGCCAAAAAAATTAAAAAAAAATTGAATGACACGAACGAAGGTAAAATAATTTAATTTTTCATTATCAAGGTAACAAATGCTGTATTAAAGCTGATTGAAAGTGAACGTAATGGTGACACAATCAACTCCAGCTTGGTATCTGGGGTGAGTTTTTAAATATTAAATGAAGGTCATGAGTAATTTATAAGAAATTCATAATTATAGGTCATTAATTGCTATGTCGAGCTTGGATTAAATGAAGATGATCCACAAGCAAAGGGACAAAACTTGAAAGTTTATAAAGATAGCTTTGAGAATCAATTCTTGCAAGACACGGAACAATATTACACCCGCGAGTCTGATGAGTTTCTATCGATAAATCCTGTCACTGAGTATATGAAGCGTGTTGAGCAGCGTCTTAATGAAGAGAAGAAACGAGTTCAAGTTTATCTTCACGAGTCAACTCAAATTCCATTAGCTTCAAAATGCGAATCTGTTCTTATACATAAACATTTGGATGCTTTTCGTGTCGAGTTTCAAAATTTGCTCAACTCTGATAAAAATGATGATTTGGCTCGAATGTATATGTTGGTATCGCGAACAAGTGACGGACTTACAGATCTGAAACAGGCTTTAGAATATCATATAAACAATCAAGGTCAACAGGCGATTGACAAATGTGGCGAAGCTGCTTCCAATGATCCCAAAATTTACGTCCAAACAATTCTCGAAGTGCACATGAAGTTCAATAACTTGGTGATTACAGCTTTCAGCAATGATAGTGGCTTTGTTGCTGCTTTAGATAAAGCTTGCAACAAATTTATTAATTCAAATTGTGTGACATTAGCGAGCAAGAATGAAAGTCGTTCACCGGAACTTTTGGCCAAATATTGTGATATCTTGTTGAAGAAGAGTAGCAAGAACCCAGAAGAAGCTGAACTTGAAGACACATTGAATCACGTGATGATCGTCTTTAAGTACATCACAGATAAGGACGTTTTTCAAAAGTTCTACAGTAAAATGTTGGCGAAACGTCTCGTCTTTCATATGTCAGCAAGCGATGATGCTGAAGCAAGTATGATCTCGAAGTTGAAGCAAGCTTGTGGCTTTGAGTACACGAGCAAGTTACAACGAATGTTCCAAGATATTGGACTAAGCAAAGATTTGAATGAGAAATACAAGCAATTTCTCACCGATAATGCTCAGCTTAGCAGCAAAATTGACTTCAGCATTCAAGTTTTATCTTCAGGATCGTGGCCGTTTGTACAAAGTTCACAATTTCGTTTGCCCAGCGAGCTTGAGCAGTCTGTTCAACGCTTTAACAGCTTCTATGCTAAGTTACATTCCGGCCGAAAGTTGAACTGGCTTTATAACATGTGCAAAGGAGAAATGACAACAAATTGTTTCCGCAATCGTTATATTTTGCAGGTAAATTGAAGTTTTATTCATGCTTTCAATCAAATTTCATTTCTTTTAATAATTTTCTAGACAAACACTTTCCAAATGGCTGTTTTGCTTCAGTACAACGAGCAAATGAAATGGACCTTTCAGCAACTCATGGACAACACAGGTTTGTTTATTAAACAATAATAAAATTTGCGCTTTAATTAATCTTTTAATCTTCACAGAAATAAGTCAAGATAACTTGCAGCAAATCTTGGGAATTCTTTTTAAAGTTCGTTTGTTAGAATGTGATGTCGATGAAAATCAATTAACAGCAGATACCGACGTAACATTGAACACAAATTTCAAGAAGTAAGAATTCAAATTTGACTGCTTATGAATAAATTTATAATTCATTTTACCCTCACTTTCATTTACAGTAAGAAGCTTCGCATAAATATAAACTTCCCGCTGAAATCAGAACAAAAGGCTGAACAAGAAGTTACACATAAACACATTGAAGAAGATCGTAAAATGTTGATCCAAGCTGCCATTGTGCGCATTATGAAAATGCGTAAAGCTTTGAATCACACGCAGTTGGTAACGGAAGTTCTCAACCAACTCTCGACACGCTTCAAGCCGAAAGTTCAAATTATTAAGAAATGTATTGACATTCTGATTGAGAAGGAATATTTGGAGAGAATGGAAGGACAGAAGGATACTTACAGCTATGTCGCTTAAGAATCTGCATGTAAAGTTGATTTCACTCAAAGTTATGCCCTTCACTATCATCGATATTCTTATTTCCTTATTTTTTAAACACTCAAAAGGTTATTTTTCGTATATTTTAGACAATGTTCTTATGAGAACTCTCCTGTCCTTACCTGCCTTCCTTCCTTATTCTTTCTTAATGTCATACATTCTTTCGTATGCAATGAATACCAACAAAAAATGTTTAATCAATTAAATTTGTAACTTTCGTTTGGATTGGAGTTTAATTCATTCGTGTGTGACTAAGCACTGAAACAGAAAAATAAAACAAATGGAACATAAATAGTTAAATTTCTTTTTTATTTTCAATACCGATTAATTTATTTCAGTGTTTCATTAAAAAAAGGGATGAGAAGAGAAAATATAATTAGATGAAAGTCTTTCAGCTTCCTTAAAAGCTATTTTTTTCCTGATTTCTTGATACCACCAGTAGCTAGGGGGCCTTTGCCAGCTGCTTTGGCTTTCATTTCATCCATTTTCTTCTGTTGCTCCTTTTGTTGTTGTTTAAACTTCATGTCCTCTTCATCCAATTCCTAAAACAACGACAAATGAATATTTTTTAATAAGTTCCAATGAGCTTTGTGTAAGATTGGGATGTTTATTAAAATATTTTTGTTCTCACATTCGCTGTCATGTTGAAAGAAAATATGAAAGAAAAAACTTACCTTTCCTTCTTTTTTCGGTGCTTTAAGAGGCTTTTTCTTACCGCCTTCTCTTCCAGTCATAGTTATGAAGTTTTAAAGTTCTTTGTAGCAAGGAAGAATTAAAAACAATGGAAATAACCTTTTCTGCTATTTTCACCTAAAAAGTATTTTTCTGTTCTCAATAATCTCACAGACGGCGCTAAGTTCGTCTTATTTGAGTTTTTGAGGTTATAAATTATGAAAACGACCACCAAATAAAAAGAATTTCCAGTCTTTAAATAAAACCCTTCATGGAAAGAATGTATAAAGAATAGTCAGAAGAATAGAAACACATTGATTTAATATTGGAAAGGACTTTATTTTCTTTCATATCGACAATCGTTATGAAACTCTCATTTGATGTTAGATGATGTTTAGGTATGAGACCATATTTGAACGTTGTTTAGGCTATTGAGCCAGCATTAGAAGCAATACGCGGCCACAAATCAGCACATTCTTTTGCCACTGGTCCTGTGATAGCTGAACCTTTCATTTCGCCTTTTACGTTCACAATTACTCCTGCATTGTCTTCGAAATAAATAAAAATTCCATCTCGTCTGCGGAATGGTTTTCGTTGCCGAATGACAACTGCAGGCATTACCTAAAAGAGAAAGAAAGTTAAAGCAATGTTACACTGGAAATAAAACTGATTTGATGCCTCACCTTTTTTCTCAGCTCTGGTTTACCCTTTTTGACGGTAGCGACGAACATATCTCCAACACCAGCAGCTGGTAAACGATTGAGACGACCACGGATACCATGAACGGCAATAACGTATAAGTTCTTACCGCCTGAAATCAAATAAAATAACAATAATAAATTTGACATCCAGTTTGGAAATGTTTTTGCAATTTACCAGTGTTATCTGCGCAATTCATGACTGCACCAACAGGGCAGGCAAGAGAGATACGGAATTTACCTCCGGCTGATCCACCACGACCTGAAATGATACAAAAAACACGATTAATATTTTTCTCAACAAAATTTTGTTTCTTTTTCTTCTACCACAAAATTATTTTCCAACCAAAAATTTGGAATTAAATAATTTTCAAGTTTTTGCTGACATCACTAAAAATTTTGCGAAAACTTAATATTCCATCGGTAGTTCAATATGAATATTATATATTTTCACAAAATTGAGTTCAGTGTGGCGTGATTTTACTTAGTTAAAACAAATTAAAACCAACCTCGCTTAGACATCCTGATTCATGTAATTTTCAAAAGAAAGAAGAGAGGGCGCTGAAGTCGAATGGTTCCGTTCAGTAATCAAACCAACCTGAGTTTGAACCAAAACATTTTGCAAAAATTTACATCTAATTCTTCGTGACATGGTGTAGTTATGTAATTCACAGGTTCGTTTTCAATTCATAAGAATAGCAAAGTCAATTAAAAAGGAATTATCCTCTTGTATGCTATTAAATCTATTTTCCCGGTGTTCATATAAGAAGGTCTCGGTTTAGACTTCTGACTTTGTTGTTATTTTTGTATTTTGGTTATAAACTGAAGGAATTCTTAAAAGACTAAAAACAAAAAAATAAAATTAACAATATGCCGTCGTTAGAAGGTGATTATTGGAAAGACAGCAGACTTTTAAGAAAGCCAATAAAAGCTTTGGAGGTGAATGAAACAAAGTTTTCTTAATGTTAAAATAGTTTTCAATAAATTTTTTAATTTCTCAGGACAAATGGAAACTTGTTCCATCATTTCTTCAAGTTAAAGGACTTGTCAAGCAACATATTGACTCTTTCAACTACTTCATCAACGAAGACATCAAAAAAATTGTTCAAGCAAATAACAAAGTGCTTTCCGACGCCGATCCTTGTTTTTACTTAAAGTATTTAAATGTTCGCGTGGGAAAACCAGATGTCGAAGAAGGATTCAACATGTCAACAAAATCAACAACACCGAATGAGTGCAGACTTCGTGATATGACTTATTCAGCTCCTATTTATGTTGACATTGAATATACTCGAGGAGCACAACGTGTTGTTAGAAATGAATTATTGCTTGGAAGGTTTGATAAATTTCTAAATTTCTGTTCTTTAAATACTTTAATTTAAAATTATTTTCAGAATGCCAATAATGCTACGGTCATCTCATTGTGTTCTGACAGGAAAATCAGAATATGAAATATCGAAACTTAATGAATGTCCACTTGATCCAGGTAAAGTTTTCTTTCATTTTAATCCTTAAAAAATTTAATTAAATATGAAATCTAATTAGGTGGATACTTTGTCGTTCGAGGACAAGAAAAAGTTATTTTGATTCAAGAACAAATGAGTTGGAATAAAATGATAACAGAAGACTTCAATGGTCAAATCCAATGTCAGGTTGCAAGTTCAACACATGAAAAGAAGTCACGCACAAATGTCATCACAAAACATCAGAAATATTATCTCAAACATAATTCAATGACTGAAGAAATTCCAATTGCAATCATATTCAAAGCTATGGGAGTTGTTTCGGATCAGGAAATTATGCAATTGATTGGAGTTGACAATGAGACGCAGAAACGTTTTGCACCGTCGTTAATCGAAGCTGTTGAACACAAAGTCTTCACACAAAAACGTGCTCTTGAATACATGGGATCAAAATTGATAACAAAGAGATTTGTTACTGCAGCAACGAAGTACAAAACACCATCAGATGAAGCAAGAGATCTTCTAGCAACAACAATTCTCGCTCATGTTCCAGTTGAAAATTTCAACTTTCAAATGAAGTCAGTTTACGTTGCTCTTATGGTTCGTCGTGTTATGACAGCTGAAATCAATCCAGCATCGATTGACGATCGAGATTATTACGGAAATAAACGACTGGAACTTGCTGGCTCTTTACTTTCACTCATGTTTGAAGATTTATTTAAAAGACTTAATTGGGAATTGAAAACAATCGCTGATAAAAACATCCCGAAAATAAAAGCAGCACAATTTGATATCGTGAAACACATCAGAGCAGCTATAATAACAGCTGGCTTGGAGTCAGCAATCTCAAGCGGAAATTGGACAATAAAACGTTTTAAAATGGAACGTGCTGGTGTGACACAAGTTTTGTCACGTTTATCTTACATCTCAGCACTTGGAATGATGACAAGAGTGAATTCGCAGTTTGAGAAGACAAGAAAAGTGAGCGGACCAAGATCATTGCAACCGAGTCAATGGGGAATGCTTTGTCCATCGGATACACCTGAAGGGGAAGCTTGCGGTCTCGTTAAGAATTTAGCTTTAATGACTCACATCACGACTGAATGTGATGATCAACCAGTGATTCGTTTAGCATTCAATTCAGGCGTTGAAGACATTCGACTTATCGGTGGTGACATCATCAATCAAGACGGAGTTTTTATTGTCTTCTTAAATGGAAACATTCTTGGCGTTGTTCTTGGCTACACGAGACTCCTTCAAGTCTTCCGTTTGATGCGACGAAAAGGATTCATTGGAGCTTTCGTATCGATTCATGTTTCACATTTACGACGATGTGTCTTCATTCACACTGATGGCGGTCGATTATGTCGTCCTTACATTATTGTTCAACGCGGTCAACCACTTGTCAAACAACAACACATTGAAGAAGTTAAAAATGGCACAAGAAAGTTCGAAGATTTCCTTGATGAAGGATTAATCGAGTTTCTCGACGTGAATGAAGAAAACGATTCGTTTATTGCATTTCAAGAGAGTGAAATTGACAGTGAAAAGACGACACATTTGGAAATCGAACCATTTACAATTCTCGGAGTTTGTGCTGGTCTCGTTCCTTATCCACATCATAATCAAAGCCCTCGAAACACTTATCAATGTGCTATGGGAAAGCAAGCAATGGGAATGATTGGATATAATCAAAAGAATCGAATTGATACGCTGATGTACAACATTGTTTACCCTCAAAGTCCAATGGTGCGATCTAGAACAATTGAATTGACAAATTTTGATAAATTACCAGCTGGACAAAATGCGACTGTCGCTGTTATGAGTTATTCTGGATATGATATTGAAGATGCTCTCATTTTAAACAAAGCTTCAATTGATCGTGGCTATGGCAGATGTCTCGTTTATAAGAACAGCAAATGCACCGTCAAACGATACACAAATCAAACATTTGACCGAATCATGGGACCGATGAAAGATGCAACAACTGATAAAGTAATTTTTAAGCATGAAGCACTTGATTCTGATGGCATTGTTGCACCTGGTGAACGTGTTTTAAATAAAATGGTTTTAATAAATAAAGAAATGCCAACAGTGACATCAACAAATCCAGTGGAACAGAAAGACAAGACACCACAAGCAAATTCATTTACGCCAGTCCCGGTTAGTTACAAAGGCGTTGAAGCGAGTCACATTGAGAAGGTGATGGTGTCAGCTAACTCTGATGAAGATTTCCTTATAAAGATTCTTCTTCGTCAGACAAGACGACCTGAAATTGGTGACAAATTCAGTTCACGTCATGGGCAAAAAGGTGTGACTGGATTGATTGTTGAACAAGAAGATATGCCGTTTAATGACTTTGGAATGTCACCAGACATGATTATGAATCCTCACGGTTTTCCATCACGAATGACGGTAGGAAAGACGTTGGAATTGCTGGGAAGTAAAGCTGGCGTACTAGAAGGAAAGTTTCATTACGGCACAGCTTTTTCCGGATCCAAATGCAGCGATCTTCAAGATGAATTGTTTAAACATGGATATAATTACATGGGAAAAGATATTTTTTATTCAGGAATCACTGGCGAGCCGCTTGAAGCTTACATTTACTCAGGTCCAGTTTATTATCAGAAACTGAAGCACATGGTGCAAGATAAAATGCACGCAAGAGCAAGAGGACCGCGTGCTGTTCTAACAAGACAACCAACACAAGGAAGAAGTCGAGAAGGCGGACTTCGACTTGGTGAGATGGAACGCGATTGCTTAATTTCATATGGTGCGAGTATGTTGATCATGGAACGTCTTATGATATCTTCAGATGCTTTTGATGTTGATGTTTGCAATTTATGCGGTCGACTTGCTTACTCATCGTGGTGTCACAGTTGCCAATCATCAACAAACGTCGCTAAAATCTCAATTCCTTATGCATGTAAACTTTTATTTCAAGAATTAACATCGATGAATGTAATTCCGAAGTTGAAATTGAAGAATTATTGATAAAGAAGATTGTCTTGAAATGTAAAATTAGTTCTTCGAATGATGATTTTTTCAATAAAGAATTGAAACATTTAAATTAATAATTAATGAATTTCTTTTTCTTAATCAATTTAATTAAGAGTTGCTGATGTGGTCAGTGTTGAGATTTTTCAAAAGTCTTCACCAAAATCTCATCAATTTTAACAATAAAAGCCAAGAATCGTAAATTTACACTCAAATAACTCACAATAAAATTGTCAAGAAACATCCCTGACACAAAGAGAAAACTTTAATTTAAAGTGCTTTAAAAACTGCGCTCAGCGTACCGCAAAATGCTCGAAAAAGTTAATTTTTTTCTTTACTGAGAAAGAAATTCTTGTGCAATGAGATGACTTTGATATTATCGAGACAAGCAACGAATGAGAGTAGAAAAGAAAGACGACGAGAAACATTTCACGAGAGAAGCTTCAGATGGTAACGAGTTTCAGTTGAGTGAAGATGTAAGTTTGTGGTTTGTCGTTGTAGGATTGTTGAGTGCTTCATTCAAGAGGAAGAGTCGATAAAAAAAAGCTATTAAAGGAACTCTCGAGGTGATAAAGCGAATGTGAGGTGAAGATAGACTAGAAAAAAATCATAACTTAAACTTCACTGATTTCTATTGCATTTTTAATCAAATTTCCTCTGATTCCGTCCGGTTTCCAGCTTTATGCGTCCAACAGATATCGTAAATGCATTTATGGGGGAAATTTAAGTTTATCAGTAAAACGAGAATTGAAGATGGAAATTAAATTAACAAACGAAAAAGAAAAGAAAGCAAAATGAACGAGACGATGAGATTAATGTCTCTTATTTCTTTTATTTTTGCTTCAACGAAATAAGTGTAGACAATAAGCGGCCTAACCGCAACAACAATTTTCCATGCTGCTGTGGAATGAGAATATATCAATGAAATGGAAACCACGTTGAATGTCCAGTTCAAACAAGTTTCAATAGCATGCAAAAGAATGAATCATATCTACATAAAAGCGAGAAGTTAATTCCTTCCAGTAGATGCTGTGAATCTTGTTTTGTTCTGTCTGAAATAGTTGCAGATATCAAAAACATACCAAAGTATGTCTAGGAAGTAGATAGAAATGCAAAACATGCCCAGACATTCGTTTTTGTTTCGAGACGATTGTTGGGAGAATATTTTTTCTCATTCACAGCAGTCACTCCAGACGGAATTTTATGAGAATTACGTAAAGAATGAAAATGCATTTCCAGTTTGGTGTGGGTCTGATATGAAAACAATTTTCGCTTGTTTTTCTTTGCATCGGTTGAATCTTGACGAAGAAAATTTCTACTGATAGGGAAAAGGAAGTAATGTAAACATTACTAACACATTCACATCATTTTCCCGAAACTTCTCGAGTAGGCTTTCATGTAAAGTGTGTGCTGGTATGGGTTTGTGAGAGAAATCCAAAAGTCTGAGGGAGATTTCACCTAATTGCGATCGTAAAATATTTTCTTTATTCCTGACTGAAATATTTGAATAAGATTTTGTAAAATCTTCACGTTTGAAAATTATTTCAATAATTTTATGGTTTTGAGAGTTTCAAAGCGTGAAAATCTCACTTGCAAGTTTTCACATTATACCCCAAAACAATCTTCGCTTAACTTAACACACACAAAAAGCCGGAGAAAAACGAGAACGAGACGAAAATTCTTCAAGTCTAGCTCATCGCTTTTCATTTTGCATTTCTCATTTCAGTAGCTGTTTGAGCTCGTCTCGAGTTAGTTGAGTTTTCCATAAAACTTGTTTTTTGCGTGGTGATAGTCTCGAGAAAAAAATAGAATAAAAAAAGCTTCGAAGCTTTGGAAATAAATTTTCTTTTCATAGTAAAGTGAAAATCCAGAGAAAAAAAAAATCATTTCTCCTAACTGTTGTGAGTGTTTTGATCCCAACAAAAAAAGAATCACATTTTTTTTCAAAGAGGTTTTTAAACTTACTTAAAGAAAATTTTCTATTTCCCGGATTTGAACGAGAACGTTTTTTTATTTTCTTGCTTTCATTCGTATTTTACATTTCGAACCCGGAAAAAGTGATAAAGTTTTTGCGATTCAAGTCACAGCAAAACGACACAGCAGTCTCCTTTTTTTCCTTTAATCAGGAAAGAAATAACCATAAAGTTCGATCAGAGTACACATAGTACTTTGTTTGCTTAGAGTTTTTGATAGGCGAAGGGTGAAATTAACGGCTGGATAAAAAAAGTTCATCTTACCTTTCTCTCTCGCTCACTTTAGGGATTTCGAGAACATTTCGTGTATTTCTATCCTTAAAATTCTTGTGTTTTCCTCTGGCTTTCCTAACGAGCCATTAAATTTATGTGAACATTTTTTCTAGGCAACATACCCGGAGCTGGTTAACAAGCTCGTCTCGGTTGACATTCATTTGTTAGAGTTTTCCAAGAAATTTTGAAAACGCAACTTGATTGAAGAAAAAGTGAAATTTGTGACATTTTCAAATAAGAAAAGCCGATAAACTTGTTAAACGTTATTGGAAATTGGAAATTTATTTTTTTTTCTTCATCAACGATTTATAAATTCATTCGCACAACGTGTGATTGAATCAGCAAGTTAAACACAACATCATACTGTGATTAGGTGAGTCGAGAATTTATTTTTAAAAACCAATTCGACATTTTTTTTTTGGTTTTTCTTTCGCAAGAAAGAGTTTCGTTAAAAATACGTCTTTTGAGTTGATGTTTTTAGAGAAAAGCGCTATTTTCGTTCTCTTTGACACAAAGCCAGTAGCGTGGGTGGAACTACATAAAGTGGTGCACTATGATTCAATCCACCCACGCAAATGTACCTTTTAGAAAAGAGTTAAATTGAGGATGTCTCTTCGGAAATTGATTTAGTCATCTTTCCATGCACTCATTTCATTGACGTTGTGTCATCATCAACGACGACACTGAACAAAAATACATGAAAATAAAAACAGCACAAGTGAAAGAACGCAATTTAGTGTTTCTTCTTATTCAACCCCGTGAAAAACTGTGAAGAAAGCGGCACATTCAAAAAGAAAAGAAAGAATGAAAAATTAAAATAAAAACTTTAAATTTAAATCTCACAAATTTTATTTTCGGCGCAGCGCATTTATAACAAGTCGGAATGCACATTTTTTATTACTGCTTTTGCTGGTGCTATGCAATTGTCAATTTACGGGTGCAAAATAAAATCTTTAGCTTTATGTCGTGTGAGAATTTCATTGGAATGTGTTGTCGTTAGGTGTGGTAATTAATTTTCTCGAAATAGATCTCGATAAGCTTGAATCGCATTTAAAAGCTTTCGCGGAAAAATTTCTTGAATCCTTTGTAGTGTTGAAGGAATTCTTTATGAAGTTTGTCAGACAAAATACCGCTCGGACATTTCTAAATATCTGCTCCGAAACCGCTCATAAAAATGTTTCTTTTCACGAAAATAAAAACACCTTTTCATCTTTTTCTGCTTTTTGTCTCTTGCCTCTCAACAACAAAATTCTCTTCACATGACTCGTAATAAAATTCATGCATCATTGCCGGGTCTAACACATCGCATCGCAAAAACTAAATGAATAAAAGTTGAATTCAATATAAAAAAATATGGAAGAAGATAAAAGAAAAAGCAAATGAGAGCGATGGTAGATCACAAATAAGTAAATAAGTGGAAGCACACAAGTTGGAGCGGAAAGAAGAACTGTAACGTGTTCACATTGCGGTTTCACTGCTTATTGTTCTGGAATGAAGAATTTTGGCTTAGTCAGTGTTTTATTATACCAGCTGGATGTTCAAATTAGTTGTATTCTTTTCAAAAACGAAAGAGACGATACAAAGAAATGTTTCAATACACAAAAATCATTTCCACAGCGCGGCTTAGTTAAGCTTTAAAATCAATCACCAATTAATATTGAAAATGATTTTTACTTCACTTTCAAAGCTTATCTTTGTGAAAATATTTTTCAAAAGCACAATAATTAAACTCATCATGTACACAACTACCAATTTTTCACTTGTTCAGTTAATGAAGAGCGAAAAATTTCTCAAGTAACTCGAGCGTATCTGCAAAATAAATCTGCAAATTATTTAAATTCTTTTGACGGAATTCATCTACGTTCGATGAACTGAAAACGAGAAAATACAAAGTAAACATCAAAATTAAAAAGCTTATTGTGAAAATTGCATGTTCCTACGCGAAATTTGTAAACGAATGATTCATATTTCTCAAGTAATTCTTCACTCTGCGCATTCGCTTGAACGTTAGCGATCATGTTTTAGCGATAATAACAGTCATCTTTCCATAGCGTGAGCATTGCGTTCGTGGATAAGCATATATAACATAAAGAGAGGGAAAGGTAAAGAAATTCTTTAGAATTATGGTCATTTGATGCCTGAAAAGCTTTACTCAACGAATGTGACTTTTTGCGAATGAGTTTCGAGAATAAATAACATAACAGAGCAACAATGAATGAAAGGAAAAAAAGGTTGTCGTCAAGATGAAGTGTTTGACTGTTGAGGGAAAGATATCAAATATCTTTCAATGTACTTTCCTTTCAAACATTTTGGAAGTATGAAGGGTTGGAAATTTGAAAGAATAAACAAAAATAACAGATGATTAAAGACAAACATTACCACTCAAGTTTGTTGCTACTTTTAAGTTCAAATGATGAAAAAGTTGAACAACTTCCTGTGAAATGTTGCAAAAACTTCATCTCTGAAAATGAATTTGTCTTAAACAGTTAAAGCAATTCAAGTGGTAAAAGGAAGAGACACTAAACTCATTAACAGAAGAAAATTTGGAAACTTTAAATTGATAACATGATGGGATTTGCGTCATCTTAGCCACAAAAACATCTAATACGTCGTTCGTCTTCTTGTATAGCTTGCAGACATGAGGGAAGTAATGAAAAATTAACGTCAAACTGCAAAAGAAAAGAAGTAGGATTAAAGTAATAAAACTCTCATTTCGATAAGACGACAGTGTGAAGAAGAATCACCGGTGAGAAAACAACACAAAAATGTGAATTTTTCTCATTTGGTTAAAAGCGTTTTCACATTATAAAATGAAAGGAAATTTCTACGTACTCAGAGCTATTAATCATCCCTTACTTCGAAATGCTTTTTCATTTTTTAAATCAAATTTTCAAATCTAGGCTGCGAGCAAATATTCAAATTTTGAAATGTTCTCGACACAGGCGATCAGTAAATTCGTGTTTTGAATTGCTTTCACTTTCTTCTGGTCAGGATACCGAGAGGTATTTTTGGCACCTTAATTGTTTAGTCATGTTGTGAATGTACCACAGAACGACGAAAATGAAAAAGAAAATGAGTGAAAATCATGATGAAGTGAAAAAAGAAAAATTTATGACTCAAAGGGAAAAGAGAAAAATTGTAGAAATTTTCACGATTGACTAGCGAAATTTTTTGTTTCTCTCACGAGTGGTTTAATGACATGGATTAAGTTAATCGATGTCAAGCTTGCCTGGTCACGTAGCGTAGGTTTCAATTTTCTAGAAAATAAAATGCGTAATCTGAGATTCTTTTCGGGATTCTTCAAGATATCTTGGGAAATAAATCTGATAAATCAAAGAAATCCCTTGCAATCTGGTGTCACTTATTTACTTCTATGGACAGCCGAATAAAAAAATTTGCAACACCAGGGAAATCTCTAAAGAACTTAATAAGTCTATGGTCTATAACTAGCATTAAAATTTATGTATGAAAATGTACGTAATAGTCTCGTATGAGGTTGAACAGTCATAAAAACTCAAATAAGAAACACATGTGCTGTTCTGTATTGTATCAGAACCAGAAAAAACCGAAAATTATTCAATAATAAAAAAGCGAGAAATTCAGATAGCTATTTGGGAAAAGAAAATTCAATAACTGAAAGCTGTATTAGACTATAAAAGCCACCCCGAAGGTGTGTCAGCGGCACAGACGGTATTTTAAAGGAAAACTTGTGAGAAAATGAAAACATTTTCTTAAATAAATATTCATTTCTCAACTTCTGACTTCCTTTCTGGCAAATCAAAAATTCAAAAGATACGACAGAATAAAGAAAACAAAATTCTCATCACATTGTAATGGTTGAGACGTCTATCGTTGCCAATTTCAAGCATTTCTACAAGTGATGACGAGATGAATATGTGTGTGAGAACGTCGGCAACATTTTAAACGCCGTTTTGCGATCTTGATGTTGAAATTTCTCTTCAACGAATCATCGTGTCGCGCTCAACGTTCGCGCAATAAATAAAGAGTAAATTTTTAAAAATAGTTTGCTAAGGAATTCCAGGTGCACATGATGAGAGATTTCTTTTTTGGCTTTCAATGATATGTTGTGTATACACATTAAATGAGAGCATTCAATGCAACCGAAGAACATCGGAATGTTGAGTGGTGGAAGAAGAAGACTCGCGACTTTGATGACGAGAAGAATTTCATGAGAAGAAAGAAAAAAAATCACTTTTCATGTGCATTACCCGAGTCTTCGAGCCAACATTAAAATAAATTTAAAACGAAAAGAAAAACGATGAAATATTGAATGAGATTTACTGTTTCTTGCATCATCGGCTCCAACGTTCCTGCACCTCGTTTAGCATATTTTCAATTAAGCCTGAAACATTTCGCTTGTTCATTTTTCATTAAAGCGCACACCCGCGAATGAGCGCTAATGTTTAATGAGTTTTGAGTCAAGACAGCTAAGAAAATACCCAAATAAATCGAGCAAACTGAAAAGCAGATCACTTTGAATAATCTCGCACAATTTATTTTTCAATTTCATCTTTTCTCTTGCTGTTGTCTTTATTATTTTACAGCCTTTTTTGAATGGAAGTCTTTGTGATGAGAAAATTTTAAATTTCAAGGAACGTTTGCATATTCTGTCAATCTCAACATTTTGATGACCTTCGTTTAAGATGCGTATTTACATCACATGAGAAACGTCCCCGTTCCACTTCCCTTTTCCCTTGAAAAATCTCCGAAATAAAAAAAATGTGTATGCAAAACATAACAAGGAAAAGCAAGAGAAGAGAAACAAATTGACGGTTCAAGGACTCGAGTTTGACGCAGGCGACGAAAGAATACGCAAAGTCTGCAACAACAGATTCCGACGATTGATAGTATCGAAGGTTCAAAGATTTTCCCAGATTTGAGATTTTCTTTGCCTTCACTTATTTCCGTCAAGGAATCCTCAAATCTCAAGGATTAGATATTCAAAATGAAGAATTTTTTATCCGAAAAACCTTTGAATTTTAAGATCCTTGATGTCGGTACTTAAGTTCTGTGTTTGACTTCCCTTCATATATTTTTATTCTAGATTTCGTTTGTAAAATTTTACTTCGTTTCTCTCTCGAATCAAAATCAATTCCACACTCAATTTATTAACTGCTTTTCAAGTAAGTAATCGGATTTACTTATATTGTGACGCTTGAATAAAAAAGAAATGTGGAAGAAATTCAGTTCGAACTTCGAAGACAATACGTAAAATGATTTGAAGAATTTTCATATTTACAGAACTGCATTGAACATTGCGAAGCTTAAAAGTTTTACAATTGTGAAATCATTGAACTGTTGGCACCATTCCTTGAATAGTTCTTTTGAATTAACCTTTCAATCTTTCTATTTACGTTGCTTTGTCCACAAATGTTATTTATTAGAGCGACATTTACCATCTCTCCAAAAAGAATGAAAACATTTTTGTTTCGAGGGAAAATTGTAGAGGTGACCTCATTAATTTCCGAACATTCAACCACTGATTTTTCGACTTTTCATTTGTATTTATAGATTTTTTTTCAATAGATTACTCTTTGAATCTTCCAAAAAGGTGGTTTATGTTTTTAAAATTTCTTTCAACTTTCATTCCCTCGCACTTTTTGTGTTTAATTTTTCTTTAGCCAAAAGTTTCTCACGGAAAATGTTGTGTCGTGCCTGACATCTATTTTAAGCTTAATTAATTACAAGTGTAACCCGCAACAGAGAAAAGAATCATGATGAATGAATTCGTCGGTTTATTATTATTATTTTCTCTCTCTCTGAATACCAAAAGATTTCCGTAGAACATTGCACGTATAAATACCAAGAAAAAAGTCGGATACTGAATAATTTTCCGGACGAGAATGTAACATCGTTCGAATAACTAAAATTAGGAAAGCATGGAGAGATCAAATGGAAAATAGAATAAAATATGCAGAAATTCGTTAAGCATTTATGTTGGAGTGCTGCAAGTTCATGTAAACACGTAGTTCATGAAAATGTTGTCGGTTATAAACTCACTTCCCTCGAATTGCAAAGAATTTTTCTCTAATTTTCACTTTGGTTTAGATTAACATTCGAACAACGTACAGCCGCATATGAAATGAGTTTCTCTCTGTACTCAGATTTCCGCAATTGTGGGTGGATTTAAATTTTTCTTCGATTTCTTTTTTGAAAAATCATTAATAGATTAAAACCACATCAATATTTATTTTTCCTTCCAAGAAATTGCAATTCGAGCGTTGAAAAGCTACCGTGAAGTAAATTGATAATTAAGAGATTGTGGGGAAGAAAATGGAATGAAATTGATCGCTGTTTACAAAGGTCAAATGAAAAAGTTCATCGTCACTTAAATTATATCAAAAGTTGTCGTTAATACTTTCATCAACTACCACAATTTTATTAAATCAAAATAATCTTCGACCTACATCACTGACACAAACGACAGAAACATTTAATTGGCACATAAACGAATCCTTATATAAAACATTTCAATTTTATAAGATTTCCGTCTTAAAAATAAAAGGAATGAAATTCTTGCTCTACTTCATTGCTTATGTTATTTAATATTGAGAAGATAAATTAAATTTATTCAATCTTCAGCATATTTTCATGACTTTACATAATTTCATCTTAACATGCCAATCAATTCTCTTGGAAAATGTCAGGAAAGAAAATTTAACGCGGAATACAAACTCGAAGCAACATAATCCACTTGACAAATTGTTTAGCAATTTCGCAATGAAAAAATTGCTAGGAGATCGAAGATAGTCTCACGTGTCGCTTTTTTTATCCTTGCATACATCATCAGTATGACTGATGGGATAGAAAAACAAAAATATTTTTATGAGGTCATTGACAGAGTTGTTAAATGTCAAAAGTGACAAATATTTAGGACGAAAATGTTGTCTTTTGGCAATCAAGAAAGGCGAAGGCAAAGGTCGAATAATTTTTCTTGTCTCTTGACATCTAACATTTCCATTTTTATATGAAAAATTGAATTGGAAAAGACTGATCGACCCTATGAGATTCCGATTGCCCATCTCTTAACTTAATAGTAATGTGATGCCAAAAATAAACAGACCATGACACGAAAACCAAATCGATCGACCGATAATTGAGTTTAGTTTTCACTTGCACGAAAAGGCCATAAACACACAAATTGATAATTAGAAATTAATTAAAGCTTTCTCGCTGAAGCCCAGCGGACATGAACCGAAGAAAATGGAAAATTTTCTTTTTATAGAAATTGGTAAATTATCGAATCTTCACACATCGAAGTTTGTAATAAATGAGAGAAACATCGGAAGGGATGAAATTTCCCTTTCACATATTTGGTAATCGATTTACTTTCTGTTTATGTTACTTTTTTATTTCTGATCCGATGGACTCAAAACATGGTAACATGTAAATAACTTTTAAGTATGAGCCTATAAATAGATAAATAAAAAATAGAAATAAAGGTGGCGAAAAATAACCAAAAAACTTCTTGCGTAAGTAACGAGGAGGGTACAAAAAAGTTGAGAGCAAAAAATAAACTTGAATATTTAAATGTCACGGTCACAAGGGTTGCTTTACATAAATAAATGTTAATGTCTTTTCTTTGACATGGAAAATTATTCCCTTCGATTCAAGCTTCAATCTCTAGAGACATGAGACATGAAAAATCTGTTTCCATTCCGAGTTTTATAATTCAAATCATGTTTTTAAAAACGACAAGGAAATCTCTGATCGTGTCAAAAACAAACTGAAAATTTCTTTAACCTCAAATAACAAATCCTAAGCAAATCAATTAATGAAGAAACGTGAAAACTTTTCTTATTTCTTCTTAACTTTTGGCTTTATTCAAATAATTTTTTTTCTTCTTTTTCTTGTAACATTCAAATTAAGCTTAGGCGAAGAATTTTCACCATTAAAACAAATTAACAAGCGAATGAAATTTACGATCGAAAAGGAAGACGTTAAACAGAGATTATTCCACCGGAGATTTTCCACTTTCCACTCTACGTTTGTTAAATGTGGAGCAGTTAATGGGGGGGAAGGCGGGGAGTGCTTGCGAAATTTGATAAACAACATTTTCATCATGATAAATTTTTGTATTTTATAGCTCACGGATACGAACAATTCTCGTGAAGTTCTCATGAAAAGTTGGCCATTGGCCCAAAGGCAACTTTGTTTCAATTATTTACATTTTCATTTAATTCTAAACAACTTTCATACCTTAGGATTTGATATTGAACATTAAATTTTGTTAGTGGCAATGCTCACACCTCTTGAGATATAAAGAAAGGAGAAAGAATCATTCGCAATGATCCAAATGAAACTTAATGATATTGCAGTTGAAGTGTCTGTTCATTCTAACGAGACAATAAATCTTCAAAGAGGCTACAAAAAGCCGAGTGTACATAAAAGAATATTTATTGTTGAAGATGCTTCATTAAAGAATAAAATTGAGGTATATCGAAGGAGCACAAGACAAAACAAGCTTGTGCTTGATTCTCATGAAAATGAGAAGAAAAAAAAGTTTAAATGCTTGACTGTAAGGCATGCCAAGTTTTGAACTCAACTGACAAAACCATCAAAAAGGTAAAGTTACTGCCTTAGAGATATTGAAAAGCAAGATGAAACAAGTCAGTGAATGCAAAAAATGAAGCGAAATAAATAAATTTCATCGTGAGCGAAACGTTAATAACAGAAAAGTGAAAAAAGAAGCGATTGAAGAGGCCTCTGAGAACTGAAGAAAGAAATCGGATTTCAAAGAAGAAAATAAAATTAAAAGTCGGACGGGAAAAAATGAGGGAGAAGTAAAAGAAAAATATGTTTTAATTTTAGAACTTTTATAGATCATCGACTCATACAGCACTCACTCATACCAAGCAGTCAGAATAATGTGCCAAGCTTCGCATTGTTCATTCGTTTACTTTTTGCGATGAAATTCTTGCGTAAATATTAAAACGTAAACATTTTGGAAAACAATGTCAGTTGATTAATTTCTGTTTTTTTCTCTTTCTTCTTTACATGATAGTTTAATAGCTTTTAAATGAGTCATAAATGATGAGAAATTATGATAATTTTAGTCTGGAGGAATGACAAAAATGTCTTCTTAAAACTTTTGGGAGTGAAAAAGTTGTCTGGTTTTGACAGAATGGAATTATGATGATTTGAAATTCTCTGAGTAAAATTGCAATCAAACTTTGATACCAAAAATATTTCAATTTAAGTTCCGATCCTTAAAATCTGCAATGATCTTAGAATTTCTTGAATTTAATTTATTTAATGTGGATTGTGATTTAGAATTTATTTCCTCAAATTCATAGCAAAGATTTAAATTATATGAGAAAATTCCTAACTGTTCCTTGTGAGTAATGATTTGAGATAAGTATCGAATTGCAGTCATCAAGCACTTCACTTAAGTAATTCAAATCAAACATATAAATTTTCTAAATCACCTTGAACCTCATTCCACAAGCAAATTGAATTCAAGGATAATAAAATAAACATGTTTGTCTAAGAAGATTGCTTGAAAAGTATGAAGTATTGAAAGAGAGAGAGAAATAAAAAGAAATCAAATGTAATTGTTTGCGTTTCTGTTATTTTATTTCTCTTCCATACAATCCCGCCAATGATTGAAGCCTCTTGAGTTCTCCTTTCGTATTCATCTCGTTAAAAATTCATGTAACGATAAGCTGTATTGGAATGTCATGGATTTCTTCTTCATTCTTTTTCAATTAAATAAAGAAACAGCAACAAAAAAATTTCGTAATATGCAAAGAAGAACAATGGAAAGCTTCCGTGAATGGTCAAAGCATCAAAACTTATATTTCCTAATCACGAGCGAAGCAATAAGAACCCAACTTGAAAACGTCATTTATCATTTTGGAAATTGTACACTATTAATAAAACTGCTGGAAGGTTTTAGTTTGCATAGATACTTAGAAGCACATTATGTCAGAAGTCAAACAAATCTGGACGAAGAATAAGAAAATTTAATAAATGACGATCCGACAGAAGCAAACCGTTTTATTATTGCCACCATGAACCTTTCTGAAACGATACTTCTTAAGTTCTTTCCTCCATCTTCTTCTCTCATTTTTTTCATACACTCGACTGACTAAGACAACATAAAAAAGTTTGTCGATGAAAATTTAATAAAATTGCCTTCGTTGTCCTTGCAAAAAAAGGTTTTCCGGCTGTTGCTTGAGTGGCTTTTACATCAAACAATTACTGTAGAAATCATACGATTCTTTATTACGGAAATCTGAATATAAATTTTTATAAATTCAAGCAGCATTACACCCAACACCTTATTACTTCGATTCAACGATATAATCCTCGTTCCACTCCAATAAGTCGCTGAAAAAAAAGGAAAATTCAAATTAATTTTCATCGATTGAAAAAGTTTTGTTTTCTTAATCAAATCGATTTGAAATCTTAAATGAGAAAAATGTCGATGAATCTTAAAAATTTAATGACGATTCGTGATTCATTGCCAGCTTAATTTCATGTTTCCTCAAAAGCTTACGAATCATAAAATGAAAATCCCATACATAAACAATGTCGTTTTGTTTTGGTATCAACAAAATCCCAAAGTTCGCAGTTATGTGCGAATAATAAACATCTTAGGATGAGTGATTGTATGTTGCCTAAAATATATTTTGTTTGTTTTTCCGACTCATTAAATGCTAATGTTAAGGAAATTTATGAGCAGAATCATCTCAATGGTTAAATTTTAAGAAGAAATCAATTTCTTAAAAATGTAGAAACAGCGTCATAAATAACCTAAACCCACAGATATTCTGGGAAACATATGTAAGAAGCATCCATAATAACATCCGCAAACAAAATATCTACCATCACACTTGTGGTATTGATTTTCTTTTTCATTTCCCTCCTCAAAAGGTATCCTTTGTACAATGAGAAGCCTTAAACAAAGCATTAATATTCAGTGCTTAAGTACAGAGTCGGACAATGTCATGAAAAATTTAGATCACAGATTTAACATAATTAAAAAATTCTTTTCTAATATTTCAGTCAAAAATTGCCCAACTCTGCCATACTTAAATATCGTCAAATAAAAAATAAAGCAAGTCAAAAGACAATTTATTGTGACTTACAAAAGGTTTCCGTTTTTTTACCTCAAAAAGAAATTTACTGAATACTTCTAGAAAATTTCCCATCCCAAACGAAGCCTATCGATTAGATTTTCCAGGGTGGTTACAATAATTACAAAAGTTTCATTACAAAATTATCCAATCAAGTCTATCTCCTTACAAAAGCATAAATCATGCAATGCCTAATGGTTCCTTTTATCTCAGCACGAACCATCAAATTAACGCGGCAAGTCGCTGGAAAATCAGAAAAAAAAAGAAGATTTTTCATTTATTCTCTTTGATAGCCGTTTAAAAGGTTCCCAGTCGACTTTTCTTTTGGGGGATGTTATAACGATAAGATAAAATGTTTCAATACGTCAAATGGGGAATTGATATTAAACTCTCTCTTTCTCTCTTTCTATCTCACACCCACACTTTATCGAACATCATATAAATTATTATGTGAAAATTTGTTCTTAACGACGTTCACTCAATGAACAAAGCCACATATTGCCTCATAAATTTCTCATGTGAGAAATATCTACAAATTTCCTATACTTATCTACTTTACCTTTCGTTTTTATTATTTGCAGACTATTTTATCGATCGGATCGAACGAACAAATACCTAATTACTTTCGGAATAAGTTATACAAAGAGGCCAGATCACAAAAGCGCATTATAGACGGTGTCGTCAATCGATATCACGTAGTTCGGGAACACAAATTTAATCCCCCTTAGAAACAGCGAAGAGGGAAGGAAGCAACAGTAATCAGCAATGTCATCGACAGAAATTGCCGTGTCACCAACAAAGAAAACGACCAAGAAAAGCGTAAGTAACGGTGTGACAAATGGATGTAATTTGATGGATAACAGCGAGTGTAGCAATAGCGATAACGATGATGAATCAACGGACCAGCAAACGTTAATTACTAATCTTAGCGAGACTAACAAAGACTGTCACGCAGATGTGTGTATGGAACCGCTTCTTATTCAAGATTGTTCTGTTGAGTGTCCAACTAATCCAATTAATGAAACTAATCAAGTGTTAAGTGACAATAGTCCTAGTAAAGATTTGGTCAATACAGTTAAGTCCTGTGAAGAAGAAGATGACGGTGAAGGGCAGGAAAGTGAAGAAACAACACCCACAGCTGATGGTGGAGATGGAGGGGGATTCATGAAAGCAAACATGAGTCTGAACTTAAACGATGACAAGAACATGCCAAAAAATAAAAAGTTTTTAGAATCGTCTGACGATCAAATCATAAATCAAATCTTCTTCTCCACCATCACAGTAACGCCCACGACCGATGATGATATGTTAGATAGTAAATTTTTAAGCAGTGATAACACGCCACTAACACCTAGCGAAATCGATCCAGAACTTTTGGTAGGACCTGTCGACTTCTTTAACCAGAAAATCGATGAAGACGAAACATTCGACACGACATTCACTGACACAGCTGAGAATTATCATGAGAATGATGACGGAAATTTATGTTCGTTGAATGACAATTTTAATGAAAATTATTGTTCGTTTTCTTCAATTGACTATAACACGAATGCACCACTGCAACAGGAATCTCCCGAAAATCCCAATGATTTACTTCAACCAGACAATTTCCTTGGAGATTATGCAGAAATTATGCGACAACAACGTCCATCAATCGTCATTGATTGTTATGATTCGGACTCAAATAGCAAAACTGATGAAGATAATGTTGTCGTTGGTGAAGCAAAAATCAATGACTATTGTTTCTATTTTGATCAGACAATTGAAGAAGACGATGACGATGCTTGCTATTTAAACGGTGTCAGTGATGAAATTTTAGAAGAGCTTCCATCGCATGAGAAAGTTTCAGTGGATGGTGAAACGATTGAAAACTTTCCAACAGATGAAAATGGTAAGATGCTTGATGAAATAGATGAATGCTTTGACACAGAAGACGAAATATTTATCGAGGATGATGATTTGCCTAATGAGTGTGATGACAAGTCGCTTGCTTCAGATGAAGACGACGAAGGTGTCATTAATGAAAGTTGCATAAGTGTAAACGTAAGTAAGCTGCGTATGAGCTTTTCTGCTTTAGTTGTTTGCTAGAATTTTCTTTAAGATAAACTGCTTCAGTAACCTAAACAGATATTTTTTAATATAACGAATATTTCTCGAATGCCTTGCGGGACTTGCTTTGAAAAATAATCATAGATCATCATCCTTACATCTCTCTAAAGCTTAAGAATCTCTTGAGGTCATGACAATGGGATAACTTTCCTTATCCTAGGATTTCATGGCATTAAGTAAGATTAGAAAAGCTTGATTATAAAATATTTCTATAAAGTCCGCTACAAAACTTTGATAGAAATTTTAAAAGAAAACTTTTCTACGATTTCTCCCACGAGTATTGACAGGTGTTTCATAATCCGGAAATAATCAAGCTTTTAAATGATTGATAATAATAAATTTATCAAGAGATTTGACTCTCACAATGAAACATAAGAAAGAGAAAAGAATTTCCAAGAAAAATTTAATTAATAAAATTAAAACTTTTCGGTAATCTCTCAAAAATGTCAAAAGTCGCCCTTTTCCGTCAATGAAAAGAAAGAAGAAATCTTACAAATCACAAGCAGAACCTTTCAATTCTTTCGAAATTCCAAATGAATCCTATAATGTCAGCTTAAATAATTATTAAGCTAATAATCTTTTCTTTTTCAACCTTCTTCTTAGTCTGCTGTCGAGAGTTTGGAATCAGAAACGACGGTCGTTAAAAAGACTGTCAAGAAATCCTCGAAAACATCAAATAAAACTTCATCAAATAAAAAAACAATTTCAACAACAGAATCTTCATCAATTACTTCTTCGAAGGCGGAAAGCTTTGAAACCTCTTTTAGTAATGGATCAGTGGAAGTTGTTGAGCAGCGGCAAACTGTTAAACAAGCATCTTTAACAAGCAACAAGTCGATTGATAGCGCGTCATCAGGAAAGAATGTCGTTGAATCCATTAAAGATTCACCTGAACATTCACCACATGAAAATGGCGAGAAGAAGAAAGTCAATGGAAAAAAGAAATCGAAGAAGTCAAAGAAATCTGATTCGGAAAAGGAAAACATCTCAGTGGTGAGTCGTTACTTTAATTCACAAGGCACATTGTCAGTTCCACCAACCCTTCCAACACCCTTTTCAGTAAGAATATACATTAAATGTTATTTCTTTAGATAATTTAAAAAGTTTTTGGATTTCGTAATCATTTTTTTGTTTTCTTACTTTTGCATCGCGTTGATTGTCTCATGGTGCTTTTTCATTTTGATGGCTTGTCATCCTTTCATTTTGCAATGTCTGATGCATGTTAAGCTTAACGTCATAAAATTATTTAATCGTTTGTCATTGTTGGCCAATCAGACTACATCACAATCATCGTCGTCAGATTTTTTGATGCCTTCTCCAGTTAAAGACAATTCCACCACATATAACGACAATCAAATCAATAACAATATTGATGATGTAAATACCAATGGCATTGAATGCGATAAAGCAGATGGTGCCAGTCATAATTTCGCTAATGATAGAACGAATCGAAAGTTCATCATGTCGTCGAGTCTTCAGCTTCACGAGGATGATTTATCTAAAATTGATGTGAAGAGTCTGGTAAGCAATGTTGTTGTTACTTCATGGTGTAGTCTGCTGGGATAAAAGTTTTATTTTTCTCTTCTGTCACTTCCAACGCTTGAATTTTCTTCCTTAATTTTATTTGACTGGCTCAAATTTTAACTTCTTTGTACGTTGATGATGTCAGGAAAATTTGTTTTTTATCGTGAATTAAATTATCTGTCAATTAAATATCTTCATGAACGTACAACGCCAACGCATAATCTTTTAATTTTCATTCTTTTTCGCCACAAATTTTTATTATCTTTTTTTTTCTGCTTAATTGACAAACATAATTAAATTATGTTTTTCCCAATTTTGCTTTTCACAAATTAATTCTCCTTTTTTTTTGTTATTACTTATTTGTTATTTTTATACTTCATGACGGTCGTTCATTGTTTCTCAATTAACGCATAAAAAAATTTATGTGTGTCATAAAAATGAACAAAAATAAAACACTCAATCAATTAAATGGCGACTAAACAGAAAGAAAAGTACAGTAATGCCATTGAGAAGCAATTTTTGAGAGCGTCAGCAGTTGGAATGAACGCCCCGGGATATTTGGGTATAAACAGAGACATATCAGTTAAACATTTGGTGAGTATGAATTAAAGCAAATACTTTTTTAAGCTTTCTCGTGACGACCTTTGCATGTTGCATGAATTGTTTGTGTTCTGTTTCAATTTGTTGTGCTTTGCAGTGTCGGAGCTTTGGCGATTTGACGTCATTAAACAGTGAAGACAACAACAGTAATCATTTTCAACAAGTATACGTAAGTAATCTGATGACTTTATTTTGTATTCAAAATTTATTAACTTTCTGCTTCGATATTTATTCGCTTTGTGCCCAATTAATTTACTCGGTTGCGCGAAATGAATAAGAAGTGAAATTCTTTCGGAAAATTAATCGCTTTCATAATAGTCGTTAAGCATAAGCAACTCTTCTTTAAACTCTTTTAATTTGCTGGAGTGCGGATGAAAGAAAAATCGAAGTATTAACGCTAACCGTAATTTTCGGGTATGGCTCTTATTGAGATTCTCACTTCTCATCGGTGATTTATTTTTATTGATTCAAATTCTAATTAACTTCGGTGAAACTAGTTGGAATTACTGGTCGACTTACGTTGCTTTATAGCTGTAATTCTCGAGTTCTTTACTGACAAATCATTTCCACTAGCTAGTAAGATCGTTATTAACACTTTTCTCTCATTTGTTTCTTATTTCCCGGCGAATATTCTTCAATAATGTTTCTTTGAATTGAAAATCAATTCATCTGTAATAAATATGAAACATAACTGAAGAATCTTCCCACTTCTACTTTAGTTTCTTTTAATATTTATAATTTATGTGTATACTAACCTAGCGAACAAAATCTGTCTGTGATTTGAGAAAATTGGAGCAATTGCCCATTTATACGGGAGTCTCAGTTCGGAATTTGGTAAGTTATTGGTCTTGCCCCATCTTCCAAAGCATCGCTCAACTTCGATTGAATTCGATACAGCTTTGCTTGGGAAGATGAAGTAGATATTTGTTAACTTTTTTATTTTATCGATTTGCATGGAAAATTAATTGAAACTTTGTAATTGATGATTTTTTTTTCTTTTTTTTCTTCATTTTTTGTTTTCATTTCAATCAATTTATTTTATTTGTTGTTTGTTATTGGGAACGAAACAAAAAAATGCTTAAATAATATTAATTCACGCCTCGCAAACCAATTGGAAATCACTTCTCATTCCCTCGATTCGAATCGTCTTCGTCTTTAATCGTGATTAACAATCTGTTGCCAAATTGAACATTAACATCGGCATTCCGATTCGGAAATGAATTAAATACATTTTTTATTTGGTTGTGACTTGCTTAGAGGGATAGTTATTGTAATTTAATTGGACTAACTACTACTACTGACTCCAATAACACTCAACATCATCATAATCAACAAAATCAACACGAGCAACCTCATTCACTAATGTTGCCTAAACGATCTAACAATATCATTAACAGCCCGCATAAAATCAAAGCGATAAAGTTAAACATTAAACAGTTTGATATGGTAAGATTATTTTCAGTTCATCTTCACAATTACCTCGGTTGTACCTTACTTCCTTTGTCCAGCAAATTATTAAACTCATTTTCAGAAAGAAATGCTTTTGATCTTCAACATAAATGAGAAAAAAAGATTCAATAATTGTTTCTTCATCTTCTTCTTCGAAAGTTCAATGATATCGTCGAGAAATTACATGAAAGTTATATTTTCAATAACAAAATTGTTTTCGATGAACAAGAATAAAATAAAACGCTTCATCGCAATAATATCAAATTTCTACTTTAAAAGCATTCCAAGAACGACCCTTGCCTTTGTTTTTATTATTTCCGAAACATGAAAGTATCGAGTGAAAAGCTAACATTGCTAACAACATAACAAACCTTGTTACATAAATTCCTTTGATACTAAAAATCCATCATCCTCATATCAAGTTAAATCCCACTCAAATGATGAGAATAAATATTCACAAATTCGCTTCACTACTTCACCCACAAATGGCTTTTTATTTTATTTTTCTTTCGTTTTTCTCGTATTATTTTTAGAAATCAAGTTTCAGTAAATTCGATGCATTGCAAAAGAAAAATATGCAAAATTTACAGAACGGAAAAGGCGAAGCGAATGTAAGTAAAAGAAAAAATAAGAAAACTTCACGGAAGTTTTTAATCGGAAAATAAGATTGGAATGAAAGCTGTTTCAGTATTTTATTTGAGAAGCACTCTTGCAACTTTTGATTTATAATTGTACAAAAAAAAACTCTTTTTTTCTCCTTTTTTTATGACTCCATGCACGAGAAATATCTTTTTATAGTCTCCACACAAACAATTTTAAAAAACTATTAAAAATGCAATCAATATCATCAGAAAGTTAAATAAATTTAATTTCTCACAGGGCCAAAGTTCTGATCAAGAAAAGAAATGCCATGCATGTGGCAAGGTCGTCTTTCAAATGGAACAAGTCAAAGCGGAAAAGAAGTTTTGGCACAAAAATTGCTTCCGTTGCTCTGTGTGCGATAAAAATTTAAAGTAAGTAAAGAATCGGGTAATGTCGCATGTTAAACAGTGCGTGGAACTCAACGCATATTCATGAACGCATCTTCTTTTCATCTTAAAACAGTGTTGATACCTATCAGAGTCATGAAGGCGTGCTGTATTGTAAGCCTCACTTTAAGTCATTGTTTGCGCCAAAAGCTGTTGAAGAAAGCGACGAACCGGTAAAGCCCCGCAAGCTTGAGATGATTATACGCGAGAGTCAACCAATAGAACTTCCACCAGACGTTGTCAGATCATCGGATAAATCTGATTTGGGATTAGAAGAACTTCAACAACTTAATGTTCGACAAAGATTTCAAGTATTTGAAAATTATCAAGAAGCCAAAGTTGAATTGGATAAAAATTCCGCCGCTAATGTCAAACGCAGTACATCGATTCTTTCAAAATTGGCGCGTTTCCAAGCCAAAGGAATGAATGTGGGAGCTGATGATAGTCTCAATGGCGTTTCTTACGAAAATTCGTCATCTGAAGAAGAGGAAGAAGAAAATGATGACGATGAAAATCAGGAAGACATTGAGTTGATTCGAGCGAAAAGAGCTCAAAAAGAAAAGCCTATGTCGTTTAAAGAAATGCACGACATCAAATCGAAGTTTGAAAGTGGGCAATTAATGTCAAAAGAAGGACGACGTGAAGAACGAAAACAAGAGCTTCAAAATATACGATCACGTTTGTTCATGGGCAAACAAGCGAAAATCAAAGAGATGTATCAGCAGGCAGTTGCTGATAGCGAGCAAACGATTACTGCGTCAAGTAGAATGACCGCCGATATTGATATCAGTGATAAAGCGAAATTAATGAAAGAGAAATTTGAAAAAGGAGACGCATTTGATGGTGAAAGCAAGAGAACGATGAATGATGAAGATTTGTCAGTGTTTGAGCAAGGTAATGTTGACTTGACATTATTTATTTTATATTTATGAATTATTCATGACACCATCTTTACCTTGAAACTTCTTTTCGTTTGAAACAGGCATAGGTAAACAGTCACGCTCATTGTTTTTGGAACTTGACGCTACCGCTTCGAAATCTCCTATCCAACAATCGCCCTCTTCAGCCACCCTCAACCGAATGACACCGCGTCAAACTTCTCAGGTTTGTTGACAAACTTCCTAAGCCTTATTTAATCAAGAAAGTTAACAAGGTTCTCATGTATTCATATTTATTTATAGACTGTGGTATCATCTGACGATATTGTTCGTTCTGATTCGAAAGTAGATGATGTGCAAATTGAAACAGCTGACATTGTATCGAAATTCAAATTCTTCGAGACATATAAGCCATCGGAGAAAGAGAAGAAACAGTTTAGAATCACGCCACCAAGGGATGGTGTCACTAAGGTAAGATTAGCATGAAAGCTTTCTCGTGCTTGCTTATGCATAACAATTTTGTTCAACTTTTACCGAAGAAAGCTTTAAAGTTTAATGCAAAATGTTATAATGTGAAGTTCACTTCTTTTTCTGAATTACCAAAGTGAACTTCATTTACCTTCTTTGAATTATTTAATTGTGGAATCATCCGCATGTTGAAATAGTTTTCAAAATTGAATTCATTTTTCTAAAGTTAATTTCGTTTATAAATTAAGATGATGAACTTTATCAATAAATTCAATATTTCTAGTTCTTAAATCTAATTCTTTATCAAATGAAAGAAAGTTCCTGTAAAAGTAAATTTTACTGAAGAAAAAACTTCATTACGCAAATATGTTCAAAAAACTTTCATCTCAAACGAAAAGTTTCAGAATTTTAATGATCTAAAACGTGTCAAACTTTTGGGAAATTAATCTTATTATAACGCTTAGAGCATTTGTAATATGTTTTAAGAAGAAGATTTATGATTTAAGGTTTTGTCACTTCTTAAGACTAAATGGTGAAAGTTTCAATAAGTTTTCTCATGTTTTCACTTCATTAGTTACCATCACCAGAGTCTAACGATAATCACGATACCAACACAAGAACAGAACAAGATGAAATCTTGGAATTGGCACAGAAGAGTAACACAGCATCAAAGATGTTATCGAAATTCCGTCAATTGGAGGGACAAAAAGAAGAGCGGCCGATGGGTCCAAAACCATTGAAGCGCTTCACACCGCCACCTGATAGTGAACGACGAATTACTCCCAATGAAGATTCTGGACCTGAATACAGTGATTCTGAAGATGAAGACGACGAGGAGTGTGAGGAAGAAGAAGACGAAGAGCAAGATGATGATCCCAACTACGTTAAATCGTCTTACAAAAATGACGATGAATTCTTGAAAGCCGCACAGTCCGCAGAACGTGCCAAGCAGTTGCGTGAAAAGTTTGAAAAGTGGGAGAAAAATGAAATTAAAAAGGAAATGAATAATAGTTCGGTCAATTTATTCGAGCCCACCGCTGACGACGGTCAAATGGAGACAGCTAAGAGGTTGGTGTTTGATTTATGATTCTCAAATTTTTCTCATCCTAATAATTTCGATTTTTCTTCTTGTTTCATGTCAACAGTTTACGAGCACGTTTCGAGCAGATGCAACAAGAAGAGCCAAAATTACCAAATACTCGGATCAAAGTTAATCGCTTTGTGGTAAGTTCAAAGTTGAACATTTAAACGATTTTCTTTCTTTTGACTAAATTTCGTTGCATTTCAATTTCTACAGAAGAAAAAGAAGTGAAACGAATTTTGTTAAATAACTTCATTTCATTAACAATTTCTTTCTCCGTTATGCTAACATTTTAAAAATAAGGAAAATGATGGTGATGAAGAAGAAGGAGAAGTAAGATCGACGATAACATGCTTCCTTTAATTTTAATGTTTAAGACAAGATTTCAGATGCTTTCAGACATTTGGGGGTTGTTTATAAATGAAATAAATTTACTTAGTTGAACAAGAACCTATTTAGAAACTTAATGAAAGTTGACGAAAAAATGTAACAAAATATTCATAACATCCCACTTAACAACGAACTTTGAACTTTTCAAGAAAATATCTGAAAACATTGTTTTTCTAATAGAAGTGAAAATTATTCATCAACTCGATTTCCAAGAAATTTTTTCAATCTTTAATGAAATTGACAGGCATAAACCCTTTAAATAAAACATTAACAAGCTTCAAGCTCTCATTTTGTCCCAACAATTATTTATTTACTGTTTGAGAAAGTTCTAATTGAAACATTTCTTTCATTACAGTAATTAACTTGATTCAAGATTAAGGATAAAGCCGATGGATGCTGGGGAGAAGAAGATCAACTGACCTTAGAATAAATGTTATCAACCGAAGCATAAAATTCCCCCCCGTCAAGATATAAACAAAAACGTTTAACCCTCGCTGAAGAAAACAAAATTATAAAAACAAACATTACATCCCGACTGACATTGATGTGCTTAAATAGAACCATGGATTCATCGGACCAAGCATGAAATTTTGTGACACCATTTTTTGTCCCACGACCCTTCACTCATAATTATTGGTCGCTTCAACCTATTGGTTTTTATACCTTTGCGTAATTAGATTTTCTTACTAGCGGACATGATTTTTTCTATAAATTCTTATGACAGAATAATCAAATTAGACTTTTAAAGAAAGGAAAAAAATCTTTTGATAACATACCTCGGACACGATGCAGTTATGATGTCCTTGGGAAAAGTAAATTCTTATGCAATGTTAAAAATATTTATTCTAATTGAATTTATCCCCTTTTCTATCAAGACGAGAATAATTTTAGAAAATACTTGAGATTGAGGGATATAAAGATTATTTAATTTAAGATAAGAAAGTTTGGTTTCCTTCTTCTTCTTTCGTAGCTAAAGAAATGAAATTTTATTGAATGGACGAAGCGAAATTCCGTTTTATAATTTTTAATGAAAAAAGTCTTCGACAATTGATTGACTTTGTGGAAACGATGGAAAATTTCTTCCTTTCTTCTATCTACGATGAAAAAAAGCAGAAAAGAAATGATAAAAGAATTAATTTTCTTTCTCATGTTCAAACTCAAATAAATAAAAAAAATGTTTGCCCTGAAAACTCAAGAGTCGTCAAAATCAATATGATAAAAAATATTATAATGGATGTTGATCGTGGATGGAAATGAAGTACAGTACATTTCATTTTATGTCTCTTGAACTTTTGGATGGAACAACTTTTTAATCTTCTACATCGTGATAATTCATACTTTGCTGTAATAAAATTGTGAAAGATACAACAATATTCATCAGTGTGTCAAAAATAAAACAAATTAAAGTTAAAACTCAAGAGATTATAAAACAAACTTTCATGTAAATGAATGAAATATAAAAAATATAAGAATTAGGGTCATCTATTTATCACCTTAATAAATTAGTTCACATTCAAAATGAATTTAATTCAAATGTGAATTTCTTTGTTTCTTTACCTTTTTGATATTTAGTAGCAGATATAATCGTGACACATTTCATGTACAATCCCATCCAACTCCATGCAAATTAATCAGCATTTCGCATATGAATAATTAAATGTACTCATTTCCCAGACCACAATACGAGCTTACAATCTTTTTCCCTAAACGCCATCCATATGTACATATCTGAACATGAGAACAGAAGAAGAAACTAAATTTTTAACCATCACTACTCCCCTTCAATGGAAAAATCATCTTTTTTTAAATTCATTTCGTTTTTCTATTTAGAAATTTATACAACAATCAAAATGTTTATGAAATAAACGATAAAAGTTTTAACAATATTTGTCTAGATTTGTTTTCTTTCATTTTTCTTATTGTTTTCAGGAAGTCATCGAAAGCATTTTCATAGATAGGTATTTTAATTAATTTTGTTATTTTTGTTTCGTTATAATAAAATTAAAGTTAAATGCAGTGACTGGAAAAGCTTCTTATCGTTTGTTTATTCTTCTGTCTTGTTCAGCGTGAAATAAGAAGAAATAATTAATTAACTGTGTTAAAATGTAAAACAATATGCTTCGTTAAATGAAAGGCAACAAAAATTTTTGATTTAATCTTAATCAACAACATTTTGTTTTATTGTTCGACTATCACACTATCAAAACAAATTCATGAAAGTTCAATTCTTGATTTTACCAAAATATTTCTTTTCAATTCGAGCACAGAATTGCGTCAACGTGATGTATTTGTTGATAGTTTCTTTGAGTGACGAGACACTTGCTGGAAGTTCCATTGTGAAAATACAGAAAAGGTGGCCAAAGACAAGAGCATCAAGTTCTGATGGTTTATCTCCGAAGAAGAATTCTTGATCTTTAAGCTTCATTACCAACGACTGACAAAGTTTATCGACTCTTTCAACAACTTCATCAAAAGTTAAGTTCTTCCAATCGTAAAAGTTTAATTGTTTCAAAACTGCTCGACGCTTCCGAAAGTTCTGAATGTGATTTAAAGGAAAGGGATAAACGAATCCATAGCGTTTCTTGGTGATTTCATTTAAAACAACTTCACTGCACCATGTGATGTAAAGCTCAGCATTTGGGAGGATTGAATCAACCAATGACATGTGACTGTCAAAAATATATGAAAACATTTTTTATTTTACAAATTTCAAACAGAACTTACGTGACTAAGTCATCTTTATCTTCATTACTGAAGTTTTCTGTCAATGACAACTTTTTATATTCCATCAAATTGATGATCGGTTCAAATTCTGCTGCTAAAAATTCTCCAATTTGTACGACAGGAAGTTTCGTTCTTTTGCCACTTGGAGCCATAAATTCAGCATTGGCGCAAGATTTAACTAAGAAATCACGACCGAGCATCTTTAGATAAGTCTTCACTGCTAGACAACTTGCATTCTCAGCCAAAAGAATTTGTTCAGCTTCCTAATGGTGAAATTATGAAAAATTGCTTTTAAATTGATTGTAATGTAGCTTACATATGGTTGGTAAATGATGATCTTTTCATTCATCTCTACTTTCTCTGTAATTGATCATAATTTATGCAGATTTGAGTTTGAATTTTTTGAAATTCTTTCAATTTTAAATTTGCTTACCCAAGTCATTTAAATTTAGATATAATTGCACAGTGGAGTTTTTAGCCATAGTGACGAGTTTAGATTAACTTTTAGAGACTAGTTGAAAGAGGACAAGAAAAAGTATCAAGTCTTTTTACAATATTTCGATTTATAAGAAAAATATTGGAGAGAAATTTAATTTTCGACCAAAATGTAAACAAAGATTTGAATTCTTCGACAAAATCAAAAACCGTTAAATTTTATTTTAATACAAAAAGTTTCCATCTTCCGAATTTTTTATTCACTTCATTTAAAATCTTATTTCTTTTCAGCTTGATAAAGATGATGAAGATCCAAACAATCTTGCTCTGAAATTAGTTTCCAACCATCTTTTTTAACGTGATAAACTCGAACGGTACCTCCAGAATAAGCATCACGATAAGTTGCATGATAAATGGAACGACGACCAAGTTCTGAATATAAAGGAAACATTATTTAAATTTTATGAAAAGTTTAAAAATCACAATAGAGTGTCAACATACCATGAGCTTCTTCATCGGTGAGATCCCAACGGTATCCAGAATCAAGAACACCATATGCAAATAGAGATCCACTTCCCACAGAAAACACCTTTCCTGTTGTTCTTGTCCCATCAGAATCCAAATAGTAAAGGCTTACTTGTTTCATATCACCACCAGCAAGAATCATTCCCATAGAAAGTCCAGAATTCTTATATGAGTAAATGATATTATTCATGATTTTTGTAGCTGCTGCTAATGAAATCTTCTTCTTGTTGCGCAACTCATACAAACGGCATTCAGATGTCAACACACGATACCAGTCTAAAGTTGAGTAATGTTCACTGCTGTTTTCATAATAAAATGACAAACTTACATGTACAATCAGCAGCACCACCAGCCAATGTTCCCAATAACAAGTCATTGATTTCAACAACTTTACGAACTGATTGTGATCCGATGTATTGTCCACCAGTTGCACGAGAATCAACTGCAAGAACAACACCTCCTTGATAGATGAAACCTAATGTTGTTGTTCCATGATCGAATTGAATTTTTATGTCATCTTTTCCTTCTTGAAGCTTAGCAAGATTTGCAGATGGCTATTAAGGTGATGAATGTTAGGGCATAATTACTAACAATTAAGAATCTTAATATTGTAAAACTTACGTTATTGTATGGTGGAACAGCGAGGACTCGATTATTTTGGAAACTTTCAAAATCCAGTTCTTCTGAAGGTGCGAAATCTTTGAAATCATAACCCATTGAAGGCATCTGTTTCAAGATGTCATTTAAAGCCATCTTTACACTTTAATTCAATTTATTTCAGAGGACAAATTATTGTTTTTCAATTTAATTCTTTTGTCGGCAATGACTTTACAATTTTTGTCGAAAGTGTGGTAATGTTAGTGAGGATCGAAAATTATTTGTCGACAAAAATTTCGACTTGCACAAGGAAAAAAAAATATTTGACAGATTGTGTGTGATTACATCTAAATTATTAAATTTTATATCAAATTGTTCTTTAAGGTTTACACTTATAACATAGTAGCCAAATCAAACAGTTGGTTTGGCTCAATAAGACAATGTTTTCAATGCAGAACCTCAACCATTCAATACATAATCAGGTTGGAAAGATTTTTTTTCGTTTTCAAGATCATTTAATATTTTATTTTCTTTACTCACATACAACAACAGCAAGCACTTCTCTTTCATCTTTCGAACCTAACACCGCGCTTAAATAAAGTTCCTTTGAAACAGGAAAAGTCAAATAATAACAGAACCCAGAAGAAGGACGTTGTAGCGAAATCGTTAGCTTCATTACGAAATGATTTGTTGGAGTTATTGAAGACTGAGTTTAGGGACTCAGCAACGCTCAAGAGAAAGTTCACATTCGACATTAACTTTAGTAACCGTCTTGAAAACATTCTGATAAAGACATCAACAGTTTGGAGTCCATCAAACGTTTATATCTCATCGGGTTCATTTCAACTTGACAAAAACTCTTCTGTTTTCACAGAAAGTAGAAAAAATAGCGGATATTTAATTAATGGAGGATTAAATAAGATAAATCGATTAGAAGTCAGTTTTTTGAACAACCACCAAACAAGATCTTTTAAAACTTATCGCTCACTGATTGATAACAACCGAAATCCAACAATTTTAAGCCGACTAAAAGAAGCTTACGGTCAACCCGGGGTTAGAGGTCAAGTAGTTAATCCACAGACAGTTCAGAACGCAACTCAAAATGAATCATTAACCAGACTTTTAAACGATACTGAAAATCTTAGTGTCGAACAAAAGCAACAACTGAAAATAGCTTTTGCTGAAGGTTATCTTGCTGCGAATCATCCTGACAATGCTCAAAAAAGTGGTCGAGCTATGAAGTTTCTGAAGGTCTTTAAAAATTAATTTTCTCACTTTTCTTTTTTTACATTTCTTTAATTTTTTTAAGGTCTTTCAACAATTATTGATAATAATCGTCTTCATGGGTATTTTTGTTAGTTTATTTGCATCCAACAATGGTTCTGTGTTCAGGTAATTCTAAGCACAAATGATGCTCTTTAAAAAAAGAAACAAAAAGTGATTCTCATTGTGATGATGATAATTTTTAAGAAATAATTTTGGTAATAGAATTCAACTAGGACAAAACGTAGAAGTTGATCCGGAGGACATTACTGTGTCGTTTGACGATGTAAAAGGATGTGACGAAGCGAAGCAAGAATTGAAAGAAGTCGTTGAGTTTCTTAAGAATCCCGACAAGTTTAGCAACTTAGGAGGAAAATTGCCGAAAGGTGTTTTACTTGTTGGACCTGTAAGTAAACATTTTTAAAATTTTTTGAATCTATTTCTATGATTTCCACTTTTCAAAAGCCTGGAACAGGAAAAACTTTACTCGCTCGTGCCGTTGCTGGAGAAGCAGGTGTCCCATTCTTCCACGCAGCTGGTCCAGAATTTGATGAAGTTCTTGTCGGTCAAGGTGCAAGACGTGTTCGCGATTTATTTAGTAAGTTATTCTGTTATTCATTTTCATACAATAACTAAGAGGAATTGAATTCGCAGAAGCAGCAAAAGAACGCGCTCCTTGTGTCATTTTTATTGATGAAATCGATTCTGTTGGAGCAAAACGAACAAATTCTGTTTTGCACCCATACGCAAATCAAACCATCAATCAACTTCTCTCAGAAATGGATGGCTTTCAGCAAAATGAAGGCGTCATTGTTCTTGGCGCTACAAATCGTCGTGAAGATCTCGACAATGCATTAATGCGACCGGGAAGATTTGATGTTGAAGTTGTTGTACCAACACCAGATTTTACAGGACGAAAAGAAATCATCACGCACTACTTGGGAAAGATTCTTAGCAAAGACATTAACATTGACATGCTTGCACGTGGAACGACAGGTTTCACAGGTGCTGATATTGAAAATATGATTAATCAGGCAGCATTAAGAGCAGCAATTGAAGGGGCTGAAGTTGTGGCAATGAGACATCTTGAAAGTGCACGCGATAAAGTGTTGATGGGACCAGAACGAAAAGCACGCTTGCCTGATGAAGAAGCCAATAAAATTACTGCTTACCATGAAGGTGGACATGCCATAGTTGCTTATTACACAAAAGTAATTTTAATTTAAATTTTCATCTCCGAAATTATTTCTGACATTTAAATCTCATCTTTAGGAATCACATCCGCTTCATAAAGTAACAATAATGCCACGTGGACCTTCACTTGGACACACTGCTTACATCCCAGAGAAAGAACGCTATCATGTCACAAAGCAACAATTATTAGCAATGATGGACACAATGCTTGGTGGACGAGCGGCTGAAGAGTTGATCTTTGGCCCGGAGAAAATAACTTCTGGTGCCAGCAGTGATTTGAAGCAAGCAACATCGATTGCATCGCATATGGTGAGAGATTGGGGAATGTCGGAAAAAGTTGGACTTAGAACAATTGAAGGTGCTAAAGGAATTCAACCTGAAGAAAATTTGTCATCGACAACAATTGAATCAGTGAGTGTTGAATGCAAGTTTTTAATTTTAATATTAATTTTTACATTTTTGAATGAAGGTTGATTATGAAATTAAAAAGATTCTCAACGACAGTTATGAGCGAGCCAAAGCCATTTTAAAGAGTCACTCGAAGGAACATAAAGCACTTGCCGAAGCGCTTTTAAAGTACGAAACGTTGGATGCTGAAGATATCAAAGCAATTCTTGCAGGTGATAAGATCGGAGTAGATGCGGCACACTGAAAATTAAAGAAAAGCGGACGGTTCTGGTGAAGAAATCAACAATAGAAGAGACTAACAGAGACTTAAATTAGATTTCATTATCATAAACATTTATTCTAAATAAATAAACTACAAATAAGAACACAAGAATGTACAGAAATTGAATGCTGAAAGAAGTTTCTTTAATTTGTCATAGACATCTGTTGATTATTATTGAGTTTTAAGTAAACTAAAAAGAATTACTTATTGTATTGAAACCTAAGTTTAATCTCCTTTTGAATAAAAGTTTTAATTTTTATCACAAATTTTTATTGAAATAGTTCCAAATTTGACATGACTCGATTGAATTTGAAGACAAAGTGAAGATAAAAAAATATTTTTAATTATATTCTGTGATAACAACAACCCCACGATGTTTATTGACTTATTGTTCTTAACTCAATAGCATTCTCCATTCCATTTGTGTTGTTTGAACGAGTTCTGTTTGCACTTAATTTTCTTACAATGTTCTTCAATATTATGACATTGACGATCGTGAACATTAAAATTGAAAATAAAGTGATCAATTCAACATACACGTCAATGTGCGATGACTTATGCTCCATGCAATCTACAATTGGATTTTCAGACACAATTTTCTCTGTTGTGCCTTCAAATGCACAAGGAGTTGATGATGTTGCAAGCTTTTCAGTTCCAATGCTTTCAGTAGTCTCAGTGGGCAAAGAAATCTCAGTAGTTGTCGAAGCTTTTGTCAAGTTTTCTGGTAGATTTCGATCGAAGATCCTTTCGTCATAAAATATATTTTCTTTATTACATAATTTAGTAACATTTAATTTAAACATTTCTGATATTTTTTCATCTCTATATGGCGTTTTAAAATCTACACACTTATTAACATAAAAGTTAATAATTATAAAACCTGGAAGTGTATCGAAGAAATTATGATCGATGAATCTCAAATGACATCCTTGACACCAAATATCTTTAAGTTTTGTCTTTCCTTTAAATAAATTTGCTCCTAAATATTCGATTGGATTGTACGAAACATCAAAACTCATCAAGTTATTCAATCCATCAAGATCATTGCTGAAGAGAAATTGTAGATTTGAATTCCGGATAAGAAGAGTTTGTAACTTTGGAAAATGTGATCCTAAATTCACTGGAAAATATGGACACGACTGCTTTTCACCATAGAACTGAACAATATCAAATGATTCATATAAATTGTTCACTAAACTGACATTTTTATCCTCGAAAGTTGTGCGAAATTTCTGAGGTCTGCAAGTGCCAACTTTACTGAAATACCAACCTTTGTAGAGTTCATATGAACAATGCAATTTCACCGATTCCATGGAGTTCATGAGAAATGTTGCCATAAAGAACCAAAATCTGTTGAAAAGAAAGAATAAATCC